ACCAGATGTACCGAGGAGGAGGAGACGAGACAACTGGTGGAGGAAGAGATGAGAGAGAAGGTGGGGGAGGCGACGGGAGAGAAGGAGGATCAGTAGGGCCAGAATGGCCAGAAACCGAGGGAGAGATGGTGTTGGCTGAGACAACAGCAGTACCCTCGGAATTCTCCTTAGGCATACTGTTGTAGGCCTTCTTTTTCCCAATCTCCTCTCTTTTGTCAATTATTGACAGTATCATTTGTTTACTTCTCCATTGAAGTAGTTGCAAATGGAGGCTCGTCGAGAGTTTCCGCCCAACTTTGCTTCTCTTTGGCAGTGTTGCGTCTAGGGCTTCGATTTTTCTTTTGGTTCTTTCCGAACAGGACAAATCGTAGCCAAAATCGTCAGGACAAGGCCGCTTCTTTCCTGTGATCGCAGCTAAAGAAAATAATATAGATATTATTATTGATGCAAAAATTAAATACTACAAATAATAATAGTATTAATAATAAAAATATTCCTACCTTTTACAGAAACATAGTCTGATATTACAATCGGGGTCCGCCCAAAAGCCTTGCCTCCCCGTTTGGTGATGGGGGAAGGAGCAAAACATTTATTAGGACCCCCTCGTCTACGAATAGATGGACGCTCTTTATCCAGCTCAGTTTCATCTTCCACAGATGACAGCTTTCTTTTCGTACCTCTTGTCTCGCAAGATACTAAATAAAAGCAGCAATGATAATTATGTAAAGTTATGATTAGAATTATTGGATCTACAAAAAGTTTTGTAAATTCAGTAATTACCCAAATGATCAGAGGATTCTTTGTCAGCTGCTTTAGAAGGACTACTGCCTTGATCAGCCGCATCCGACGTTTTGGGATGAGCAGAATGACCAGACGAACAAACAGGCACCTCTGAGACAACCCCACAATCAGAATCACTAACAAGTGATCCGGAACAAACCTCAGGTCTTGAACAACTAGCAGCCTGTCCAAAAAGAGCATATTGCCCACCAACAATTCTTTTGTAAGAAGAGCAAGACTGGTCAGAACCAGAAGAAAGAGTCTCAAAAAAGCCCACATTGTCAGAAGCATTGCTTGAATCTCTAGGAAATGAAAAGGCACGTTTACAGGCGGTGCCAACTCTGTCATCACCAAAATCAGCGACTCTTTTTGAAGGAACAATGGAAGAAGCGCCTAAAAGAGTACTCAAAGGAGAACCAGAAGAGGCACCAGAAGAGGTATCAGAAAAGGTACCAGAAAAGGTACCAGAAGATGTACCAGACGAGGCACCAGAAGAGGTACCAGACGAGGCACCAGAAGAGATACCAGAAAGAGTACCACAAAGAGTACCAGAAGAGATACCAGACGAGGTACCAGACGAGGTACCAGACGAGGTACCAGACGAGGCACCAGAAGAGGTACCACAAAGAGTACCAGAAGAGATACCAGAAGAGGTACCAGAAGAGATACCAGAAGAGATACCAGAAGAGGTACCAGAAGAGGTACCAGAAGAGGTACCAGAAGAGGTACCAGAAGGAGCACCGGAAGGAGTACCTACCACTAAGAGAATGTTTTCTTCACTCTCACAAGGAGTGCGGGAGCCTGAAGAAACATTATTTGTGGTAGTTTGGAAGGCAAATGCCTCAAAGTCACTCGCCAAAGGCGTGCGAAGATGAGGAAAACGGGAAAGGAGATAAGACCCATATGGGCGAGAGGAGGGTGAAGAAGAGTTGGTTGAGCTGTAGCTGTTGCTGTTGCTGGAGGCAGTAGATTGTGGCATTGTGGAATTACAAGCGATAAGAGGGTATAAAGAGAAAAAAAGGAAGAGCGAGTAAATGGTCTTTATATATACTTTTTTCATTCATTTTTTTTTTGCATTGGAATGTCTTGTTGGAAAAAAATATGGCATATAATTACTTGTAAAAATTCAAAATTTTACATAAAAGCTACGAAGTATGTATGTATATCTTTTGGTTTATTTGCTGATATTGTAATAAGACATACATAGTATTAGGGCTGCTACTACCTTTATTATTATTATTATTTTACAATAGATTCAAATACTTATTTTCTCTTATGAAAACAACAACAACAACAATATAAGCCAAGATCTAGACTGGCTAAAACGAGTATGTGCAAATTACCGAGTCAAATTAACAGTGCTTCCTAACATATTTTGTTGCATACTTATATGTGTAAAATAAAAAGAGCCGGTGAGTTTTATACCGTTATTTTTTTCTTTTCTATTCATAAAACAATTAAAATAGTTTTACCACAAATAAGACATTAATACAATATATAATAGTATCTCAGGCAATAGTTGGTGGACAAAGTAGATTTAATTCTTAATAGCACAATGATTTAGATACTCATCAACGAATTTAAATGAGAGAATGTACAAAGCTTAAAGGCTATTCTACTATATGAGATATAGATTATATACTCTATAGATTTGTACAAATATCAGAGCATCATGAAAGAAAGAAAAAAGAGAGAGGAAGAATTTGATAAATTAAATAATACTGATCAGCAAAATCATACCATCGGATAAAATGCTTGTAACTTTTAATGACTATCCCTCTATATATATATATATATGCGTAGGAATATATTTTCATTTAAAGAAACAACAACAGATGATTAGTTGACAGTCAATAATATTAATAATATTATTTAATTAATATAATACTGAAATGTTATGCATGTATTCAAACGTTCGGCTGGTTCAAAGATATCATATCTTTCCAAATGTGCCTTGTATCAATTATGTAAACAAAATGATTAAGCCGTGGCCTTGGCAAACATAGGACTTTTACAACTGATAGCCATCAATTGAAAGGGCATACAAATTGTAACAACAAACCATCACAGTGCTTATCTCTTTCAATTTTTCTTTTTTACTCATAATTTTATTATTTAAATAAAGAAGTATGGTTTATCTCAGCATCTTATTATTATATTTATTACCTTTATTACCTATTAGAATATTTTTATAAGCTTAGAAAGATAAAAGAAATAAAGTCCATCCCAACACATCACTTGAATTCTCTTTTCATCATTCTTGAAAGAACAATCTTCCGGTTATCAATGCTTGAGCTAAATAGCTGCTAGGGAATATCAATATTCATTCTCTTTTCTTGTCAAGTCATATCTCTAAAGCTGTAGAGACTTCTTTACTATTCAGAACAGGTATTAAATGGGTAAATCATTTCTTTAGAATCATATGTATATATAGCTACTTAATTGGATTAATAAATTAAGCATACTTAAGCAGACACAGTACTGGATCTACCCACCAACTGTGCGCAAGTCGACATTTATTAAGTTAAGTTTGAAGCCATGCTTGTGAAGTTGTATACTTTCCAGTCAATTTCTGAAATAATTCCATAAAAGACCCAATTATATTTCCTGTTCAAGATTTTTATTAAAATTAAATTGGATCCAAGCTATAAGCAACTAGACAAGATGGATTTGATACACATTAGATATCTATGAATCAATTAAAACTTCATTTTCTTATTTCCGTTTTCTTATACCATTGCATTGGTATTCTGTTCTGTTTATAAATTCAACATAAGGTGGATACTCTATCTATAAGTATAATCACACACTTGGTAACTATACAAAAAGAGTCAAACACCTTACGTCAAAAATAGTAGCCTAAACAGAAAAATATTATCCGGTTTTCTGAAAGGGAGTGTACTTACATACAAGAGAGAACTATATAATCATGTATATAAACAAGCACTAATTGGAGCATCTGCACAAAACCCAAAGCATATACAAAGTGAAGAAAAAGAAAAAAGGCAATGACTTTGGCAGACACTCTTGAAATGGACGGCTGTGTAATATATGTCATGATATTTTATATTGCCCTTTAAGAGAAAAGAAAAATACATAGGATACTTTTTATGTGTTCCATTAAATAGCATACTTGAAGTCTTTGTTTCAGATTTATTAATTAAAATTATGATAGTAAATTGGTGTAAAGAAGTAAAAAAGAAAAAAAAAAATGGGAAAATTTAAATTAATAAGGGCATTTTTTCTTTTTTTTTTTGGGTTAAATACCTGTCTCCAAGGTGTATATGTGTAGTGTATACATCCCAGTCTTTCTTCACATATAGACGCACAAACCAGCTTGTCCACCGATATCTTGGCTGTACCATTATAAAATATAGAGTATAAGGTGGTTTGCTTTTTATGTCTTTTTTGTAGACTGTGTAGAGGCTCATTGGTAAATTAGAGCCTACGACTTCCTACAAACAAAAATCTTTTTGTAGACTGATATTATCAATTTGTGGTGCAAACAACCTATGTGTATTTTTTTGTAAGGAGGCTGGGCCGCAAAATTTTTATTGAGCTTAACAATTCTAAGAGGAAGAGGAAGTCACAATCTTGTTTTTGGGTTTACACTGTAAGAAATGGCAGGTATTAAACTACCGACCTGGCAAAAATCGTTAAAAATTGCCACCTGGCAACATTATTCTGAGCCAATAGAACTTAAGTATAAAGTCATTAGATTCACTTATTTAAGCAAATCAGATGTGTAGAATAATGAAGTTCTGGGATTTATTAAACCAATAAAATACAAGTATTTTCATAATTTAGACTTTTTTGGTGTGATATTTCAGCGCTCCAATTGGTCAAAAGTATATATATTGCATAATGGACAAAATGATTTTTATTTATAGATTTTTTTTTACAGTGATATAGTTTTCAACAAAGGGTTTAGCAAAATATGTGTTTTACATATTATTGTGAGAACATTTGTTACAGCTTTTAGAAGCCGTATATCATTTAAGCTCTAAAATCTTCCAAATATAGTCTTTCGGCCTATTCGTGTTGTTCGATCTATCACTCCATAAGCCCTGTAAGTTTTTATATAACACGGAAATATTTAATTTGAATTCGTTTCAAATTTCAGTAACGAGATGTTGGGATATGTTGAATTGAACAGCCGATTTATAAAAGAGGTCTAACTGGCCAAGCTCGGTCGAGATCTTTTAGGCGTGCAATTTACGATGATGTCTCTTCGTAGAAATGTAAGCTATACTAAATTTCGCCAATGAGGTGTGATATCTCGATTGCGATGTGCTAATTGCACCAAACAGAAAGAGATGGCAGCCGAACTTACCTGTGGCAAGTATAACGAAATCGAACCATCATGCATAGAAAAGTCTCCATTATGATCAGGAATTAATTTCGAATGACCGCTACATAGCTCTTTGCCAAGATCTATTCAGTGATCCAGTATCTTTTATCCCATGCCTTCACACATACTGTCTTCAATGTACTAAGAATCTTTCTCGGTAAGAAAGACAATAAAGAAGAAAAAGAGAAGACGTGTGAAAATAATTGAGCTAGCTATTTGACAAAACCAAGAATATATTTAGAGCTAATTCTGAGACAAATTGTCCAATATGCCGAGAGAAAGTACAAGGCGTTAGAAAGAATTTCATGGCATCAAGTTTTTTACGAATATATCTTGAAGTTAACTTAGACATAAAGAAGATGAAAAATGAGGAATCAGGAATCTCTTCGGAGTCACCCAACGCACGTTCTACAGCAGCCATAATGGTAAGACATTTATACTTTTGTAAACATACTATCTTTTATTGATAAACGTCTTATCTTATTTGATTCATTTTAGGCAAGAACCTTCCAAGCAGTAGAATATGATCAATTTAGATGGGACAGGAAGAACTTCGCAGTGACCGACTACAAGTAATATTACCAATCTTCTATGCACTATTACTAACCAATCGATTTTGTAGACCATGTCGTTCTTGCATCCCAAATAATCCAACGGGCTACATGTGCCCAGTACCTCTTGAAGCAGGGTACGCAACTTCAGAGCTAAATCCAATCGGTCATTTGTTCTGTACATTCTGTCAGACATATATGCCTGCCCGGGGTACATTTGGAATGCCTGCACTAGATCAAGCGTGTATGAATCAAACTGTTAAATGGAACATATTACCTTGCAATTTATACCTATAGAAACTATTTATATAGGTAGTTTTTGTGGCGTAGTAGCTTGTGATAGCTACTGGGGTTGCTTTAATCATAGCCATGAAGCAAAGCTGTTTCTTCTTAAAGGTATAGTTTGATACATTAGCAGTCTCCCCTAGTATAAAACATGCTTTGAATGTTTATTTTTATTAATCATTTATATTAGATATAGGAGATCTTGATGACTTTGAACAGATCTTTCTGACCAAAGATTCGAGTCTATCTTCTCCAGAAGAAGGATATCTCAATTTTGTCGAGATAAAATACTTAAAAGCGTACCTGAAAGATAATAAAATATCGTGGAAGGAGGCATGGAAATCTTGTACTGACATGTTTGATAGCCAAGATTATATATGCTGTACGTAGAGTCACTAAAACATCCTTTGATAATATCTAACATTACATATTACTATAGCTGCCGCAAGCTCACTTACTCTCCCAGCCCAAGACATATGTCGCCAGATCGAGAATGCTGGAAGAGAGCACTTCACATCCATAAACGTCATAGCACCACGAGGAAATACTATTAAACGACCACAAAAACCTCATGAACCAACCACAAAGAACATCAATAGTACACCCACATCACGTACTACATCTAATACATCAATTGGGGATCGACAAGGACGATCTCTAGTTGAGCCTGGTATTCCTCGTAACCAAGTTTCCTCCAGATTAAATGGATTTACGGATGAAAATCACCCATCTGGACACCTAATGGCATGTTACTCCTGTGCTAATGATATAACAAATGGCCAATTGTTTGGTTATTGGAAAAACATTCCTGTGGAATCTCTTCCAGGTAATAGGCTGATTAAATCACATTACTAGGATACTGACTAATTTATCATTTTAGCACACATAGGTCTTCGCGATGTATGCGAATGGGGCGAAGAATGCACTGTACAGTGGGCTGAAGATGGTGGTAATTGTATAGATACGAATATTTTCTCTGCCAACAGCTGTACTTATATAATTGTTTTTTTAGAACATGCCAAACAATACAGCCATGTCGACCATATATAATTACGCTTTCACTCTCAATACCCCCATTGAATCTTTTGTTATAAATATCATGTTTATTGATATTCTTAGTTTTGGTATCGCAGCAATGAATTTAATGCAAAGCACAAATATTTTGCCAACATTTTTTTACTGCGGATTCTAATAAATAAATACAGAATCTTTAAAGTTCATCTCTCTCATGGTGCACGGGCTCTTGTTTCTGTTCTGGGAGAAGTTTTGAAGGTGTAAAAGGCTTGGCAACATTATCCCACTTTGAGAAGTTTATGGCTACCATGCGAGCTTGAAGCTCTTTCAGATAGGGTAGGTGTTTTTGGTAAAAATCAACGATTATCGAGTTGAAGTAGGTGTGCATGGGCGCGTTATTGAAATTACATCCATCAGGAGCAGAAATCAACTCTTCCAATAATCTAGGCTCATAAAGCTAAAACAAAAAACAAGAGTCAGGTCCTTGTTAAGGTGTTATATCCAATATTTTACTAAATTGTTTGTATATTACCTTTTCGTTTGCACTTTATACATTTTAACAGCATATAATATGTTAGTATGTGTATAATCGAAAATATCCACATGCGTTTTTTATTTACCTGACATAGTCTGTTGAAGAAGTATCGGGATAAGCTAAATAATATCCCCAAAGTTAGGTTCGTCTGTGTGTGTGTGTGGGTGTGTTTTTTTTTTACAAACTCAGACGCACCTTTAAGGCTGATTCCCCCTGTTTTCTTGCACATATAATGAAGACGATCTTTAATATCTTGAGGTTCCTGGCCAGGGACATAGGATGATTTCCAGAATACCTAACAAGACCAACACATTATCTAGTTTATAACGGTAGGTCTTTGTCATGTAAATGTATCATTACCTCAGAGAAGTAGCTAGAGGTGTAGCCTTGTGGTTCGATGAGCTCCTCCGAATGTGTAAATATCAGCATGCCTTTTACGCCGACGTCTACACCATCTCCCTCCCACTGAGCCATCTCTGGGTCATAATTCACCAGCTCACCCAAGGTTGGCCATATGCGTTTAGCATCCTTTTGAGCATAAATAAAGGGGCACTATAATGTTTTTTTTAGTTATTACATACAAACTTATAAAACAATATTGAATATTTACCTCTCCTTCTTTGAAGAGATCTGTTCCCTCTGTTCTTTCTGTGTGAACCTTGCACACTTCGTCAATAGCACTTTCAATATCTTTAATAGATACTTGTTTCTCAGGAGAAGCATTCGAGGAAATATGGGTAACAATAATTTGTTTTGGGCGTGTCTGAATAAATTCAAAAAGCTGATCCGTAAAATCCCGGAAAGGCTCTCTGTTATGTAGATCTGTTTCTTGATCAATAGCAGAGCACAAGAATGTCTTTCCATTGGCTCTAATTCAGATACTTGTTAAATTTATAATTTGTTGGAATAAAGTATCTTTTACCCTTTGCATAATGATATTTCTAACAGGCGAACACCTAGATATTCTTTATATGTTTAGCTTATTGTGTTTATTAGTTAGGTTTATGTACTTGCCATCATCAAGCATCTCCGTAACAGTGCGATCCTGAGTAATAGATGGATTGTTTGATGAAGAGGTTGATTGATCTGTTGTCTGGTGGTTAAATCCAGTTGGGCTATCCAACCGATTAACGTGTGCGCCAATATAGAAGAAATAGTTTGCCGGAATATCTCTCTCTTCCGGGAACCCATTACAAGGCAATGGGTCTTCTTTTACAAGTCCATCGGTTCTATATATAAAAAGTAAGATTAAGATTCTTTTGTTTCCCGTCATGAATCGATGTAATCGGTGTTAATCCAGAAACTTACGCGTCTGTTGAAGAGGCAAGTACTTTGCATTGGAATGCAAAAGCAGCTAAGAAGACGGCATTCCAGATTTTCATGATGACAACGAATGATTTTAAGCTTCAACACCCGAGATTGACAATAAATTGCTGTAATTTGAATACAAGCAAACTAGCACTGTTTAAAAATAATTTTAAGTTGAAGCCAATTAGCTCTTATTTCTTTTTTTGAAAAAGCAGGGTTCGTTTAAAAACCTGTAAATAATTCAGAAGCAAGCTTGATATATTAGTCACTATCTAATTTACGGACCAGGCTTGATAAATTATCTACACATTACCGTATTTTTTCATAAAGAAAATAAAAATAGAGACTTTGTGTCTAAAAGGCCATAGTAATCTTTAATGTTTATATTAACGGCAACATTATACTGTTTTTTTCGCTAATAGCCCCCAGACTGCTAATATGTTATGCATCATTAATGAAAGTAAAGTAATGAAACTATATCACTAACTATTTTATTGTACATAAAAATAAACTTTGTCTGGACTCAATACGCACTGTGAAAATAAAAATTTAATGGATTATTTAATGCATACTTACTCCAAGTATTATATAGGCTAATTTTATTGTATTTACAAAGAATATATTCCGGTTTTAAGCTTTAGGTATTGAAGCATATATTCATAATCCTGTCAACAATCAAATATAAGAATATGCAATTTATTTAGTCACTATGATAAAACTGAGAGGGCTGGCTTTCACCTAAAACAAGACAAAACAAAAATACAACGTTTTAATACCCAATAATAACACAAGTAAATTCTCAAGCTACATACCAAAGATATCAGGCGCATCCTCTTCAGCATAGCTATAACTTCCCCGTGAAGACATTTGGTGAACAGGGGTATGTTCAAATAGATGAGCGAATTGTTGATTATCTGGATTATCGTGCGAAGAAAGACGTATAGGAGATTGATATCTAGAAGTCTGATCCATCGTCTGTTTTCTTGAGTCTTCGGTAAAGTTTTTCTCTGTGAATAAATCTCCCCATATATCGTCCTTTTGTGTAGATTCGTGTTGATTTATAGACCGGTCAGCCAAATAGTGCCCCTCCTTGTTTAGACCCCTCGACACAGTATCTAAAGATCGGTTTCGTGTTGGAGAATCCATATAATGTGAAATGCTCTTTCGTTTCGGGCCTATTTCTTGACTAGAAGCCTCACGACTATGCTCCATGCTAGACTGATTTGAGAACTGTTGAGCTGCATGTACATAAGTTGGCGAATCGTTTTCCAGGATAGATGCATCAGGGGGATTAGTAGTTCGGTGCTCAAAAGAACGGCGACGACGCTTGTGCCATTCACGATAAGGGCTTTGTAGTTTTTGAGTTGGGGTAGTTTTCTGAATCTTTTGGTTAGATGAACCCCCAACATCTAACTGATCGGTAGGTTGTCGGTTTCTTTTGTGTGTAAAAGAATGATGGCTGGTTCGGTGCCATTCACGATAAGGGCTTGGACTTTGATCTTTATGAATAGGCGTCCTTTGTCTTTGAAAGTTTTCAATTACATCCGTAGCAATTGCAGCATGAATAGGTGAAAGATTTGAAGAAAAAGGAGAAATATCATCCTGACTTTTTTGATAATGACCTGGTGTATTTTTATGATAGACCCAATCCGATGAAGTTGTAGCAGGTCTAACTTGCTGTTTATCAGGTGTTTTATATACTGTATCATGTTCTGGGTATAATTCCGGTGTTATTTCTCGGTTATAAATGTTTGCATTGTTTTCAGTTATAAATGAGGTACTACTTGGTGGGTTGTTTTTGTCCGTAAGAGTATCATATCCCTTTGTACTGTTGAGAGAAGTATTTTTTGAAGATTGCTCTTTTAGTTTCTGTTCTCTGGTTTCGTTTGATATGATATCTAATACATTCCGCTTGACAAGATCAACGGCCTCAGATTCATTGGGTACTTATATCGATAGTAATATTTAGTCACTCTAAAATTCCTACCCAAAAATCCGCTTATTACCTGATGTGATCTCTGGCAGAACAAATCCTATATTATCTTCTTTTTCTTCAGGTAATTGTTCCCTAAGGCGCGAGTAAAGACTTGCCCACTGTTCTTTGTACTGGTTTGCTCTAAAGTTATACGATAGATGTTTAGTTACCTTTTTTGTGTATAAATAATTATATATAAATGTAAATTTCATATTATTACCTAGTAACTATAACAGGATTATTGGAAACAGCGTCTGAAATATCCTCGTTCTTTGCACGGAGTGTATCAAGTATGTTCTTTAATCTGTCACGAATATTTTGCGCATTCATTTGCTGGGGTAGTGCTGTTGATCCCGTGCTTGGATAATTCGGGTTTTCTTCTGAAGTATCAGAGTTATCTCGATCACCTGCCATTAGAAGAAGACGGTCGATAAAAGAAAGAAATGGGCAGATGGTTTTTGTTTTTGTTGATGTTTATTTTGTTTACTTTGAGAGTTTAGATTATTTGCGATGAATTTGGCTGACTTCTCCCATTGTTCATGATATGTCTTCATTTTATTGACTTGAGCTGTCAATTTAGAAGCATAATTACCGAGCAGATCCTGTATTTGGATCAATTATGTAATTTAAGTGTCACATTCTCTTATATATATTTTATGAACTATTGAAGGCTTACTTGAAGTGAGTTTGTGGCAGAATCCAAGGACTGTACATAAGGGATATGGTTAATATTCATGGGGATTCCGTCTATCTCATCTAAAAGGAAAAAGATTGGGATGGTTTAGAGAAATACAATTAACTATAGATACTTTGGATACGATCATGTTCCATACTTAACAGGGGAGAATTAGGGAGGATTTCACGATCAATAGTACGCTGCAAGACATGTGTGGAAAATGCCAACATAATAGTATTCATATGCTCCCCACGACAATCCTCGAAATAGCTTCGTCTGAGAACTACTGGGCCCAAAAGACAGTTGTCGCGTTTGAGCTGTTCCAGCCATCGATAAGCTGCTGCTCGGTATTCGCGAGAATGGCGTTTATAGTCTGTAATTGGCCAGCAGTCTCTAAAGGTTTTTTTGGTCTGGATGGGATCAAGCTTAGAGAAAAGGAAATGACTGGTGATTTCGAAAGCTTTGTTGTTATCTGCATTCCGAGTGAACATGTCATTGCCGAACCGAATGTTAGAGAAAATTCCTGTCGCATACACCTCAGGATCAAATCCAAGAATTTTAAGATTAGCTAAAAAGCTATCGGCCACTGAGCTCATGATGTGAATTTAAGACAAGATCGATTAATTCGATCTAGACAATAAACTTAAAGACACTGCTCATTTTATTGAATTTTCTCTAATCGCGCAATTTATTTAAGATTATGCGGTCAAATGTCGTCACAAGATATAAAGTCATGGCTTTGTCAATTTTGTTGAGTTAAAGTAATACGAGATCTATTAATTATATATACGAAAGAAGTTTGTATAAGTATATATTTGTACAAGAGATAAAAGTAAATATTGGCAAATAAAGGCATATGTCGAATGACTTGGGTTTATTATAGACATTTATGCTTTCAAAAGATAAATATTTCCTGCGTCGTCATTGGAGGCGAGCACGTTAGAGAAAGGATGGCCAGCTAGTCCAATTGCCTCGGTATCAGCAATTTTGAGATTTCCTACCAAAATCCCTGTTGATGCATTGAAGCAATACAATTCATAATCTTCACCTAGACCATACACAAGTTCTCCTTGGGGTGATATCGCAGCAGCAACAAAATCAGAACCAGACTTTATGTTATGAGAAAATCTCTTGCTAATCGTCCCATCTCCACATAGTATAGAGAGTGTATTGCTCTTGTTGCAAATCAGAACTTGGTCTGTAACGTTTGGTAATAAGACTAAGGATTGTACTGCTAAGAGTGGGTGGTTTGTTGATCCGCATTCAATGGTGTGAAGACAGGTTTCTGTATCAATATTCCAAACCTATCTCTCTTTTTATTAGTCACCTACACCAAGTTATGTTTATCTTAAAAACACAGAGGTAGTTCACATATCTCTTTCTTTTTTGTTTTTTTTTACCTTGACAGTACCATCACTGCTTCCGCTGAATATATGCAAATTGTCGGTTGAATATAGTACTGAATTTACAAAAGAAGTGTGCCCCTTGAACTCTTTTAATGCCTTCCCTGACCGGGTGCCATGGATCTTTATGGTTTGATCATAACTTCCACTTAATATTTGGCTCCCATCCTTATTGAAGCAGACTGAGGTAACACCTTGGCTGTGAGCAGGAGAAAATCGGCGTTGACAATAGCCTGATTGTACTTTCCATATCTAATAGAATATTAATGGATGATACAATATAGAAAGATGTACATTTATATATAATCTTACTGCAATCTTTCCATCTGTAGATCCAGATGCCAATAATTCAGTATCTTTACTAAAGTTGAGGCAAATTACAGATTCATCCATAGCCATAAGAGAATTCTATAAAGTATATATATATATATTAAAATGATTATTTCACAAAACAAAATCATGCTTCCAATAAGGTCTTACTTCTGCTTGATATTTAAGATCTTTGCGCAATTTTCCGTTTAGATAATTCCAAATCTCAATAAATCCATCAACAGATCCAGTAACAAGATATTGACCATTAGGAGAAAATGCAGTGCATTCAGCATATGTCCCGGTGCCTGGAAACTATATATCGAAGAATAAGAAACAATTCATTAAAACAAACGGAGTGGATTATTATTATATCACACACCTTAATCTTGCTGTATTGCTTTGAGGCAAATGCATCTTCCTGTTCTGTTTGGATAGTTGCCGAATCTTTAAAAGCGTCAAATTCTGTTCCAGGCGGCAGAAGTCCCTGGTGTTGCTGCCATTTTGCACATTGATCTAACAACGACAACAGGCGAGAAGGCTGAACCACAGTAACCTCATCGGTTAATGCTATTGGAAAAATAAGATTAAGACCTTCTTGACTAACATACAAAATATGCTCTATATATAGACAATACCCTGTGCAATTATTTGTCGTCTCTTCTCTTTAGTCATTCCATGCGGATACGCGTCTTTGGTATCAAAGATAGTGCGTGACATGACGTGTTCCAAGTGAAGATAACGTTCGGGATGTTGGTTCTTCAATATTTCCATTGGTTCGGTTTGTCTTAAAAGTGTTCTTGCAGCACTAATCTCGCGCATCTCGACCAGCTCAAGGACTACCTAAAGTCAAGTACAAGCAATTTGCGTTAAAACAAACTTCGGGTGGTTTATATATGTTTTTATGCAATATGTTTTTGTATTAAAAAAAAAGGTTACCTGCTCGTAGAGATCTAATAGTTTTCTGGGTGCGATCTTTAATTTCGCTACTTGCTTCAGTACAGTATCCCAGCGACCTTGAACAATGTCTTGTACAAATGCATCCTTGCTGTCCATTGTGTTTAGTGTAATTGATGTCTCTTCCTCGAGTGTAGAAAGTGCATGATCAAACTTGTTCTCTTTTAAGAACTGAAGAATGAGTCGAATGACGCTGTTATTCTTATGAGTGAGGTTAATGTACAAATATTTCCTTTATTAATCTTGCTTACTCTTCTGATTCGATTTCAATGGACATTATTAGCGTCTTTTGAAATCGATGCTTTCAAAGTTTAGAAAAAAAAATTACAAAAAAATGGAATAACCAAAAGTCGGGATAAATGTCAGGCCCGCGTCACAGAAGACCTTCTCTTTCGCCATGAAAACCATTATCCAAACCAACGAGGACATTCCTGTTCACATTCCATGCGTTGTCGATGCTGAATCAGCTAAAGCTGAAGAGCTTTTGGCCAGCCTTATTAAGCCCAGGAAAATTACACGACGTACCAATACGGCAGTAGATCTCGGTTTGACAGTTGAAACACCCATCAAAAGCAAAGGTCAGAAGAAAGAAGTGGATGTTGCCACTGAATTGTCACAGAATCAACAAGACCTCGTGCGATCCCAAAGTAATCTACAGCCGAACAGGCCAAGCCGAACAGAAAGCGCACTTGGTGGAGTAGAATGTAGTGACGATGATGAAGATTCTATGATGATTGATCAAGACAATACACAAAAGGATTCGAATGGCAAAGAAATTTATAGCTTTGGTTTAAAGAATAAGTCGACAAAATCTATGATGAAGAGAGCTGGTGCTGATATAGGACAAGGTACATTGTCCGGCTCGTTAGCTAAGAGAGCACAATCCAATTCTACAAAAGCAAACGCTGAAAACCACGATAATCGCGTACGTATTCGGAAACAAATGGAATCTCTCAAAGACGATGCGAACAGCGATGAAGACATAGATGATGCAGAAGAGGAAGAAGATAAGGACAATATGGATATAGAAGAGGAAGATGATGAAGATGATGAAGATTCGGGTGGAAGACTTCGAAGCAAACAGGACAATTCTGAAGCAGGCTATGATCGCTATTTCCAGGATCTTCAAACTTCAGCAAAAACATCTAACAACACTTTATCCAAACTTGCTGTTCTTAATCCGAAAGAATTCAACGACATTCTGGCTTCAGCACCAAAAAAGCATGATATTGAGATCAAAAGACTATTGAATGCCCACCGTTCTTATTTCTCACAGTGGGTCTTTGAGCTTCACTCTGGCTTCAACCTCATCTTCTACGGTTATGGGTCCAAGCGACGTCTATTAAACGACTTTGCCCAGTCTTCTCTATCAAATGGACCACTCATTGTAATCAATGGCTTTTTCCCTTCAATTAATATCAAAGATATTTTGCTCAAAATCACTTCCGGTGCCCTAAATATCACTTGCTCGACAGGGCAAGTTCTGGAACATGCAGCTGTTATATGCGATTACTTTTCAGATGATGAGAGAGAGTTTGATCATCTCTACTTGGTAATTCACAACCTGGATGGTGCGAACCTGCGCAATGAACGTGCACAGACAGTCTTGTCTATGCTTGCAAATTCGCCAAACATTCACTTGATTGCTTCTGTTGACCATATCAATGCTGGCTTGCTGTGGGATAATGTCAAGGCAAGTCGCTTCAACTGGATTTGGCACGATGGAACTACGTATGATGATTACCTGGTTGAAACAAGTTTTGAGAACTCGTTGCTAATGCGTTCGGGAGAAATGGGTGGTGTAAGGGGTGTCCAATATGTTTTGACTTCACTCACCAGCAATGGTCGTGGAGTGTTCCGAGTTCTGGCCGAACACCAGCTAGTAGAAATGGAGATGTCTTCTTCTGATGGTTCTGACAACTCAGCATTGGGGTTACCTTACAACAAATACTATCAACTGTGTCGAGAAGGTTTCTATGTGTCAAGTGATGCAAGCTTACGTTCACAATTGACCGAATTTAAGGATCACAAAATTATTCACACAAAAAGATTACCAGATGGTACAGAAGTATTTTATATACCTCTTGATAAGGCGACTCTTACCAGTATTGTAGAGAACATGGCATAGATAATTCCATTGAATGTATATAGAAAGATAAAAAGAAGATACGTCCTATAAATGTCTACTTGATAACCATATAAATAATTTATTCGAGACCTTGTTATGCTCGTTTTCCCCTATAATATATAAACCAAAATGCCATAAAATAATAAAGAAACTAAGAAGAAAGAATACACATATAAAAAGAATATTGCCGAATAAACCCAAAGACAAGTCCATGTAGAATTAAATTGCCTGCTGTTGTGCCCATCCATGTTCAGCAACCATATACTCTGCTTCTTGCTCATATGCCATTAAAGTATCTTCTACAATCTTTACCGCGGCCACCAGGGCCATGGCATCCCCTTGTTGTTGAATGAAATTGACACGGATAACCCATCGCTTATGGTAAGCAGAATGATGCGGAGAACCGAGCTCGAGCTTAAAGCGTAATAATATTGGCTTTACAGCTATATAATTAAATAAGAGTAAATATATATGTATATATGTATATATGTATATATGTATATATGTATATGTGTGTATGTGTGTAGGTAATTGATGTACCAATTAAAACCTACCATTAGGAAGATGCATCTCTCCCTTTCGCCTTGTTCGACCTTCACTACCTTGGCGTTCCATAAGTGTTCCGTTCATGCACTAGTATAACATGGATTTAGTGATTAATTTCATTTTAATCTATCTTTTTTTTTGCTAAATTGTTCATACCTCTTTTAATACATGAGCGATTTTTCCAATAGCCTCCCGCTCATCTCTAGCTGGACATTCCAGAGAACAGACCTAGAAGCAAGAGCATATCAGAAATACGATTTTTTTCTTCTTCTTTTTTTTCTTGTGGCAAAAAAATGTACATATATGTACAAACAATGTATAATTAAGATTAAGCATATTAACCTTTGGTTGTTTAAAATGAAAAAGGCCAGGCAACCATGACGACAAGCGAGGGCTTCCCATAGTTACCGCTGCTACCGCTGCGGCTGCGGCTGCGGCTGCGGCTGCAGATGATACCTGAGATCCGGGTCGCATTGAAGGTGTACGTGTAGGATAACACGGTGATGCAGGTGAGGTAGAACTCATACGAGGAGATGATGGTTGGACAGCAAATTGGCCGTACGCAGTAACTGATGAGGAAGGATTTGTGATTTGCTGGTAGCAATATGATGAACTATTTCCATGGCTATCACAAAAGCGTATTTCAGGGGTGTTTGGGTGACGCCAAGCAGAAGAGCTTGATTCGATAGCTTCCCGAGATATCATATAGTGGTGCGCTAATGGGTCATAGCTTCCAACTACACTACTATTGCCGCTATTGCCGCTACTATTGCTATTACCGCTACTATTGCCACTGCTGTTTCTACTGCTGTCACTTTTAGGAGGTAGTGAATAGCGATGTTGAGATTTTGCGGAATGGAATGAAGAAGGATTGGCTGTGGGGTCAACTTTGTTGGTTGTGCGTTGCCACAGATTTGTAAAATTCTTAAAGCGAGAAGCTGTCTCTGGCTGTTTATGCCTTACATCTGGGGAACAAACATGATGGTTTTTGTAATGGTACTGATGCTGAGGCTGAGGTTGAGGTTGGAGTTGAAGTTGAGGCTGCTGCTGTTGCTGTTGCTGTTGCTGTTGCTGTTGATGTAAAGGGTACTCAGGATAGGAAATATGAGGTTGCGGCGAGTAGCTTGTGACCTGGGGATAATAAGGAGCAGAAGGGGGTATTGTGTTTTGCATTGGTTGGTGGGTAGTCTGGTAATAAGGTCCATAGCTAACTTGGGTATATTGGAAACTATTATCTGTAGAAAGACGCGGTGAGAGCATATGCCCTACGTTCATATGTTGCTGCATTGGCTGCTGCATGGATTGTTGCATGGATTGTTGCATGGGCTGTTGCATGGGCTGTTGCATAGGTTGTTGCATGGATTGTTGCATAGGCTGATGCATAGGCTGATGTACAAAGTATTGAGGCTGTAGATGTATCGAGTGCTCTATAGGTGGAGTATTTGAAAACACATTTGGCTGAGGATGAACTGGATATACAGGTATAGGACGACTAGATGTTTGACGACGATGTGCTGGTGAATGCCTTTACCAATCAAGTTTTATAAAAAAAAATTAAGTCAATTTCCATCTTTGTTTTCTATGAAGGAGAGCAAATGATGATAATAATAATATAGTTATGACATTATGTACACATACCATTGTCTTTGGGGCTGAACAGGCGTGTATGGCCAAACACGAGTTGGTTTTGGTCCGCTTCCTTGTATAGGCTCCATACGAGGATTGTTGTATTTAAACTCGGGGCGAGAGCCATTTGACTTTGGGGGAACTGGAGGAGGCATATCAGTGTCTCCATCTTCGTCAACAACCTCTTCTTTCTCCGATGAAGCAGACAAATAACTTCCTATAGGACTCTTCTGACATGATGAGCTGCCAACATGTTTTTGCTGAGTAGGGTGTCTTTGGATATCAGGTAGCATCGATTCAACTGTTGATGTCTTTTCGAGTTCTGAAATTTTCATGATCATATCGTTGAGCCCGTGAAGAGGTTCCTTTGATGAAGCCACAGCGCAGATTGTGGCTGGACGGCGGCGTCGCTTGGCAGGAGATGCAACTATTAGGAATGGTTAGTATGGTACAATTTATGAGTCCTGATATGTGTGTGTGTGTGTGTGTGTGTGTGTGCGTATACTTGCTTGTGCGAAGATCATCGTCTCGTTCTGTTTGCCAATAGTTGACAGCATGACGCTGTAGTAGTACATAAGTTACTTTTTGCATGTTATATCTATTACATGGATATATCAGTAACTATTCTTTACAAGCTTCGATAGAATTTTTTTTTACTCTTTGTTCAAAAGTGCCTCGATCACATTTTCGGCTGTCAAATCGGTCCACAAATCTTTTAAGGTGGCAAGAATACGGTCATCGATTTCAGAGGCGTCTGACACAGGTCTGCCGATTTCTTCTGCTGTTGGTGGATCCGGTAATGTGGACGGGTTTTCAGGCGGGTCTACGGTGAACCATGGGTGGTCTTGTACCTGCTTCATCTAAAATATTCAAGGATGATATTAGTCATCAAAGAGTATACAATATATATATATATATATAACGTACTGTTAAACGTTTGGCTGGATCAATGACAAGGATACTTTGAATAAGATCTTTTGCATCATCCGAAAAATGCTCTGGCATCTTGTACTTTCCCACTTTGACCTTATTTAGTAGCTGTCGAATGTTATCATCATCGAATGGTAAATGACCACTCAAAAGAGCATAGAGAATAATTCCACACGACCAGATATCAGATGCTGACCCATCGTAAGGGATTCCCTGTATTTACTTGTGAGCTAATACTCAATTTCTAGTCTTACTATTTATTATTATTATAATTGTTATTGTTATTAATAATCTTTGTGAAAATAATTTACATTCACAATTTCTGGACTAGCATAGTGAGGAGAACTATATGGCAAGTTAACATGAGTTTCTCAAAATAGAATATATATAGTTTACCCGCAACTTGTTTCTAACAGTGAACCAGCTGGCTGTAAGGAAGCCATTCCAAAGTCTGCAATTTTGATACTTTTTTCCTTATCAAGAAGTAAATTCTCTGGCTTGAGGTCACGATGGCTACCACAAAAAGAAGAAGATGAAGAAAGGGTTTTATAAGATGTTTTGGCCATAATTTGAAAAGTGTCATAATATATATATATATGTGTGTGTGTGTGTGTATATATGTATAACGCTCTGCTCACCAGATAAGATGGCGGTGACAGTAATCGAGACCAAAGATTATCTGTTGAAAGTATTTGCGTGCTTCTGATTCTTGTAGACGACCTTGAGATACAAGGTATTCAAACAGCTCTCCACCTTGAACGTATTCCAATATCAAATACCTATTACGTATATGTGTGTATATTATTGTGGTTAAAAGACAAGGATTATGGTTTATATTATCTTAGTTGACTTTACAGGTTCGGTGAATCTGAGAGATCAATCACATCAATAAGGCTCATGATGTTTGGATGATTGATTAGTTTCATAACTGCGATCTCACGCTTGACAGCTTTCTCTACTGACACATTGGATGCCAGGTGCGACTTGGCAATGATCTTCACTGCGACTTTTTCACCTGTGATTTTATGAATTCCAATCTTAACACGGCCTGTTTAAGGCAAGATATGTATGTATGTATGTATGTATGTATTTATGTATATATATATATTTACATGATTGGGATTAGAAATGGCTGAGGAAGTGAGGGGGAGAGCTCCATAGAGAACCTACCTGAGGATCCTCTTCCTAGAGTTTTTCCTAACCAATAATCTCCAATATCTTTTCGTCGTCTGTTTCCGGGTGACATGGCAATGGGTGGTGCGGTGAATTTGAAGGAAGGTACATTGATATGTTGTTGTGGTTTTGTGAATACACGTCGCTGAGGGGCAGGAGATGCGATGACACCTATTGCAGGATTGAACATAGCGTCTGTTTGTTTGCTATATAAAAGTGTATATTGAACTAGAAGAATAGAGGGATTGATGTGAAGCTTGATTGAGAAATGTTATAAAAAAATATTGAGGTGAAAAGAGAAAAGAAAAGGATCAAAGTGGGGGGGATGAAAACGCAAGCTGAAAGATATACTTGATCGCAGGCTCCTCATCCCAAATGATTTGCAGTTGGGATGAGGATGAAGGACTCTTTTGTCTAATGACTATAAAAAAAAACTAAATTACAGAGAGAGAGAAAAAAAAATAGGGCCAAGAGATGAATATAAAAAGAGGTGAGGAATGTTGGCCTTGAGAGAATGCTGAATTGAGCCAATGTGATAGTCTCACAGCTCAATCCCACACTTGAACAATTAGAGGCAGTAAACAAACCAGCCGCCAAGTGTAGTAGCTTTGTTTCATTTTTCTAACTTATTGACTTTTTGCTTTGGATGACAGGTTCATCCTACTTGAGAATACACGTGTAGATCGGGTTAACAGCTCAATGAAACAAACAAACACACACGTGTATTTAAGACTCGCCGGTCTTCATGACAATCCTATGGCTAATACAACATACCAGGCCTAGCAGCCAAGAAGGTTGGCTTGGTTTGGTATGCTATCCTGTAACAATATTCTGATTATTCTTAACAATTAAAAAAGAAAGCTTATGCCTTTTAATTAAACACAACTTCCTTTGGCGGTCATTTTATTCTGAGCCCAATGAATTTTTTATTTATTTATTTATTTTACATATTATGCAAATTATGAGAATAATGGTTATTTTCTAATATAAGATATATCATTCTATTGTCACTAATTAACGCTACCTATTCATAAAGATCATACTATAGTATCTTGATCATAACAGTCCTTTATTTTATATTATATCATATTATATTATTTTTTGAAAAATATAGAAATAATATAATATAATATAACACTGATACTAATACTAACACTAATACCAATAATAATAATGAAGGCATTAGACGTCATTCAATTTCTTGTACTCTCATATATTTCTTATATTTCTCTTTCCTCTCTTTCTTTCTTAATAAATATACATATATACACATTTATTTTTGATGGGTCAAACGCACTCTAGAAAGGGCCCAGAAAAGGCTCGAGTCAGTACAATCGTCATCAATGACACCCCGTCCATTCCCACAACACATCGTCGCAATCCTGGAATAGAACGACCCCGGTCGGGCTACCAACATGTCAAACGAAAACTCAAACGCATCGAACTGTTCTCTCTTCATCAGGTCTTTGACGATCTAAAGACAACATTTCCTGACGATCAGTTTGAATGCATTGAGCCCAAACGATTTTTGGTAAGCAAAAGAAGAATAAGATAATGATTGTGTCATTCATCTCATATGGTCCCCACATCTCAGGAACACTTGGATTTACCACCTCAAATTGAGCCTGCAGGAGTTCTACTTTTCAAATCATTTTCGTATCTTGGCACCTTCCCGAATTGTGTTTCATCTGGAGCAGTCCCGCTCTCACTCGATGCTTTTATCACTGCGTTTGTCCTCTTGTCCGGAAGAATGGATACAGAAGACGATGATTCGTTGTTCGAAGACCTGTTTTTCGAATCCTTAGCTATCCTGCCTGCACCCCGTACGACCGAAATACCACCAGCTGCGGAAGCCATAGTACCCCAGACAGTTGCAGAGGTTGAAACCGGCGCCCAAGAGCCATCGAGTTCCTTACCTCGAGGTCTTTCACTTGCTGATCTGGGTGTTCAGTTTGATGACTTTGATCTTGAAAACGACACAAGTCCAGAGGAAGACAAGGAGGAGGAAGAGGAAGGATTGAGCATCCTTCGAAAAGATTTGATAAATCTCTTTGAGCTTCTTTTGTGGATTGTTGAGATGGAGAAACAGGAGAGCATGATAATACCCTTATTGAAGCCTGCCAAGATTGACTTTGACAATATTTCAATAATGGCAGAGCGTGTAGTTAACTCAATTAAACCAAAAGACGCGTCCAACACATCACCCCAACAAGCTGCCGATCAATGCATTTCCCACAGACAGTTCCGCACATGGAAAGAACGTAATGCACCCCATCTTTTTAAGACCATTCAATCGTTTATATACAGCAAATTTGCCATGTGTACCCAGCACTCTTTAGCAGCCATGTCTGACCTTGTACTCAAACAAGATACTGTGCCGGTACCAAATGTATCAGACATACTCGACCCACTCTATTGTTCGCTTCTCTGCTGGCGTTTGCCAGAAAAGTGTCTCAAAAACAAACAGTGGGAACGACTTTACTCTGGTGATCAAGATGGCTTTTCCATGAACCGATTTGCAAGCCATGTGTTCAAGTACCCAGATCCTACCCTTATCATTATCCAAGCCGAGATCACCTCAGATTCTCCCAATTCAGCATCATCATCATCACCACCACTAACCACTCTCATTCTTGGTGCTTATATTCCAGAACCATGGAAGAGTTCAAAACACTATTGGGGAGGCTCGGATTGTTTTGTGTTTGAGCTCTCGCCCACATTTGAAGTCTATCGACCTACGGGCCGCAATGATCAATACGTGTACTACCACCCTGATGTTGGAATCGCTTTTGGAGGAACATCCGTTCTTTCTCTCCCGCCAAAAGCAAACACCAAGCGCACCTCGGCGGCGGCTGCTCCCCAATTAGACAACTTTCTCATCACACTCGACAATTCTCTTCAGAATGGATCTTACAAACAAGAATCATATCCAGAGAAGCCCACATTTGAAAAATCTGCTGCTCGGAAATCATTCTCGTATACCTTTCAGACCGTAGATATGGAAGTCTTTGGGCTTGGAAATGAAAAGGCACGAAATGCTCAAGAAAAAGAATGGCAATTTGAACAACGAGAGGCTATGAAGAGAGCTGGCGTTAATATTCGTCGAGATGATCAGTCTGTGGATAAGGAGATGCTTCGAATGGCAGGCATAATTAATGATGAAGATAGACAAGAACGTTAATATTTTTTTTAAATGATTTTTTTTTGATTTTTTTTTTGATTTTTTTGATTAGCTTATTATTTTTTCCTTTTTTTTTTAAAAAAAAAAGTTAGGATTCAATGGTGCTTTATTATTGTGAGGCATGGCGGAAAAAAAATGCACCTCTTTTTTTTTGTTTGGTTTATTTTTGTGTGTGTGTGTGTGTTTTATATATATAAAAAAGATGAAAAGAAGAGAATATGTCAAAATGCTGGTATAAATTGCTTTTAATTATTACTACTGGTATTTGTATTGATACAATAGTATTTTTCTTAGCAAATATTTATCAAGAAGAAAGACAGCTTTTTTTCTCTTTTTTTTTTATATAAAAAAAGGGTCCTTGAAAGGCTCGAGAATGGTACAATAGGAAACATGTAGAGTAAGATGTATTGAGGGAATGAAAGTGATTGTTGAAATAAAATAAATAAAAGAAGAAGAAGAGGAAGAGGAAGAGGGATCTGTTACGTATAGGTTTAAAGTGGAATGGTAAGAACATAATTATCATTATCATTATTGAGAATAATAACGATAAGTATAACGATAACGATAAAGAAAATCAAAATCAAAATCAAAATAAAAAAATAACAAGTACATTAAAGCCTATAGAAGCCATGGTTGCGTTTGAATTCAAACGGGGAAGTATTCGGGTACGAGTTACACTGTATCCCACCCGCAAAAATAATCTGTGTCTTGAATCGCGGGCATAGGATCGGAATAGAGTGAATAAGTAGGAGTAATAGGGTTGTCAAACTGATCGATATAGAGCATGGTATCTCCCATAGGCTGGAATGAGCTGAACGGATATTTTGAGTCTGTACAGGTATTTAGGGTATGATTATGATGATTATGATGATTATGATGATTATGATTATGATGATGATTATGATGGTTATGATTATGATGATGATTATGATTGTTGTTATTATTGCTATTATATGATGCCTCCTCTTCGACAAGATTGTTGTTGTCTGTCAATGATAGTGTAAGTGCAGGAGTGCTATTGAGCATTAATCCTGGCTGTAAAGTCAAATCAAATGACCTGGTCTCCAACAGTTTTCCAAAGTAAGCTACATCCATCAGTGTTGGTTCAGTCTCAGTCTCGGCACAGAGCACGTTTGAAAAGTCCACTGGAGCGTAACCTGGGAGAGGGTTGTACAACGATTCTTCTGGCCAGCTGGTGCGGGATGCAAGTTCTGACAGTACAAAATTCTCAACAAAGCCATTGTTCAACATATCGCTCATATGTGACAGTTCCTCGTTTACAAAATGGTCTCTTGTGATTCCTTTGAAGAATTCGATTGTGGCCAGAGACCGGGCTATCATGTCTGGCAAAGATGTGTTGTCGTGTGTCGTGCGACTAGAGTTGTCGTATGTTACGGTGCGTGCCACAGACGCCAAAAGTTGGAATTGAAGTGACAGGGACAGTCCAAGTGCCATGGTGCGACCATGTTGAATTGTGGGCGGGATTTGTTTGGCAAAGATAGAAAGGTTCTGGTCGAAATTTAGGCAGACTGAATAATCATCATCATCTTCTTCTTCTTCTGGCTGGATGTTATTCTCGTGTCTGATTGCGCTGATAAAATAGATGATATCGTACAGAATACTGAGATGCGAAACATAGCTGGTTAGGTTACTTGATCCTTTGTGGGCAAGCAGCTGGCAAGAGTTGTGATTCCCAGAAAATGGGTTTGATTGGAGCCAGCGATCACGCGTGTCTTTAATGGCGTGAGGTGTGGTCTGTTCGACGTCTTTAAATAGATCTACGGATAGGACTTTTGAATATAGCAGGGTAACCTGGCAAAGATGAGAAAAGTACTGGATTATGTAAATCTGGCTAGGATCACATAGCTCGTCTTCGAGTGCGGTAGGGAAGCTTGTGGGCAGCGATATGGTTGGACTAAATTGGTGGTATGGTTGGTTTGGATTTGAGAGTGTGGAGATGATATAGTAAGCCCATTGAGCCCTCAACATAAGTTGTTGGTCATAAAAGGACATTTGGGGCTGTTTTTCATCGAGGAGGATTCTTATTTGCTCGAGGTAGTCTGAGGGAGCCTGCTGGCCTTTTACGGAGATCTGGTTGTGGTTTAAAAGGAGGAGGGTTTGGAGGTCGGACAGAGTAGATCCTAGAGGTAAATACTGGTTGTTGAGATGGTTATAGGCCTGTTGATGAAAGAAGAGAGAGATTGAGTCTGGCGAATCAACGGACAGGGTATTTTTAGGGCAATAGTGACAGGCGGTGGCCATGATCGCACAACGGAGCCCATATGGAATCTGGTGTCGATCTTTAAATAAGAGTTCGAGGGTTGATTTCTGGTGAATAATTGGATAGAATGGATGTACGAATTCGAAATAGACATCGAATAGATGGCGTTCGAGTTGTGGGCAAATGTCCGGAGATAAGAATTGGAGAGTTTTGTCGGTCAAGGTGAGATGAGAGAATTTTGCGGCTTCGATAGATGAGTATGAAATGTCCAAGAGACCATTGTTAGCTTCGTATCCGATGTATCCGAGAGGTGAGACATAAAGAAGTTGGAAGTTTAGGTAGAGACGTTTGACTAGATGATGAAAGTTGATCTGCTGTGTTTTGGATAGACTCGAACGATAATCTGTGGTCATTTTTAATGCGGGGTCAGACGGACTGCTTCTGTTGCTGGTGATCGTGGGTGTGGGTGTGGGCTGGAGGAAATTTTCGGCTAGAAGAGGTAGTTGAATTTGATGGTCTAGAACTTTAGGATAGGGATTTTGACTGTCTTTGCTGGACACAGAAGAGAAGGTGCAAAGGGTTTTATGTTTTTGGCAGCTGGAGCATGTACCCGAGTTTGGTATGCCTACATCACACCTACACAATACTTTTTCGTTGGCTCCCTCTCTTTCATATATTTCTTTGGCTTTTTTTTTTCTTATGTTTTATATGATATACATATGATAGATATGCTAGATAATGAGGTATAATAGTTATTTATTTACTTTGATTTTCGCCGACGACAAAAATCACAGGCTTGGGCGACCTTGAGCTTCTTGTACCTATTAGGATCCCCCATGTCAACAAAATGAAACTCTACAGCCTTATTTTTACGACGATATGTAGCCATTATAGGCAGTTAAAAGAAAGGCAAATATATATATAAAAAAAAAGGGGGAAAATATTTGATAAATGGGTGAGAAAAACAGGTGAAAAAAAAAGGCGAGAGAAAAGAATTTAAGAAACAAGGAGAGCCGAGAAATAGACAAGGATAAAGGAAAAAAAAATTAAGAAAAAATAATAATAAAGAGCCAGTCGTAGGCTTGGTTCAAATTTGGCGGGCATATGGCACCCAACCGTTGTTCTTCTTTTTCTCTTAATCTTTTTATTTATTATTTATTTTTTTCTCACTGTATTTTAAATACCCGCTGAACCAACCGTAGGTGTTAAGCTATTGAATATCAAAACACAGACGCCTATTATTACTATTTTATATTTTATTTGTCAAAGTTAAAGAAGTACATTTTGAAAACACATGAATAAGATAGACCATTATAAACTTTAAATAGAAAGCTTTGTTTTATTTTATTTTATTTTATTTATTAAGGCAAGTCAAACAAGTCAACTTGAACAAAACCACAGAACCAAACCAAACCAAACCAAACCAAACCAAACCAAGCCAAATTAAATCAAATTAAATCAAATTAAATTAAACTAAATACTTTACAATACAAGAATAAAATAAAATATCAATAAAATGACAAAGGGGTAAGAGGCTTGTTCTTGTTGTAAAGGCAGAAAGGATGGTATGTGCGAGCCGGCTGATTGGTTTTTTTTTTTCCTTGTTCTTATACTCAGTCGTATGAACCCCTCTCCATTGGTACAACCAAGGAATATACGATACAGAGTTATAGGTCCCGTGAACACATTTCCAGGAACCACAAAACTCTACATTTGCATTATACTGCGGAGACTTAAACCACTGAAAATCCCGTTTTATTTGAAATCCTACATGCATCAAAATAGCAATATCACCATCATGGCGTGCCTGTAATTAATCCCTCGATCGTGTATCTTGTATCGTGTATCGTATATCGTGTTTACCTTTTGACCTCAAAAGAAAGTTAGTCTAAGCTAAGCTAAGCTAAGCTAGATTATTTTGAGTATATAAATATTTAATCAATTCAACATTACAAAATATACATCCTTCTTGTCTTTAAACGCAAGATGTTGTATCTTGCACTAATTTCCCTATCTATATGGGCGGTATCTTTGTGTGAAGCATCCTCAAAGGTGATAGGGTAAGAGCTGTCTAAATACCTTCCAATGCACTACAAACTAAAAGCCCTCTCTTATTTTTTTCTAGATACCTGCCAAACTGGCTCTATGCCAATTACCCTGTCGAGAAGATTCCCTACGAAAAGTACACACATCTCAACTATGGTAACTAGGGCTGCAATACAATCCAACCAAGATTTTATTTTCTTCTTTTTCCTTGTTGATAATTGATTTGCTCTCAATATTCTCTAGCCTTTGCTGTAGAGAACTCACCAAATTTTCTCCCTGCCTTTACGGATGATTGGGCAATCGAATCTGCACTTCCAAAGATCATTCAACTGGCTCACAAAGCAAACACAAAGGTTTTGTTATCAGTAGGAGGCTGGACTGGATCACAGATGTTCAGTCCAATGGTCACAACACACGAAGGAAGAAAGAAGTTTATCGACTGGAACCTGGACTTTATTAAAAAATACAATACTGACGGTGTTGACATTGGTAATAACTAAACCAAAAAAGAATCATGTCATGACATGTCATTTATTGCCATGCCATATAGTACCCCCCCCCCCCCTTTTTTTTTTTTAAAAAAAAAAAAGACTTACTCCAAACAATTGACATTTAGATTGGGAATACCCGGCAAAAGGAGCAGCAGCCTGTAATAAATTCACTCCTGGTGACTCTCAGCATCTACTGTCCTTACTCAAAGAGCTTCGTGCTGCTCTTGACCAGAAATTTCCAAAGGAGAGAAAGCTCATATCCATGGCTGTCCACGTCGAACCGTTTGTTGGCAAAAATGGGCCCATGAAGAATGTGTCTGCATTTGTGCCTTATTTCGACCATATAAATATTATGACTTATGGTATGTGTTTATAGGTCTTTAATTATCGTCCGGTTAACTAACATGCATATATGTGTGTATATGGACCTGTAGATATCAATGGTGCGTGGGCCTCTGTTACAGGTCCCAATGCACCTTTTAAAGCAGAGCCTGGGAGACCCGAAGTATACTCATACACAAGTGGTAAAGTCTTGACAAACGAATCGTTGGTTTGGATCTCCAAGTCAATCGTATTGATAATAGAACCATTTTTATTATTTATTTAGCTATCCAGGCCTGGAAGAATGCTGGTGTCCCTGCAGAAAAGATTACTGCCGGATTAGCCTTCTATGGACGATCCATTAAAGCAAAGGTCGATATGAGCTTGCACAAGTCACAATATCAGCCATCTGAAGTTGGTGCACCAAAAGGTGACTCTGATGATGCATGGTGGAGCGACCCTTACTGTCCCAAGGATGGTGCAGGTGTATCCGGTAAGTTTTTTGGTCTGACACTTCAAAATTTGTATCAGTCGGTGGTTCTTAATATATATATGTATATATATATGTATATATTTAAAAAGGAATTTGGAAGTGGTCAAATATTCGGTCCGAAGGTCTCTTGAAGAGCGACCTTGTATCTACTGGCAAAGGATGGACTCGCTACTGGGATAATGTATCCCAGACACCCTGGCTATTCAACCCATCTACAAAAATCTATATATCCTATGATGATCCACGTTCACTTGGAGTCAAAGTACAACACGCTGTTTGTGAAGGTTTGGGAGGAGTAATGATCTGGTAAGATCAAATTGCAGTAGGATTCTTTTTAAGACAAAAAAGAAAGGCGTGTTGCTCTAACTGGTGGACTAACGGCTTTGTGTGTGTATATGTTTGGGATTCTAGGGATATTCACCAGGACAACGGCGAACTTATCCGTGCAGTTGAAAAGATTCATACCTTGAAACCGAACAACTGTCCATCCAAAAATAGAGCGCCTCGTCCTCAGGAGGTTTCCGACTACGACCCTTTAGCTGAATATGATATCGATGCGCTTGATCCAAGTTATGAAAGTGAGGTTGCCGATCTTGCTTCAGTTTCTGGAGATGAGAATCCTATGTCTGACCAATCTTCTGGAGATAAGGATTCCAATGATCACTCTGTGGATCACAAACCAGCTTTTGATAGTAACATAGTATATATTGATCCAAATTTTGACGACAACCTTGTTGACCGTGATCCAAGCTTTGATGACAACATTGTCGATCTTGATCCAAGTTTTGAGGACGATATCTTCTATGATCCGATTCCTGAACCCTCTTCTATAAGCAACAGTGGGAAGAATTCGGTCCCTTCGGATGATGCATTTTCTGGAGCCGATGATTCTTTTACCGATATACCTTATTCTGATGCATTTGACGATTTCTTTTCAGACGATCCATACCCTGGCGAAAATGATGACAACTTTCTTGCGGACGATCCATCTCAGAGAGACAATGAGTCTGGTCCATTCCCTTCAGATGCAGACACTGGGGCAGATTCTCCTTCAGACTTTTCGTCTGTAAGCGATTCTGGAGATATTGCACTTGGTGAGAGCTGTCCAAGTGATGGTGTCAACAAATGCGTGGACCCTGAAAAATCTCCAAAATGGGCCACTTGCAACTTTAATAAATGGATCATCCGTGAATGTGCTTCTGGGTTGGTGTGTCATGAACAAATGGGTAAGAGCTAGAAATGCTTAGGTGTTTCGCTTTAATGTACTGCTCTCTCACAACATATATTTCTCTCTGTAGAAACGATCTACTGTGGTCCCTCTGATTCCAACATTGATATGGCAAGCATGGACTTTGTAAACAAAATACCCTTATTCGGTATTGATGCTGAGAGCGATGCCAATATTCATCACTTTGTGGTTGCTTCTGCCGATACATTGGTCACCAAGGGTTTGTAAATCCTGACTTAAAGCAGGTCTTAATGATAAAGAGTTATATCTTTATCGTTGAATATAATATCTATCTTTATATATTATTTTTTAATTCATTCCATATTTTGAACGTTCATTTTCTTTAAAGAAAAAAAAAACTTGAACAATTTTACTTTCCATAGAGTAAATTGTATTTTGTTTTGTGAAATCAAGAGCTAATAAGTAAATAAATAAATTTATCCCCAAATTACACCTTTTTTTTTTGACCCAAGCAAATTGAACTTAATTGGCTTTATCTATAGAGTTGATTTAGATTCCAAACTTTTCTTAATTCTTTCATTGGTTAACAATCTAGCCAGTAAACTTGTTTCAAATAAAATATAAGACAGTCCAGCAAATAGCTATCTGTATTAATATTATTATTTTTCAAAAAAAAATATATATAATATATACGGACGTGTTGTTCAAATTACAAAAAAAAATGGTACATATATTATGCTCGCGACTTTCGTTTACTTTTCTTTGTGGTCTTCTTTGTGGTTTTTTTAAGCTGCTTTGCCATAATTTCGCCGTATGTTGGTCCAGGCTCAAATGTGATCTCATCTTCGTCTTCACTTGAATCACTTGAGTCTCTTGTCAAAAGGATTCTTTCAGGAGTAGCTGGGCGGTCAGAGTTATCTGTTGAGTTTTCATCGATCTCTTGTGGATCCTCTAGGCCATTCCTGATCTCTGTATCCTCCACCGCTTTAACTCCACTTTCGTATATCATTACGGAATTCTGTATATTTTCCCACACTCTTTCATCTAAAATTTGGTATTTAAAGCACACGTTCTTTAGAGCATGTATTTATCAGAATCATTCCCTCTAATTACCTATAGTATCAACACCGATGAAGTATTTGGTTTGAAAGGATACGCAGGATTGATTTCCCTGTAATATTAACACCATTTTTATTTTTTAGTTTATTTTTGTCAAACACAATAGCTCACTTTTATACTTACATACGCCAGGTCTTCCGCCTTGATTAATTCAGATGGGTTATTTGAAATCTCAGCAAAAATAGCTTATTGAAACAAAATAAAACAAAAGAAAACAAAGATATTAAGATAAAAGAAAAAGGAGGAGTTCATTCTACAATGTAATACTTCACTTACCTATATTGACACCTTCAAACTTTAGGTTAGGGTCAGCAGCATGAATATTCCATAATATAGTATTCACCATCTTTTTCCGTTTATTTGCATTGAAGCCGTCGCATTTTGTTTGCTTGATACTGAATTCTGTATCTTTGTCGACACGGCCGTATGTGATCTACATACACAATATTTGAGCAGGTTTAGACTAAAGGATCCTAAGCTATGTTATTAGTCCGGATCAAATACAGTATGCATTTACTTTTTTTTCTTTCAGCTTTTCTTGAATGGAATCCAAAACTTCATTATTGTAAGCAAATACAATAATACTGGGAGGGTCATTATTTGCTAACACATCGTCTATGTAAGATATTATTGGCTCGACTTTAGCTTTTCCACACTCAAGCTAAGCAAATAAATAAATGTATAGTATTGGTTATTTTATCAGATAAAAGAAAAAGAAGAGCACAGCCTGAGGGGAGAGGGTTTATATATATATATATATTCTTTACCATCTCTGGGTCAACAATGTTATCTTGATCTTCTGGGGCTTCATTTCCTTCTGCTTTTTTCATAGCCTTTTTGGTTTTTTTCAGCTGTATCCTGCTCTTATACGGTATTTCGGTATATATTATCTGTCTCGCTCGTTCAGGTAATTCATAATCAATAAACTCTCTTTCTCGTCTTATTAAAACAGTTTTAATCATCAAGTGTCTTAGTTCTGCTCCATTCGAAGTGCCTACATTGAAACATGTTCATTATATCAGTTCATTTATCAGTGAGCCTATCGTAAGATCTTTTACCAGAATAGTCCCAACCAAACACATGATGTGTAGGTTTACAGTATCGTTGGCTAAATCTTATGAAATCTGGAAATTTAACACTCTGAAGAGCATGAAGTTGCGTTTGAATATCCACAGGGCGGGCATCCTCAGGAGTATTTGATATCATTATGAGGTGTTTTGTTCGATGAAATACCCTTGTTAGTGCTCTTGGACGGTTGCTCTAAAGAAGTATTGTTATTCTTATTATTATAAGTATATTACTGTGATGTATTGCCTACTATTATTATTTTTTGAAAACTTGCCATTCGATTTTTTAGCTGGCTACTCTCATCACATAAAATTATTTGGAAATCCATGTCTTCAATCTCTTTGGCATATCTTGCTGCAATATCGTAGTTCATGATATAAAACTTTACAGCATTAATTGAATCTTGGTTTGATCCTGATTCTGACTCTGACTCTGAATCCGAGACTTGGGGTATATCCTTTTTAAATCTAGTGGGTAATTCTAGATTCGCGTTTCGCTTTTTAGGGATATGAAGACCAGCATCGGCTGGTTTGGATCTCTTGCGCAAATTTCCTTTGCCGAGAACATCAGATGATCGAAGAGTAACATGAACTTCTTCCTCTTTCAGCTCTAGCCATCTCAAAATTTCGTCCTTCCAAGTAAGGCAAAGTGAGGCTGGGCAAATAACAAGCGCGGGCCACTTATCCTCATAAGCCAAGGCCAATGCAAGACCCTGAACTGTCTTGCCTGACCCTCTGTCATCTCCAAAAAGAACTCTGCCTTTCATCACCACACCCGTTCTTACGCCTTGTTTCTGATAATCTCTGAGTAGGTTCCAAAGCGAAGAATTTTTAACTCGGCTTACTCTTGTATCAAATTCTCTGTCATTTTGATCTATCATACTCTTTTCACTCATTTTATCTTTCATATGTGCCACAATTCCGGGCAGAAGAGGTTGTACTTTAAGATTCAAATTTGGTGTTTCGGTAGGCATGCGTTGGATAGCGTTCTCGTAGGATGTTACGGTAGCTGGGATGATCCAACGCTCGTTCTCGTCGTCCCATTCCCCATCTGGAATACTCCGGAGAACAGGTAATAGCGTATCATTGTGTGTTGTTTTGATACAAATCTGATCCTCTGACAGCAAGCTGAATTCGACTATTGTTTTCATCGGTGACTCCCTGAGCGAAGGTCCCTTTTCTCGCTGTACTTCCATATGCTGAAGAGCCCATTTGTTTGAGTGTATGTTTCTTGAGGCTGCAGCAATAGCATAGGCTTTTGCAGGATGTGTCGTATATGGACTGGCAGACGTATCCCACTTGAAGTAACTGCACATAGATCTCGAACACTGAAATAACATATAGATATTATTTAGTAATAATAATAATAAAGCAGTAAATAAAATATATATACTTGTATAAAAAGAGGGGGTTTATCTACCTTCCAAAACCAACGCCCTTGGTTAGGTCCTGGCTTAAGTGATTCGATGCTTAATGCTGGTACTCCACATGTGCATCTTGGTTGATTTGACATTAAATTAAAGTAAGAAGGTGAAAGAGTGTAAGACAGATTTGCTTTTGCTGACTTGCTGGGTTCCTTATTTTAAAAAATGATGATAGATAATTTAAACAAGTCACTTCTTCCCTTCTCTCGCATTCTGCTTTAAAAAAAATGATCCCCTTTGGCTCTCTGTCTTTCTGTCTGTTTCTCTCTCCCTTTTTTTTGCAGTATGTCATATTCCTACGTGCAACCAGCCTACAACCTATTAGAAGCACAGCATGGAAGAACCCTCTGGTGAGCAGGCAATGGTTGATTTGTCAACACGCTGACGATCCCTCAGGATGGGTGAACTGGATTCATGGATGGATGAAAATTACGTGTCTCAATTGTGGTGGAGTCTTGGAGAACAAGTTACATGTCGTATGGGTGTAGACAAATTTGGAGCCAGCTATGCTTTTGTTGATTTCAGTTCACCTGAGGCGGCGAGTAACGTTTTGATGAGCTACAATGGCTCACTTATTCCAAATACCCAAAAACAATTCAAGCTGAATTGGTCTAATGGTGGTGGATCAAGGTATGCTCTACACAAAGTCATTTGGAAATTCGATGACCTAACTCGTGGATCTAGCAGTAGTGGACATATTGACGGACCAGAATTCAGTATTTTTTGTGGAGATCTCGGTAATGATGTAGATGACCAGGCATTGCTGGTAACGTATTTTTTTTTGGAAGCTTCTTCTTAGTACTTTACCCTAACCCACTTTGTCTAAGGCTGCGTTCCAAACCAGATATGCTTCGTGCAAATCCGCAAAAGTGATGACAGATATAGCAACGGGCTACAGCAAAGGATTTGGCTTTGTCCGCTTTTATGATGAAGCAGATCAATTGAAAGCTTTGGAAGAAATGCAGGGCGCATATGTAGTCTCGCGACCATTACGGGTTTCCATTGCAACTCCTCGTAACCGTCCGACAGTTTTGGGTGCAGCATCAACACAAACTGAAAGCTACCACCAAGATACGATAAGCACTACGGTATTTGTTGGCGGACTAAATACCCCGATTAGTGAAGAAGAGCTACATGCATGTTTTATGCCGTTTGGGGAGATTTCGTATGTCAAAATTCCTCCAAACAAAGGATGTGGGTTTGTTCAGTTTTCTCAACGGGAGTCAGCAGAAGCAGCCATAAATGATCTCAATGGATCTGTACTTGCGGGATCTAAGTTGCGACTTTCTTTTGGTCGTTCCCAACTTGACAGGCAGTTTGGATTTAGGTATGTTTATATGAATAAGTGGTTGTGTGGAAGTATTAAACAAAGCTTATGCTCACCCTGCTTTTGTATTGTTCTTATATATATATAATTTCCTTTTTTTTCTGTGAATAAAAAAAGGCCGCCTACTGCACCTTATTCGGGCTATCCTACTCAGTTTTCGTTTTTTTCTGGAGGATACCCACATACCGTTTCTCAACCTGAACTTATTGATCCGCGTGAATCTTTCAGTATAGAACATCAAAACAGACTGTATCTTAAGCAGCAGGAGGAAACGTACGAGAGATGGGATAAAGAAATTAATACAATCTAGAATAGACGTCTGTATTAAATTTAAGGTTCAAACACGAATATTCTATCAAAATAAAAATAAAATAAAATGAATAACTATTATTCGATTGGAATACCCCATATATATATGCGTGTGTGTGTGTGTGTGTGCTAATTCACTCTCTGAAACCCCCCATTTTGTTTTATAGATATAATATTTGATGATTTTAGAAAGAAAGAAAAATACTATTCTAGAAATAAATAAATTTTGTAGCATATTAGCAAAATTTTAACCTCTTGTGTATATATTTCGTTTAAGAACGCAGATAAAATGTATGGAGCAAAAAGAAAATTCGAGTTAATGGCAAACAGTTTGGGAGGTTTTTTTTTTACATTAGATACAGCTTAACCATATTTATAATACACTTTATATATAACATGTAATGAGTATGCTTTTAGAGCATCCACAGCGGTCTGTGTAAATTTAACAAGAATGTTAATTTAGCTAGAAAATTTAGATCTTTTCATCCCCAGCGGTTTGCTTAACTAAAAGTTTTAACTGGTTATTTCTCAATAATAATTACCGGCTTTTTAAATTTAACAATTCACAAAAACATCCAGGGCTTTTTTACATACACTGCTAATTTTACCCAGACCGCTGTGGATGGTCTAAATTATCTCTTTTAAATGCGGCTTTTTTTATTTTACGCAATTATTTTAGTTACACATACCACTGTGGATGCTCTTACCAATAACAATGCTGAACTCGCCCTAAAAGACACTGAGCTAGCTAATAAGAAGGCTGAACTCGCCAAAAAAAAAAACAGAGTACCAAGATCTATTCTCACAGCTTCATAATAATGTAAAACATATCTGGGAAACTGATGATGATCTTTCTACTATGCAACACCAACTAAACAATATCCAGTCCGAAATATCAACAATGACTATGAATTTCAAGAAATATTTGAGTACAGGTAACAAAAAGGTTACAAAATTCTTGTTTATGTATTGAGAATCTGGGGCTATTGGATTGAAATATTTTACAAGAGAGGAAAATGAAACTCATATCTTTGAATACGGTGTTATCAGCTTGCTTGTGGAGAAGATTATCACTGACACGCTTATTCATTGGATTTATGACAAGCCCATCTACTTTGAATTACCTGTTAAATTACCTTATGCCGGTCTTTCTAAGTGGCAACTGTTTACTACAACCAAAGATTGGTCCCTACTTCTGCGGGAGCAGTTCTGTTTTCTCGCAGTAAGACCTGAAATTGTCGAACGTCTCAGGTATAATCGAGAGAGACTTGTAAACGAATTGAAAGCACTCTATCCGAGATCTTCATTGGCGCTAACTCTTACTTAGAAAAGAAGCTTATTACCATTGTCGAAATAGCCGCCCAAGTTAGTCTGGCTATGCCTGTCAAGCGCAAGAAGTTGGTCAAGGTAAATGACAAGGCACAAGGTGATATGAGATTTCAATACTTTTGTGTTAAAAGATCAAATAACCGAATGTACGTTAATGGAAGCAAAGGTCATCTGTAGGGATATTCCTTAGATAACAGACCCTCCCTTTTATTGGTAATAATATAACCTGGAATTTTTAGTAATTTAAAAGCTACAACATTACAATATATATAATATTGCTTTTGTTTTAACCAGAGGAACATCATTTTCATTGACTTATATGCCATACAAGTTACAGACGAAGGATTTATTCTGATTTATAAAAATGTATTCTATTTAAAACAAAGCCTATGTACTATAATTATCTGAGAAAATAAACCTTAATTGTAAAACACAATGGTGCATGTAAGTTTCATGCTTTTCAAACGAATGTACAATAAAGTAGTATGTAGATCTATATACTTTAGATGCTATTAGGAGCTTCAATTAAGCTAATAACTAAAATATATCTACAGATTTGTGAACATACTATCATATTAATATCTTAGTATCGACATTATTAAAAACATATTCAATTTGACAAGAGTATGGGTCTTAATAAAAGAAGTCCAGTAAGATACATAGTAAGGTGGTCCGTATGACAAAAACCACCAACCTTAGGCTATAACATACACAAGTAACTGAGTTTCGAACCTTAAAAAAAACACGCACACACACATACACATACACATATACTTACCTTTTTACCACTTTGCTTAAAGAGGCTTTAATATAAAGAAAAAGCCTTTCGGTTAATTATATAGTAATGGTATATATATATATATAAAGGTGTATTGTCGACACGTTTTAAAATCTATTATGAATAAAAGTACATATTTGTTCTTTTTACTTCAATGATGAAAAGAGTTGTCAAAGTAAGGTTTGTTTTAGATACAATACAGCTTAATAGGAAATTTATACTTGTATTAAGACAATCCAAAAATGATAAGTTGCTTCAAGTAAAATGAAGATAGATAAAAAAAAAGAGCTAAAGCCATATGCCTTTTTATGCTGGCAAAAGCGAAACTCTATTATTAAAAATATTGGCAATGATTGTCTCTATGTTTGATATTGATTTTTATGAGTAGATTTAAATTATCATATTCATTACTAATTATTTCATTCTTTTTTAAAACATGCTTCAAAGTACATATTGCTTTTCCTCGATTGATTTACATCATTTCTTTAGAGACTAACTTGGAAGACTGTGTGTACAACACACCAAGGCTTTGAAGTTTGTGATACTGTTTCATGTGAGCATGTCAATAAAATACCGTATTTTTCTCCCACTCTTTCTATCCTTTTTACTTTCATAAAACAAACAAGAAAATTCATATCGAATATGCGTTTGATTAAGAAATATCTCCCGGATAGTCCAAATTATCACCAACCAAATACATCCAACCAAAAACCCTTTATCTCGGCTAGCTATTCAAATCCTGCAAGCTCCCAGTCAAGCTTGTTTTTCGATACCGATAGTTGCAGATCTGGAGATATTGCTACCATCAAGGATATTTTATCCCATGAACCGCAAAAACCTAGAACTTCAATAAGAAATAAGATATCTGATTTTGCCGAAAAACTTCCAGTCGTGACTCAAAATAAAAGTAGAAGACCTGAAGGTACGTAAGCTGAACAAGCGATGGGAAATATATTTGTATCCGGAATATCTGGTTTTTACTCACATGGTCATACAGAAATACAGGCTGAACTTGATGAGCAAAAAAAGTATTCCAACCTTTTCGGAATCACCCAAGCAAAAAATAATGGCACAGAGAGATCATATCCAAACTCTTTCCAGCCAGAGAATTTAGCGGGAATCTTGAATGCTGATTTGTTTACAGAGCTCGTAAAGTATATGAAGAATAATGCCGCAGATAACAAAACAGTGCACGCATTAATTGACCAAGAAACTACCGAAGAAAGTGTCAAAAAAGATGCGGAATATGACTTCGAATATACGTTGAAGAAGAATCTTGACAAAATAAACACAAAATATGCCGTTCTTTGTAAAGCGAATACATCACTGAAGCGTGGGATAAAGAATGCCGAGAAATCTAAAGAGACTATAACCTGTCAAGCACAACTGCGTGATATGAATTACCAAAAAGAAATCCGTGATCTTCAGGATAGTCTTGCTGCGACGAAACTTGAACTTGCTGGCGAAAAGGAGAATAGCGAGATACTCAATAAAAGTATAGGCTTACTCAAAGGTGAAAACGATAAACTTAAGGATGATAATGATACACTCAAGAATGAGAATGATACACTCAGGGAGGAAAATGATAAACTCAAGGAAAAAAATACCGAGATCTTGAATCAGGCACAATCGAGAGAAAGACGATGCGAAAGAATAATCAACAGTCTTCGATTGCAGTCGACTACATCACAAGCCGAGCTCATCGAAAAGAAGATGGAGTATCAAATCTTACTTTCTGAATTCCAAAGCCATGTGGATACAGTCCCTACTGCCGAGGATGATTTATTTACTATCCACGCAAAGCTGAATATAGTCCAAACGAAAATATCGGATCTGTGTATGAGTCTCGAAGACTTTTTGAATCCAAACGAAGGCGAGGTTTACAATATATTCTTCGACAATTGGAAAGAAGATTCGTTCAGATATAAAGTACTTATGGAAAAGCGTGGAGATGGAAGCTATGGATTTGATTATGGCATTATCAGCTTGCTTGTCGAAAGCTTCATTACAGAATACCTTATCAACGAGGTTTATGACGTGCCTATATACCTCGGATTACCTATCAACACAGCCTATACTGAACTCTCTGAGTGGGAACCCTTCAAGAACTGTGCTAACTGGTCCCGGAAGCTTCGGAAACAGCTCTGCTCTCTTGCATCAAGACCAGAGATTAGTGAGAAACTCAACGAAAATAGAGCCCAAGTAACACGAAATATACTCAAGCCTTTATCAGCAATTTTTACCCGTATAACTCCAGCAACTATAACAAAAGTTACCGCTATTGTCAACTTGGCTTCTCAAATCAGTTTGGCCATGCATAGTCAAGACGTGCCTGTCAAATGCATAAAGCTAAAAGAGGGAAAGGACAAGATAAATAACACTATGAGGTCTCTATATGGCTCAATCGAAGGTGAGACTACAATTCAAATTGTCGTCTGTCCACCATTTATTGCAAATGAAGGTCAAGAAACAGAGTCTGTTCTATTGGAAGGAAAGGTTATTTGTTTCGAGAGACCACAAAAAGGAAAGACACTAGCTGTTGCAGATTAAATAAATACCAGTGGATACAATGCTTATGACTCTGGTTCAGCCGAAACATCTCCACTTTTTAAATAGGTTACATAATATATCTTTTATATATTCTTTTAGTTTTTATTTATACTTCTTCACTGTACTCCATATAATTTTATCCGTTTAAATCAATGTCTTTATTTCTCTTAAAAATAATTAAAAAAAATAATGCCCGTAATTTGTAAAATAGTAACAAATATCCATATTTTTAGAGCTTATAACATTTAATTAAACGTATTTAATAAAATAATCCAAAGCACAAAACACGCCGACGCCTTGGCTTTAATGAATAAGTCGACATAAAGCTTAATTTAATAAAGTCAAATAGTGCGGTTCCATGACATAGTGTTTAAAATAATGCTTATATACTGTCTGTAAAAATCTTATGGAGGTTAGGTTGTAGTATATTCCTTCTGTTATACAAAAGCATGTCTTTGTAACAACGTTTTAAGTATTCTAAATAAAACTTAATACACCGGCCTTAATGAAACTATGATATGTTATTTTATGTTTGGTGTCATAAAGGTTTATTAATATTCTTGAAACTAGAGGAATAATTAGGCCCCTAGTTATTTGATTCAAGTTTCTCAATCGAGTTTTATTATCTAAAGGTACAACCCTTTCGTTGCTTATTGAATATAAATACACTATACTTGTAATAAAGCTATAGATGGTAAAGTCTGGATTATATTAGGTAATATATGCAGCCAAATTACTATTAATTAACTCCACAAAAGTTTTATTGTAACATTTATTTGATAACAGAGAGTGAGTTTTGCCACAAGTGGCCAAATGAAGTTACTTGTATATTTGTATGGTTTGGTGGCTATCCGGAATATTGAGAATATATTTGAAACAGTACTGAAAAATAGAGTGATGTAGGCCTGGAATCTGTAACAAATATGACTGGCTTAAATTGATCTTTAAAAAAAGCTAAATGCTTGAATTTCAAGACTTGATTGATATTTGCACATTATTGTGTTATATCTTATACTATTATCTCTGCGCATGACTTATATTTGGTCCTTCTATATTTTTAAAACAAGTTTATGAATTACTTTTGCGCAGGTAACTTACGATATAATTGTGTTCCCAATTGAGATGAGCAGTAGAGAAGTAGCTAATTTTAGGGATAAAATGGCACACTATATATTATTTGAATATACTCAAGAGAACTTTTAGCTATCAAGACAGTTATATAAATTTGAAAGGCTTTCATAAATTTTGACAAATGGGTAGTCCAAATGGATAGTGAATACTTAAAATTGATAACATTATAAAGCATATAAGAAACTTTAGGAAGAAGTTTTATAATAAATGCTAGAAGATGAGTATAAAAAGTATGAAATAAACTAAATAAAACTAAAGAACAAGTTCAATTATTGCTATTTTATTTGAACAAAAGTTTTCAATTTTTGTATGGGTTATGTTTGTTTTTTGTTTTAGTATCAAATATTTAAATAAACTTAGACTAATAGTTTTTTCTTTCTTAGAATTGTATGGTTATTGCTTCTTAAACTGTCTCAATGAGTACAACCAGTCTACCTCGTATACAATTAAAGTTTGAATGGAAATATATACTACAAAAATTAGGGTATACCCAAGAGTATTGGTGGTACTCAATAGTCTCTCTCTCTTTTCTTTTCAATAATCAAGCTTCTTCTTTTTCCAAGTTAAGGCTATTAAAAACCGTTTCTTTGAACAATATGCATATCTTCATTATCTTTTGTGATTATTTAACTTCTTTCGTAAAGAGAGCTTATATATTCTCTAGATAATTTTGTCTTATCAGTGGGTGGTCTTTGATCCCTTTCTAACGTATAATTGCTACAAACATTTAATCACAACTCATGTCGGCTAAATAAATTATTCTTGATAATTAAAACTATTTTTTTAAAAGAAAAAAAAAGTCTCGTTCGTTACCAATTGTGACAAATGCAGTCCTTCTCTTTACAATGTGGAAACCTTCAGCATCGGTTCAGCCACAAAGATTAAATCGAGCAAACAATAGTACAAGAAACACACCAGTTGCAACAAGGGATTACAGGCCACTTGCCTTAGGTTCAAAAAATACTCAGCGATGCATACACATCACACGATTGCATCCTAAAACAACTGAGCAAACTATCCAAGTTGTGTTTTCACAATTTGGACATATTGAAAAAATTAAGCTTGGGAAGGGAACTCCTGTGTTAGGTGCTGAAGCTTTATTAACCTATAGGTAAATCCCAATATAGACATTCGTTAACCTACTGTAACATTACAACCTAAACACGAATGTTCTGTTATGCTTAATGATTTAGTCAGCCACCAGAGTCAAACGCGCTTCTACGGACACAGATTACAGTAGATGGTTTTCCCGTTAATATAGCTTTTCGCGATCTAGATGAATATGTTCAGAATACTCCACCAGAAGAAGAACACCAACGCTGCAAAATACCCGTTAGTTGTTTTTCTATGGGGTTTTTGCGGTCACCAAAGACCTTTATGACTGAATGGAGCACCATAGACAATCCTGATTTTGTAATTGACTATGACCACAACCAATGTGAGATTCACTTTTTTAGTGTTGGTAACCAATATAAGCTGGAGTTTGGTTTCAAAGATTTAGCCAACGACTTCAACTTTGAATACACGAACAACAGTGCCTTCTTCACTATTCCTCTCAAAACCCCACCTAAATTCTGGAAGAAATCGGGGGATTTTTCTGTCAAAGATACAAATGAAGAATCTGGGTGGGTGCGAGTTGTTGAGATCCCTATGTCAGCTCCACGACCTGGCCCTCCTATAAGAACCCCAATAACACCCATGGTACCCGATGGATACATGAAGTTAAATACGTGGGTTGTCTATAGAGTAGAAATCAACCCACCACCAGACTACTACCGTGATTTCCAAGACATCCTTCAAACTGCAGTCAGCTACCGCCTCATTCAATTAGAGTACATATCTACGTTTCATGTGTTTGATGCTTCAGACTTTCCTATCCCACTGAATCACAATGATCGCGCCAAACGCTTACCATTTGATATGCTATATCTACTTGAAAGCAGTCTTCTGTCACGCCAAATGGATGAGCACAGTCTAGATAAAGAGTTCTATGATACTCTTACCAATCTCGATCCAGCGGTTGCATCAGGTATTCTGACCTTACTTGTTCAGGAAAGAAAACGAGTATGGAATCCTGCCACTGCCTTTCAAGATATGTGGAAAAACGAAGATATCAGGATCTTTCACCAACAGAAGATTCCCAGTCATTGTGGCATGGTTCGCAAGGTTCTTGTCGCACCTACAGGACTCTACCTAGAACCACCAATTGTAGAAACCACCAACCGTGTTATTCGACATTTCTCAGAACATGCTGATCGCTTTCTTCGCGTTAATTTTGTGGATGAAGATTTTGGTCCTGTTGGGACCTTATCTTCAGGTATAAACAATGAGGCATTGTATTCAAGAATATTCAAGACCTTGATAAATGGCATAAAAATTGGTCCGCGACGCTTTGACTTTCTTGCTTATTCTAAATCCCAATTACTTGAGCATGGATGTTGGTTCTTCGCACCCACGCAGAATCTCACAACCACCATGATTCGAGACTGGATGGGAGACTTCTCTGATGAAAAAGTCATTGCAAGCTATGGAAACATGATGGGACAGGTAATAAGAACGTAAAAGTTAATACTTGACACGTATCTAATGCTATGTAGTGTTTATCCTCGACGTATCCCATCACACCTATGGAAGGTAAAGAAGTGGACTACATAGATGATCTTATACGAGGCAACAATCTATTTTCGGATGGTGTTGGAAAAGTATCACCGAAACTAGCCAGGGAAATAAGTAGTAAACTTGATTTAAAACGGATACCTAGTGCTTTCGAATTTAGACTCGGTGGTGCCAAAGGTGTCTTGTGTCTGTCCAACTATTTAAACGGCAGGAAAATCAATCTGCGCCCTAGCCAAATCAAGTTTGAATCTAGGTCCAATATGTTGGAGATCACACGAGCATCAAAGTTCCTCCCGGCCTACTTGAACCAGCAAACTATCACATTATTATCATCTCTTCGAATAGATGACAGCGTATTTATGACAATGTTCGATAAGATGGTGAACCAACTCAGCAGGATGCTAGAAACACCTTTAGAGGCTATCAATGCCTTGACAACGAGTATAGATGATCATAGTACCGTCTTGTCTATGGCTCGTATGGTTGAATCTGGTTTCTTGCTGACAAAGGATCCTTACCTTGTAAACATGATACATCTATTCCGCGCCAGCATTCTTAAAAATCTCAAGAAAAACGCAAAGATCATAGTTCCCGAAGGTGGCTTTTTAATGGGTGTACTTGATGAGACTAACACGCTGGGTGAAAATGAAGTATTTATCCAAATATCCAATCCCTTGTCTGGTACTGCCAGGCGCATCATTAAAGGAGAGACTCTTATATATCGGGATCCATGCTTCAATGTAAACCAAATGCGTGTGGTGACAGCAGTAGATAGTCCACAATTGCATCACATCTACAATGTAATCGTGTTCTCTTCCAAGGGCTATAGGAGTATACCTAGCATATGTTCAGGAGGAAGTCTGGGCGGCGATAACTATATGTAAGTATTTTTCTAGTGTTCCTTGAGTTTTTAATTATAACTATTCTTTAGGGCTATATGGGATCTGAAACTCATGCCAAAAGGCAACTATCCCCCTATAAAACTTGCCGGAAAAGCGCCTATTGAGGTGGAAAAAATCAATGTACTTCATGTTGAAAAATTCTTCGTCTCATTTGTCAGCAATGATAATCTTGACCAGATTATTGAAGCACATACAGCTATTGCAGATCAATCAAAGCTTGGTGCATTGGATGGACATTGCTCGCGTCTTGCGGAACTTCACTCACAAGCTGCTGGTAAGATGTGTTTTACCGAGCTTGCTCTCAATCTAACGTCGTATACTAGAATTTGCGAATACTGGAAGATCGGCAGAGTTTCCTTTAGACCTTCGTGTTAAGAAGTTCCCAGATTTTATGCAAAAGAAAGACAAGGAATCGTACGCCTCCACGAAAATCTTAGGCAATATCTTTAGAGCAATTGATCCATCGTATTACAAACAGTATCGGTCTTTCTTGACAGACAATGCAACTTACGACAATCGCCTTTGGATGCCTGGAATGGAACCATATATTGCAGAAGCCAGAGAGCTAAAGATAGTCTATACAAATGATGTGATGGCTTTGATGAGTCAGTATGGTGTTCAGACTGAATCTGAACTTATGTCTGGGTTTGTCATAAAATGGCTCAAAAAAGGTGATGTTAAAAGTAAAGCCAGACTTGGAAAACAGGTTATGGCTGCTGTTAAGAGTATGTGTAAACTGTGGAAAAGGCGATTTGAGCTAGAGTTTACCGAAAACGCTGCGGATTTTGAGACACGCCAGATCAAAGAGAATGCAATGAATACCAAAGCAGCAGCATGGTATTATGTTACGTATCATCCACAAGAACGGTCTCAACCATCTCCACATGGTGTTTTTTTCAGTTTTCCGTGGGTTGTTAAAGATAAACTCTGTTCTATTGCCACAAGTTATCAAGAAGGTGCTGGCCAAGGTGAAATCAAGCCATTAGACGAGTCTCTTGTCAAGAACTACAAGAAAAACAGTACGATAAATGTTAGCCTTGAAATGTTTTACTCGGCTAGTGAATCGGAAGAAGAGGACGGCTCAGACGAAGAAAGCGAGGATGAAGGGTGGGGTCAAGACGTTCCAACAGTGAATATTAGGATTAGCGATTTACGTATTTAACCTTAATATAACACATTATATACTTGTGCGAATAAAAACTGGCTTAGTGTATGTTACCATAAATCACTGTGGCCCTTAAATACCTAATACATGAATGGATATATAAAAAAGAGAGCTCTGTACAGTGTAAGAACCAAATGTGTGACCGGGATTGACCAGAACATCTCAATGCGAATAATAATGTGTGATATGGATGATATTTGGATAGACCCCATTTAGAACAATTCATTGTGACTGGCGAAGTCTTCAAACATAAATGTGTATTATAGATTTTGTTGCTCTTTAGAAATATAACTGATTTGAAATTATACTACCCCTTTTGGTATTTGAGAAAATTAAACAATAGAATGAGTCAAAGTACTTGTATACACGTATAATGAGTAGAACTCTTTTTGTTTAGTCATAAGCATCCAATCTTAAGCTTTCGTTAAATATGGCTCGAAAATCACAAAAGACTCCTTATAAAGACAACCTGGAATATTTCTTTGCTATCTCATACCCAAAAGAAAATTCAAATGAGAACAAATCAGCAACCAGATCATTCTTCTCAAAACCTTCATCAGACATTTGGCATTATTTTCTTCCAGGGCAGACTGTAGCAGATCTACCTTCAGCAAGATCAAAACCTTTGGAACATGTGATTGAGGAGAAACAGAAAGACATCATTCTGTCGAATAATACCGTTATATCAAACAACGGATGGGTACTCAAACGGGTGACCAATGTCCATCTAGGAACATCAACACCTCCACCAGAGAGTCGAAAAAGAAGACTATCTGACCCTGATACTTTGGAAGAAAGTCAAAAGAAGATTATTTTAAAACACCAACAAAAGAAAGAAACCTCGAAAGGTGTCATGGCAACCCAAGAAACCAGTATTGAAACCGAAAAGATTTCAGTTGTTCCGTCTGGATCAAAGGGCTTTCGGGTTGAGGCTGATATTTTAGAAGAAGATTCAACAGCACCTGAAATAAAAGCTGATAAAAAGCCTCCATTAACAAAGGAACAAAATCAGATTTATCAGTTAGTTGTATATGGCCAACAAAACTTGTTTTTTACTGGATCAGCTGGTAAGTGTATTACAAACGTTACCCGTACGTTACTTATGTTTATGATAGGTACTGGAAAGTCTGTTTTACTTCGTGGTGAGTAATATTATAGCATACACATGGCCTGTACAGTATACTTATACCATAAAAATATAGAGATAATTTCGACAATGACACAACTTTATGGCGATAGTATTGCTGTTACTGCTTCTACTGGAATTGCTGCTTTTCACATCGGGGGCACTACTCTTCATAGGTAAGTACTAGCGCGCTAATATTACAAGAAGAAGGAAAAGATAAATATTGAACCCATAATAGTTTTGCTGGAGTTGGTCTAGGACAAAAATCAGTGGGAGAACACGTAGCACAAATCCTGAATTCACAAACAACTTGTGAGAGATGGAGGACAACAAAAACTCTTATTATCGATGAGAGTAAGAAAATATATGAGTTTTATATGGTTTAATAAAGTTATCTTTTTGCTTTGTTTTAGTTTCTATGATAGATGGTTGCTTACTTGACAAGCTTGAGGAAATTGCGCGTAGGATACGAGGAAATAATGCTCCGTTTGGAGGAATCCAGGTGGGATATGAATACACGTTTTATAAATTCCATACTTACACAAAGTATTAGATTGTATTATCTGGGGATTTCTTTCAACTTCCACCTGTAAACGAAGGAAGGGGAGCTAAATTCGCTTTCGAGGCAGGCTGTTGGAAAAAAATTGTCCCAAAAACCTTTATATTAAACAGAGTTTTCCGGCAAAAGAACGACAGTAAGTTTCCCAAAATAAAAAGGATCTTTTATAATTACTTACCTGAATTTTTGTATATATGTATATATATATATATATTAAGTGTTTGTCAATATTTTGAATGAAATGAGAATTGGAAAACTTTCGAATCGCTCAATTGGTATATTTAGACGACTTGCTCGGAATTTAGATCCAGGATCCGGAATACAACCTACAGAACTGTAAGAACGATACCAGGTGATGTGATACTTTCTTGACTTATTGTATACTCTAGATATCCTATACGTGAACAAGTTGATCGAGCAAACTCGGCTCGTCTAGAGTCTCTGCGTGGAAAAATATATGAATTCCGTGCTGATGATCGAGGAAATGAAAAGATGCTTGGAAACTTACTTGTTCCTAAAGTTGTCCGACTTAAAAAAGATTGTCAGGTGATGCTACTTAAAAATATTGATAAATCTCTGGTGAATGGATCAATTGGTATAGTGATTGGATTTGTGGGTGACAGCCGATTCTCTTCGCCCGACCACATTCAACATTTTGTACCGGCTAGTTCTTCCCCCAGTTCTTATTTCTCAAGTCATTCTGGAGAAGCAATTCTTGAGTATCCAATTGTTCGGTTCACCAACAATCGTGTGCTTGTCATTGAACAGGAAAAATGGACACTGGAGTCGTCAAGTAAGTGTAGAACTGTTAGCCAAAACCTGGTCATGTTACTAACTTTATATTTTAGGTAAAGTAGAGTTAGCATCAAGGAAGCAGATTCCTTTGATGCTAGCCTGGGCAATGTCTATTCATAAAAGTCAGGGTCAGACTCTTGAATGTGTCAAAGTTGATCTAGGCAGGGCTTTCGAGAATGGGCAAGTATATGTTGCTATTTCTCGTGCAGTCTCGTTAGAATCCCTTCAGGTTCTCAACTTCGATCCTAACAAAATTCAGACACATCACAAAGTCACCCAGTTCTACAAAAATCTTAAGTATTAGAAAGTTGAATTTGGCTTATAAATATATGCTACTTTAAATGAATTGGCTTTTCATTATTTGGCTTGGGTTGCTTCAAACTAAAATGCACCTTTTTGAAAAAAAAAAAGAAGAAAAAAGCAAAGTATGTGTACTCTTTCTTTCAGAATTAGATACTTCAAACAAATGGTAATTATCCCCAACCATCTTTATACAGTTAATACTTAATATGTATAATCGCTGATCTTCTAAGAGCTTTCAAAAGCAATTAGATAATTGAGTTTTATTAGAGTATATTCATTCTGATAAATAATAACTTTTAACTCTTGTAATTAATATCTTCTTTCGAGTAGAGTTCTATTGAATGACCCAGTATATTTCATTATATATATTAAAAGTTTCTTCAGATGCATTAGATAATTTAAACTTAATATTATTTTATTTTTCAAAACAAAATGTAGGCAAAAAGCAATGTTTTTATTTAAAAAGAAATAAAGATGAGAATGAGAATTATGTGTATGTAAAAATTTTAAGCTTTTGCGGTGAGTCCCAAAATGGCACTTTCTATGCGCGAACCGTACTCGCGATCAGCGCGTTTGAAGTGAGCAATTTGGCGATCACGGATGTGCTTCTTTGCGTTTTTCAAGTGACCAGCAATGTTGTTAACCAAGTCTGTTCTTTCTTCAGGAGACATGACTCTGTACAAATCACCAGCCTGTACAAAGTCGACATCTTTAAGCTCATATGTAAATCGGCCAGTGAAACCAGAGATTTCTTCAGCAGTGTAAGTGGAACCAACAATATCGTTTTGGTAAGGACCATCGAACGAATTGGGACCATAATTAAGATTGGAACCACCATTGCCATTTACTGTGGGGAAAAGAGAGTGCGTGTGAATTTGAGTTTTCCTTTTTAGAATATATCCACTCAAATATATATATACACACACACATACACAAACAAAGAAGGAAAAGAAAAGCTTACCGGTCATGAAACCATCCCTTTGATAATTGGCCACACGTGAGACAGGTTGATTGATGGGAATTTGGGTATAATTGGGTCCAAGTCTGTGACGATGAGTATCAGGGTACGAGAACAAACGACCCTGCAGCATACGGTCGGGGCTGACATCGATACCAGGAACCATGTGCGAAGGACTAAACGCAGCTTGCTCCGTCTCCGCAAAGTAGTTTTCAGGGTTTCTGTTCAAGACCATCTTACCAACGGGAACAAGAGGGTAATCCTATAGTGAGAGGTTAGAATAAATTGTTTTGGACAAATATTAAAGTTGATATTACACTATGGGGCCAGACTTTGGTGATATCAAATGGATCAAAGCGGTAGCTCTTTGCGTCATTAGGTTCCATGATTTGAATATAGACGGACCACGAAGGATGTTCGCCGCGTTCAATTGCGTTGAAGAGATCGCGTGTAGAGTAATCAGGATCGATACCGGAAATTCTAGCAGCTTCACTGGCCGACAGGTTCTTGACTCCCTGGTCAGTCTTGAAGTGCCATTTGACATACTTGAACTGCCCCTTGTCATCAACTAGCTTAAGAGTGTGAGAAGAGAAGCCGTGCATGTGACGGAATCCATCTGGAGTGCCGCGGTTAGAGAAGAGAATGGACACTTGGTGGATAGACTCTGGGACAAGTGATAAGAAGTCCCAGAACATATCAGCATCAGGAAGATTGGTTCTTGGATTCTTCTTCTGAGTGTGGATAAAATCTATATTGGTCAACTTGGGTTAATTTGAGCCCACGGTTGCTTTGTGTACTAACTTACCAGGGAATTTCGATGGATCGCGGATGAAGAAGACTGGGGTGTTGTTACCAACCATATCCCAGTTACCTACAAACAGATATTAGTATTTAAAAAAAGGCTAGGGTTTATCTATTTACCTTCTTCTGTGTAGAACTTGACAGCAAATCCACGAGGGTCGCGGGCTGTGTCCGCACTTCCTTGGGCACCACCGACGGTAGAAAAACGGGTAAATATGGGTGTCTTTTTGCCAATTCCATTCAAGAACTTGGCTTTTGTCAGCTTGGAAATATCGTGGGTAACCTCTATATAATTATAAGTATCTATATACATATATATTGAAAATGCATTTATTGTTTACCGAAATAGCCGTGTGCTCCAGCTCCTTTGGCATGAACGACGCGTTCAGGGATGCGTTCTCTGTCAAAATGGGCTACATTGAATGTATTAGAGTTTGTTTGAAGTGTGCTAATCGTAAATACATACCAAGTTTGTCAATCAAGTGGAAGTCCTGGATAAGACTATAAAGAGGTTGTATATTAGAAACTGATAAAATTTATGCTGATACCGAGCTTACACTGGGCCTGTGGGACCAGCAGTCTGAGAGGTTTGATCATTCTCAACGGGGTTTCCATTGGAAGTTGTTAAGATGTTCTTGGACATTTATTTTTATAATGTAAGTAAAGAGTAGAGAAAGGTGTTCTTTCTAGTGTAAGGTGAGGAAGATTTCAGACTATTGATTCTGCTATTTATACCATCATGCAAATCTGCTTTGGGCGCTAAAAAAATATGTTTAGAAAATGTAACGGAGTAGCGCTATTTTAATTCAATATTTGTAATGTTGCGTCCAATCAGCTTATGTTTATACCGTTAAGTCGTGCGAAAACAGAAGAGGGTACAATTGAACTTTTATTAGCCAATCATGTTATTCTAATAGATGTTTACCAAATATTGCTCCTAATGATCCCCAATACCAACCCATCCCAACGTGTTTTCTGCTTCAGCTTCATCTTTTACTTGATAAATCCATCGCAAACACAAGTATTACGGTTAAAATTTGTTCCATATACACTCTTTCCGGAAAGTAAATTCACTCAATGGCAAAAACAAATTCAGGTTGCACGAAAAACGAATTCGTCCTGAAGGAAAATCGATTCACCTGATGACAGGAACAAATTCGTCATGGCTCTTTCCACTAACACTCCGGAACCACCAGGGGTCAAAAACCCCTCCACCACTGGCTCATCTCCACCATTGCCAACCTCATTCACACCAATCTCACCCTCTTCGACACCTCTTTACTCGCAAGTAGCTACTCAGAACGCACTTCCACTTCTCGAAAAGCAACCTCATGTTATCTTCAGCTCTACGAATAACACGACCCCACGTACCTGGCGTGTAGGGTCCTCTAAGTTTTCAGTTTTTTTCACTGTCCCACCCAAATCCTCACCCAAGTGTGACCCTTTCTGGAGAGCTCTTCTCTCAGCCTATCCTCGCGAGGTTAACATGGGCATCACTCTTGGCTCACGCTCTTCCCCTGATACATGTGAACTCCATCTACCTACCAGTGCTGACTGCGAGCGAGCGTGCTCTCAACCTTTGGTAGTCGGCGATTCGTCTTTCCCCGCTCAACCTGCTGTTCCCATTGGCACAATTGTTCGCCGTGTTTTCCTAACCAAGCTTCCTCGTGTTCCTTATCATGACCTGGCTACACAACTCGCCAAATGTATGTCTCCTTTTGGCAAAGTGCGGGAGATCGCCATTCATGAATCATATGGGTTTTTTGACGGTTCTGGCTATGTTGTCCTCGCCAATACACCTACCGACGATGTGCCATCAGATTCTCTGACGTACCAAATTGCATACGACGATACGCAAAAGATTCTTGGTAAGTGGCCTTCCATGGGCTCCCACTGCACCTACTGTAAGGAAATGGGGCACGACGTCGCAAAATGCACCAAACGCCCAGCCGAAACCCGAACGTGTTTTGGATGCAACAAGACCGGTCACTTACAAGCCAATTGTCCATACATTACCGATCCTTCCAAGACGTCCAAGACGTCCAACAAGCGCTCCCGCCACCCCAACCGCAATTCGAAGCTCGATCGCCCCATCATTGCGCCCAAGCCTTTGATTCCCACTGAGCTCTCACTCATCTACGGAGGATCGGAGGCCTCCAAGCACAACCCTCGTCAACCTGCTTTACGTGAGTTGTCTAAGCTGTCTCCCACAAAGACCACCTTTACTCTACCGACACCAACTGAGACGCCCACGTCCTCCGGCCCTCGTCCTCGAAGCCGTTCTGTCGACACCCCCACGCGTGGCTGGGACAAAGAGATAGACGACAGAATGATAACTAATCTCATGGATAGAGATGAGGCTCGGGCTCTCCGACTCCAGTCTGCCTCTCGCCACACTCATCTCCGTTTTTCCCGGCCGGCACGTCCAACAGGCCGCAATACATCTCTCTCTCCTCCTCGCTTTACTCACCCACAAACCACAAAAGCCCTCGGCGCAGAGGCCAACATTAACCAATGATTAAAATAGGCACTATGAACTGTAGGGGTCTACCCAAAGTTGGACACCCTGAATCACGCTCCTTTTTCATACGCCATTTACGCTCGCAGGGAATCGATATTTTAGCCCTGCAAGAAACCCATGCCTCATCATCTATGCTTCAATCTACCTTTGACCAACAATTTCGGTCCTCTTCATCATTATGGTCTCCACACTGCGGTGTTGTATGCCTTTCCCCTCACATTATCTTCACTGACCCTCTATTTAGCCCATGTGGCAGGTGTATCACGACAACTATCACGCATGTGGATAATAATTTTTCGCCCTTCAGGATAGGCGTCATCTATGCGCCTGCTTCCCAAACTCCACGTTATCGTTTTCTTGCCTCTTTACTGTCCACTCCTGACCTCATCCCTCCCAATCCTTCAAACTTTATTCTATTGGGCGATTTTAACCATGCAATTCACTCACACTATGCTCTCGGACGTCGTGCTCCAGCTGACTGGCTACAGTTTATAGATACCAATATGACTGACTGTATCACTCCTCGTGGCCAGCACCCGCAGCCTACGTTCCACCGAGCCCTGTCTTCCACCACCATTGACTACATCCTTGCGTCCTCAGACCTTCACCCTCGCACTACAGACCCACAAGTGAGCTATATTCACCAGAAATGGTCTGATCATTGTCTGGTTGCAGTCAGTCTGTCCCTCCCTTCAACCAAGTCTTCTGGTAAGGGACTTTGGCGTGCTAACCCTCGCCTAGCACAATCACTTTCGTTCCGTACCGATCTCAACACTCTTCTCTCCACCCTCGTTCCTGCCCTTCGCGCTGATCTTTCTCCTCAAGCCCAATGGGATGCGATTAAGCTCGAAGTCATTCGTTTCGTTAAATGTTTCTCTCGCCACCTTCGCCCCTCTCTGAACGACCTGGAAACACGCCTACAAAAACGACGGGACCGACTCATTCACCGTTTCCGCCACCAACCCGCCCAGAACTTCCAACTCCCAATTGTGGAACGATTGTTGCAGCAAGTCCAACTTGAACGGGTCGAGATTATGGCTCTCAAGGCCGGGAAACACTGGCGGGAAAAGGGTAAGACTTCTGCAGGATACCTCAAACGCACTATCGCCATTCGCCAATCCCGCAAAGCCATTGCAAGCCTCTGTCACCCTGTTACAAACGACATTTGCACCACACCCGACGCCATGACTGAGGCCGCAGCAGTCTTCTATGAAGGCTTGTACACCCCTGATCCTATAGACCACTCTGCTGTGGATGAGCTGCTCTCTCATTTGCCTTCAGATCTCCATTTGCCAGAACTTGCACAGGACTATATGACTCGGCCATTCGCTCTCGACACAATTCGGTCAGGCGCTGCCCGCTCTCCCAGCTCTAGTAGCCCGGGCCCAGATGGTTTGCCATATGAGATTCTCTGCCTCATTCTCGCCCATCCCGTGTGTGGCGACCTCGTTTCCTGGATATATAACGATGCCTTGTCGAAGGGAATCTTTCCTCCTTCTTGGCAGTCCACTTGTGTCTGCTTGTTGCCAAAAAAAGGCGATCTCAGTTCTCTGAAGAACTGGCGTCCCATCGCCTTGATTAATACCGATGCAAAAGTGTTTACCCGTCTCATGAATGCTCGTATGATTTCTGCTGTTACCACACTTATCACCCCGTATCAAACTGGTTTTGTTCAGGGTAGATTTATAGCTGATAATGGAATTCTGACTCGTTTGGTCATGGCACAAGCCGCGAAGGATGGATCCTCAGGGATTGGCTTGCTCTTGGACCAGGAAAAGGCTTATGACCGAGTACACCCAGAGTATTTTCGTCGAGTGCTCGCTCATTTCCGCTTCCCTCCTTCCATCGTTAATTCTGTCTCTTCTCTATTTTTCTCTACGCAGCTACAGATTAACGTCAATGGCTTTCTCTCGCGCCCTCTTACGCAAGCCCGTGGCCTTCGACAAGGGGATCCTCTCTCACCAATTCTCTTCAACCTAGCTTTTGAGCCTTTGCTTCGCCGCGTGATACACGATCCTCTGTTCCTCGGTGTCCTCCCTTCTGTCCCTCCCACTCTTCCCTCTTTACCTCCTGTCAAACTGCTGGCTTATGCCGATGACCTTCTGGTGTTTCTTCCGGACACGGATCACATGTCTCGACTTCACCACCATCTCAACACATACGCTGCCGCATCTAACGCTCGCATAAACATGCACAAGACTCAAGCCTTCTCCCTTTCAGGATCGCCACTCCCCGACTGGAATACTTTCCTTCGTGCATACGATGTTACTGATTGGCATGATCGTACGTCACCTACCTCTCTCCGATATCTTGGTTTTCCATTATTTTCCTCTATCACTCAACGAGACTCCTACGGGACCACCCTCCTGTCAAAAATTGAGACCTTTTGCAGTATTCATGGATCACGATCTCTTTCCTTTCGTGGGCGGGCAACCATCATGAACTCTCTTGTACTTTCTCAACTATGGCACGTCCTTCGTGTGGTTTCGTTCCCTTCCGCCTTCCTTGACCGAGTTCGCTCCATCGTGCGCGGGTTCTTCCGTGTCAACTCTTTTCCTCCCATTGCTTTTGATACTCTCTGCTTGCCCCGACTACAGGGTGGCCTTGGTATCTTGGATCCTGGTATACAGCAATGTGCTCTCCAACTTCGCTGGCTGAAGCCCCTTATCCGTAATCTTCTACTGCCTCACGGTCTTGTTCCCCAATGGTTCTCCACTCTTCTTCGCTCCGACGTCCCTACCGTTGATCCTCTTCTTCCCTTACTCTTTCCGGACTGTCGTCCTCGCAACCATCGCACCCTTGATTCCCCGCTGCACCTGGTTCTGAAGGCTATGGATACTCTTCCCCGAAACTTTGACAGAGTGGTGCTCAACCTTTCCAGTTGTCTCATCCTGCCATTGTCTTCTATGATATCCAGTATGCCCTCTCACCCTCCGTATCGACCTGCTTGGCGTGATTTGCGAGTCCACCATCTATACCAAATCGAGTCCAATTTGGATATACTCACACCCATCACTCCCTCTCGTCCTCTACCCCGTTCTGTCACACTTAACCGCATCCTCAACAGAATTCGCGATCATACAATGGTCTTGCATCCCATTCTCTTTCGAGCATGCATTCCTTCTTTTGTACTGGCATTCCAACAGCCAGATCTTCCTATTCGCGACGGGTCGTCCATTGACCTCCAGCCACTTCTGTCAGCCCAACTTCCCGGTCAGACCTGGTCCCGGCTCACCACGCGCTCTTACCGTTCTGCCTGCTCCCATCAACTGTCTGATGCTCGTCCCATCCACCCTCCTCTCATCCCACGACAACTTCGCTCCTTCTGGTCTTTTGCCCTCCCTCACCGGGCTCGGAATGTCTGGTTTCGCGGGTTGCACAATAAGCTTTCGTGCCGAGCACTTCTGTACCGCATCATGCCATCCACCGTCTCTTCTCCTCTCTGCACTATTTGCCAGGTGTCCATCGAGACGCAAGAACATTTTCTTCTCGCTTGCCCGCTGAAATCTGCTGTGTGGACAGGCATTTGGTTGGAATTCTTCGGCACCGTCCCTCTGCCCTCTGTCCTCTCAAACGCTTTCCAATCCTTCGTCTTCCCCCCCCCCCCCCCCCCCCACGCTTAACCCTGCGATCCCTGCTTCCTCCGTCTTTGGCCTAACTATCCTGGCTATTTGGGATTACCACTGGTCTTTCCACTTTAACTCTGTCCCTTTCCTTCCCTCTGCGGTGCTCCACACTGCGCGCAAGTCAATTTCTCGTCTCTGCTCTGAACTAGAGCTGGACTCTCCATAACTCCTCCATTTTTTTTAAAACAAAACAAAACAAAAACAAAAACAACCATAAAATTTAAAAGCCAAAAACATCATATAATCTACAAAACCTTACAAGCAAATATTTTAATTTTCTCTTTTCCTATTCAATCAGAGACCTTTAATAAAATCCTGAGCTTTTTCTTCCTGGCTCCATACAAAAAAAAACAAATTCGTGTTTTATGAAATATAAATTCATCTTGGCTGACAAATCGAGTGTCGATTGTTTTGTAGGGCAAAGTCTTGGCAACTTTAAATATAAAAGAGCACGCCTAGTGCTTGTCTTTGTTTTATTTCTTTTTCACAATTACATCACAAATCACCGATAATGAACATTCAATTCTTGTTTGAAAACGGGAAAGGATTTGTCGTCAACGAGTATGGCAGACCTGAACCAATGGATTATATTGTTGATGAGGAACAGTTTTGTCTTGAAACGTTGAGTTCTCATACACAATATTTAGCTCAACTGTCTCTGGAGAGCGAGAAAAGGATAGATACAATGCAGTTAGAAAAGGAGGTAAAGCCTAATGGTGATGTCATTATTAGGGAAACTTCAGTGAAGGGAAATTATACGCGCTATTCTGATCAGGACAAGGTGAGGTTCTTCAAGCTGTTGTTTGAGAGGTGCTTGAGTGCGGCCGCAGCTGCAGAACAACTTGGGATTCATGTTCGTACAGCACAAAAATGGGCTGCGCAATACGAGAAAGATCCTGACAGTATCTTTGAGAAACGGAGAAAGACTGGCCGTCCAAGTATTCTCCATGACGAACACAAAAACGCTATTCTTGTGGTGATCCAGACACTTGGACGTTGGACCTATTACATCTAAGAACATATTCCTAATGTCATAGCAAAGCAGTTATCATTTTATTGACAAATAAGACATTATTTACATTTATTTATGATAAAGCAATAAGACCAATAATTATTTACAGTAAGTACTGTAAGTATGACAGCTCAGTAAGTACTGAGTCAACATTAGAGCACTGTGATAAGAGTAAATTATAAATGTAGCAGTATCAGCTCTGTAATATCTAAATACGGTAAACAAACACATCCTTAGGAAATGAAGATGGGACTGACACAGCAGATCATGTTTTTGTATAAAAAGGGCAACTTTTTATTCTTTAATAAAGACAACCTACATACAGTCTCAAAGTATTCTTATATACGTCCCTACCTTTTTTTTTATAAATTTTGATTTTTTATCTCCTAAAACTTCACAATTCTCGAGTGCATTGATGAGAATCCTTCCATCGTCCTAGATGAAGTAATGGAGAAGTTAAAGCAAGTGTTTACAGAATTAAAATTATCTAAAACTACCTTGTTCGATTTTGTAAAACAACATTGCAATTTATCTCTCAAAAAAGCTCGGCTTCAACCCATAGACCGGAATAGCGAAGAAAAAATCCAGGAGCGCTTGGATTGGGTTCGTAAGTGGGACAAAACAGATCTAGATTTTACGAGAAACTGTGTCTTTCTTGACGATTCTGCTTTCCACATTAATTTGAAACGTAGTATGGCTTGGTCAAGGAAAGGTGCACCGGCAGTGGTCACAGTTCCCAAAACACGAGCGACAACAACAACCATTTTGGGCGCGATTTCTGCTGAAGGTGTAATCAAATGTAGCCTTAGACTTCCTCAGCCTCCATCTAATAAAAAGAGAAAGCGGGAAGATGGCGTTGGGCAAATGAGCAAAGGAACGGTTACGGGACACTATATCAGCTTTCTAAAAGCTACAATGGATGAAATGGACCGCTATCCGCACATGAAAGGTCATTACCTCGTAATGGATAATGCTCCTATCCATACGTCCGAGGACATAGCTAAATACGTAGAATCTCGGGGATACCGCTGCGCTTATTTACCTCCATATTCTCCTGAGCTCAATCCAATTGAGCAATTCTGGTCAGTGGTCAAAAGTAAAGTGAAACGCAACAAGTTCCTTGAGAAGGAAACGTTGATGACTCGGATTAGTGAAGCTTTTAATAGTTTTAAGCTGAGTGATTTCAAAGGAATCGTTAGACATTCTCATAAATGTTTGGACAGGTGTCGTAATGGACAAGCACTCTGAAGAAGTTTTCTTTCTACGGAAACAAGGTGTTTGTAACGACAACAACAACAACAACAACAACAACAAAAATCGCCATTTACAGTCGTTGAAGTTAGGTTTGGGCAAAGTGAGAAAGAAATTGGCCAGAGTCTCCGAGCTTCGTCAAATTGTGGTTGAGGATTGAAAAATGGCCTGGCCTGGCCAAATTCAACCTATGGTGGCCAATTTCCAGTGTTTGGCCAAATTCAAAAAAAAAAAAAAAGTTGTGAGACTTTTCGTGAGACTTATTTTGAAGACTTCTGACCAATCAGGAAAGCCCTAATATCTCATATCCCTGTATCATGATTTGGCCAGAAGACTCGTTAAAAAAAGTCCCACGAAAAGTCTCACGAAAAGTCTCACGAGAGAAAATTTTCTTGATTTCTTGATTCTGCATTTTTCTGTGTTGTGATGACATCAGTTCTGAAACTTAGTTGCCACTTGTGCAAAAAAGTAGAAAACGTGCCAAAGAAAGCGAATCTTCGTAAACATTATAAGCTTGTACACGACATTGTTCTTCCAGCAGGCAAACAAAAACAAACAATTAAGGCAACTTCTCGTCCAAATGAGTATAAGAAAGTTTACAGAATCCTCGATCTCCAGTGGGATTCTGATTGATTTCTTCGCAACATTTTTTTCCAAATGGATTCTACATTAGAATGTTGATCAGCATTGTTCTTTATAAGAAACAAAAAGGCACCATTGTTTTCATGCCATGAACACCTGATAAACACACTTGACTGATTAATGTCTTAGATGATGCCGTATTTACCATATAAATACTTAATCTTATCGTATGAGATTCCATAATATCTATACTTTAAGAAATAATTATAATAAGTCTGTCTTTATACTTCTTCAACCTAAATAGGATGATGCTCAACTACCATTGATCATGATTTCTATCGGTTCCTTAATAACGTTCTCATATAAAAAGACGTTGTTTGTAATATTGGGTCCTCTCTCGTCTTGATCTTTAATAAAGAGATTACATAGAGATTCATCGATTTTTTATTTTGTAATTACTGTTCTTTTTACTGATCAATACCTCAGATGAGACTGAAAATAAAATACATCGACAGGTTGATGTTTTCGCAAAATACCGGTATCACGCAAAACGAGCATTTTTTTATTGAAGATAAACCTGGTTGCTGTGACCGGATAAAAGTAATTGGGAAAACATGAGTATGGGAAGAAGGGTATTTATAAATGCCCAGCTAAAGGAGATAGGCATGAGATGAGTTCCGCAAAGTATTGGAGGAAGTGATTGAATAAAAAAATAACGGCAAAAAATGCATTAGAATTGGGAGAAGAGAGATTGGGCACTTGCAGAATGCTCATTGGGTGAATTCAGGAAGGGATATGCTATACGAAGATACAGATTCATGTTAATTATAGAACTGGAAGGCCAGCGCAATTTCCTTTGCCACGTAGTCATTCGTGGCAACCAGTGACGGCGCCAACGAGTTGGCTAGAATCTCGAGTCTCTTGCTCAATTCGCTATTGCCGAGGATGGGAATCTCATCGCTTTCTCCATACAAAGCAATGATGACCGTAAACGCATTTTGGGTGTCAAGATTCCCTTGACCCAAGCAAGATTCAACTGTTGCCTTTCCCAGAGTAGCGCGTACTCCGAGTCGCAGCACAATCGTTGCCATATGCCGAAATAGTGATGATAAAGGCGAGGTTCCACGGTCATAGTCTGCCATTGTAAAAATGGTAAATGGTTGTCATACGTGAGATTTGGTGAAAGGACCTGATGCACGGCAAAGAGAGTATGCATTGTCTGCATCGAATTTACTACGAATTTGGCGAAGTTGATACACAATGTTGGTATCTGATATTCGTGTGACTGCCGGATCCGTGGCTATGGATAAAGCAACTTGGAGATTATCGTGATCCAAGAAGATCTTAGTTGCAAGGGCGTCTTTTTTGTCCAATTTGAAGTTGAGGGTGACGGCACCGATCGATGGCTTGCTAACAGCGTCGAGTCTCATGTTGGAAGTCACCAAGATGTTTGACACCAATGTTCCAATGACCAATTTACTGCCTTCCGATGCGTGCAGTGAGACTGGCCAAATATCTGAGTAAGGGATCTTTCCTGGTGGCGGCAGTGACGTCGGCTTGGTGAATCCTTTGAGCTTGCCAAATGGCTCGCGGTGTGGATCAATCAATTTCGTGCTGAGGTATTCGGGATTGTTTATGGGTTAGTATCTCAATAATGGGAAAAGTAGATACTGTGAGTGTTATTTATTAAAGAAACAAAATAATATTGTTTATATCTGCTACTATTAAAATCCCTGTAATTCAAATCCCTGTTGTGTAATGGTTGGTTTACACTGTATGAGTGTGTAGTGTACGTGTGCCTGGTGTGTAACAGTTCCGGAGATTGTTAACTTACCAGGTTCATTAGCAAGAAGGAACCAGTGTTTGGTTGTGGGGTCTGTTCTTCACTTAATTGTGGTGTGTATACCACACGTGCGGCCGTATGCTTCGACAGTATTAAGCATGATTGTCTGCCCATTTGTTGTGTTGTATAGAATAGCTCCTGCGAATATCTGGACCGTGGCGAACTTGATTTGTGGAAAAAAATCCCAATCCTTGTTGATGATTGTGCACACGTCAGGAGTCAACTCCGTATACTGACGCTGCATGAGGAGTTTGCTGTATGGCGATGATGAGATTATGTTGGTAAGGGTAGGAACAATCTCTGGAGAACAGTTGATGCAGATGCTCGTGTTCATGGACTCGAAGGACCGCTTCAATGGCAGAATAGATTTAATGGCTTGATACTCTCCAGACATCTTATTCACAAGGCGTTGACTGGCAATTCCATTTTCTTCACAACCGTTTGCATCCACGTGGAAAAATGGTCGCAATGACAGCGAATCCACCACGTACAATGTTTTACATTTTTCTTGGTCGCTTACATTGGAGACGTTACAGGCGTGCAAAACAGCCTCATCATATGTTCGACCTTGTGTTACTACTGTAATTGGCTTCCAAACTGGATAATGAGGCAAACGTGGATCAATTATTGACATCGATTCACTTAAAGAGTTTGTCGGTGCTAAATCATCGCCTTCGTTTGGCGTATCTAAAACGCTGCTATAAAAATCAACAGGAAACGTGTTTTGAGTACCGTTAATATGGATATTAATGAAGCGCTTTCTTACGTGATGATGTGGCTCTTTAAATGAATGCCTTGGTCTTCAAGTGATTCAAAAGTTTCCGGGCAGGAAGGACAAATGAATTCATGGTTGACCGGAATGGCATTTGCCTTAATTGTTTTTGTTTGCCTGCTGGAAGAACAATGTCGTGTACAAGCTTATAATGTTTACGAAGATTCGCTTTCTTTGGCACGTTTTCTACTTTTTTGCACAAGTGGCAACTAAGTTTCAGAACTGATGTCATCACAACACAGAAAAATGCAGAATCAAGAAATCAAGAAAATTTTCTCTCGTGAGACTTTTCGTGAGACTTTTCGTGGGACTTTTTTTAACGAGTCTTCTGGCCAAATCATGATACAGGGATATGAGATATTAGGGCTTTCCTGATTGGTCAGAAGTCTTCAAAATAAGTCTCACGAAAAGTCTCACAACTTTTTTTTTTTTTTTGAATTTGGCCAAACACTGGAAATTGGCCACCATAGGTTGAATTTGGCCAGGCCAGGCCATTTTTCAATCCTCAACCACAATTTGACGAAGCTCGGAGACTCTGGCCAATTTCTTTCTCACTTTGCCCAAACCTAACTTCAACGACTGTAAATGGCGATTTTTGTTGTTGTTGTTGTTGTTGTTGTTGTCGTTACAAACACCTTGTTTCCGTAGAAAGAAAACTTCTTCAGAGTGCTTGTCCATTACGACACCTGTCCAAACATTTATGAGAATGTCTAACGATTCCTTTGAAATCACTCAGCTTAAAACTATTAAAAGCTTCACTAATCCGAGTCATCAACGTTTCCTTCTCAAGGAACTTGTTGCGTTTCACTTTACTTTTGACCACTGACCAGAATTGCTCAATTGGATTGAGCTCAGGAGAATATGGAGGTAAATAAGCGCAGCGGTATCCCCGAGATTCTACGTATTTAGCTATGTCCTCGGACGTATGGATAGGAGCATTATCCATTACGAGGTAATGACCTTTCATGTGCGGATAGCGGTCCATTTCATCCATTGTAGCTTTTAGAAAGCTGATATAGTGTCCCGTAACCGTTCCTTTGCTCATTTGCCCAACGCCATCTTCCCGCTTTCTCTTTTTATTAGATGGAGGCTGAGGAAGTCTAAGGCTACATTTGATTACACCTTCAGCAGAAATCGCGCCCAAAATGGTTGTTGTTGTCGCTCGTGTTTTGGGAACTGTGACCACTGCCGGTGCACCTTTCCTTGACCAAGCCATACTACGTTTCAAATTAATGTGGAAAGCAGAATCGTCAAGAAAGACACAGTTTCTCGTAAAATCTAGATCTGTTTTGTCCCACTTACGAACCCAATCCAAGCGCTCCTGGATTTTTTCTTCGCTATTCCGGTCTATGGGTTGAAGCCGAGCTTTTTTGAGAGATAAATTGCAATGTTGTTTTACAAAATCGAACAAGGTAGTTTTAGATAATTTTAATTCTGTAAACACTTGCTTTAACTTCTCCATTACTTCATCTAGGACGATGGAAGGATTCTCATCAATGCACTCGAGAATTGTGAAGTTTTAGGAGATAAAAAATCAAAATTTATAAAAAAAAAGGTAGGGACGTATATAAGAATACTTTGAGACTGTATGTAGGTTGTCTTTATTAAAGAATAAAAAGTTGCCCTTTTTATACAAAAACATGATCTGCTGTGTCAGTCCCATCTTCATTTCCTAAGGATGTGTTTGTTTACCGTATTTAGATATTACAGAGCTGATACTGCTACATTTATAATTTACTCTTATCACAGTGCTCTAATGTTGACTCAGTACTTACTGAGCTGTCATACTTACAGTACTTACTGTAAATAATTATTGGTCTTATTGCTTTATCATAAATAAATGTAAATAATGTCTTATTTGTCAATAAAATGATAACTGCTTTGCTATGACATTAGGAATATGTTCTTAGATGTAATAGGTCCAACGTCCAAGTGTCTGGATCACCACAAGAATAGCGTTTTTGTGTTCGTCATGGAGAATACTTGGACGGCCAGTCTTTCTCCGTTTCTCAAAGATACTGTCAGGATCTTTCTCGTATTGCGCAGCCCATTTTTGTGCTGTACGAACATGAATCCCAAGTTGTTCTGCAGCTGCGGCCGCACTCAAGCACCTCTCAAACAACAGCTTGAAGAACCTCACCTTGTCCTGATCAGAATAGCGCGTATAATTTCCCTTCACTGAAGTTTCCCTAATAATGACATCACCATTAGGCTTTACCTCCTTTTCTAACTGCATTGTATCTATCCTTTTCTCGCTCTCCAGAGACAGTTGAGCTAAATATTGTGTATGAGAACTCAACGTTTCAAGACAAAACTGTTCCTCATCAACAATATAATCCATTGGTTCAGGTCTGCCATACTCGTTGACGACAAATCCTTTCCCGTTTTCAAACAAGAATTGAATGTTCATTATCGGTGATTTGTGATGTAATTGTGAAAAAGAAATAAAACAAAGACAAGCACTAGGCGTGCTCTTTTATATTTAAAGTTGCCAAGACTTTGCCCTACAAAACAATCGACACTCGATTTGTCAGCCAAGATGAATTTATATTTCATAAAACACGAATTTGTTCCTGTCATCAGGTGAATCGATTTTCCTTCAGGACGAATTCGTTTTTCGTGCAACCTGAATTTGTTTTTGCCATTGAGTGAATTTACTTTCCGGAAAGAATGTATTAGATTAAGAAAAAGGCAATACAAAAGAAATGTTAAGAAGAAAACAGTTATTATATACTATATTTGATTAGACACTATGAATAAAACAAGCCTTCAGGACCTTTTAGCAAGGATATTTCCAAGAGCATAAATGACTAAAAGACTTACTATGATCACTTTTATTAAGGCATATAAGATATAAACATTTCTTCAATGATATAATCTATTCCAACGCACTATAATAGTCCGATAATTACTGTTTCTTCATCTAGTATTTGCATATTCAAGAGAACAATTTAATAATCATCATCGGTAAATTTTAGGTTGAAAATAAAATACAATTCTTTTATAAGTTTGAGCATCATATTGGTGTAATAAGTTGACTTTAATAAAACATGACTTTAACAATTATATATATATATGTAAGTATTTCAATTGAATCATACTGTCACTATAATAATAATGCACACATACACGCATACACACGTATAGTTTTTAGTTACTCTAATATGGAATTGATCGTAATTATATACATTTACAGGTATATCAGCTACATACTTAAAAAAAAGCTATTAATATAAAAGCATAGCATACACATACGTATATAATGCGTATAGTATTTTTCCATAAAATGTTAACATTAAGCAGCTGTATTATAAATATTTCGTTGTTTCGAACATTATTTCCATCATGAACTCACACTGAAGATCAAAGACAAGCTTAAAAACCATGCTTAATTGGATGTCCGTCGTACGGTATCCAATCATGTGACTGTCCGGTCGAGGTACACGTTGGTGGTTTCCTTGACACTAGGCAAAATCTTCCTCTCTCTTTGCGTATTACCCAGTAAGGTAGGCTTGTTTTCTGGCATATCTATCATTTTTTTAGAGAAAACCAAACGAGACGATCTACACGAGAGGCTGGACACGATGGATGAAATAGATGGATGCGACATTTTTTTTTATATTTCAACCAAAATTTTCGACCTCATGCGCCCATCCCATTAGACCTTAACGAGAATCTTGGATGTTGAATGACTCAATGTTGGTTTTATATAGACTTTTGAGCAAATATGGTCAGATACGCTGCTACTCCGGTTAACCCCGCCAAGGGTAAGGCAACATGGTAGTGAAAGCGAATAAAGCTCTTTACTGACAGATTTATATATATTTATATCTTTATAGCTGCCAAGTCCAGAGGCTCCTACCTCCGTGTTCACGTACGTTTGTGTGAATAATAGATTATTTATAGGGTATTGGACAATGCAACTGATATCTCATTATTTCAACCATCGCTATATATACATTGCATTACATACATTATGACGAATAGTTCAAGAACACCCACGAGGTTGCTGTTGCTGTCCAGGGCTTGAAGCTTTCCAAGGCTTACAGCTACTTGAACAATGTCAACGAGCACAGACAGGCCATTCCTTTCCGTCGTTTCAACGGTGGTGTTGGCCGCACCGCTCAAGCTAAGGAGTTTGGCACCACTCAGGCTCGCTGGCCCGTCAAGTCCATCAAGTTTGTCACTGACCTCTTGAAGAACGCCGAGTCCAACGCCGAATCCAAGGGTTTGAACGTTGAGGAGCTTTACATCTCCAGCGTCATTGTCAACCAGGCTCCCAAGCACCGCCGCAGAACTTTCCGTGCCCACGGTAGAATCAACCCCTACATGACCTCCCCATCCCACATTGAGGTCATCCTCACCGAGAAGGATGAGGTTGTTCCCAAGGCTAATGACAAGAAGGTTGTCCGCCTCAACGCCCGCCAGTTGGCTCGTAATGCTCGTACCTCTGCTTAAATGTATTTTTTTCTCTTTTTCTATATATTAAAAAATACATCTCTTTGGTCAACAACGCAAACGAAATGTATATATATGTATATATATGTAAAACACGTATAAAAATGATTGGGTTGTGGGGATAGTTTTGAGGTTTTTGTTTCCTTATTTTGGGGGTAAATAATGTACATTGAGTATCAATAGCTGTGCAGATAGACTTGCACGTTGAGGACGTTGCTCTTATTGTTTTAAGTTGGAAGTAGCAAATAATAATAATAATAATAATAAAAGTAATAATAGTAATAATAGTAATAATAAAAAGTGTATATACAAATATTGTGAAGTGTATTTCTTGATAACAAGTCACGAATATAATCTAAAAGAGACAAACCAAAAATAAAAGTCATTCAGACTGTGTTCTCTTTGTGTCATCAACTATGTCTCAAGCAACAAAAGCGCGTGTGTCAATTGAAGTGAGTGCTCTGACAGCTGTTAGTTGGTGTAATATAGACTATAATAAATCTAAATGTGAATGATGAGCACAACCATTACCTCTAATACTTTAAGCAAGTTAAGCATGAACATTGCGTGAGAATAAGATTCTGATCTCACACGCATATTGTAGTACTGCCCTAAGTGCCGCTGGATGCTCAGGGCTGGTAAGATGTGAGAACAAGGGATTATGATAATAAATTACTTATAAATACGGATAGCATGGCTGGGTCAGGAACTTTTGACTACATTTGAAGAAGAAATCGGTGAACTTGCATTGATCCCAGGAGGAAATGCTATTTTCCAGGTCAAGGTCAACAACTCAGGCAAGTAAATAGGCAATCTAGATATTTGCAGCAAAACAGCGCTGTTAAGCATTGTGTTGGTAGTGGTTGTGTGGGATCGTAAGCAGGATGGAGGTTTCCCTGAAGTCAAGGAGCTGGTAAGTTTAGTGGATGATGATAAAACCAAAAGACAAAGGCATAACAAGGGACTTTGCAGAAACAACGCATTCGCGATCTTATTGCTCCCCACAAGTCGCTTGGACACTCGGATCGCAAGCCAGTTAAGAAGGAAGAGGAAGATTGTAAGACATGTCCTGCCGTTTAATAATAAAATATGGTGTGATATTGACCTTATTGATGGGACTATATGTAATTTATTCGAAAGATAATTAATAAACCATGCGTAAAAGGTGTTGTGCCTGAAGTGATGCTTATTTTGAGTGGTAGTGTTGAATTGATTCTCCGAAAAGAAGAATAAATGGATGCATTTTCCAACATGATTCTTGCTCATCTCTCCTCTTCTTTATCCTTTCTTAACAACAAATGACTACTCACACTGTCCATACAGAGCAGTTTTCTGAGCTCGAGGAGCCTCATGTAAATGAGACCGTTTCTGAGTCTCTTGTCGGAAATGCTGTCTCTGATCCAGAAGTGCTAATCACCTCAGAAGAACCTTCTACTGCTGCACCCTTGTCTGACCCCTCAAAGGCAGCTGTCACTAGACGTATTTCTCTCTTCTTTTCCAAAGCTAAACGCCTTGTCAGCACATCTGAGAAACCCTTGACTGAGAAGAGGCTGCCAGAGGAAATAGGAACTGCCATCATCGAGGCTCCTCAACAACAGGCCACAGAAGAATTGGAACCAGTTGCTAAATTAGACACTAAAGGCTCACGACTGATGGAGATCGTTTCTCGGGTCAAGGTCAGTGAAATGGTCATTTTGAGTTATGTGAAACCCACAAGCCAATACTCTAACCACCAATACTACCTCCTATTTTTAGGCACTTTCTAAGGAAAGTAAGGTGGCAGCTGTGGACAAAGGTAGGCTAATTTTTCTGTAGAATCCTTCTTTTTCTTTAGCTTATTTTTTTTTAAGAAGTGGTGTCAGAACCAATGCAGGAGCCTGTCCTTGATGCTTCTACTCAGGTTCTTGAGCAAATTGAGCAGGAGACCTCTGTGCCACCTAAAGAAAATGACAAGGAGCACACTAGAATCGATCAGGTCATTCGCCACTCAATTGTCAACAAATTCTTTGCAAAGAAAAAGGAAATTCCTACAGAAGAAATAATTCTTGCCGCTGATTGTAAGGATAGAATATTAAAATATCATTTGATTGAATAGAACCTATTTCATCGCACTATGCACTTCTTAAGAAATAAGGCGCATTAATTTGCCTAATGTTTCTCCGTATCTCAAGGCTTACATTTGCTTGCTTTCTGTTTGTCATTTTAGCCAACCAAACTAACGATGTCGAACAAGTATTGACTGATTCTTCTGAGAAAGCTGAAGCTGGCAAGAAGAGCTTCCGATCAACCTCCCCCTTGGGGCGTAAACTTGTTCAGATGCTTCGTCTTCCCAAGAAAGATGCCAAGCCGGCAAAAGACACAGCCGAGACCACTGTCCATGATACAGTAGAAGACACTGTATTGGAACAGGCGACAGTACCTTTAAATCAAACACCTGCTCCTGTTGTTCATGCAGCTGCTTAAATCGACTTCCCATAAGTCATCTTTGGTCTAATCTTGTAATGCAGTTTAATAACGGGGCTCATTTATTTTATCTTCGTAGCGCTATAGCTTGTTATTTCTCACTATTCTACACTTTATAATCATTTATTATTATTACTATTATTATTATTTCTACTAACTATTAACTTAACTATTAACTATTTTATCTTATATCCTATTAAATTACACCGTTATTAACTGTGCCTAATAAACTACACTATAATTAATACCATAATAATAATAATATATATATAAATATTTTTTTAAAAAAATCAATATATCGATTATGTTGTACATATTACTATCAGCTGAAAGCTACATAGTGTTAATCCTTATGATTATTCCACAGTTTTAAGTTACAATAATTTTTTTATTCTGTAATGAATTAGCGAAAGTTAAATAAGAATAGATATGAATTTTTAGGCTATTGTTGTTATTTACACATATATGATATCAAAAGTCCTTTGCTCTTTTTTCGCTCTGTCTCTTTGTTTATATCGCCCGTTTTTTTTAAACTGCCTGTCTAAGAACAGTCTTTCCCTGGTTTCTGAACAGCAATACTTCTCTACGGCCAAGGATAGTCAAGGCTCTGAGAATAGCTGCTTCAGAGTAACCCTGCTGAAGGAAATCGCTCTTGATCTTGGCCACAGGCACTTGTGATCCGATTGGCAAACGACGCTGCACCTCTGCTTCGATTGTTTGAACTTCGGCCATAATTTCACTACGAGACATACCATCGGCTAAAATAATATAGATATACGTATATTGTGAGTATAGTGATCAATGAAATAAAATTTGTCACGTTCAAATCTACCTCCTCCACTCTGAACAGCGTCCATAGTCGAATATTTGAACAAACGAATGGCTTCTTCAACGTGCTTTTCTGTTGCTACAGGAGAGAGTGTCATCTTGGCTAAAGACTCTGAAATACGAATGATAGCTTCCAGCTGTCTATTTGTGCATTTGTAGATAGTGAGATTTTCTTGTTTTATTAGTGTGGAATACCCCCTTGTCCCCTTGTATATTCTTATGCGTTTACCTGATAGTAATGGGAATTGACGAGCGAACCTGTGTTTCTCTTTCGGCTTCCTTGACTTCCTTTCTAATGCTTACGAAATGGCTGCTCAGCTTTTCAGCTGCTTCTGCAGTGAGTCGAGGAGCGCATTTACTATAAATAAGTTAGGAAATGATTATGCTCACTGATTAATAAGTACATACGCTTTGCAATAGTTGATATACGCTTTCATCTTATCGAGATCAATTTCGCCCATAACAGCCTCTTGAGTTTGTCTGTTCATATGTACATTCAACACGTGACGAGCGATAGACTATATGCAAGCCATGAGATTTATGCGCGCATTTACTCTCTGTCTACATACCATATCACGGGCTTCATTGTGTTCGTCTTTAACAATAAAGATCATATCGAAACGAGACAAGATGGTGGTTTGGAAATCAATATTCTGCATTCTATTGTTAGAAAAATATACGAGATGTATGTACAGTCCACAATTGATTTGCTTACCTCTCCTGGGCTCTTCATGTCATCGTATCTACCAAATACAGGATTTGCTGCAGCCAAAACAGAAGTTCTGGAATTAAGGATGGTAGTGATACCTGCCTTGGCAATTGAAATAGTCTGCTGTTCCATAGCTTCGTGAATAGCAACTCTGTCTTCGTCACGCATCTTATCAAATTCATCAATGCAGACAACACCACCATCTGCCAAAACCATGGCACCTCCTTCCAAATAAAAGTCTCCCTTTTAAAACAAATAAAGATAAGTCACATACTTGTTAGCAATCTTTCTTCCTGCTATTTTGTCCATTTTCTAGTGGCTATTACTTACCGAGCTTGGGTCACGGATGACAGAAGCTGTCAAACCAGCCGCACTACTGCCTTTGCCAGATGTGTAGACGGCGATTGGAGCAACCATCTCAACAAACTTTAACAGCTGAGACTTAGCAGTACCAGGATCACCCAACAATAGGACACTGATATCACCTCTTAATCTCATACTATCTGGAAGCACTTTCTTAGATCCTCCAAATAACAAACAGGCAATAGCTTTTTTGATATCTGTAATATACATAAGTCATTATTATATTCCAGGCATTAAAATTATAGGGCATGGATAAATAATAATAATAACAACAATAATAATAATAATTACCGGCATTTCCAAAGATAGAAGGTGCAATGCTTGCTGCAAAAGTTTTGTACAAATCAGGTTGACGTGACATTTTAATATACTCTTCCTCTTCTGTGTCTGTGAAAACAGCCTTTCCACGACCACTGTTGTGTTTATCGATTTGTAAGCCGATGATGCGAATGTAAGGTGTTCGTACAGCAGCAGCGCCTGTAGATTTCTGATTATTGCATTAGTCCCACTTCTTTCCTCACTTCATTTGGGCTTTAAAACTTACGGAAGCTTTGCTCTGGAAAATAGAGTAAATACCCATTACAACGGTTCTCATACCAGGAACCACTCGGTTTGTCAACCATCTATAATTTTAATATTAATCACCAAATATCCTGGATTAACTTGCACTCATCTACTTTGATCCAAATTCTCCCGAGAATTTGTACACATACTCCTCTCTCCAGTTTTCTTTAAAGAAAAAATTACCTATCAGCATTGAGAATAGTGTGGCGGGGAAGATCACCCACGGGTACCATATCTGGAGCCTCTTGAAGTTTAATTACTTGAGAGTCCACAAATTTACACTTGTCATGGACAATCATGTAAGGATCCATAGGACAGCTGTTCTTCATCGTTTGATCTAATGGTGTGCTGTATAATCCCAGAAAATATCAGTTACCTTTTCTTCTCTCTCTCTTTTATTTATTTTTTTATTATTATTATGAAAATCCTTGGTTTTTACCTGTCGCACACGCGTGGTAAGGAAATTCTAGAGAATCCACCGTCAATAGGGATCACCTTTGAATGGCGACACGATTTGCACATAATGCTAACATAGGTGGCACGAGAGCTCAATGTCGACGCACCAATCACAATACCTGGAATGCGAACAAGTTTTCCAATATAGTTGGACTAATAAAATACATAATTCATTAGTTCACGAGATGAATAGTTTAGTAATAACTTACATTAAGGTCGCGAATTTGAATAACATTAGCGTCAGAGGTAAGCATGACCTGGCAATCAGGTACATCCAAGTTGCTTATTTCTCCAGGTTTAGTGAACATTATACGCTTTGCACTTTCTTTAACTGCATTTTCAAACTAAAGTGTGCCAAAAAAGGAATTATTGAGTATTTGATGATGTACATTTAAATAAATGGTAGTTTCAGTTTACCAAAGGCAAAAGTTCGGCAGGGGATCCTGTCAATTTGTTGGCCAAGGCAGCATTGAAGTTGATGAGGTGGTTCATGTTAACTTCGATAAAGTACTGCTTAACCTTGAGGTTGTCAGACAATTGGTCTCTGGGTAATTTTGTGAGTATGGCTTCTGCTTCTTCTCGGAAATTTCCCTTTGCATTATGGGTAGCTGAGAATGGAGGTGCTTGTTACCTGTAGATATAGTTGTTGCCGAGACGGAAGTTCTGGATGAATGAAAGGAACATTGAGGTCAACTCAGAATGAGAGTCTCTCTGTTCTTCTCCAGGAAGCACGCTTGTAGAGTAAATTTGACCGCGATCCCATCCTAGGCTTGCCATGATGCTTTAATGTGCTGTATAAAGGACGATTAAGAAGCAAAAAAAAATATGTGTATAAAAAAAAAGGATTGTCACACATGCACAAACACGGCCAAAATCTCCCCTTGCCCCTTTCTTCTTTCATTCGCGATTTTAAAAAAAATATAAAATTTTGGGACTGGAACCATTCAAATTGAAAAGTCACGAAAAAAGCAATTGCTAGAGTAAATCCAAGAGAAGAGTATCATCAAGGGTTATGCTGCTTATAAGCAAAGGCTCAACTATTGTGCCTTTTGATATCTTTATCAGGACACAATTATTTGGTGTTTTATTTAATATTCCTCGAGTAAATTTAAGAAAAAGAATATTTGCTGAAAAAGATTCAATTCTATTAAAGGAAGCATTGATGTGTGATACAGATAATTTTATAAACTATCTTGCAAACATAACGACGATCTTTAATTTCAATGACATATTAAAGTATAGTAGGCAATTTTATTCAATCCTAAAAGTATATAGATGTATCCATGTATCTTTGTTTGATACAATCATATAAACGTTTTTGTTTGTAAGAAAATAATTACATTTGCTTCAGTGCCTTTATACCCAAAAGACCCATTCCATTTGAAAGGGTTTTTCTAGCTGACCAGAACAAAAGCATTCTTGATTTTGCAACCTCGGTATCAGATCCTTTGACTCTCAGGGTTGCACTTGCAGCACTAATAGCATGGGATAGTTTGAATAGATAGTTAACTAAAGCACTGGGCTCCATTGTACTGAAGGATGACTTGACATGATCAGGGAAATGAGAAATTAATTGGGCCAGCTCAAATGCCTGTCTTTCCTTCAACAGTTTATAGTCGCAGTTGACGTGAATTCCAATGTTTGCCTTGCGTTCGATTCTACAGAACCGAATTAAAATTATTATCAAATAAGTACACAAAGAGAATATATATAACTTACCCACAGGCGCGTGCATGTGCATATTGCAAAAATACACCAGTGTCTCCTCTGGAGTCTGTCATTCGATCCCAAGCAAAAGTATAGTTCTTCACCCTTTTTGATTTCATATCTTGTACAAGAATTGCAGACACGCCTACTTTATCAGCTACGTCTTCTAATTTAGAGTCTTTATCTTCTTTGAGAACTCCTTCCAATGCATCGTATTTTGTTGAATCCTTTTGCATATATTCTAGAACACTCTCCTTAGCCGTATCAAGAATATCCTGTAAGAATACCGCTGTCCCTTTGCGTGTAGACATTCCATTAATGCGACCAAATCCAAGATGATGGAGATTTTTGACCCATGGATTGATTTGGTTATCTCCAAAAAGTAGTTCAGCCGTCTTAAATACTTGTTTGAGATATCTATCTTGCTCTGCACCGACAACATAGATAGCTTTATCAAAAGCATATTTTTCCCTTCGCATCATTATACTAGCAAGGTCGCGAGTGATGTAGAGACTTGTACCATCTGCACGCTGAATTACGGGTACACCAAGACCGTATTCTTCCAAATCTACAGCTAGCGACCCACTCTCTGTTTTACTAAGAAGCTTACGAGATTTGAGAAGGTCGTATACTTTTGGAATATAATCATTGACTTGGGATTCTCCTGAATAGGCGTCAAACTCGATATCAAGACGTTTGTATATAGATGCGTAAGAATCGATGCTCATATCTCGGAATCTTTTCCACTGAGCTAATGCTATATTGTCGCCTAATAAACCGAGTCAGATAGCCATAAATTTATATTTACCTCTTTACATAACGTATTACATACCTTCCTCCATACGTTTGAAATAAGCGTTGGCTTTAACATGGATTTCAGGATCCAGATTAGCATCCTCGTTGATTTTCACATATACTTCGTATAAGTGATGAATAGGATCTGACTTTAACCCTTCCTCCTTTCCATATCGCTCAAAACCAATAGCCAAGAGACCTGTGATCCAAAGCTAGTCAATAATTGCTCAAAATCGATACAGTCAGTATACTTCATTACCGTATTGTTTGCCCCAATCTCCGAGGTAATTGATACCAATCGCTTTGTAGCCCATAACTTCATGAATACGCTTGGCAAAATTACCAAGAATAGTACTTCTCAGGTGGCCAGCATGGAAGGGCTTTGCAATATTTGGTGAACTATAGTCAAGTACTACAATTGGCTTCTCTTCTTTAGGTTCCACGTCCCCCCACCCATAACGACTGTTTTCGGAATAGACTTGCTGCAATACTCTCTGAGTAAATTCTGTCCGGTTCACATCAAAATGAAGGTTAGACCCATAAGGTGTAGCGCTCTCAATCAAAGTATCCGGCTTAAACTACACACATACACATACACACAAAAGCATTTATTTTGAGCTTAGGAATATCGAATAAATAAATAAATAATTTATTGCATGGCTCTACTTTTTGTGCCAGTTCATTACACCATTGCACTGGATTTGACTGAATGTTGTCGTCTGGGACTTGATTCTGTAATGCTACTTTGAGTTTTGGGATGGATAGTGAAAAGGGACCTTCTGACTGGATTTTTGGAACTCGAATAAGACTTGTCAGCAGCTGTGGATTACAGTTTGTGATCTGTGCAATTTGTTTTGCAATAGCTTGCTTGAATTGTAATGATGCTGACATTACAAGTCGTTTCTATTTATTTACTTCGGGAATCAAGTACTAATCTATGAGTCCTGTCTTTTGTGTGTGTGTCAAGTTCAGGGACTGTCAAACAAGGGCAGATGATTGTCGGCATTTAAAGTAGATCATCATTATGGAAACTTCAAGCACACCAAAACAATGACACCTGCAAGTTCATTGATCTCGATTTATGCTAAATAGGGAATCTGCTTTAATAAAGTACATGTTCAACCCAAAAACACTTCTGCGTCAAACAAAGAATATTGATGTATAAAAGAAAAAATAAAGGCAAATGCATTAGGGCCTTTTGTACTTAATGTTGGATTTAAATATACACACACATGACAATTATCCGTTTAATATACATGTAGATATGCCTGTTATACATGAGATAGTAGGCGTCTTTTTCTTTTTCATTTTTAATGCTCATTTTGTAGCAACCTCCTATATTTCTCATATTCTGTATTCAAACTGATAAGTTGTTTATTCCCTACACTGAATTGGATGATACACCGCAGGACTTTTATTTGAGTTCAGAATGTATACCACTTTTTACCATTTATTCTGAAATTATTAGTTGTTATTGACAGGTCAACCAAACTATTGTAATATTTGAATAAGCTTTATGATGTTGTGTATCCACATATACATAGCAGTCAGTCCTTTTTTGTTCTTGAAAAAAAAACATTTATGCTCAATGATTGGTCAATTTCTCGGGTACAAAAAGTATGTTTAATGACAACTGAAATCTTCTATTTATTTTTGGCAATATTTAAACTTTAAGTATTTCTAAAATTAGAGAAAACTGTTGACCAAGTCGATCTTTTTTTATCCAAAAATAGAAGTTATGTTTCATCTGCATCTGAAATAGATTCAATAACGGGATTCGTATAAAAATAATTGATCTCTCTCATTTATTGTCTCGTAAAATTATTTGGATAGTATTAGTCTTTTAGGATATTTAATACATAATACAATTCTTTACTATCGAATGAATACCTCTTAAAATAGAGGTCACTCAAGTAGTTTTGCTTTGTAAGTACAGTTAAACACACTATACAAGGCGCATTTTTAAGAGTTACTAACCATTATGAATGTATTCTCTTTTCAAATAGACAGCACACCAAAGTATTCTTAGGTTATTAAGGGTCATAATGAAAATTCTGGCACTATTTTTTTATATAATCTATATTTAGTTTTCTGCTTAAATATAAAAAAAAATCCCAAAAATGCGTTTTTTTTAACTGTGCGCCTTACAAATGTGTTTTGCTATAATAACCCAAAAGTGGCAAATGGATTCAAAGCAGAATTATTGTTAATATTATCTTGACTGTTACTCTTGTCGATAATATAGCATTAATTTGCCCATAGAACGCACGATTATATATAGCAATAATGCAAAAATATGTGTTATTGGCTAAGCTTCTGGATCTATTAGAATAGGCTTTGGCTGAGAAGTATTTTCCAGGTAGTGATTTCAAACATGTTCAGGCTCATTACATTTTCGACATATACAAAATGTTCGCTTAGGATATTTATAAAATACAGCGCTCAATATTCTATCAAAAGGTCCAATACATTGGAGTTTTATACTAGGAGATATACATTGTATGACTATGCTCAAACTTGTGGGGATGAAATAAAGGAAGAATGTATGTAGGAATTGGAAGTCGAAATAACGAATGAGAGTATAATACATATATATATCTACTCCATAATTTTTTATAAACTTACTATAATTGCCTGCATTTTTTTACCTTGTCTTGGGCAGATTTTTGGAAGAATGCTTTAATAAAATCGGATACTAAGACGAAAAAGAACAATGAAAGAGAAAATATAAATAGATAGCCCCGCGTTACATCAAGAAGTCTAAGATAATGTTAATATTAATATACATCTTGCTAGTAATAATACCTGCTAAAAAAAGGGAACATTTTAAATGTGAGCCCCCGGTGTGTCTCCTAGACCTTTTAGACTGTTACGCCCACAACAAACGAGCGTATCTTGCGATACTGGCCATGGGTCGAATGTATATACTGACTGTGCAACACCTATACTTCTTTGATATTTCATTATGGAGAGTGTAGCGGTAAGCTTAAAATGTACGCCTGACATGTATGTTAGTTTTCAAAGAGCACGTTAAATTTTTCTTCTAGTAGATCAAAGCAGGTACTGTAAAAATGAACTGAGACAAATTCTAGGATAAGTCTTTTGGACATCAATTCCCAGCAATAATATGTACAAAATTAGGAAAGATGGTGCTCTTACGTGATATTATAATTCAATTCTCTTCAGAAAAATTTCGAGGGAATATCCTTTTACTCGCCTTTCTTTACCTTGCTCTACAGAAATTCAAAAAAAGAAAATGTCTATGGGACTGGAGTTGTGAGCTTTTATTAGCAATATCCATAAAAAAAAGCGAGGAAATTCTGAGGTTTTAAAAGTATAGTAATATGTGTTGAGACTTTTCTTAATAATTTTGGATATCTAATGTATTTCTTGTGGCAGGTAATTTTAATTTGTGGAATTCGACCGAAATACTTATAATAATAGTGTTGAAAAAAAATGTTGCCACATATACAAAGCTTATAGTGATAATATCCTTGAGTTACATATTTTAAACCAACACTTTGAGGCTTTTGTTTTGATTTACAGTCGATAAATTTACTTTTCATGTAGCATTACCCTTCTGTCCATAGCTTAGCAATTAAGATTTGGGGGAAATGAAATAGAAAAAATACCAATTTGTGAACAAGTATATTTGATATTACTATTGTTATTATTTTAAAAAAAAATTGTGGTTAATCCAGAGGTAGCGATGTTTTTACAAGAATTGCATAGATAGTAATTCATGCTATTCCTGTTCATTCGATTAAGCGCGTCTTCTCGCGTTTTTTCAAGTATAACTACAAGAGTGAATATCAAAGCAATAAAGCCAAAAATGATAAAGATAAAAAAAAAAAAAAAGGGGGGGGGGGGGGGGGGGGGGGGGTTTTCCTCACCTCCGAAGTTTAAAATATATATATAATAAACATATTCTTTCAAGACAAAGAAAATATATATCATCTCTGAACACTCACCACGTTCATTCGTTTCCGGTTTTTACTTTTGGTCGTTTCCCTTAACCCAAGTTTCACAACCGTGCCACAAATTTGCTAATTTTGTCGACAGAGATATTGCTTGGTCATAAGATCAACAAGCCTGGATTACTCTACATTTTGCGGTATTGGAGAATTTGGTTTCTAAAATTTTAGAAAGAAGGGGTGGTCAGATGTAAAATGCTATTAAAAACTAACGTATATTATTGGATATTTAATCCTTTAATCTAATAGAATTGTTTAATTGTTTTTTTAGTTAGTTAGTTTTTTTTTATCTTTGATCATCCCAAATAGGTAAAGAATGAATGTTACATATGCCTCCTCCAGACTTGACGATCTGATTCGGTCATTTTATTTATTGAGTTGTAAAATTAGTTTAAGGGTCAATGTTCACTTTTAACCAGAAAAAAAAAGAAATCAATAGGATTTAGAAAATAGAGAGTAAAGGTCGAGATAATATTTGTAGCTTTGTAGATGTACATATACATATGTGTATGTAAATTGTCCCTATACAGATAATATTATGGGCATTTAACCTAAATATGTTTAATTGTAATAAGCCTTTAAGTAACCATTGATCTACACACTATAAATTGCGGTCTGATTTAAGCAAACGTAAACACACATACATGTATGCAATAATATAAATGGAGTTAAAATATAGATTTTATATTATATGTAGTAAATATTTTTATTTTATATTTTCAACCAAAAAAAAAAAGATCAGATCAAGCAAGTAAGCAAACAAGCAAGCAAGCAAATAAGCAAACAATAAATAAATAAATATTAATTAAGTGTATAAAAATTACACTTCTCTTTATGAAGGGCGGTCACAATGTAAGGGTGACATCAGTATCTTTTTTGGAAATAAGAAAAGCAGAAAATTAAAAAAAAAAAGGCTTTAGAGTGGTTTTATTATTATTTATTTATTTTATACTTCGTGTATCTTGCTTCTCCCTATCTAAACCTTGAGCAAAAAAAAAGAAAAAATCAAGAAGAAGAAGAGAGAAAAAGGATAATTTACCGTACGACGCCTTTTTTGTTTCTCATCTTTCATTTAAAAGAAAAAGCAGTAGATTAAAGCGATTCCTTTACTTTATATATCATATATACATATATCTGTTTATTTTCTGTCGACCGTCATCCCATTTAATCTTTAACGATGAAAGTAAACATTGTTATCTCGCAACAAACTCAAGCAAACGATCAATTTGTGGCTGATTTGGCTGCATGCGTTGCCAGGAGCAAACGTGTTTTGGTCATCACTGGTGCAGGAATATCCTGTAGCGGAGGAATCCCTGTAAGTGTTTTACTTTTGTCTAGCTCATCACTCCTTTATTTCATGTTTTTTTATACATACATAAATATGTATGCAAGAAGTTACATGTGCACTCATTTGTGTATCAAAAATACAGAAGAAATCCTAATACGCGAAATCCTAACCCTCGGATATTATTACTATTATTATTATTATTGTTTAAATATCAAAAAAGGATTTTCGGTCATCAGACGGTCTTTACAACCTGGTGAAGAAGAAGCACCCAAAGACAGTGATACGAGGAAAAGAATTATTTGACGCCACGCTATTCAGAGACGAAAACCAGACGAAATGTTTCTACACATTTATGGCCGAATTAAAATCGCTTATTTCTACTGCACAGCCCACCGAAACACATTCTTTTATTCGAGAGTTACAAGAAAAAGGACAACTGATGCGATGTTACACCCAGAATATCGATTGTCTTGAAGAACGCCTCGACCTCCCTGTCGTCCAACTCCACGGATCAATGGCCAAGGTTAAATGCACACTCTGCTCTAGCTCTTACAATTTTTCATCAGATTATGAACAACAGTTCCGCGAAGGATCACCACCACCATGCCCTAAATGCGAACACGCCGACAGCGAACGTGTTCGTTTAGGCAAACGTACTCTTGCCACCGGTACTCTTCGACCAGATATTGTTTTGTACAACGAAGAGCACCCCAATGGCGAGACAATTGGTCGACTGCAGGCCAGCGATCTAAAAAAGAAACCTGATTTTATGATTGTTATGGGTACTTCTCTCAAAATCCCTGCTCTTAAGAAGTTTATTAAACAAGCCGCACGAATGGTTCACAGTACTCGTACTGGACGCGTCGTTTTTGTCAACAAAACACCAGCCACCAAAGAATGGGACTCAGTCTTTGATTATGAAGTTATTGGAGACACCGATGAATGGGTTAAAATGACACAAGAAAAACTAGAGGACGAACAAGCCATGCTTACAGCAAAGTCACGATTGAAAGAAGCCACAGCCCGTGAAATTGAAAAAGAGAGAGAGGAGGAGGAGGAGGAAGGAAGGATTAGTGCACGCTCCCGACCAGCTAAGAAGCCAAAGCTTTCAGTGAAAATCACCCGATTGACAACTCAAACTCAAACTCAAACTCAAACTCAAACTAAATTAACCGGCTACCGGGTCACCAAGCGCAATTCTGCGATCTCCAAGGCGACTACAGGTGTTAAATGTAAATAATCAGAGTGACCCATCTGCTATTTTATACTATCAAGCTTTCTGGTCCGTAGCTTATTTCCCCGGTAGCTTTTATTTATTGCATTCCAGTCCTAATGACTACCTTCATTCTCTTTATCTATTTCTATTTCCATTTCTCTTTGCTTATTATTTGCTGTTTCGTTATCTTTTGTGACTTGATCAACAGTTACAATACAAAATTATCCTTTGCAAAGTCTTTTTTGTTTTGTTTTGTTTTATACAATCAAAAAAAAGGCACAAATACTGAATTATTATCCAACCTTGTGTATATCTATCTGTTGAGCTTGGTGGTTATCCACGGTTGAATCAGAAAGTATACAATTACAAAAATAATATTAATAAAAAGACATTTAATTACACGCACTTTAATGAAGCAAAAGATAATAAGTTATTCATAACTCTAAATACAATTAGTTAAATAATCACAATTGATTGTTTTTCTTTTGCAAAATAATGGCCACAAAAAAATCCCTTTCACCTATTATTGGCTTTGTTATGAGAATGCAATAAGTGGTTTATTTATTATTTGAAGAATATTACTCGTATTATTAAATTTATTTATTTATTTATTTCTATTTCTATTTATATTTCTATCTATGTACAGTAATATTTGCGAATACATAATACGTCTTCTTTAATACAATAAACGATATAAATAAATTGTTAATTTATTTCTAATGTCTATAGTCTAACCAAAGACTAACGCTATCTGGTCCTACAAGATCTCGAATTGTGGCAACCAGAAGCTCAAGCTCAACTGCGAACTGTTCAGAGCTCATCACGTAAGCGCTGTAATAAGTGAATTCTGGATCATAGATTCTCTTTGGTTTCAATCCTGGTATCTCGCGTGCTTTATTGGTAAGATTTCGTCTGGCTTTTGTGGGACGAAGAATATAAGGTGGAATAGGAGTCTTGTTGATCAATGCGTTTTCAGCAAGGTGAATAGCGGTTAAGAAAGAAGTGATCTGTAAGGTGAGTAAATATTAGAATAAATCTATATATATGTGTGTGTGTATGTTTACCAAATCCTTGCGCTCTTTCCAGGTGTATTTTACAAGTTCAATTCGCCACTGAATATTGATCTTCTCTAAAGAACTTTCCATTTCGATCATCAGATTGAGCATATTGTTGAGGACTTGTAGTATTTGAACATATTTTTCCTCTTGAAAGACTCCTCGTAGTGCTGGCTCGAATCTGCTTTGCTCCAATAAGATACGTTCACCCTTGATTTGTTTTCGGATCTTGGAAGCAACAGAACGGAAGATCTTACGATTGAGTAGCTGGATTTTCTGATCATGTTGTGTATTTTTCAAGAGGAGTGCAAGGAAAGAGGAGTACAGTGCGCCGATTTCCCCTAATGTACTGGCCACTCGAATACGTAGTTCGACACGTCCGGTTCTTGGATATGGAACTATACTGACAAACATAGCACCGACAACACCGGCAATAACAGCGACAGTTCTCTGTTGATAGTAGAAGAAAATATAATTAATACACTTGTAAGTATTTTTTTCTAATGCATATGTTTATTTATAAAGGAGGGAAGATTGATGTCTTATATTACCTGATAAGATATTTCAAAAACTGAGCGACCATCCTCTACAGATATATAAGTGTAGGCGTATCCAATAACTATTTTTTTAAATAAACAAGGAGTTATTAGACTAAGCATATATATATAGCAAGAAATATTGAGCTTACTTAGTGATATAGTTATTAGAGCAAAAAGACCTGTAGCTCTCCAGAATTGGCCTTTTAAGTACAAGAACCACCAAGGAAGATTAAACACAAAAGTCAATATCAGTAATCCGGGAATGGACCCTCGGCTGGCTTCCCAAGCAATAATGGCTGTTACTGCTCCGATAAAGGTACCGATAGTTCTTGTCATGGTTCTAAGTATCAAACATCAGTAAATCGTAAATTATCAAATGTCAAATACTAAATCACTCATACACACCCAAAGAAACTGCTTCCTACGGACGGGCCCATCCAAATTACTGCTACCACAGCGGACCATTGACCTCTTGCACCGAGATACCAATCACATGAAGATTCTATAAAGGCAGGGATTGTCAAAAGAATGACGATAATTCCTGCCCTTAGTGCGTACAATACATCGGTTGTGTAAAGATTGTTAATCGAAAACAGATAGATTCGGTAAAAGAACCATTGGACACGTGTTGTTGGTAATGCTACATCTGGATCATGGTATGTCTCTGGCCGCTCCATTTGCATTTTCCATAATGACGCTTGAATGTTCTGCAGAGTTGTGGCATCTTCTTTATGATTATGTGAAAGAGATCCTCGTATGTGAGAGAAAAGTTGTCTGGAAGTCGGCTCTTCGTAAATAGTCGAGGCTTCGACGTCGATTGTATTCAGCATTGCAGATTGTTGAGTAAGGGTGCGTTGGAGACCGAGATAACTACAGTCTGCGAGAGCTGCAGGAGCATCCATTTCGTAATCTTCGTCGCATGTCGGTTTTCCTTTGAGCCACTTCTGTAAAGATATGTGAGGAAACCAAATTTGCCGTTTGTTGCGCTTTGAGTCGATTTCATATACAAGTGATGAAATTGTAAACAGTTTTTCAGAATAACTTCGCAAATGAAACTGGAAAAGTAACATCAAGAATAAAATACGCCGAGGACACTGTCGATCATCAAAAAAGGATTTGAGCCCGCTCAAACGGTGGATATCGAACCGTCTTATGGCTTTTCTCAAAGCAATCGAAGGATCAACCGTTCTGTCATAGTTCATATCCACAGGATTTCCTCCCTTGTTGTACTTTTTCAAGTATCTGAAAAAGAACGGTTTGTCTTGGAAGCGAAGGTCAATGTTTTGGATACGCAAGAGTCTTTTTGTCGATTCTTTTGTGGCTATTGAGCATGCCCGTGTAAGCTCGAGGTATATGGGCTGTACACTCTCCAAAAGACTATCATACTCTTTTTTCCATATGAATTCGACCTCAGGTTGTTTCTTTCGAGAACGAAACAAAAGCCCACTCTCCAAATACTTTACTTTTAGGGGTACTCTATTGTTGGGTGGACACACTGTATCCGATGCCTTTGGTATCCCGTCCATTGTGTTCTGCTCTTGCTCTCGTCCTTGTTCTTGATCTTGATCTTGATCTTGCTCTTGATCTTGCTCTTGATCTTGATCTTGATCTTGATCTTGATCTTGCTCTCGTTCCAGTGACTCTATGGTTTCTGTCGATCTGTGTGAATGTACATCATCTTCAGAACTAGTATTTGATTCTGCAATTATGTTGCTCTCGTCAACTTCCTCATCTTCCGCATCAACTGCTATGGTTCCAAGATCATCGTTTGCTTCAGATATATCCGATTCATGTGAGTGGACGCTTTCTGTGTCTCTGTAAGGATTATAATTTTCTGACTCGTCTGTTTCGCTGTCAATTGCACTCCTGATGAATTTCTTTTTTCGGGTCTCAAAATTGTCCTGGGCGGAAGAGTGAAACGAACTTCTTGAGGCTCGTGCAGAGCCTGGTGCCGATGTTCCTGGTTGTCGTTTTGACTCTGTCATCTTCATATTTTCTTCCATGGCTTTACTTAAGCCAATTCCCTGGAGTGGCACTCTTAGTTTCTTGACTATCTTTGTCATATTACTAATATCACTTGGGGCCATCCAATTGTAGGTTGCCTCACGTCGGGCCACTCTTTTTGTGCTTATGAGTCCCAGCAGCTGTGAGTCGATGACTGTGTATAAGCTTGTGAGGGGTTCTGGGACCTCTTTGGCGTTTTTATTGGGTGATTTCGAAGAATCTGCTTTTAGGAAACTATTTGATTGGCGCTGAACGACTCCGTCGAATGTTTCGAGAAGTATCACAAGTTTCTGTACATATTGGGTCATACTGTTCTCTGGCCAAAAGAGGATCGAAACTGCAAATGAAATAAATAAGCCAATAAAGATAGAAAATAGCTCTTGTAACTATGTGCAAATAATAAATAAGTTTATCTCTCTCTCTCTTAGCAACCGGTAGTATTAGCAGTAACAGTAGTAATTGACTTACAGGTACAATCAAATCCCACGATTTATCTCTAACGGCTGAAGTCAGGCAAATTACGAGAACTGTAGCAGACAGCATACCTTTTATATATATATATATGTGTGTGTGTGTGTGTAGAATAATAATACAGAATTATCCGTAGAAATTAGAGCTTATTCAAAGTTTGGTGCTTTAACTATTTATGTATGTATTTTGTTTCTTGTTTTTACCTCCTGCATTTGCCTGATCTACTTTTACTCGAAAGAGATTGAGTACCATGATGCCGATAATCATAAACATGGCCAGTATGGCACACACTTTTGGTTGTGCTCTCATAACATTTTCCGAATCTCTCACAAGAGAAGCACAATATGTTCCCAGCAATGACCAGCCAGTTGCCAATGTGCACATAATTGAGCCATAGAATATATCCTATTCTTGACAGTTTGGTAACACCAGAATCGGATAAAAATGTTAGGCGAAATACGGAAAAATCGGGCAAATCGGTTATCCAGACAAAGAGATCAAGAGATCAAGAAATTAAATTAAAATAAGGTAATTTGGGGCAAGGTAAGGCAGCACATCGTATGGTATGGTATTATATAGTACAATATGGTAGCATATATTAGAGTAGAGAATTGAAAACAGTTAGATGAAATATACTCCAAGATTTTTTTAAAAATAAAATAAACTTCAATTGTTGTTGCTATATTTGTGTGTGTGTGTATATGCGATGCCTTACCTCACATATATTTCCGTAAGATTTGGACGGGTGAACAAACTCGACTGCATAAGATGCCAATACAAAACCAAGGTCTGCGTATTTCTGGATAGGCTTTGCCATGAGCATACCGAGTGCAATGGTGACTGCGATATCGGCCTTGAGAACCTTTGTCACTACTGGCCATGTTAAGGTAGCCCAGATACCATACAAACGTTGTTTTATTGTTTGGATTGGTTGGGTGTGTTTTGCATTGGAAGCAAAGTTGAAGCTGCGGTGTCCTGATGCAGTGTCTTTGCTCTTCATGATAAAGATGTGTGTGTGAGAGAGAGGGGGGTATGCAAGACGATGTAAGGTTTCTTGTTGTTATTATGTTAGGTCGAATATTGTACACGGATACGTTGCTATTTCGAATAGACAATTTCCAGGGTTCGGATGCTTTATCTTTCTTCTTCGTTATTGCTTCTTTGATGAAAGTATCCAAGAAGCAGACTGCTGTAATGGTCTAGCAAACTCCTCCTTTCTAAAAGGTAAGCGACAATTTCTGTGTAAATAAAATAGAATACAGTAAGAAAGTAAAAGAAGAAGAAGAAAAAGTGACAAGAATAAACCAAAATGCACCCAAACATTAGAGAAAAAAAAAATGCACGGTTAATCGGAGTTGAATTTTTATTTTTATTTTTTTATTTTATTGGCTAAATACAGCTATATATTCCTTGCTTGGGGGGATGAATATAATGTCAACTCAACTCAGATCGATTTTGAGGTTGCATCTCCAAAAAAAAAAAAGGTCACAACAACGGGTGTAATCATTTTTAAACCAACTCGTCATCAACAAGTAAAAATTACATGTATTTCATGACAGTACAAGGTTTTTTCTTTTCAACAAAAGAAGCCGTCTTTGGTCAGGTACATAAAAATGACATATCAAGGCTTGTATTTTGAGATCTACTGGCATAAATCTAGAAACCAGTTGTAGAATGACAATACAAATATCTACCCCACACATTAACCATTAATCTCAAGTATTCAAACACTAGAAGCACTATTTTAATTATTCGTATAAACAATTGAGTTTAATCAATTCATATCACACGGCCACATTTCTTTGTCAATGTTGCTAGATTCCGGCTATCTTTTAGACAAAAACAATATCCAAAAAAACCCCCTTTCTGAGAGTGCAATGGTTGTATTCTTTTATAAAACAAAATAGGGGGGGTTCAGATTGACCGGCTTCAATAGTAAGTCAGGCAGTAAAATTTAGAGATAATTGAATCTTTTTTTAAAAAAAAAAAAAAGAATCCAATACTTTGTCAAACTGATAACCAAGTTTAAGGATCGGATAAACAATACTCTACATAAAAGTTCCATTGAATGAGTATTATTATTATTATTATTTGTGTACTTAAGAGAGCTTGGACTCGTATGCTTGGAATTATACGGTCTTTGGGCTTTATTACTGCTGTACCCATATTATAAAATATGGTGTATGCAAAGTGTGTCCAGTGTTCAGGAACAAAGCTCTTTTTGGTTGGTTGGTTTTTTTTTAAAAATTATTTTTCTGAATTCTAGACAACTTCTTGGAAAACTGACTTGGTATATTGTAGAGTAAAGTAGGGAATTCACTTAAAAACTCTGGGTTAGATAACCTATTTATGTCGACTTGAAGTTACCCATTCTTTCTTTTTATATTTATTTGTATACCTCTTCTTTTTGCTTTGAATTCTCAAGACTAAAATAAACCAGATTAGCAATGATCATTACACCCAAGGTTAAAGTAGCCCTACTAGTTTTGGTATACTGATATTTTAGCCATTAAAACAATTGCCTTTTCTTTTGACAAGACCATGGTACGTTTCAGATTAGAATGTTTGGCCCATTATTATTATTATTATTATTAGTTGGTATAATTTGGGTCCCTATCTCCTCTTATTCACAGTGTTCGTCATATTTACCAGCTCTGTTGATCTGGGATATTCTTATTGTGTAGTGTATTGTAACCGTGGATTACACAAGATAATCAAATGAGTAATTTCTTCATTTTTGTTGGTTTTTTGGCCGAAAGTTTATCTCTTGCTTATTTAAAGATCAAATCTTGGGTATATTATATATCCTTCATTTTTTAAAAAAAAAAAACAGCTTGGCATTCTTCTATCTGTCATTATTACACTTATTAGGCACAGCTGTTTAAGCCATGGTTTTTGGGTTACCAAGATTCTGATTATCAATGTTGATATTGGAACCAAATCATTCTGTGTTTTTTCTTTTTTCTTTTCTTTTATGTTTGCCTGCTTGTCTGCGCATGTTAATTAGCAAATAATTGACCTTCTTTGTCTGTCCCACTGTGTGGACTGGTCAATAAAAAAAAGCCTCGGGTTCTTTCCTTCTCACCTTTCGATTAGATGCGTGTTACATAAATCACAGATATCTTACTTTGTCACATATTGAATTATCATATCCAATCTACTGTATTACTAATTTCAAGTCTTTTCTACATAAATATACAAATCAAAAAATCAAAATTATCATGGGTGTCTCTAACGAATTGGGCACCAAATCTGCAGCTTTGTTTCTATCCGGGGGATATTTCGGATGGTTTAGTACAACTTTTTTGAATATAAATATACCAAACTAGGTAAATGCACACACTATAGTAATGATAAAATTCGCCTTTATGTTGTACAACATGAATATTTTGTATTTCGAATCGAAAATATCGAACGAAAATCAAGTTCCCCTGGCCCTTCTTACTTTGTCTAATTTGCTCTAAATAAAATCATGTATATATCAATATGCTTTAGGTACATTACTGATATGTATATAAAGAGTATATACTATAATAAAAGCAAATGGTACTTTATTCTTTTCGAATATATATAAAAAAGAAAAACATAACGATGCGGGCAATATATGTATATGTGAGTGAGTGAGTGAGTAGGTGGGTAAGTGTGTAATGTGTGTAGTATGTGTAGTATGTGTAGTGTGTAATGTGTGTGTAGTGTGTAATGTGTGTGTAGTGTGTGCTTGTATGTGTAGTGCGTATGTAATACATTATCTCATGTCAAAGATACACGGAAAATAGCCAGCCTTTATTTAGGCGCCTTTGCTGCATCCATTGCACTCTGACTTGATGCCGACATTGGAAAACTCTGGGGCTGATGGCCTTTTGGCTTATTGTTTCCAGCGGTCTTTCCATACGAATATACCAGACCAGCCACAAAACCTAAAAAGTAATTTATGTCAGTTACAGCCGATTTCTTCAAACCATCATCATCCAACTTATTATCTCTTTCAAGTTTATCGTCCATTTTTACTACTATTTCTACCTCTGTTTCTGTGTTTGTCTCAAAGTCATTTATCACATAAATTCTTACTTACCAATAATGATCGCTGTCACGTTTCCAAAGGTAGCTGGGTCACCAAAGAACAAAATACCCGAGGCAGCCAGAGGAAGTTTATTCAGGGCACCAACCATGGAATATGTGGTAGATGATGTAGTACGTACACACCATGCAGAGGCATAGGACATTACAAAGGCTGAGACGCCCGAGAAAATCATAGCGTACACCATCTGCTCGCGAACATCAGCTGGGCTAAGCACAAGATAAAGATAAAGATTAGGCACGATTTGTAAAATATATATATATTATATATTAGTTACTTACAAATTTCTAGCCAAATTCTCGGAACTCCAATCTTCAAAGATCAAACTGGGGACAATAAGGAGAGGAATAGAAAGCAGGTTGTTGTAGTATACGGTATCAAAATCCTTGAAATTTGTGAGCTTGATCCTCTTGCGCATGTACAAGACAAAGGCTGCAGAAGATAAACAGTTTGTAGCCATCCAGAAATATCCAATTAATGTTGTATCCAGATCGATAATGCTCGAGAGAGTGTCTGAAATGTCGGCCCAGCCGGCAATCACTGAAGATAGGATCTGTGATTATATAACGTACATATATTTTATTGTGTTAATAAATAGATAGATAGATAGACAAATAAATAAATAAATAAATATGCGTATATCACACGCGCACAAACACAAAAGCACGTACGCTATACGCACTATACGCATTATACACCTACATCCGGTTCTTGCTTGTTTTCTTAAAGAGAATAAATAAACTTACCATAAGACCAAAAGAACTCATAATAATAGGGGTAACGGCGCCACCGAACCAAATAACCTCGCCATAAGCAATCAGAATAATCGTGAGATTCTTGAATATAGTATAGATTGGAATCCTGAGAAACTGTAATGCTTTGGATCCAGTGTAGATCATTGCTACAAGAGAAGCAGCAATCGGCATCCATTTACGGGCCTCATCTTTATCAAATCCGCGAAACTTGATCAGATTGAAGAATTTGAAACTCTGAAGCAGAGTTACAGTAACAATGTTCTATAATTATTACTGTTAGTTAAAAAAAAATTGTTTGTTTCTTTTTTTTTGGTATTAGAGTAATATAATAATATCGTTCTTACCTGGACAGATAATAACAGAAAGTTCATATTGAACTCAAAGCCACTAAGAACATATTTGTTCGTTACGGTCATCAGGATGCTTGCGAAACAATAACTGGCAATAGGCAGGGCAGCGCGTGCACCAGGTGAGAGGGTGAATATAGATGGTGCAACAAGAGAAGACGTCTGGGGTGGCGATGATGATGCTGATGGGCCATCTTCTTCATTGATAATAATTTTGTAGTCTGGCTTTGTTCCCGACATTGTGGGTGTGTATATATATATATATATATATAGTAGTTATAGACTATGAAAAGATAGAAAGGGAATGTAGATGCTTCTTCTATTGAAGCTACTTTTTGTTTGTTTGTTTGATAGATAGATAGAGGGTTTATTTCTTTGTTTCTTTTTGGTGGCGTAAAAGAGTGGTAGACCAAAAGAGAAATAGAGGTAAAGAAAACCAAGAAAATAAGAATGGATGAGGAGAATAAAACAAGGGCGTAGATCTAGTTAACAAGAACCCTCTGTGACGACATTAAATTCGGCAAAAATATATAGATTACACACACATGTAGCCAATCTGGAGTGCTTGGATTTAATCGTCGATCCTTTAATCTGTTTAATACTTGTTCCACTTCCCCCCCTTCACAGATACACACACATTTACACACATCTCTTGAATGTAATACAGATAGGCTTATTCTGCGTTTTAAATGATCTATGGCCTTTTTCTATTTTAAATAAATTATAGATAAAATAAATTATAGATAAATGGAGCTGTTGCGATAACCTATTTCTAAATACAGAATTAACATAAGGTATATTACATGCACCCGAATTGATTTGTTCCTTAGAGAGCAGCCAATGAATAAACATAGGATACCTTATGGTTAGATAGATAGACAGATAAACTTGCTTGTGCAAAAAGCAATCAGACCCTAAGATAATTTATGGTGAATCAGTTACACGATAGAGAATACAACGGGTATAATAATCTCAGCACCACATGCATATGCTCAGCTTGGCTGTGTTCTTGTAATACAGTCACACCTTGATTTATATATATACTTGACATTTTTAAGGTTGATGATATCCCTCCCTCCCACCTCCAGCTCTGCCTCTAACTTGAATAACACACACAGGCATATGTATATATAGTAGACTCTATGGAGTGTTCTTTTTAGTCACAAATTCTGTCACCAGTAGACTACTTTTAAAAGATATGGTTCTATCATCTCATAGACATGCCAAGAAAAGAAAAGAAAAAAAGAAGAAGAAGAAGAAGAAAAGGTTGGGTATTAATTAATAAATAAATAACCAAAAAAAAATAAGAAAAATCGGTTTGTTCAATACCAAGGCTATAATGATTGTGTCACTGTGTAACCAAAAGTCAATATATTCAATTTCATTTTGAAGATCTTTTTTTTTTTACTTTTTTGATTGTACTTAAACATGAGTACTCATTTTCTTATTATATATTTGGCGGGAACAGAACAATTGCTGAATACAGAGAATGTGTATTTCTATCAAAAGCAGTTGAAGCGAACAAATGCAAAAAGCAAAAGAAAGAAACAAATATCTTGGTAATGACTAAGATTTTTAAAATATATATACTAAAAAAAATATACTCATATTAAATAATCAGTAGACACTACTATTTACCCGGGTATATCGGCCCATGTTCAACACCGCAAGAAACTAAGCACGCCAAGAAACACGCTAGTTCTTGGCAAGGGTTCTGCTAATACACACACACGCACACACATATATATATATACACCTTTTGCATATTATTATTATTATTCACTGTTAATACTAGAATTCTAAGAATATAAAATGAACAAAAAAATACTTATCCCAAGTAAATCTGATAAGCTTTAGCTGTAGTGTTTAAACTATCAAGCATGGTATATATATATATATACATATACATATATAAATGTGAATGATTTTAAATGAACTTTTGGTGTAAGCACAAGATAGCTCATATATATAGAGCCATATTTCAATTAAAATTTCTCGAAAAAAAAGACTTATCCCAATTTTACTAAAATATTTAGTATATCTTATTTTCATTTACATTTTCTTTTTTTGAAACATTAACATCAAAAAATGGTCTGTTTAAATTCAAATTTTAAGACATTAAACTCTTAATTCATTACTTGTCTATCAATATCAATAACAAAAACAAAAATCGAGCTGTTCATTCATGGCTATGTAGTTTATGGATCAAATTGTTGACTTATCAAAGTCACGTGAACTGTCCAAAAAAAATGCCTTTACTGGCGTTCATTAGTTTTACACTATTACATACACGCACAAACGCCAAAAGAGAGCGAGAAAATTAAAAAAAAAAGTGTTTTTTGTTGGCTGTTCTAAAGACTCCTATTTTATTTTTTAACATGACAACATATGTGGACGAGAAAGTCAAACAGTTAAACTCTTCTCTCTTGACAGCTTTTCAAAATCTCGATGCTCCACAACTATTGACAAATGAACCCGGTAAACAGTCTGACATGCATACTGCACGCGATCAAGGCGACAAACTACGTTTTTTATCGAATGCAATTCCGTCGCTGGACCTAAACTCTTCAACTACCCTGACAAACCTTACCCAGCTCGAGGATGTACTTGACAGCTATATTACCATAACCAATACCACCAGTACCACTGCCACTGCCACTGCCAATAACACCGACCCTTCAATTGAGTGGTTATTTGTAGCCAAATGCACAGTTGCTGCATATGCCTTTGTTTTCTCAAAAGTATTGAACTCTACTCTTCCACTCTCGGAATCTATTCATTATTGGAATGACATACATGGAAATAGCATTCAAGAAATATACTATGCGCTCCAAAGTATGTATCTCAAAGTATTTTTTTGCTGTTGTTGCTTTTCATAAATACACATACAACAGCATAAAAGAAGCATAGGGAGATAAATTAGAAAGAAAAGGGTCTGATATGTATTTGTGTGTGTGTGTGTGTATGTATGTATGTATGTATGTATTTATGTTAGCTGCCCCTGCTCGTATTGGACAATTGGCTGTCAATACACTGCAGCAAGCGCGAACAAGTCAAGTTGGGATCAAGTCGGTGCTTTCATCCCAAAAACACATAATATCTAGTCTTTTTCCAGTTCACGCCAAAGCATGGACAAAGGAGAAGATGCATCGATCTCCTATACAATTTCTTAGCGAAATGTCGCGACGCCCTTTGATTTTGCAATTGATTCGTGATGAAATTGGACAAAAGAAGAAGAATCTTGAATACTTCCGCTCTCAACAGGCTGCCCGGTTAGGTCTGCTGATAAAGATGACACCACAATTCACTTCTGACGAAGCTAATGAAACCAACGATTCCACAACATTTGAGAGTACAATAAGCTATCAGACATCGCGTTGCGTTGAGCTTATTGGATGTGTTTTGGAACCATTTATGAATGAAATTGATCCTCTTGGATTTGGTGCATCGGGAGACAAGAATCTAAAGAGATCGATGGGTAAAAAATAATAACAGCAATAGTATATAGATATAATAGATTTATATATACATTTATTGTGTTTTGGTCTGCTAAGAAAAAAGTTTGGACTTGTGCATTACAGGTGCTCTCCAGACATTATCTCCTGAAAGCAACGAACCTGCTTATTATGCTAAGCGACTTTCTGTATTCCTAAAGAGCTGGGAGAAATGCGAACAGAATTTGGATTCTGTTTATCAGATCTATGGTCCCCTCTCAGTCGCCACCCGTTACTGGATTCCTACCCTCACACTTTTCTTGACTGGTGACATTGCCATCAAGTATGTGTTCAAGAGAAAGGATGATATTAAGCAATGGATCAAGGAGCTTGCTATAACTGGACATGACTTTGTCGTTCATTGGATTTGGGAGCCTATTCTCAAGGTTTGGGACACCATTCGACTTAAGGATCAGAGTCTCACTTTGCTCAGTAAAGAGGGGCTTCGGAGTGACCTTGAGGTAAGCATAAAAAAAAGGACCTAATTATATGTATGTCTAAAAGCAAAAATAATACTAATGTTTTTGATATTGAATTTAGTCGCTTGAGAGAATGGTTATCAACTTTGCCAAAGACAATTGCCACATGTCAGAGGTGGATATCTCCCGTATCCCTTTGCAAATTAAGGAAGGAGATATGTCTTTAGTATTGAAAGCATATGAGCAAGAGATGAAGGTAAACCAAAAATAAAACAGGATAGAATAGAATAGGATAGAATAATACTAATAAACCCACGCTGATTACGCTTCAGAAGCGATCACTGACCCAATTATATCTGCTTATTCCTTCTTCCTTATTCTCTTCTCTTCGCTAATATCCCCCCCTCTTTTGAATATCATCGTTCTTTTTTTTTTTGTCTTACACGTAGAACCCAATTAAAAATGCAGTTGCTGGTAGGTTTCCTATTGACACCACAGAGTGGTTTTTATTTTATTTTTTGTTATTTTTATTCTTATTCTTATTTTATTCTTATTATCAATATACTTCTTCTACTTCTTTCTCTTCTTCTATTATCACTAATCATTTATGTCACGGTAAAAAAAAATAGGAAACCTTATCCAAACTTTGCTGATCCAAGTCCAAAAGACAAAGGTTGATGTCGATCTTGCAATGTCTGCCCTAGACAAGCTTTTAAAGTCAAATGAGTTGAATTTTGCCTTTCTAGGTAGGATATGATATGATTAGATTGAATTCAATTCAATTAAGTTGATACACAATCAACCAATTAAGAATCTTATAGATAGAGGAATTAATTTAACATGAATACTAACATTATTGATTATCATTCTTCAGCTGTCGCTCCTTCTATGCTCTTGACATGGGCCTCTTTCTCTTGGATTAACAATTTCTACAAGAGTCGTACTGGCCAGAAAGTGAGAAAGATTGGACAGCCACTGAGGGATACATTAAGGTACATCGATCTACACGATTTATACTATATATGTATATGTAAATAAAAGGGATATCACTAATACTAAAGTTCTTGTACTAAAAAAAAACAAACTTTATAGACGTGTGGAACGTTTGTTAAACCTCGGCTCTCTTGCCGGAGAAAGAAAAGAAGATGGCTCCCAGTCAGATAGTAACGACGGTCTATTGAGTTGTGAAAGTCAAGGAACCTTACTGTGTGAAGTCCATTTGCTGCGTTCATATGCTCATGGTCTTCCCAATCGAAACTCCATGCGTGAGCTGTTTATGCAGGATCTTCGTGATTTAGAGGATCCGAATCTGACAAGATCCCAAAAAATACAGACAATTGCACGCATGTATCGCCACTGGAGATTCTTATAAACGGCCATTATTATTTCTATTACTTTAAAAAAATGTACACAATATATTATACTATCATGTTTTATGCTTCAGTAAAAAAAAAGTTTTCTTTCATTAATGTTGCCTCACAATCTCAAGACTATTATAAGTATTCATACATATATACACCCAAGTAGAGTGAACTTTTATTATTAATAGTAGTAGTAGTAGTATTTTTGGATTTCGAGGGTCAACTCAGGAGTGACTATATTAGAGTAGTTAGCTAGCTAACAAGTGAGTGATATGAGTGTGAATGCGCGTGAGTTAGCAAACGAGTGATTATTATTAGAAAATATAGAGAAAGAAGTTTGGTTTGGTTTTTAAAGTTAATCCTCTTAATTAACGATTTATGCAAGAGGTTTTTCTGGTTTTTATTTATTTATTTACTTATTTTTTTTTTACATTAATCAGGAAAGGATTGTAAAAGGGGATTTTAAAGATATGGGAGTACATACTCGCATCGTGGATCCTCAACTTGCATATCACACTCCTTATAATCACGTAAGTGATTTGATCCACTACAGAAAACCAAAGGTAGAATACAGCAAATAAAGAAAAAGATGTGTATGCCCAAGTGCCAATGAAGCATGCTTGTTTTATATAAATAAATCATATACAACGATCAATTGAAGAGTAGCTGTCATATATGAGGATAGAGATCATGTAACAGATTCACCCATGTTTATGAGATGAATAATTGGTGGGAACGGTCTAGGCAATGGACTAAAGAAGAAGAGAGAGAGAGATCAACCCTTAGGGATAAATATTTCGCTTGTGTGTGTGTGTATGTGTGTGTGTTTTTAAAGGGCAAAACATGACATGGCTTTGAATTTTACAGTGAATACTGGTGCGAGCCTGTTTTTCCAAAATAAAACAATAGCAACAAGAAATAAGGATAGCAAATGTATGTAGTCTGTTTAGGAGTCTTTATATGGATATAACCCCCTTTTTATTTAACTTCATTCGGATATAGATTTTCTTAACCCTACTGTATTGATAATCGAGAGAGAAAGACTGTGTGGATATGTATAGCTGTCTATGTCTCCTGCTTCCTTTTTCTTTTTGGGGCTCGATTTTTTTCTAGGAGACTATACTAAGAACTTACGCTCGCGCGCGCAAAAGAAAAGTGCCCTTGTCTAGTACAGGGTTAATTGGCTGTCACTACTCCCTGAGGTAATTCACTAAGCACAGGCTATACGTCAACCATTCCATTATTTTCCTTTCTATTATTATTTTTTTAGTATAAAAAGGATTCGCATTGTTCACATTTTTGTTCCCTATCCAGCTCAATCTCAACAAGCAAACAATCAAAATCATCATCTCAATCATGAAGGCCTCTTACATTCTCGCTATCGTTGCCATCTTCGCTGCCGTTGTCTCCGCTGACAGAAGCCAAGAAGCCGAAGCTATTGGAAACAAGGGTGGTGTTTCTGGCTTGGTAAGTCTTTTCTTTCTATTTTTCTGATTCGATTTCTAAATGTTACCAATTCTTACACACTCTTCTTCTTCTTCTTTGGGATCCACAGTTCAACAACAAGTTCAAGGGTGGTTTTGCCGCTGACAATGGCGTCGACAACAAGGTTTCCCAGGACAATTAAAAATCGTAATCCATACTATTCTTTCCAGGCCGTTCCGTATCTAATTAATTGGACATGATCTTGTGTATTCATTTGTGATAATGGCTACGGATATTTAGAATATTGCACACTATTTTTTCTTCTTCTTTTAATTGTCATAAACATCGATATAAGCGGGATATTTTTCATTTCTGAAGTATCAGCGCATTTTGATATTCTCTTGCTAAATAATAGCTATATATTATTTAGTATTGATAGTTTCATTATATAAAACCCATTTAAACCATACAAACTGTTCCTATTTTATGCTGTGAAATGAAGTGGTCCATACAATTACATTTCCTCTAAAAGTCTAATTTATTGATAGTACGAGTAACAAAGTACTAAAATATTTGAGTATTAGTCTCTCCTACTTTAAAACTGGCATACAATAAATGCACTTTTCATTTTTTTAAGAAACAAAGTGATACCAATGTTAAATCACTGTGCTATTATTAATATCATATATGTATGTGTGTGTGCCTTGATCCTAAACATCAGTAAGAAAAAGGTGAAAACATTGCAGAGTAGTGCTTTTTTCTGCTTTTCCATTAGTACTATTAAACCTATCTATAGCTACTAGTGTCTATCAAAGACCTTTCTTCTTATTAGTATTATTTTTGTTTATTTCACTTTGTATTAAATCGTATTTATCAGCCATTATTTTGTAAAGAATATTTTATGTCTATTGTTACAGCAATAGTTTTCCAAGTTGTAAAATGTTACTTTTATATGTATATATTCCAATGAGAAGCTGTGTAGAAATTTCTTGTTCTGTATATCTACTCTAAGTACTACTATATTTGTTTCAATATTAAAAGCAGTATAGTATGTTTTTTTTTTAAAAAAAAAGAGTAAGAATAGCTATTTAATCATATACATGCGCCATACTAGACCATGCCTATGCACACAGTAGACTCCTATTAAAATCAGCTGTACTCAATATATAGAGCATTATTGCACAGGTAGCCTGTGTAAGGAGGCTTCTGTATGTCTGTGTATTAGAGAATAATATAGAAATCAATGAGATGTAGTAGGTATTTTTTGGATTTCAATAATACACGCATGTATGTACGTATGTACGTATTTATACATGTATTTACTTATTTACGTATATTCTATGGCTATTATAAATATATTTCAAGCAATAGTACAATAGTCCAAAATGATACAGGTAAATGTATCATTTTGTATAATCCAAAAACTAATGATGTGTATAGTATGAACTGTACGTAAATCAATAAAGATTTTTACAGTCAAATGAAAATAATATATATAAATGCCTATGTTCTACTCTTACTCACTCGATAACCCACTCACGTATTCACTCAGTTTTTTAAAGAATAAATAAATAAATAGAAATTGACTTTCTTATCTAGCCCATCCCAGTCTTATTTTTCAAATGTTAGATAAATATGCTGTATATTTTCAAGTTCAAAAAGTCCAAAAGAAAAAGAACGGATAAAACCCTTGAATATTTAAGCTAGAGAAGCATATTATTTATTATACGCTCATTATTATTATTTCAAAAAATAAAATAAAAGCATTTGAGATTCTTTTTTTATTGCAATACTATAGCATAATATTTCTATTAAGAAATTAACAGTGTAATGGAGTGCATACCGCAGTCAAATGATACTACGAAAAAGAAGAAGAAAACTTAACGATAAAATCATGTCTATCAAATTTCTAATAAACTTTGCACAATATAATCTCATAAATTCATATGCCCTTGGTACACATAAAAGCACGCGCACACCAACAAAATTTGCGTTACAATATATATATACTCGTATAAGAGGCCTCTTTCTTTAAAAAAACGAAAAAGGAACCTGTGTGATTACACTTTTAGACATCACATTTGAAACAACAAAGACGTGTAAGCCAAAACTTGATCCAATAAATCTTCATTTTCAACTTTTTGTATCAATAGCATTTCTGGGATATATATAGTTATTCTTTGGATTAAAAACAAACGGTGTATCTGAGTTGCTTCTTTTTGTTGATCCCAAGTTTATATAACAAGATTCTCTCTCTCTATCTAAGATTCTGCAAAATGTTATATATATCATGTTTTTTTTTCTTGTCTTGAACATATAGATACTTTATATACTATATGCCTGGGTATATATAAATCCAAGGCAATTACAATTTAATATATCAAAACAAGCGTCATTTTCTTTCTTATTAACACTATATGGAAAAAATACGTATTTAGGGATGTATTTTGCAAAAAATCACCTACTAAAATCACCTTTTTATTTACCATACTGTAATTATTCGTGCTGTTCTTTTATAAATATAAATAAAATCTTAAAAGGAGAGTATATTATTTATAAAAAATTATCCGGATGTGTGATACAATAACTTGACTTTGAAAGAAGGGGGGAATAAGGAGAAAATGGGAGGATTTTTCTCTTGTTGGTTGCACCAGCTAAAGAGAAAACAAACCATGATAATAATTTATACATCTGTAAGGCTGTAAGGGCAATTGAATTTTTGGTATATGGTGCGATATGAAAATTTGGTCAGCCGAGTGGATAGAGAGTTATACGCACAATTTTGAGGGGGTGTTGGGGATAAAGCAAAGTGAGGGTAGTCACGGCGAGACTACAAAGGATGGTAATAAGGGGTCTTCTCTAAAAGGCTCAGACAGTACAAAGTCACCAGAGCGAACTATGTCTTCTGCGACAGATATAAACTTAACGGGAAAAGAAAGTGCCTTATTCATTTGGTATATACAGTGTTGGCATGATCATAATTATCTAAGATAGTGTTATATCCTGAAATGTTGCTGTGCGAGATTCTATGTACGTCTCTTCAGTTCAGTTTAAACTGAACGTATGGCCGACCCGGACAACATAACATACAGTGAAGTGGGAAAAGTGTTGCAACGTTTTTTAACACCCGGTTACACTCTTTGAGTAACAAGTTCTTTCTTTCACTTTTACATTACAATTCTAAATAAAAATGCAACAACCTAAATGCCCAGAAAAGTCCAAAAAAAACCTTTAACTAAAGGACACAAGCAAACCGATGATACAACTCGTGCAATAATTGTGCATGAGAGCGTTAAGAATGGCACTAGTCAAGCTAACATTGCCAGAAAAGTTGGTGTAACCAAATACGTAGTTCATCGCGTTCTCAAATCCTACAAAGAAAGCGACTCGTACAAAGCTGGTGTGCGATCGGGTAGACCAAAAAAGTTGAATGAGAGAGACAAGACAGAGATTCTCCATGAGATTAACCGTGATGCAACAACCCCAATGACCACAATTTGCAAAACCTTGTCTACACCTGTGTCAGTAAAAACTCTGCGAACCTTTTTGCGTGGCGTTGGAATACACTCTCGCAAAATGATTTCCAAGCCAAAGATTTCTGAAATCAATCGAAAAAAGCGATTGGAATGCCATTATCCGGTCTGATGAGTCGAAATTCCGACTCCATGGTAGTGATGGACGCCGGAAAGTTCTCAAGCGTAACAAGATGGGTCTGCAGGCTGACTTTGTCTCACCAAAAGTGAAGTTTGGAGGTGGCTCCATTATGGTCTGGGGGTGCTTCTTTGGCAATGGTGTCGGCACTTTAAATGTTGTAAAGGGGAATATCGATTCCAAGAAGTACATTGACATCTTGGAAAAGTCATATCTTCCCTCTTTGAAGACTTTTAAAGAAAATAAGTGCGATGAGCAAGGCTTGGAAAAAGAAGAATTGTCTTCAACTTTTGGGTAGCTGGCCACCACAAAGGCAAGACCTCAGCCCTATTGAGCATATCTGGACTTATCTGAAGTATAGAATTAGAACAAACAGATATAGACTATATAATATTTATCATTTGCGTCATGCTGTAGAGAGAGAATGTTGCACAATTCCAAAAAAAAATACAGTAATTAGTTTTCAGTATGTTCAGAAGATGTCAGGCTGTGATCAATGCCAAAGGCAACTGCATAAAATAGTAAAAATATATTTTTTTCATACATTATAAAATAAAAGACTTTTATCTTTATGGCTTAGTAGTTTGAGGATGTTAAAGAGTGTTTTGGATACATTTTCTTTTGATATGAAAAGTATATATTTCTGTAGAGATGTGGTAACTGAAAAATGTTGCAACACTTTTTCATCCTTGCTGTAGTAGTTATAATATATATATATATCTTTAAAAAGAATTTTAAAATTTATATTCTACTTTATATTAAATCTATAAATTTATTACTAATTTAGAAAGTAGAGATAGATAGCAATAATTAGCTAAAGAAAAGTTTAATAAAGTATAAAATAAAAAGCTAATTGTTGTATTTAGGATACTTTAATATCTGATATCATACATAAACTCAGACAGATGTAGCTGTCAAATAGGTCATTATAAATGATTATCCAATATGAAGTCCTATCTGAAACATAATAGCAATGTGTCTGATTCATTATTGGATCATCTTCAAGATGTACTTAAACTATTATTGTAAAGTCATTACTGTGGTATTTCAGGTACGAAACAATAGAAAAATAAAATATTTGATAATAGAGACGTATCGAAATACTTTGAGACTGTATATCAGTTGTCTTTATTCATAAATAAAAAGTGTCCCTTTTTATAAGAAAACACTGTTGTAAATGAGTATTGACTACTGCTGTAATTGAGAATAAGTCTGAAGGAAATAATATAAGGCCTCAGCTATTCCAGTCAAAGGTGTTTGTTGTAAATGAGTATTGACTACTGCTGTAATTGAGAATAAGTCTGAAGGAAATAATATAAGGCCTTAGCTATTCCAGTCAAAGGTGTCTACTGATTACTTTATTATTTAACACACAGGTTTAGCATGTATGATAGTGATTATATTTCATATGCTGATATCACTATAATATGGGATACATCAGTGGATTATTATAAGTATAATTATAACTCATAAACATATTTATTTTCGATGTTAATACTTCATTGGGACTACACACATTTATATAATTAATCATACATTAATTATCACAAGATCACGTTGCTCTGATTAAAGCTCAGATAGGATCGATTACCTGATCTCAGTCATATAATTTTCCCGATTCAAAATAATATAAATAGCAGTAGTAGTTCAGTGTAGAAACTGGGTCAAACTTTAATATAAAATCTTTTCTCAATAAACAAAACCTACACAAGTTCTCACGAATCTTCGTTCCTAATCTTAAATCTTTAATTCTTCCTCTTAAAAACTTCTTCAACTTCAACCACCACAACAAACACAATCTGCTCTTGTCATTTCATTTTAGTTTTTTAAGGTTTTCTTTCTTTAATATATTTGATTATTAGAGTGTATTTACTGCTTAACTAGTATCAGTATTATAATTATGACATCAAACCATAAATCATATTTATTTAGCTCTTAGCTATTCTTTTCTCTTTTACACTAGAGCTTTAGGACTTCCTAATAAATTAGTTTCATATTGCTCTGATACCATTTACCTGGCAGTATAATATAATTATCTTAACAATTTTTAAGATATTATCTATAGTACTAACTATAATAAATATTGGTCCAATTACTTAATTGTTTATATATATCTTATATGCTGACAAGATGATAGCTACTATGCTATCACAATATGAATATGTTTTTATATGTGATGAATTCAACAGTCAAGTATCTAGATCACTATATAAATAACTATTATTTTATGTAATAATATAAAATATTATTTTAAGAGAAGATAAATAAAATAGAAGGGAGAAAAAGAAATCAGAGACAGAGTTTCTCACAAAACCAAATAAATCACTTCAGTTTATCACTAAAACAATATCACTTTATCAAAAAAAAACATTGATAATAACTAAATAGACTCACCAGCCAGTGACTAGTAACACAGATGTATGTAGACAATATAATATTTTATATAAAAGCTTAAACATATAAGCCCGGCTAGCTCAATTGGTAGAGCGTGGGACTTTTAATCCCAAGGTTGGGGGTTCGAGCCCCCCGTTGGGCGCTTATTCTTTTCGTTTTTTCATTTTTGCTTGTACTACATGCTTTGTCGTTCCCGATCTGGGGTGGTCTTCCTTTTACTATAGCAAAGTCAAAAGGTCAAACCCACTGGGGATCAAGGAGTATACGTAAAATCAAAGAGAGGATAGAAGATATTTTTTATTGATAGAATTGCATTGTCTTCTACAGTTGTCTAAACTAATACTGTATATTATCCGCAATAGCTATTATATTATATTTAAATAAGAGAAGAGTCATTATACTGCGGTTAATCACCTTCAGATTTTACGGATTCATCAAAATAATGTCCAACAACTTTGGCAAATATTTAAGCTGATTGGTGTTTTTCTTTAAAATATCGAAAGAGTAATTAGTTTGTTCGAAGTAATATTCTTTTTTGTGAGATTCAAAGCCGAATTGTTGTTGTTAGTTCTAAGATTTACTTTAAGGTATATGTTTTTGGCCATTTTAAATAAAGTCAAAATATTTACAAAAAGAAGAAAGGAGTGTATTAAGTATATCTTTCAATTTATGGTATTTTTTTGCGTCAAAATCTATAAAGATTATAAATATGTTATCGTGTTTTTTTTTTTTTAAAAAAAAAGAAAATATTCAATTAAGTTTTTATTATATTTTATTGATTTGCTGTGATGCTCTGTGTACAGCGTTTAAAATATTATCAAAATAGACTTAATTTCTTGTAAAGCTTATCTTAGTATAAGGTTAAAGATTAAATTTTGTTTAGTGAATATGGTTAGGAATTCGTATATCTCGCAGTTTTCCAAGTACAAGAAAAATAAGGGTTTTTTTTTAAAAAAAAAACTTAAAAGATAAAAGCTAATGAACTAACAGTAGTAATATAAGAGCTGTATTTTACTTTTCTTTTCACAGTAATTTAGTATTAATACAAACAAAATTATGTTTCTTTTTTCTGCTATAGAAATCTCTGGAGTGTATCACTATAAAAAAATAATCTTTGAGTCAAGACAGTCGATCAGTATCGTGACCGGCAACGACTGTCAAATCTTATATAGAAAATGAAATTAACTCAGAAATAGGAAAAATTTTCTTTTCAAAAAACTATATAAAGGGCTTTAATCCCCAGAAATCTAAAATTCTTTAATCAAAAATAACGATTGCAGCCACGATGCATGCTACGTCTTCGGACAATAGCTCTGCATTGCCAGGAATCTTTCGATTTCGACGCATACCAGATCATAAGTTCTTTTACCCTTGTGGTAGAAACAGTCTCTCTTGTCATTAATTTGATTAGTAGGGTGACTGTGCCGACGAGGAACGACATTTTATTATATGAATAATAAATTATATTTAAAAACAATAAAATGAAAATAATTGTCTTTCAGATAATACTATAAATTTCTCTGTTAGTGTTCACAGAGGATATTGACATGTCATTTTTGATGCTAATAATTTTTAGAAATATATTATACTTGATTTTATAAATACCTCTTGTATTGTTCTTGATGCTATTTAGACAATGTATATATACTTCTTTTTTAAAAAAAGCATTAATAAAAGAGCAAGTATTATATCTTCATTTTTCTTTGTTTCGTGAATATTAAAAAAGTTCTATATTTATTTTTAATTATTTTCTTAAGCATAGCTTCTAGAATCAGGAGCCAAAAGGAACATTTCTGAATATGTTACGGAACCCAAACGCTTCAAAAGAGGTTTTATCTTTGAAGAAAGACCATCTTCTCCCCTAAGCCACTTCCAGAGCAAAGGGTGAATAGCATCTTGCTCAACGTTATTTACCAAAGTATTCAATTCTACACAATCACAAAGAGTTAATTACACTATCAAACATATCAAATTTGGAAGAGTATTTTGTTACCTTTTGTAATGCCTACGAAAGAATCAGAGATGCCTTCCAATGTATCAATGTGGTCATACAAAGAATTTGTAGCAACGATTGCACGGTAGGCAGCAATAAATATACCCGGACGAGAGGTTATACCGTAAGGTCCATTTTGCATAACCTTTGAATATTTAAATTAGCAAGTTGTTTATAATTAAGTGAAATACATTAAATAGCTAACAAAACACAGTAACAATAGAAAGAAAGAAAAAAACTTACAAAAGTAGAAAGATTTTTTAACTTTTTGCAAAGGTCAATAACCTGATTGACCGATTTACCAAATGTACCATTACACAAGTATTGGGATTGATTTTTAAACTGGCTAGGGTATCTGGAGTTCAGTATGTCAATGTCTATGTATACCCACTGGAGGTCCAAGAGATCTTCTTTGTAAATATTAGGAGACTCTCTTGCAAAAAGCACCTTCGTTTCAGAAAGCTCTTCTTTCCAAACACAATCTATTCAAATTGTAAATTTTCACATTTCACATATTCAATTCTATAATGTTACTACTACTTACCTAAACTCTGTTCTGCTTCAAAGACATTCGTAAGGGTCGATTGTAAATGTGTAGAGTATTTTGCATTTTTGGAAAGGTGCAAGTTGACCAATTCGACAGCTCTTTCTGGATGAACAGGTGCCTATTTTTGTTGACTTTTGTAAGTATGAGAATATAGAAATTCGGCTAATTTTTAATGAAAAACAACAACGGAAAAAAAACAGGGATACTTACTGGTAGTCGAAGTGCAACAGAAACAATGTTTGCAGTGTTGTTGCGAATATCGATATCATCATCCTAAAATAATTGAATTAATTTAATTGACCCAGATTTAAAGATATATTACATATGTTGAATATTACCTGAAGAAGCTGAGCAATCACAAACTGGACAGTGGCCTTCATTTCATCTACAGCATCGTTTGTTTCGTTGGCGTAAGCAAAGACAGTCTTAGCAGTGAAATGAGTGGATTCGACAACGGCTTCACGTAATGTCAATGTCTAAAGATGCAAGTGTGAGTGCTATAGAAGAAGAAAGTATATATAAATTTTCTTTACGTACCACATCTTGATGGCTATACTTTGTCACATAGTTACACCATGTCAAGAGACATTTCTGAGCCCACTCCTCAGTAGAAAAGTTCTTTAAAATCTTTGGTGGTATTAGCATTGTCATGTTTTATAACCAATATATTATCATTATTATTTACCTGGGCCAAGAGTGCTCCAAGAAGTGGCAATACGGATTCGGTAACTGACGTCGATTTCTTTAGAGTGAATTGCTCGTTGAGTTTATCCCAGTATTGTTTCAAAGTAAATCCAAGGTGAAGTCCAGCATTGGAAGGATATGGACTAGCCGAAAACAGTGACATAAGTAATTTAGCTGCCAGCACAAAGCAGTTTTGGTTTTCCTCATTTCCGTTTGTCATCTGAACAAGCTTGCACTGTAAGAGTTCGATTCTTTTTTAAGAAAAAAAAAATACACGTGTTAGGGCGACATTTTGTGATATTGATAATTTACGGTTAAGAAAAAGATAAGAAAAATACTTACCCTGAATCCTTAATAATAGATACGTCTTGATGCTTCTCGAAATAACCCTGAAGTTGCTCCAATGCTTCGAGGCGAACTTCATAATCGCGATCTTCCAAAAGGAACAGGACATTTATCAATTGAGCATTTGGTTGGTACTTCTTCAAAGTGCCCAGCATGATGACTCTAGCCATATTCTGACGCACAAGGTATCTGCCAATTTCAGCCGCATTGACATCGGATTGATGAACAGTGGAACTGCAATAGTTGAAAACTTCGTTTCGGACCACCTGGAGTTTTTCGCTAGAAATGGTTTGCATTTCTAAAAGTGTACAGTGTAAATAAAGGTAAAGTGGTTAGAATAAAAGGTCATATATTTGCAAGAAAAAAAAGTTAAATATTATTCTCCCATTACCTTTAACAGCTTTTCCATCCTTATCAGCGTACATCCAAGTGCACTCAAAGAAGAATTCACCGATAATTTCCAATAACAGAGCTTGTGTCATACAGCTGACACTGTTTGAGAACAACAACTCGAATGCGACTGCAACTGAGGAAGGGATTACATTGAAAAATTCAACCAGTACTTCGTCTGGAAGGTTACTATACAAGTGTCCGCGGAGTAGGAACTGAACTTGCAACAAACGTCCATGAATTTCATTCTGAGATAGCCTTTGATTAAAGGTCAACAGTTCAGATACTGTTTTGGTCAAGTCAACTAACGGAACAAGTGGGACTAGTGCCCTGGCAGCCATCTCCCGAGTCTAGAATCACAGCAATAAAAAGCATGAAAAGCAGGAAATATAATATCATTAACTTTTATCTTAAAGTACCTTAAAGATAGAACTGGATGCACAGGACATCACAAGAGGAACAAATGGAGCCATGGATATGACCTCATCTGTACCATCCATAACAGAAGGATGCATGCGTGAGAGGAGAGTCAAGATGGGGTAGAGACCAGGGTGAACACTTGCAGCCTAAGTAAGCATTAAATAAGTCAACTGTACATTGTGTGATGCTCTTTACCCAAGCGTTATTTAAATTACCATCGAGTCAGCAAGAAGTTGCTTAACAGCAATGTCGAGCTCCTTGAGAAGGTACGGGTGGAGTTGAGGGAATCTAGTGAAAAACTCACGTCCTGTCAATTTGTTAAGACCACTATGTTCATCCTTAATCTTTTTTGTTCCGAAGGTTCTTTGCAAAAGTGTCGAGAACAACATAACAGAGCAGTTACGAATAGCCCAACTAAAACATATGAAAAGGAATTTGTCAACAAATGATGTGCAATTGGCGAATGAATTATTATCAATGACAAACCTTGGAGACGAGAATCCGTTAATCGAGAGTGAAAAGCCATCTGAAGCATATTTCAAAACGCTTGTTCCGAGCTTAGAATCCATAAAGATGGTACGAAGAATGTTGAATGCATGAACTTGGGGAAGATCAATCTTTTGGTCAGCATCGGATGGTGCTTCAACACTTGCAAGCATGAAGAGACGCTGCATAGCCATTTCCAGCAAATCTCTCTTGTTAGGCTTTTCACTGCTTACAACACCCAGAATACAAAGCGGAAGACCTGCACTACGTCTAGTGATGGAAATATTACTTGATGTTAAGCTTTCAAGGTTCTCCTACAAGATTATTTAAATATGTATTAATATTTTTTTATTAGATCTTATGTTTTATATTTCTTAAAAAAATTACCTTTAGCCATTCCGAAGGAAGACGTGCGATGTCAGTCATAGGTGAAGCCAACAATCTAGAATTAAGTGATACATATGCAGGATACACAGCAGAGAATGCTCCTCGATGTCTGATAGTTGTAAGCAATGAACGAAGGAGAGAGCCACTTTCCACCAAGTCATCGTAGGTGATAACACCCTATACATATATAAGAGTTGTTTTTTGTTTAAAAAACCATACATTACTTCCCTTCTTTGTCTTTATCTTAGATTGTTTACCTCTTTCGAGTGGTGTGTAACTATAGGAGCCTTTGAAATGATAACTTCCAAAAGTGAACTAAATGAAGAGTGTTTAAAGCAATATTAATTCAAGATCATCTTAAAAGGAACATTTCATATACAAAAGAAAAAGAAATAAATACCTAGCTTCCTTTACTGCTCTCCAGCATGAGCTCAAAATAATCTGATACTTTGGACCTGACCATTCAGAGTCAACATTGTCAATAATCATGTCATCTTCATTTTCTTCCATATCTTGGATAGACGCAGGGATATTTCCTTCAGGAGATGGGTTCGACAAGACTTCCATAACTGTATTACAAACGGTATGGATCAGAGTCAGAGCGCGTGAGTGAGCCTTTTTCCATGCATTGATATCAGAAAATACTGCTGGATTATGGTATTCGAGCTCACGGAAGACATATCTACGCAGGAGGGCATAATACATCAATATTCATTTAAGTAAATGATGAAATTATAGTTTACTATAAAAAACACTTACTGCAAAGCCAAGAGGGTTCCGTGCATTGGCTTATATTGTGCAGCTTGGAGTAGGTTGTTCTTTGCAGCAGCGACCTGCCCGTCCAACATATCCATCAACTTTCCAGTAAAGACGACTAGAAGAGAAAATAAAGAGTACATATTAAATAAGCGTTTGCTTTCTCTACTACAAATATTCCTTTTATTAGTATTATTTCTTCTCTTACCAGCTGGTGAACCGTCATGGTCTCCAGATCCCTTGCTTGGTGCTACGTTTTGTTCGGGGTTGAGGTCGAATCCAAGAACAGTAATATACTTGGTGAAAATCAATCGGAAAATCATTGCACCACTATCGCTTTCTCCAGCTCTTGTGCTGACAACATTGCTTAATCCCCACCAGAGTAAGCTCTGTACATCTTCTCTCGACTCAATACCAGGCAATGGGCTGGGGAATTGTTCAAGAATATCAAAAGCGAGATTTCTGTTAAAGTCGAACGGATTTGTTAAAATATCAATTAAAAGCTTCGTATTGCGAGGGGATGCAGTAGGAACTCTGAATGGGAACTCTGGACGGACAGTAAAGCCATCTGGGATAGGGATCTCTTCGATTCCAAAAATCTTGATTACAACTCCAATGAGTCTCAGTGCTGTAGACACACGTTGGAAAGAAGATCCAGGATACAAAGAGGTAGCATTGTGCTCATTAAGCCAATAAAGGAAAGCTTTACCATCCTCAATTGCTTTCCACATGGAGGCAGCTTCGGCAAGTACTGCCTTAATATCTTCTTCTGATCGCTTTCCACGGTTATTTTCCACATACACGAGACGTGAGCGATAGGTACGATACTGGGCGTACATGCTACCCCTCAAACGAGTCAAGAATTTTGTGATGTGAGCGCAAAGAGTTTGTCTGAATTCAGGAGACGTGCAGTTCATGTTCAATGGCAAAAACATCTTGACCATATCGAGCTCAATATTTGTAACAGTAGATGATGCCTTTCGTGATTCACACAGAAGACCAAGAGCATCAATTCTAATTTGATTGTCCAAATGGTAGATTGCCAATTTGAGGGTATCTACAGAGATCTTGGAGTTCTCTAATGATGCTCTGTCTATTTTCAAAATTACTAAAAGTTCGCTTCACACAAGAATAAAAATAAAAATCGAAAACACTTGTATTCTTACCATAGGAGTATGCACTTCCATCCACGATATCCAAACTTCTTCCTGCCTTTAGTACAGCAATAAAAGCATTTAAGCGGAAATTAGGATCGAGTTCGGACCAATGTTTATCATCCGTATCTTGCAATATCTTGATGATATACCAGAATGACTGAGGAGAGACTTTAAAGAGTGGCTGGAGAATAAATCCGCTGGCATTTCTACGCAGAATTTCGGAATCTGAGGTAAGACACTTGAGGACAGGTACTGCCCATACTTTGATCCAATTGTCAATTGCTGTCTATACAAATAAACGGCATATCAAGTTAAGAAAGTTGTTAAAAATTTATTTTACACAAAGTATTCATACATCGATATCTATCAATATCTACTTTTTTTTTTACCTTTGTCTCGGCATCCTTTTCTTTCAATGTCACATTTTGGCCCTTGAATGGACTGTAGCCAGGAATTGTCTCTTCAATACGTTGATAAAGAAGTGAAAGAACAAGGGATGTAATTTGTGGAGGAAGAACAAGACTGTCCATGGCACGGAAACATTTCCAAATAATCTCTGGTTCAGCTTGGAAAAAGGCGTCTGTTCCAACTTTTGGAACCAAAATGTTCAAAAGAGCATATTTAACCTATTTAATATGTTAATCCTGATATACTTGACTCTCGTTTCATTTTTATACAATACCTTTCTGTGCCAATCCATAATTAATAGATTATTCAAAAGTACCGAAAGGAATTCATCATATTCACTCTTCTTATTGTAGAAGCTAGCTCTTGTTTCCATAATACCAAGAGTAAGTTCAAATATAGTGCGGACCTGATTCACAAAAAAAAACACAACTTTAGAAACAGCCTATGAACGGGGTGACACCAAAATATAATATAAATATATTACCTTGCTATTGAGAGCATCAACAGGGTCATCCCAATGATCCCACACATAGCGAATGATGATATCAACATTTTGTGGTGTAAGTACACCAGAAATCATGTCCATAACTATAGCATCATTTCCACAGGAAGTTATATAGTTTTTTGTCTCCAAAAGCCACATTGCCAATGCATCAAATGCGACGACCTTTAATTGAGATTCCAGATCCGCCTTTGAACAGAACGACAGAATACTAAAGAACACAATCTCGTGCAGGTTTCTGGAAGGATTTCTGTAGTTACGAGCGAAGTGTTCAGATGAGACAAAAAGGGATTATATCGACGCTTAAATTTCATACCTCTCCAAAGGTTTAGTTAAGCTGAATCCAGCAGGGCATTTGAGAAGAAGGATGTCTTTTCTAACGGTTGACACCAATCCTCGGACAACAGATAGCATGGGGGCATCACGTTTTAACCAGCCCGACGAACCGATCAAATCATTGCTAGGGGAAACACCAAACATCTTAAAGACATGCTCTGATACCTCAAGTTTTTCGTTATCTGCCGAGAAGAACCATCCAATAGCCCAATCACGCCCAAAAGAAGGATCTTGTGCCAAATTAATAATTGATCCCAAAATCATTCCAGCGACTTGACTACAGTCTTTAGTGTAAATATTGGTGCGTGTACACATATCCAAAAGAATGCTGATCAAGGTAGACATGATTTGTGTATCTTCAGTTGTTTCAATGGGTCCCAATTTCAAAGTCTTTGCAAAATCAAAAAGACTCGTTGCTCCATAGCGTGAGACAAGAGCAAGTACGGTCTTTGACAAGTACTGAAGATCGTTCATCAATTGATCGGCAGAAAGCGTTTGTGGTGCAAGTTTCGATGTTGATACTCTGTCGTTTGCAGGATTTATTAATTGCTGCTGAGCTGATACAAGACCAGACACCAAAAAGCGCATTGTTTTTTCAAAAGTATTAAGAACAGTACGTTTTCCAAGGTCGAAATCAGTTGTTGCATAAATAGTCAATGCTTTCTGTGCCAATGAAAAATCAGACAAGGCAGACTCGTCGTAATCGTATGTAATGTACTTTGTGTAGAAATACTCAAAGGTCGTGTTCTCGGTGTGTTTGACAGCTGCTTCCAAAAGTGGAACAAACTGACGGCGTGAAAGGTTTTCAGCAGCTGCAAAGTATCCAGACGAAGCAACAGGTTCAAGAATGCATTTGATTTGTTCAATGTCATGCAATTCAAGCTGCTTCTTTGCTGCCGCTATATTCAAAGCCTTTGCTAGAGACACATTGTGATTTATTTGTTAATTTATATACGAATTTCGGGTATATTTCTTTTAAATATTAACCTGATTCTCTCAAACAAGCAGCTTGTTTATCCCATGGTTCATCCGCTTTGCTAATCAATTTTTTTATGGATGCTACAGCTGGAATGTATAAGGTATTGGGATACTTTTGAGAAAAATCATTCAAAATGGCGTTCCATTCCACAAATATAGATTTGGGAAGCTTTACAGGCTTCTGCCCATTCTTTGTTTTCTCGGAAATGCCCATGCTAATGTCTTCCGAGTTATATGATTGTCAAAGCTGTGTTCAAGTAATCATTAAAACACTTGTCAAAATCGTGGTGGCTTGTGGACAGCCAGTCCTCAACCCTCCTCCTTTTCACCCCAATTGGTAAGATCTGCAGAAGCCCCTTTTTTGTTCTTGATCCAGCAATTATTACTATTGCCATTGCCATTGGTATTCTTATTATTCTTATTATTACTGACAGTAGTATTTTTGTTAGATTAATAAGATATTGTCCTGTGTAATTATTACATTAGGAAGATATATATATATATATATACGGGAACTTTATTTTTGGTGCCAAAGACGAAATGTTAAATTTGCTACATAATGGTCACTGCTAAATTATGCATTCGCCCACCTGATATTTGTATATTCATTTTTTTTCCATATATGCCAGTGTAAAGATGCTAGGCCAAGAGACAAAAGTGATTTTATTTATTCTTAAGATGAACATTATTCACAAATATTAATATACCCGAAAATTATTATAGTCCAAAGCATGGTGATTAAATTCATTCATTTTAACCTCTTTATTGTCCATATTAGTTTTGTACTTTCCTTGACTTATATTCACTATTGTAGCATCAAAATAAAGTAAAAAAAAATAACAAAATTATTCCAATCTAATAGTCTACCAAATGTATATTTTTTGGAATGCCTGGCGATGGCCAGGTTGGAAGGTTTATGTTATTAATATAAAAAATGAAAGCGGAAGCTGGTTGTAGTATTACCTTGGAAAATCATAATATGTTGCATCTGGTGTTTGAAAGCACCGACACGGGCAAAGGTTGGGAGCTTGCTTGAAAATTCCAAGAAATAACCGGAAGCAAGAAGTGCAGTGATTGGACGTAATACATTTACTGGCTGCACAATATGGTTAAATGGATAAAACTTAGCATTTGATGCGTAGCGGAAATACATAACTATCCATGACAGACAGACAGACAGTAGGAGCAAGATACTGAAAGCAGCGAATCTCTCTCTCTCTAAATCTCCTCTTTCCTTTTGCCTCTTAGAGTTAGGTTGGAAATAATTTATATGATTAAGTCTTGTTGCGTCATATGAGCATAATATTGTGTATAAGATCAGGCACAATGACAGAGATAATTGGATAAATGTATATGGAAAAGATTTCGTTCTCTGATACTTTATATAAATTCTTTTTATTACACTGCTCGGAAGTCCTAAGATGTGCTACACAATTAAAAGGTGTGCCAGAACCTTTTGTAGAAACGTATCTTTCAGTTAAGACTACGACATTTTTTTTTAACACTTGATACAGGGCAACCAATTCAAAACGGCACGGAAAGAAATTGAAACCAAACTTTGATAAACATTTTGAAATAGGAGTGACAAACATTTTTACTTCTTTCGTGAGTATAATTCAAAAAGATTTAAATAACTTGGACTTGTGTAGCTGTATTGGATTATCTATCCTTTCCTTAGTGTAGGTTAATACGACTACTTTAAAGAAATGTACTTGAACAAGATAATACTGGGGTGAAGAATGGAAGCCTGTAATATATAGAGCGACAAGTTTTGGTATAGTAATTTTTTTTTGAAGAAAGAAAAGTCTGGAAAATACAGTCCCTGGATAAATCAATATGAGAGGCGAGATCCTCATTATTTGGAAATAAAGATTCAAGAACATGAAGTTTTAGTGGTAGTATGCAAGTGTATCTGGAGTGGAGTTACTAGATACCGTTTCCGTCTGGAGGGAAATATGAATATGAATACATAAAATAGCACTACAAAAAGACTTTACAGTATACGTTAAGAATATTGAACAAAGGCCTTTTACACTGCATATACTAAAAACAACAGCATCAAACCACACAAGGTACCAAGAAGGTCTTGGTATAGATGTTCTTGAGCGATTAGGAGTTAGCTCAGATCTCAGCACAAACAAGAACAACTTGGATCATTTCCGTTATTACGTGAACTTAAAACATTAATGAATAAGTCTAAAAAAGAAAGACCAGAAGAAATTTTGTAAAAGCAATTAGAAATAATAAACCTGTATTCGCACTGGGTAATACTTCTTGTGGACGTCTAAGAGGGATCGCGATTAGAAATAATAAAAGCAGCAAATTTCATATTAAATGATCTCCCATGTTTTATTTCAGATAAACTAAATAACCCAAGTTTCACCATGTCCATATTATAGAAGCATTGGTTTCTTGTATGAAAGTAAGAAAGGTGGAAGAGGTGCAGTGTATATCTTCATATAGATGAAAAAATAAACTAAACAAAAAGGCTGTTCCGATGCAATGAGTCGACTGGCAGCAACATGAAAACGCTATTTTCTTGACCAAATTAATAGTTAACTTGATGAATGCCCGCAATATCAATCATGTATATATATTAGAGGCCCTGTATTATAATCTGAGCTTCATCCAACATACACGCGCATACCATTTTACCTTTGAGCTTTTAGTAAAATAGTAATAATAGCTTACTAATGGGTTAAGTGACTTGGATATTTCACTAAAAAGAAAGACAAAATCAGAGAGGTTTAAGGGTCGATCATACAACATAGTGTTTTTTTTTAAATTTCTCGGAAACATACAAATATGATGCCCTCTCGGTAATTGGTCTCTAGGGTAGTGTATTAAACATATATCATATATTATATGTTCAAAGCACTCGTCCCATACTTTGTTTCTACAGGATAGAGTGGCTCTAGATAATATGGCTATAATATGTATATATATATTTATATTGGAGTGTGGTCCATGCTCAAGCTTTAATAATAATTAATTTTAATCAAACGTTTGTGGCAGCATAGCTGATCGAGAATATATTTATATGTAAAAAAAAAACCTACCAATACATACACATAAATTAGTTCAGCTGTGGAAAAACTAAGAAAACTCCATTTTTTTAAAGTGTTAAAGTGGTAATGAAATTCCTTCATTCACTTATTTATATTTATAATATATATATAGATCGGCCAAGACCGTTTGATCGGAAGAAGTATTGTAAAGAATAGCCTTTATCTTTTGTAAATAAATTATAAAAAAAATTGTGATCAAGAAGAGTAAATTGATAAGGCAGCCAAAAATTAAAGCCATTTCAAATCATACACAGCTAAAAAAAAATTCCTTTTTTTCTTTCTTTCTTTACACGATACATAGATAAAAAGAAGTGTGAATATTACTCTAGTATCCAAGACATACATAATTTAAGCTTTATGCTTCTCTTGGCTACCGGAAAAGTCATACCCCGAGATATATCATTATCTATAATTATAAAAATAAATAAGAGATGCACAGCGCACCTTGAAACAGACGGCAGATAGTTTAATGGAAAAAGATTCGGTAAAAGGGCCTTTTTTATATATAAGATTTTTACAGATTCTTTTTTTTTTACACAAATATACACACACAAAAAAACAGAGCCAAGAAAAAAACGTGCGAATACAATCCATATATATAGGCAGATAAGACTTTTTGATTGTCTTTTTTTTTGATTTTCTTTTATAATTCTGGGCTCAGATATACTCATTGTTGTTAAGACAGATTTTTCGAGAATTTTCTCAAATGATTTCAGAGGGTTTTTTTTAAGGTCCCAATTGATCCACCATCATATTCATTATCAAAAAAAAACACTAGCAATGGGAATCCTCGGTAAGAAATGAGAAACATAAGCCATTAACCAACGTCTAGAGCTTCATTTATGTTGTTTTGCGGAATTGTGTCGGTTAACCTGAAAAAGGGAAAATTATCTTCATTTATGGCACCATCATGGACACAAGTTCCTTAGACTCTTATTATTTTTCTGGCTTAACTATCTACCCACAATTACAAAATCATGTCTTTAAGCGTATGGGGACCTGTATATGGTTTGTGTTTTGTGTTTATTTGATTCGATATAAAAGAACCTCAAGACACAAAACTATAAATATATATACTAAGAAAACAAATGAATATTAATGCATAGTAAAACAGTCATTGCTATAACACCTTGAAACATGTTGTATAAGAAAACATATTTTTTCATGTCAACTCAGATACCCAAAAAAAAAGAAGAAGTTGTGGGTGTGAGTGAGATTCTATATGAGTTTGGCTGCATTAAATTTGATAACTGCATTAATTTTCTCCCTTACCAGTCAGGTTTTACTAGACAGACCTGAGTAGTCTCTAAATTGTACTCTTCAGCAATTTTTTTTTAAAAGAAAATGATCTGCAGTGTCTTTTAGTGGTACAATTGATGTTCATGACAAACGTAAATAGAGGTTATAAGTGGATAAAAAAATACCCCGCACTAGAAACCACAAGTATGAAGTAGATTTATATAAAGGAAAAAAAAAAAGGTCATTGAAGAAGACTTTGTTCTATTTAAGCGTCCAAAGGAAGAACAAACGTAGAGATAAGCACGCAAAAAGGTTTTTCGCCTTATTATTTTTGTCAAAAATAAAAATGAAGTACAAAATATCAAATGGCAGAGCAATCGCATTCAGTTCCGTTACCTTCTCAGTAGAATCTCCGACATCTTTTCCTATGCATTTTTGAGAATCCGCCTCTTCACTTAACATGACGGCATGTGTGGCAGGCGGAGACAGCGTTGAATAATTTATCCAGGGGTCCTACAATTTTTGACATGTCAATTGTAGATCGTTGGGAATCCAACACTAAAATTTGGTGCAAAAAATCTAGTTGACTAGAATTGAAGAGGCCAAATAGAAGGTGTAATTGCCAGATTTTTTTTTGTAAAGAGCACACTTCTCAAAAGGCTTTTCAATTGCTAGTTCTGATTGCGTTGTGTAAATGAGTTTTTTTTTTAGGTCCCTTTTTTATTTTATTTTATATATACATTTATTTCTTCCGCTTTAATCATTAACAAGATAGGCGGATACAATCCGTTTGCACCTTAACATAGGCTATTCTTTCAGCTACAAAATTTTAACAAGTCCGTTCCAGAAAATACATTATGCGAGGTCTTTTATTTTCCCGGTCAATATTCTGAATTAAATATATAATAAAAAAAAGGGTTAAAAGGTACCACTTTAAATCGAAAATTTAATTCTTTTTCACTACTTCTTTCCTCCCCTTTCTACTCATCCTATTCATTCAATTAATTCATATTCATAAAGCATACATTACATACATTTCAATTAGACTAAACCCAAATCCTTTGCTATAATGGATCATCCATCATATTCAGGATTGCCTGAACGAAATCAGGCAGAACGCCATTATGAAGCATCCGAAAACTCATTGGATGCCAAAACTCTAGACGGCACAGACGAAAAAGAACTCGAAATCCGTCGCACCACCACTTCCCGTACTGGCGAAGGAGGTGGTTTTGGCGAACTCGATGCCAATGCCGTCAACATCGAAGATGCTATGTCCAACTACGAAGAAATGCGACGTGAGATGACAAAGCAATCCCGTATGACTCAACCCAACGCCCCCACCGACGCTGAAAAAGGTCAATCTCAAGATTTTGATCTGACCGATTTCTTGCGCAACGTTGACGACGAGACCTCTGCTGCCGGTATCGCTCGAAAACACATGGGTGTCATCTGGAAAGATCTCTGCGTCAAGGGTCTTGGTGCCGATGCAAAGACTATCAGTACCAACTTTTCAGTCATCAAAACATTTGTCCAATTCTGGAAGTGGGGCAAAACCCAAGGCACTGATTTCACCATCCTCAAACCCCTCAATGGCTTCTGTAAGGACGGTGAGATGTTGCTCGTCCTCGGTCGTCCTGGTTCTGGTTGCTCTACCCTTCTCCGTGTCCTAGCAAATATGCGCGGCTCTTACACATCCATCGAAGGCGAGGTCACCTATGGTGGCATCGAAGCTACTGAGTTCAGCAAGTACTTCCGTGGTGAAGTCTGTTACAACGAAGAAGAAGATCTCCATTACCCTACCTTGACTACCAAGCAGACTCTCATGTTCGCTCTGAAGAACAAGGTTCCCGGCAAGCGTGTTCCCGGCGAGTCCTCTAAGGAATTCATCAACAAGGTCCTTTACATGCTCGGAAACATGCTCGGTCTCACTAAACAGATGAACACCATGGTCGGTAATGCCTTCGTCCGTGGTCTCTCTGGTGGTGAACGTAAGCGTCTCTCAATTGCCGAACAGATGACCACCCGCAGTTCTATCAATTGTTGGGATTGCGCTACCCGTGGTCTCGATGCCTCGTCTGCTCTCGATTATGTCCGTTCCCTCCGTGTCATGACCGATGTTTTGCACAAGACTACCATCTCCACTCTTTACCAGGCCTCCGACAACATCTTCAATCTGTTCGACAAGGTCATGGTTCTTGACGAAGGTCGCTGCATCTACTTTGGTCCTACCTCCCAAGCCAAGTCCTTCTTTGAGGATGTCGGTTTCTACTGCCCCAGCCGCAAGTCCATTCCCGATTTCTTGACCGGTCTCTGTAACGCCAACGAACGTGAGTTCCGTCCTGGATTCGAAGGCAAGACTCCTCTTAACTCTGCCCAGTTCGAGAACACCTACCTTCAGTCCGAGATGTACCGCGAGATGATGCGTGAGCGCGATGCTTACGAGTCCCAGATCGCCAAGGACCGTCCCGATGAACACTTCAGACAGGCTATCCTCGAGGCCCATCAGAAGCGTGCTCCCAAGAAATCTCCCTTTGTCTCTACTTATTATCAACAAGTCGTCGCCCTCACCATCCGTCAGTTCCAATTGATCTTTGGTGATGTCGGTGCTCTGGTCTCTCGTTATGGTGGTGTCGTCGTCAAGGGTATTATCATGGCCTCTGTATTCTACAAGATGCCAGTCGATGCCAATGGTGCCTTCTCTCGCGGTGGTGCTTTCTTGTTCTCTTTGCTTTTCAACGCTTTAATTGCCCAGGCCGAATTGTCTGCTTTCATGCAAGGTCGTCGTGTCCTCGAGAAACACAAGCATTTTGCCCTTTACCATCCGTCTGCCTTTTACATTGCCCAAGTCATTTCTGATATTCCATTGGCCATTATTCAAGTTATCATTTTCCAGCTTTGCGTCTACTTTATCATGGGTCTCAAGATGGATGCCGGAGCTGTAAGTATACACACACCTTTAGTATTATTATTTATTGATATGATTACTAATATTTTTTTCTGAATTTATATATGTTTTTTCTTAGTACTTTACTTTCATGGTCGTCCTGGTCTTTACCAATTTGTGTATGAACGGTTTCTTCAGATTCTGGGGTGCTGTTTTGCCAAATTTCTTTGCCGCTTCTCAGATTTCCAGTATCTTCCTTATTGCTTGTTTGATCTACTCTGGTTATCAGGTAAGACTAATGTCTAATATAAATATAAACTATAACATCAAACAAGTATCTAACATTTTTTTTAAATATTATCATTGTAGATTCCTTACAAGTACATGCATCCTTGGCTGTACTGGATTTACTGGATCAATCCTCTGGCTTATGGTTACAAGGCGCTGATATCCAATGAACTTCACGCAATGCACTTTGATTGCAATGGTCCTGCTATGGTTCCATATGGTCCTGGTTATGAAAACACTGACTACCGTACCTGTACTCTTGCCGGTGCAAACCCCGGTGAGCCCTTTGTTCTTGGTGACAGCTACCTTGACCGTGGTTACGACTATCAAGTCTGGCAGCGATGGATCGACTTTGTTGCCGTCGTTTTGTTCTTCGTATTCTTTACCGCAATTACCTGTCTCGCTATGGAATACTTTGGTCTCCAAAAGGAAGGTTCTATTACCAAGGTTTACAAGAACGGCAAGGCTCCCAAGGCCAAGACCGAAGAAGAACTTATGCAGCAGACCGGAACCCGTGAGGAAGAGCACATGGAGGCTGTTTCCGAAGGTACCACTTTCTCTTGGCACAACATTGATTACACTGTACCCATCAAGGGTGGCAAGCTCCAACTTCTGAACGGCATCAACGGTATCGTCAAGCCCGGTCACCTTACTGCTCTTATGGGTTCTTCCGGTGCCGGTAAAACCACTCTTCTTGATGTACTGGCCAAGCGAAAAACCATTGGTAAGATCGATGGTAGCATTCTGATGAACGGCGAGCCCCTGCGCAACGACTTTGAGCGTGTTACTGGTTACTGCGAGCAGATGGATGTCCACAATCCCAATGCCACTGTCCGTGAAGCCCTTCAGTTCTCTGCCTATCTGCGTCAACCTGCCGAGGTCCCCAAGGCCGAGAAGGATGAATATGTTGAGCAAATTCTTCGTCTCCTGGAGATGGACCAAATAGGTGATGCCCTCGTTGGTGATCTTGAAGAAGGTGTCGGTATTTCTGTTGAAGAGCGCAAGCGTCTGACCATTGCTACCGAACTTGTTGGCAAGCCCAAGCTTCTTTTCCTTGATGAACCTACCTCTGGTCTCGATGCCCAGAGTTCTTACAACATTGTCCGTTTCATCCGTAAGTTGGCCGACTCTGGCTGGCCTGTCCTGTGTACCATCCATCAGCCTTCTGCCACCCTGTTCGAGAACTTTGATCACCTGGTGCTTCTGATGCGTGGTGGCCGTACCGCCTACTGTGGTGAGATCGGTCCTGGTTCTGCTACTATGATTGAATACTTTGAGTCCAACGGTGGACCCAAGTGTGACCCCAAGGCCAACCCTGCCGAATACATTCTTGAGTGTGTCGGAGCCGGTACCGCTGGTAAATCCAAGGCTGACTGGGCTGAGATTTGGAAGGGTTCCAAGGAAGCCAAGGCTCTTCAGGACGAACTCAATGACATTCTTTCCAAATCCTCCCACGACTCTTCCCGCAAGACCAGCACCTACGCCTTGTCCTTCTGGCAGCAGTTCATGCTTGTCTACAAGCGCATGAACATCTCATGGTGGAGATCTCCCAGTTACAACCTCGGTCGTCTCTTCAACGTCTGTTTCATTGGTCTCATTTCCGGTTTCACTTTCTGGAAGCTCGGTAACACTCCTGCCGACATGCAGAACCGAATGTTCTCTGTCTTTACTACCCTTCTGATGGCCAACGCTTTGATTATTCTGGCACAGCCTCGATTCATGCAAGAGCGTATGTGGTTCCGTCGTGAGTATGCTTCAAAGTACTACGGATGGGGACCTTTTGCTCTGGCCTGTATGGTTGTCGAAATTCCTTACCTGATCTTCTTCTCTGCCATTTTCCTGGTGTGCTTCTACTGGACTGCCGGTCTTGAGAACATCTCTGACAGAGTTGGTTTCTTCTACATTCATTTCTTCGTTTTCATGCTTTACTCTGTCTCGCTTGGTTTCATGATTGCCGCCTTCTCTAGCACTCCTCCTATGGCTGCCGTCATCAATCCTTTCTTCACATCTATTCTCATTCTGTTTGCCGGTATCGTGCAGCCACCTTCGGAAATGCCATACTTCTGGAGATCTTGGATGTATTGGTTGGACCCTTACCATTATCTTATCGAAGGTCTTGTCGTCGATGTCATGGCTGGTGTCAAGATTGTCTGTGGTGCTGGTGACTACATCAAGATCAATGCCCCACCTGGCCAGACCTGCGGTGACTACTTTGCCAACTACTTTGAGTCTGGTGGACTTGGTTACATTGGAAACCCCGAGGCAACCGGAACCTGTGACTACTGCCAGTACACCGTTGGTGATGACTTTTACGAAACCCGTATCGGATGGAGCTTTAGCAACAGATGGCGCGATTTCGGTATCTTGTGTGCCTACTACGTTTTCAATGTCATGCTCTTTACATTCTTTGTCTTCCTCTTCCGTAAAGCAAACCGATAAATATTTTTTTTAATTCACTATTATTTCCTTCAATATTTTTTTTTTCATTTAATAATTTTTATTTATTTTCATTTCATTTGTACACACTTCTTTGTTTGTTTGTTTCATTTCTCTCTTACATACATACATATATATTCTTCTTTTTTTATTTTATTTTTAAATATACATCTTGAGAATCTTCAAGGTTTCAAAAAGAAGAAGAACAAAAGAAGTTTTATATATATATATATATATATATATATATACAATAACAATAATAAGCATAATCATAGTCTTTAGATGTAGACATCTTTACATTTCTTTTATTTCTCACTACCTTTTTTATTTATTTATATATATAAATATATTAAATAAATATATATTTAAAACATACATTGAAAGTGTCCTATTATTTTTGGTCTTGATCTTCCTTTGAACCACCAACAATTATCCTGTATTTTAGAATTTAACAGCCATAACAATAAAAGTAGTCAATTGAAAATGTGTTTTATTTTTAATTGAAAGAAACCAATGGATTCTTTGTTAATGATCTTTTAACTGGCCTTACAAACATACAAATGTACAAATGTACTAGTGATCTTCAAAGATAGTGTTTGTTTAATAAAGAAAGAAAAAATATAGATATAGATACAGACACACACACAAAAAATATTGTGCTTTTTGATTTATATATTCATCTATTTATTTGAGATCTCCAAGGGGAATGTGCTTCTCTGTTGGAACCACTTCACTCAAAAAGGTCTCTTGCTCTTCGGGAGTCTCCATGATAGTCGGAAGAGTAGGGACCTTTTGCTTCTCTGCTGCCTCAACCTTACTATAATAGAATATATATTTATAATATCAAGGTCAATGAGGGATTAATTTCTTGTAATATTCTATTTAGAACTCCCGAAATACTTTACCCATACCACGCACCACCAACAAGCGTGAGGATGATACCAAAGGCATTAGTGACATTAATGTTGAGTTTAAAAATGATGACAGCCAAGATGATGGACAGCACTTGTTTGACATTGGCTACAATAGAAAGACATAAATTAAAGTCATTAAGATATATAAATAAATAAACCAAGACAAGTTATAATTACCTGCTACTGTCATGGTTAATGGACCAGCCTTCTTGTTGGCAGTAAAGCTCACAAAGTTTAAACCAAAGGCAAGAACGCCATTGAAAAATAAACCCCAGGCCAGATTTGTGGTCATGTTATAAGACGAGAATTCTCTGACGGTTTCGAGTTCACCGGTGGCATATGAATAGAATAGACACTGGAAGAATGCCATTGGAGACATGCGGGAAAGTAGATCCAAGGGGTGTAGCTTGAGGCGACCAGCCTGTACACGGTTGGTAACGATCGTCTTGATTGCGGCAAGCAAGGTGCCAAGAATTGTGAGAAGAAAGCCGATCATGGTGTAATCATATTCACCAAATGTGGCAAATCCCACTCCAAGAACAACCTATTGTACCCCCACCAAACAGCAAAAATGTTTATATATATATATTGATATATTGATTAATATTTCTTTTTTCTCTCTCTTCTTCCTTGGCTTGTTTGGTCTCTTTAGAACTTACGGGCAAAAGAGATAGATATATCATACTAGAATATGACTTGTTAAGAAATACGATCGATATCATGACAGTAAAGACTGGAGTCATGGCACGTACGACTTGGTGAAACTAAGTGAGATCAAAAAAAGCAATTAAAAAAGAAAGTCAGAAATTGTATTTATTTTACTATTTTAAGATAAGATCAAATAGAAAAGAAGAAGAAGAAGAAGTGCTAAGCAACTTTGTTGTACGTACAGCCACTGACACAAGGCTCCTGTATAAATGTATTAATAAATATATCTTTTCTTCAACTTCTTCTTTTTCGTATTCTTAGCCTTATTGACGAGGATTAAGAATATAGAATATACATTTGTGATGTACAGAAACTTACAGGGATACGTTGCTGATGGCGATGTTGATTGTGTAGAGAAATGAGAACATGATCATGACCAAGTTTTCTTGGTTGCCGAGTTTTGCTGGTGTAAAGTAACCGGCCAAGTACATCAAGTAGCAACCGGCAGTTCCACATAATGTGTGTATTGCTGTCAGTGTCCAAGGATATCTGAAGTCGATAAGGATCGCCTTGTTGTACAGAGTCAGGGAGAGGTTGAGGATAAAATAAAGTCCCAGCCAAGCATACTTTGAATCAACTACTTGTTTTGCCATTTAAGAAGAGAGGTGATATTAAGGAAAGTATTTGGCAAACAGAAAAATATTCTTATAAATATACAAGAAGAAGAAGAAGAAGAAGAGGAGGAGGAGGAGGAAGGTTATTAAGCTTAGATAGTAAAGTACTTTTATTTATTTTTTTGGTATTAAAAAAAATTGAATTAGAAACTAGCCTTAAGATGGAGGGGGAAGTGACTGGGCTGAGTACGACCCTTTATATTTTATATACATATTAGTGTTCTTCCTATACGTGTGTGTATGTTCTTTTAATAAGCCAATTATTCTATTTTATCCTATCCCTTGAGCTTCTTGTAATAAAGAGCTAGATAGATAGCTATTTATCCTAGTCAATTACACAAATACATAGTATACATATAATATAAGCCCTTGGTCTATAAATCAGTTACAGATCATTAGTTTCTTTCCTCTCTTTCTTTCTCTATTTCTTTTATCTTAAAAGTCATCTTGGAATAATCTAAAGTTGTACATACACATGCTCAATTTTATCATTTTCCAGTTTAGGATCATCAATTCTACTATCATTATCATTATCATTATACTTTATCGAATTAGTATTGTATGTTCCTCTCTCTCTCTGTGAAGTGTTTCTTATTTTACACGTATATAAGATGTAGGAATTATTATCCTTGTTCGTTTTTTTTCTTTTCTTTTCTTGATCTTTTAGGCTTGAATCTTATTGTAATAAGATTGGCTAATAAGCTCCGTGCTTATATATATATATATGTATGAACATTTTTCTTTTTAAAAAAAAAAGAGAGAGAAATTGCTTTGGTGGATTTTGCAGTAATGTTCAAAGCCGCCTGCATTAATAGCCCTCTCCTATAATTAATGTTAATAATGATAATAGAAAAATAAGTACCTTAATTATTGTATAATAAGAATACTAATAGCAATAAAGAATATATATATAAATTGATCTTGTACAAAATACATCTTGAAAGGTAATATTTCTTATATGTATATGCATACATTTACAAGGGGAAGTGCAAAAAAAAGGAAAGAAAAAAAAAGGGATATAATTTCCTCGGTAATTATTATTATTTTATCTCTTAATAATAAGTTAGTAAACTATAGATTGTGACTTATGAATATCTCCTCCACCAAGGAGTGTAATCGATTTAAATCATAAAGAATGTATACATATATGAAGATACCTTCTCTCTCTCTAGCAATACGCGTATCACTTACGTGTGTAAAATAAAATAAAGTAGAGAATTGAGGGACAAGTAAGAGAGCTAAGATGACGTCTAACACGTGTAAATATTACCTTTAAAGGAGTACTCTAGGTTACATTTTTTATACTTTATGGTTGGATCTAGCACTGCTTTAAACTTGGTTTCCTTTCAAATTAAGCTCAGAAAACACACACACACACACACAGAGAGATACATATATACATATATAGTATTTGATCAATTACCTGGATAGATCTATTTCTAAAATCAACAAGATGCAATATCATAATGGACAAATAGACAGAGAAACACTAACAAAATAAAATGATACTAATAAAGAGTCCAGATCCATTATTTTTGAAACTTTATTAAACTATATAAAATATTCAAGCGACATTTTTTAGCACCCTACTACTATTACTATTACTATTGTTCTTATTATGAGGCTTATTTCAATATAAAGCATGTTATTGATCGACATTGGAAGCTCATGAATTACTTGACTGTCTGAAATTAATGAAAACGCTATCAAGGACCTTGGTACATGCATGCGTGCATATACATATATATATACCTTGCATATTTCAGCCTTATATTTAGAGAAGTCTAGAACTAAATATTGATCTATCAGAAAAATAAAAAAAGAAGTAATAGGATCAGGAAGAGAGACATATTAGTAGGCAAAAAATTGATGATCAAAAGGGAAACAAAAAGGGGAGAGAAAGAGGGAGAGAAAGAGGGAAGAGCGAGTAAATGAGCGGCAGGCAACAGGCTATGAAAATCTCTGAATAAGATTAATATTTTTTTCTTTGGTATATCTTTTACATATATTATTTCTTTTCTTTTCTCAATGTCCGTTACTTGGTAAAGCTTTAGTCTCTTCTTTGGTCCCTTTACAGCATCAATGTACTGTAATGCACTCTAATAACTTTACACCGCCACAAGATATATCAAAGTTGTATGTATTATCTTGTAATATAAAAACAGTACGCGTATACATCTTTTCAAATTTTGATGCCATAAATATAGAATAAATTATGTACATGGCATACATGCAGCTGTCCCATATCCGCTGGCTTTGCTGTTATTTGTTGTTTTACTATGGTAAACATGTAGATTTGCATGCTATATACGATAGTCAATCCATTAGTTTAGAATCAGCTCAGTCTCTCGTGCGAATATAGACTTATACCCAACACAATCTCAACCATTTTATGCGGATGTAAAACAAGTTTAATGATTGCTATTACTACTATTATTATTTTCTTCACCTTCATGCTTGACAGGTTACTTGGACATATACCCAAATCGAGGCTTCCTTGCTTCTTCTTATTCGTTAAACTGGACTTTCAAGGAATATAAGAATTTATTTTCAGCATACATACGTGTGCGTGTCTTTGGTTTTTTATCAAGGACCCTCTGGGAGATTAATGACATTGCCTTGTTCATATTTCTTAAAGGAAAGACTAAGCAAAAACTAAGAGCAGACAAATGTTTCGAGGAGAATTCTAGTATCATTATTATACAGAATTCTCCTTTTCACTGTTATTCTCTTTTTATACATGAGAAAGAAACAGGGAATATTGTTTGTGCAATGATTAAGATCAATTTTATTTTTTCTCATAGAAAAAATCGTATGATTCAGACTAAAGAGACAATATGTTTACAAAGTTCAAAGGGGAGGAAGTTCCAGAGCAGATTATAGTGCACTCACACAAGAAGAAGTACAAAAAAAACCTTGCGTTGATTAGGTGATATAGAATATTAAATTCCAAGGTCCAAGGGTTTTTCAAATAACCAAAATAATAATATTTCATCACACACATAGTAATCCTGTTATTAAGTTTGCTCTTTACTATACTATTCATGATAATTATGATTACTTATCCAGTTGTTTGCTTTTATCTTGGTTGATTAGACTTATTGAAATTTCACTTAATATTCTTCTTCTTTTGTGTTTCTTGTGTAGAAGAATCCAAAATTTGAGTCATTTGTCACTACGGGTAATCATTTATCATTTATTACCATGGAAATACAGACAAATAAAAATTGTGTACAAGTTGAGATTGGTATCACTTTTTTTCCCCTTCTCAGTGCAGGGAAATAAAAAGCTCTCTCTCTCTTTATATATCTAACTTTTATTTTTTATTTTTATTATTTAATTATTAGTTTCATATTATAATTAAGGCAAAAAGGAAAATCGTGGCACAAAAGAAAACGTGGCATCTGAGGCATGATTGACACCACTAAAACCAAAGAAAGAAATAGAGAGACAGAGAGACCGAGGGAGGAAGGAAGAAAGGGAAGAAAGGTTAAATATGAGTGGCTAAACAAGTTGGTGATTTTACTTGTTACACTGCTAAATTCCAGCTCGAGCCAACGGCTAGATATCATCATTATCGTTGTCTTGATGATTATTACCTTTATTCTAATCTGGTGTGTCTTGCCAAAATGATTCAACATAGACTATCAAGAAAATTAGCCATGGATTTTTTTATACCAATGATCTCCAAAAGGAGAAAGAACAATGGTAAATATAAAGATAAATATAATCCTAATGACAATAACAATAACAATAACAATAACAATAACAATAACAATAACAGACGAACTAATCCATGTGTATGTCCAAGTACATGGTGTGTATATAGTGTGTGTATTTAAGCCGAATGTCTGGTGAGCTCACAAGAAAATTGGAAGCAAAATAAAATTGTAAGCCGATGTCCGGATTTGTACCATAATCTCGCGCCAGTAAACTATCCGGCAACACACCGTAAGATATAATATATATTTTATTTATATTTCAAATAATAAATATATTAATTATGATTATTATTATTATTGATAACTTAACAAAAATTTACTGCCTTTTTTTTTCTCTTCCTTTCTTCTTCTTCTTTCTCTTTTAACTTCTTTTCCTTCTTTTTACATAGTCCTTTCTTTCTCTGTTATAACCTACATAATATAAAAAACCCAAAAAGAGATTCTTATAAAACCTTACAAGCTCTTAAATATTGATGTCTTTTTCAAACCATTTGTGAATGTATCATCCATGACATCAATTTTCACTTTCGGCTTCAACCGACACTCCAAAGACAGCAGCAACAACAACAACAACAGCAACAGCAACAGCAATAACAACAGTAATATCCACGAAAGCAGTAACAATAGTAATAGCAATAGCAATAGCAGTAGTATTCATCCTCTTCAAGACCTTCAAAATGTCATCAAACGACTAGATCCCAGTCGATGGTGGGCTCAACTACGACATAAACAACCCCCGGACACCGAGACCTACCAATGGCGCACTCTATCTCCAGACGTACCACCTCTCCCTTTTACAGGAATTCAATCGGCAATCTTGAGGACCGACACAACACAAACCCTCAATTCAAACTTAATACGTGATAGATCAGCTGTTGCAATTGGTACCTTTTTACCAAAGGCTCCACCAAACAAGCGCCAGGTAAGGCTATTTTTTTTTCATTTTGATTATTTTGATTATTATAATACCCAAAGAACAACAGCAGTCAAATATATATAATTATACCATAAGCCATACACTATATTGCATTCCATTTTTATTACATTACATTACATTACATTACATTACATTACATTACATTAAATTACATTGAATTATATTATATTATATTCCATTCCATTCCATTCCATTCTATTGTATTCTACTTGAATATTACAAAAATAGACAAGAGAGCCAAAACATAAAGCATGAATCATAAATCATAAATCATGAACCATAAATCATAAATCATAAATCAAAGCACTATACGTACATATTACTATTCTATACTGTTTATATATTTTTCACTATTTTCGCTGTGATCGGTAGAGACACTTTTATATATATGTATATGTATATTATATTATTTCCTTTTCCGACCACGCTTAGGTCACCTCGGCTGAACTAAGAGCGGAAATTGATCCGAGACAAGAAGAGATATATAAGAAAATAGACAAATCAGTAATAGAAGTAGAAGAGGTATTAGAAGCAATATAAATAGTAGAAATATAAGGGAAGCCTAATGTGCAGGAAAAGATAAAAAATACATATAAGTAAATAAATAGAGGAAAAAAAAAGAGTTTTCTTACTTTTATTGCTTTTATTAGCATTTCTTCATATACAGCCATACATATATGTACATCATTTCAATTCTAATTCCAAATATGATTATGATTATGGTTATGGTTATGGTTAATGATCATGAATTATGATTAATGATTAATGATTAATGATTATGGTTATATTGCTTCCATTTTATTCTTCTTCTTCCTTTACACACCCATTTCTTTTGTCCCAAAGATCACAAAAAAATCTCAAAAATAAAGAACAAAAAGATAAACATAAAAACATATACACATGCCCACCCACACGTCGTACTGATACTTCATTATCTTCTTCTTCTTCTTCTCATCCTTGTTTTTTTTCTACAAAAAAAGCGGCCTCCATTTTCTCCTTTTGACCGAACGAGTACTCGATCAGAAACAAGAACCCTTTATACAATTGTCGAAGAAAGTGATGTGCTACTGGTTCCAGATCCACTATTACACTCTGTATTGAGGGTAGAAGAAGAGCTCTTGCTAGTAGACGACAGCTGCAATTTCAATGACATGCTCACCACCCAATCCTCCGATTGTATTACTCACCACAGCTCCATTGGCTCTTCTCATTCTTCATTCGACCCACATGATGAGTTACAAGAAGTCTGTGCGCCACGAGAACAGGTTGCACCTGTACATCTACCTGTCGCTGTAAAAAAAGACGAAAACGAAAACAAAAACAAAAACAAAAACGAAGACGAAGACGAAGACGAAGACGAATTAAATAATCAAGACATCATCAAACAAAAATTTATCAGCATGATAAATGTTGCAATCGCCTATAGACAGAAACACATACACGACGCTCCAATAGAGACCCAAGTCGTCTTTGATTACAACAACAATGTTCGCCAAATGAGAATGTTGATTAACGGCAATGTTGAATACCTAGATTTTAATGGGTAAGCAAATATACATATATTACGTTTCCTTCAAATTCTTCCTTTCATTGTAGTTATTAACCTATTAATGTATTTTTTTGGGGTATGCATTTGAGTATAGAAATCCACAATATATACCACCAGAAGTATCGATAAATAGAAAATATGACACAGAAATGGCTGATGTCTGGGTTCTTGGCGTGTCTCTCTATCGTATGCTTGCAGGCAAGTATCCTTTCGAAGCGCCCAATGATCGAATACTGTTTGAGAAAATGCTGCAAAGCGACTATATTTTTCCAGACAGTATACCACCAGGTAAATAATAATAAATAGTATCTTTTACACATTTAACTTGCATTGCACTGCATTACATACATACATACATACGTATATGGCTTATGATGTACACAAATAATAATAACACCTACATTAAATTAAAATTAAAAAATTAAAATTAATTATAATAATAGATGCAGTGGACTTGATACAGCTTATGCTTGTTCCAGACAATACCCGGATTCCTTTAGACTTCATAATATCCCACCCTTGGTTAGATCCACCAGATAGAGATGACATTCTAGAGCCACCCAACCCATTTGGACATCGATTCACCAAGTCCCCGCCACCTCTTGACTCACCGTCTTTACCAAGATCACGTTCGGTTGAATTCCAAAAACCACCCAAGCAAAAGAAGTTTGTCAAACGCAAAATATCCCGGCTAGTTGGACTCTTATTTAAAGGACCAAACCAGCCACCCCAATACCCTTATCGTGATCTTGCAAATGTCGGACGACCTGCTACTACTACTATTATAAATATTATCAATTGAGATCAACAAGATCAACAAAATCGGTATTGGTAAATGATAAAAAGTTAACACTATCTTTGGTTTCTTAAATACATTGCATATATACATTTTTTTTGCATTACCACTTACTACCACTATTACTACCACTATTATTATTACTATTACTATTGCCCTTATTCTTATTCTTACTCCTAATCTTAATTTTGTTGTTGTTATTGATCTTTATAGCGTTTTTTATATATATAACCTTGCATTCAAAAGCATATATTGAAATAATTGCACAAACACTTGTATATTTTACTTCTTTAGTAAGAAAACAAAACAAGCATCTTTTCTTTTTTTTTCCAATGCCCAAAATAACATATATATATTAAGAAAAAATAAATAAATAAAAATCTTAACCATGTTTTCGAATTTTATTTGCATTCATATACATATTGATGTTGCTCAAATAAAATTAGGGAAAATTAGGTGTATTTTTTTTGTATATCATTTTTGTGCGATAATGAAAGAAGATTAAAAATAGAACATACGATAAAATATGCGTACTATTAAATCATCGACACAAAATACATCAAAATTGATCGCTCTTATTAGAGGAGGTGTTATCTAGTGGAAAATTGAATATTTTATCCATTTTTAATTGAAATGGCAATTTAATTTCCAATAATTGTTATACGTTTTTCTCGGTTGACGCGATTTAGTGGAAAATGTATGTGGAAAATTACGAATTTCATAATTTTCCACTAACATTTTCCATTAAATATTTCCTCAAAATCAAGCTTATTCTCTCACTCTCAAATTAAGGTATAGGGTAGCCAAGAGTGTCTATTGTATATGTAATTAATTTATGCGATCTTTAAAGGTCGAATTTATTTAAAAAAAAAAAAGATTGAAATTTATGAGGATTTATTTTTCTTATATTTGACACAGTATGATGTTCTCATCAATTGATAAGTTTCCACAACTGCTGCCGGAGTGCTTTGTTTTTTACTGGGTTTGTCCAATCTTTATTTTTAACAGTCACACTTCCATTAGATAACACCTCCTCTATTACAGTTGGTCTGGACAGACTAAAGGTTCAAAAAAAAAGGACAAAATGTTTTAAAATTCTCATTAAATAATACAGCTTACATTTTTGACCTTTTTTTTTTTAAAAAAAAAGCCTTTAGTCTGTCCACACCAAGAATATATATATATATATATGACTTTTGTTTATTTTTCTTTTAAAAAAGAAAGAAAGAAGAGAGAAAAGAGAGATAGTATATAAAAGGGTAGATAAATATGTATTAAGAATCCTCAGACTGATAGCTAAATAAATAATGAGAATAAAGATAGAAAGAAAGAAAAAGGCGAAATATCAACCGTCAAACCTCTCTTTCTGCCTTCTATTTGAGTGTATACGATGTGCTTTGTTTTGTCTTGTTGATATAATATATTTATATAGTTTAATATATAGGTTTATTTGCGAAGGAGAGTGTTTGTAGAAGTGTAGAAGTGTAGGAGTGTAGGAGTGTAGGAGTAAAGGAGTATAAAGCTAATATCGATATTTATGTATATATATATATCGGAGAGAGAGTGTGTGTGTGTGTGTATAAGTGGGAGTGAGTGAGTGAGTTACTCTTTGATTTATTATTATTATTACTATTATTATTTTTCATTATTCAATTGACCAACGTCTTGACTCTGGTTTCTCATGTCCAATGGTAGTCATGTTGTGATTTGACCCAGAGGCAGCAGTTGCGTGAGTGACTACAAGAATTAGAGTTTTAGGATTAACAATAAAATTCAAATATCTATATAAAAACAAATAAATAGATAGAGATAGACTTACTGTGACTATTTAATCCATGATTAAAGTTTCTTAGACAGATTACAGAGACTGGAACAGACACCTACAAGAAAAATAAATAGTATGAATATGAATATATTTTTTAATTTTATTTAGCAATTAATGAATTTATATAGTTTGTTAGTTACTTACCAAGATAAGGGCCATGTCGACACACACTAAATGATTTTCACGAGTTAATAATCACAATTGTTTTTTGTCTTTCTTTAAAAATAAAAAGTAAAATCACAATTACTTACAAAAGAATGTCAAGAATACTCTTGAACCAAGGTATTTTGAAGGGTACATTGCGACTTGAGTGACCATGTAGATAAAGTATCCCATGCTTGCGAGGGACAATAGAATAAAAGCGTACATGGGGATCTTCCTTTCACGTATCAACTATCAACCCAAAAGTATATAAATAAATAAGTATATATAAATCAAATTATTTTGTGAAACAAGCACTAAAAATATAAAAATATATTATATATTATAATACTAATAAGAGACTTACACCCCAGAATGCGGAAATAATCATGGCAATTGAAAATACACAACTGAGTATGATATGTTCAACTAGTTGTTGTATAAGCACTCTCCACTTGTCATCCGTGGTTGCTTCTGGCCACCATGCCACAACCATCAAGACAAGGTATTGAACAGAGAAGCCGAGGAAGAAGAAGAAGTCAAACTTGAGAAGCATCATGAAGATCTGATACATCTTGTAACGATCTATTCATATATATATATATTTAAAAAGTATAAATATAAATAAATTCAAATCATGCAAAACACAAGTTTACTTACCTCGCATAGCTAAATCGGCGCCAATTTTCTTGTAAATGTGCCAACCAAACTCGAGGTAGAGTTTGTAGGCCAGGAACACAAAGATCATACTACAGACAATCATGACACAGATTTGGGTGATTTCTGCCCACTTTGAGGCATGGTAAGATGTACCGAGGTAGTCAATCACTAGTTTCCCACTTGCTTCCAAAGGGTTGAAGAGGGTTGCGGATTGGTGGTATTGAATAACAGAGTAGGCTGTCATACCAAGTTCAAATGCGACCAGCGCAATAAGCTGAATGGTATTTTTTTGGTAAATCTATATACAACAGATAAAGGTATACATATACATTTTTGTTAATAAATATAGATAGATATATAAATATAACAACTTACGGCGTCAACAACAAGTACAACCGTAAATACTTGTGCGAGCATGAATAAAATAAAATAAACCAAGAGTGACCTGGCATTGGCTTGAACAGTTCCAAGACTGTCTTCAAGGTTTTTTTCTGAAGACAATAGTCGTTCGATTCCAGCGATTTCTGTTTGATGGGATTGGAAGATAACGGCTTCAAATACAATTGCAAGAACAGCCTGTATAACACTGAGACAGAATATTGCGCGTGTCCACCGAGACTCTCCAAACTATTATTATTAATTATTATTAATTATTATTAATTATTATTAGTATTATTATTTAACAATAGTAAATAGCAGCAGCAACAATCAATGATTATCGATAGCATCATAGATACACTTATATTCTTTAGAAAAAAGTATACAATTGTAATTACAATTACAATTATAATTAATTTATATATTCATAGTGAAGATACTTGCAACTCGAGAAATAATCCACATGTTACGTCTTTATATTTTTATATTTATTCTTCGTCTTTTGTTTGTTCTTAACAAGCGTCTGTTGTTGGTGATGTCGGTGGTGGTGGTGGTGGTGGTGTTTTTTTTATCGTATGGTTTGTAGTTGAGGCTTGCAAAGTGTATCGTATGGTAGGATTAGTTGACTAGTGCGAACGAATGTAAAGGACTGGAAAGGGTGGAGTTTGTTGTGGGGAACTAAAGAAGTATAAAGTAGTCGCTGGCGAGATGGTATAAAATATAAGGTAAAGTATAAAATAAAGTATAAAGAAAAGGAAGAAAGAAAAGGAAGAAAGAAAAGGAAGGAAGGAAGGAAGAAAGAAAGTGAGAAAGAGAGAGAGAGAGAATTTTTTTTTAGGAAAATAATAATAAAAAAAAAGGTTTTTTTACACAAAAAGTAAATTAAGAATATTAAAAAAGAATTGAGGATTGGGTATATAAAATATATAGAAAAATATTATGGGGTGGAATGGAATAGATAGCAAGAGAGAAATGTTGCTGTCCATCATATACTACAACACAGTACAATACACCACACCACACCACAGTACAGCACAGCACAGCACAGTACATTAAATTACATTACATTACATTATATTATATTATATTGAGCTTCACTATACTATATTATAGACATGTGTATGGATATGGTCATGTATATAATATAATTATATAATTATATAATAAGAGCGCCGCAGTTTATCAATCGACAATGGAACACAAAGTGTACCAAATTGGCTCTTTCCATCTCAGAAATAAATACACGGACACAACACAACACAACACAACACAACACAACACAACACAACACAACACTACACTACACTACACAAAGATGTTGTTGTTTTATATAAATTTCTTTGAATAGGCTCAAACACGAAAAGAAAGGTGAAAAATCACAGCTGGAAGGTAAAAGAAGTCCTTATTAATTTTATGCGCAGTAATAGAGTTATAGTTATTCTTACCTAACCTCTGCCTAGAAATCCATTGATAGATATAAGTATATACATGCCTACCATAATTCAATTCGATTCAATTTGATTCAAATCAATTAAAGCCAATTAAAGCCAATTCAGCCAATTACACTTGGACCGTTCATCTCTCATTTTCTTCTTGTACACATCTTTAATAAACAAATATTACAGTACGATTAATTATCATTATTTATTAATTACTCGTTTTGGTGTAAAATGTAAATTACCAGAGTACAATAAGATACACATGCGCGTATATATATGTATACATGCATACACAAAGAAATCGAGAGAAAAAAGAAGGAATTAAAATTTATAGATATATAGGCACAGGCACAGGAACAGGTACCAAGTATATATCTATATATATTTAAACTAACTACTTCTTTATCACTTGTCAAATAATAAACTTGGTCAATTTAAAATATTCAAAATTAATAAATAATTATTTAATAATAATAATAATAATAAATAATAGAAGGGAAAAAAAAACTCAAAGGCTGTTTCAACTTTTTGATTTTTTTTGATTTTAATAATATTATTAATTTTATTAATTTTATTTATTTGATTTCCATCTTTCTTTAATAACAATAATATACACACACATATACATAAATACATACATACATACATACATACATACATACATACATACATACATAATAGCATATAAAGGGACAAACACAAGCGTACACACATACACACATAGAGACAAACACATAAACATACAGACACAGAAAAGATGCAAGTATCAAATCCTCCACTGGGTGACCAAGCCCTTTTGTATCTAAAGCAAGTTGTAACAAACTGTGGACATGTCGAACGTCAACAACTTCTTCATTACCTTGAAAATGTTGGAAATTTCGACATTGTTGGTCATTCTCCAAGACACATTTCAACACAAATCTTAAAGTATTTTACACCACAAGAACTATGCAAGCTTAGAGAAGGTAATCGAAAGAAAGCTGTATAGAGTGATACGTAGAGAGCGAAAAGAAGAGGAATAATAAGCAGAAGAATAAACATAATACTAATGATAGAAAATAATAATAATAAAAAATTAAAAAAAAAACACTATTTTTTGTTTTGTTTTGTTTTGTTTTTTTTTGTTTTCTGCCATTCATTCATTCATTCATTCATTCATTCATTCGTTCATTCATTCATTCATTAATATAATTACTATAATTATTATAATGATAACAATAATCTGTCATTCTAGTATCTCGACGTTGGAATCTAAAGGCTACTGACAATGAACTCTGGCAGGCACATTCTGTGTCTTATAGCATGCTCCCAGAAAGCCATCACTTGAAATCACAAACCGATTTTGATCAAGAATCAGCCTTTCCGGTTTATCACGATCTTTTCCGACGTGGAATGACCACCGCCAAAAACTGGGAGACTTTTGGCTCAAAACGGTACGAATATCACTTCCATATGGGGCCTGTGCTGTCTCTACTCGCTCTCGATTCGTCCCGGATTGCTTCAGGAGATATTGACGGCACAATCCATGTGTGGAATATGAGACGCCAAGCTTATGTCGATCGAATCCACGCCCACAAGAGTCACGTGTCGTGTTTGGCTCGTAGTGCAGACGTGTTGGCGTCTGGTTCGTCTGACAAGAGTATCGTGATACACAGCCTGCCAGATCTGAAGCTGAAGACACGCTTGGTGGGCCACGAGGCACCGGTCACATCGTTGGCGTTTGGTGAATGTGGTAGCTACGAGGGAATCCTGTTCAGTGGCAGCGTGGACAGATCGATTCGTATTTGGAATATCTGGACTGGCAGTGGCAGTGGCAGTGGCAAAGATAGTGGTAACAATGATGAGAGATTTGGCGGTGGCGGTGATGGCAGTGGGGCGTGTATCCGGGTACTCTGGGGACAGGAAAACACAATCCTGTCGCTTGTTTACATCAGTCCGTTCCAGCTCACTCAGGACCAGACGCCATTCGAACGCCAGGCTGTTGCTAGTAACCGGGCCGGCTGGCTACTTTCGGGATCGACGGACCGAACCATGTTCCTCTGGGATTTGCAGAAATCGAAACGCGACAAGCCGCGCGTGAGTCACAGTGTGATGGAAGTCCATGGACCGGTTACTGCTCTGTCACTCTACGCAGAGTGGAACAACTGCTCTATGAATGACCAGACACCACCCTCGAACCCGTACGTCAAGGCACGGCACCCGATTTCAATCCCCCCCTTTGTTGTATGTGCCGGCCAAATGGATCCCACAGTCACCCTCTGGTCCATCCCAACCCTGGCACCCACAAAGGTCGAGTCACCCATCAGTCACAACGGCACCATCTGGGCCATCGAGTGCGCACCCATCCACTCAAAGATCATCACGGTTTCGGGAGACCGAACGGTTCAGGTGTGGAATCTCAAGGCCCCAAAGACGGTCATGCTCTTGGAAGGATTCGACAGTGCGGTCGTGTCGTGCTCGATAAGTACCCAAGAAGATCTCTTGTGTATTGGCATGGAATCTGGAGCAATTGTGGTCTATAACCTTCAAGAGTTTGAGAACTCAACTGGAGACTAAATCTATCTATATATAAAGGGGTTCCTACAATCAAACTAATCAAACTATATAATTATAAAAAATACAATAAAATATTTGCTTTTTTTGTTGCTACTGTTGCTGTTGCTACTGTTGCTATTGCTGTTTTTATTAAGATTACACATCAATTATACTTTACAGAACAGGCGCACCATCTTTAAAAACTTACAGGCAGTGTCACGTCCCACACAAAGGTAATTAGTGGTTTGTTTTAATTGATGTGACATGGTGTGTAGAACGCCAATAAATAAATACTAAAAAAAGGGGGGAGTAGGAGTAGGATTAGGAGGAGAGGAGAGGAGAGGAGAGGTGGATCTGTGTTTTATAACAAAAAGATGTATGGATAGATATGCTGTATATAAAGTATCAAATCAAATCAAATGTAATAGAATAGAATAAGAAGAAGAATTAGAATTAGAATTAGAATTAGAATTAGAATGAGAATTATAAGAGATAAGTCTATGTACTTTGTGGTATATTCTATATATACATGCAGTGTATATTGTAGATGAGGTATTTAGGTCCAAAGTTAATAAAACAGAAACAAAAGTGTGTGTACAGAATGCAGCTGAATTGAAATAGATGTACACACACACATGGAATATAGTGGGTACAAATTATCCCCTTCTTTATCTCTCTTTCTATCTCTCTCTTTTGGCGTTGTCTATCTTTGATAGAATCAATTGAGATGATGATAATTACAGTAGAAAAATAGGAAACTTCATCATATTATCATTATCGTTATCATTATCATTATGGTGTAGACTGTTAATTTGATATTTCTGTATATATCAATCTTTTGTTTTTGTAAGCCACGAAAAATAATGGTAGATGAACGATTGTTGTAATACAACATTCTATCAGTATATTTTATCTTTAGGCGAGTAACTTACTAATGTCTCCATCTAACTTTGCAGACCACCAAAATAAGATATAAATATTTAAGCAGCCTAACTTTAATCGAGTACACCGTATTCATATTTACTTCTCTTTTTTATTTATTTAAAGAAAAATAAATGGTGTGCTTCAATAAATACAAAATCTACTGTGTATACATATCAAGTATTCCACGTTTTTATTTTTATTTTACTCTTTTTCATATTTACATCATGATTATCATGTACACTGACAAATGAATATACATATATACATATATAAGCTGATTTAGATACATGGTATTATACCGGCCTACGGGGGGATAATTTATTTAAAAACAGTATAATTAATTGAAAGAATTAAGGTACTTTGCATATAAACACTTGGAAAAAAGAAGAAGGCATTCCAGCGCCTTTGTAATTGTAAGTATCAGTAACAATTTCAGCAACAATAGAAGCTATAATAGCATTTGTAATCATGATTGCAATTGCAATTGAATATGGAATTGTAGTAGTCAGATAGTATATATGATTTCTTCTTCTTCTTCTTCTTTTTGTGATATTATTTTTACTGGTTTATTTGTGTGATAATTAAACGGGAAAAAAATCAACGACACGCCTGTATTGAATTCAGAAAAAAAAACAAATATTTATAAATAAAAACTCATTTAGACATTGCTGTCAAGATGTGCGTACAGATTACAAAACAAGAAAGGCGGGGTTTAACAGCGCGGCTATTCTCCAGCAATCAGGTTTTACCCTTTTGTGCAGATCTTTGTTCATTTTTGGATATTTCACAAAAGAAGAAAAATAGTAAATTATTACTATCCACACAGACACACGCACAGCGTACACACACGTACAAGCACACAAGCACACAGGCACATGCTCGATAAAAACTTACATTTATACATACCTGTATATATCAATTTATTTGTATGTATGCACCCCTAGATAAATCAAACAATTGGTTGTAGAATACTGATATCTATACAATAATCAATACACAAGTATATATATATATATATATGTGCGTATTGAAGCTAATTGATCCAGAATAAGTCAAGTATCAATTGTACATATTTGTCGTAAAATGCACCAAAAGGACCCTGTAAGACTATAGTACATACAAGATGACTACTTAGATATTCAATTATATATATATATTTACGAGTATTTTAGAGATCGTATGTATGTGTACATGTAAATAGTATACTTTCCATGTTTAGATACTAAAAGATGTGTGTGTGTGTATCAGTGTGTAGATATTTCACGACTTTGATTTCCAGAGTAGGAAGAGGGTTTGGGTACATCGGATAACGGGTCCATTGATCTTTATTTTTTCTTTTTTTCTCTCTCTCTCTCTCTCTCTCTTTGAATCAAAATAAAATAAAAATAAATATTTATAGCAAGGGTGGAATGTATAAATACTAATATATATTTATATATATTTATACATGATCAGCCTCAATGGAGTACAATTTCCACAAATAAAGTAGCTTGCAAGATTGTGTATCAATGACAGAATGATTTAGTAAACTATGCCTAATTTATAACTTCTAGAATGACTAGCATCGTTGGGTGATTTTGGCGATGTTACTATCTAGATACTTGGATATCTTGGATATCTTGGGTACTTGAGTATCGAGAAGAGTCAGGACTATTGATATCAATATCAAATCTATAGTATTGTAGAAAGCCAATTGCCTAAAGACAAATATAAAACAACAAATTGTATCTCTAAAATAAATCCTTGTTCATTTCACATCGTTCGATTCTTTCTTTTTCTTTTTATTCTTATTCTTATTGCTTTCCACAATCTATATGGCTGTCCACTGATACTTTCTGTCTGTCAATTGAATTGTATTTTATCGTATTGTATTGTATTGTATTGTATTGTATTTATGATATATATATGTGTGTGTGGATCTATATATATTTATGTATGTATGTATGTACGTACATATATTTACCGAGGGTTACCCTGCCGATAAAGCGGGATGTTAGCCCATCCCACATGCTTGAGCCGGTTCTTCCGAGAAACGTCCCACTTAATAATTACTATGGTGATTTATTAAACACAAAAAAAACAAAGCACTTATATATATATATATATACATAAAAAGTGCTTCGAAACCCTGATGATCGTTAATAGTGGTTCACGATTGTTTTCTGACTACATAGGCGATCTTGAGCAAATAATAGTGTAACTGGTGGGAATGGATCGGTGAACTATAGGGTACCTTCTACCCTCCCATTCCCCCCACCTTTCTCTCTTTCCCTTTCCTTCTTCTTACACTGACTTTTTATTATAATAGGGTTTGTATTTTGGGGGAGAAGTTTATTGGGTTGCTATGGTGAATAAAAATAAACTTATATATATATATATATATATACATTTGTTAAATCGAATGACTTGGTTTTTTCCCCAGAAACAATACACCCCATCCGTACCCAGTATCTTTCTGTGTACCAAAAAGAAACAAACTAAAAGAACTGTATAGATATTATACATATCGTCTTCTTCTATTCTTTTCTTTATCTTGTTTTCTAGAATGTTTATTTGCATCTAGAAAGGCATGTGTTTTATTTTATATTTTATCCTATTTTATAATGTGGTTTTTTTTCTTTTTGGTGATCCAATGGAGATATTGTCTTGCAGTGTAACGATGACTATTATTATTATTATTATTATTATTATTATTTGAAGCACATCAAACCCACAGATGGAGTTGTTCCGAAACCTACGGGCTAAAATTTTTTTTCTTGTACATATATTTTTTTTTCGAAGCACATTAGTATTTTATATCTAAGAATGAAATGAAATTTGTAGTCATGGTTACAGCATATGCACTATACCTAAAATAAACAAATGTAAAGTGTATATATATATGTGTGTGTGTTAATAACCATGACAACAAGTCTATTGTAGATATATATGTATACTTTATTTAAACTAATCGTCGTTTTGTGTGCATGAATATATAAACTTATTTTAAATATCTAATTAGCACGTACCATTGTATTATTTATTAATGTGCTGAAGCAATTGTCATCATCACCATTATTCTTAATATTATCTATATATTGTGCGTGTCTGTGTTTGTGTCTGTGTCTGTGTGTATTTATATAGGTAATCTGGTTTTGGTTATTCTTTACAACCATAAAATCATAAACAGCGCTCACCACATGGCAAATCTGAATACATGCGGCACTAAATACAATACAATACAATACATCGCAACACAGTGCAACACAGTGCAACACAGTGCGATACAGTGCGATACAGTGCAATACAGCACAACACAATAAAATGTAATGTAATGTAATGTTATATAATATAATATAAATACATATATTATTATTTTTTATTATTATCTATTTAGTATCCGACAAGCCCCACGGGATAAAGCGTCTTTATTCTTATTTATTTATATACATCATTTTTTTTCCAATCGCGAGATCCTCCAATCGAAGTTCCAAAAGGGTTTAAAGAAGTTCCAAACTCTTGTGCTCCGCAAATTACTATTACTATTACTACTATTACTATTACTATTACTATTACTATTACTATCACTATCACTATCACTATAATTATTTTACTATTTTACTATTATTTTCAATGCCGATTTTATATTTAATTTTTTTTTTATTCTAAAAAAAGCATCTTTTTTTTGTTTTTTTGTTTTTTTTTGTTGTTGATAATATTTTGGCTTTCTTTCATTTTATTATCATTAATACCACCTTTATCCATTCAATCCTTTGTGTACCTTTTTTTTTTGCAAAAAATAAAGAAACCCTCATACCTCCCTTTTCTCTCTCTCTCTTTCTCTCTATTTCCATTTCTATTTCTTTCTTTTGCTTTCTCTCTCCTTCTCTCTCTCCTTCTCTCTCTCTCTTTTCCTTCCTTTTGTTCTATTATTAATCTTCGACTTTCCTTATGGGTATCATGAATTCGTTACGTGGTATAATGAAACCAAGTGCAAGTTTAAGCAGTAGTAGTAACAGCAGCTGCAAAAGCAAGGCATCCTGTCAAGTCCACGTTGCTTGTCAGATTGAGACAATGCAGAGCACCAGCAATTTATCAGCCATCTCTACACAAAGACCTAGTTATCGATTTGAGCACGGACGTCGTTATCACGATATAGAAGATTCGGTTTACGTTTTACCAAATGATGATCCAGGTACGCCACAGTCTGTCCCCCTCAACCACCCCTTTTTTCTTTCTTTCTTTCTTTATCTCTCTTCACCAACGAATACATTTAAAGAGAGAGAGAGAGAGAAAAAAACAGATTATCCTGTGCATAAATCTACATATAACATAATTATAATAATTAATTGATTAATTATTTATCTTTTATCTTTTACAACACCATACAACATCACCGATACATTTTGACATATAGAAATCGATCGATTGCACCAGCAGCACTGGGTACTTCACCATGCCTTTGACGGGTAAAGTCAATACGACACTTACAAATAATAATTAAAAATAATAATAATTGTAATTATTAATACAATTATTAATATTATAACGAAAGAAGAACAATAACCAACTTTGGGTTCAATTAGAAATTTCTCTTCTCCTGTCCACAAACTCCTTGAAGAAGGGGCCGTTGTATTGGATTCATGCTGTGGTAAGAATAGTAACAACAACAACAACAATAATAATAATTAAAGAACAAGGACAAGGTCAAGGACTATAGAAATAGATACATATAAAGAGTCTAGATCACAAATGCAATATAAGCTAAAAAATAAATAAATAAAAAATTGGTATTACAAAAAAAACCAAATATTTGAATGAATGAATGAATAAATAAATAAATAAATATGTATGTAATTTTTTTAGGCCCTGCCACATGGACTTTAGACATGGCAAAAGCATACGATCGATCAGAATTTTATGGAATAGACATTAGCCCTGTATTTCCCGAAGACATCAAGCCAGCAAACACCCATTTTCAATTAGCAAATATCACAAACCGCCTTCCATTTCCAGACAACCATTTCGACTTTATTCATCAGCGATTATTGATCTTCGGCTTGACACGATCTGATTGGACAAAGGTAGAGTACAATGGAGAAACAAACAGACAGACAAAGAGAGAAATAGAAAAGGGGAATACATGTATATATATAAAAAATATATGGGCTGATCTTTTTTTTAAAAATAATAATAATAATAATAATTTAAAAATAAAATCCTATTTTATTTTATTTTATTTTATATTATATTATATGTGCATTTGTGTTGATTTTGCAGGCAATAGATGAATTGTTACGCGTATTGAAACCAGGCGGCTGGATAGAGTTTAAAGAGGTGTGTAGATATATACAGACATATGTGTATGTGAATATATGTAAATTTGTATGTATGTGAAAATGTGTAACCATGGCGGCAAAATTTATATAATTATATATACATATATACACATACATATAAAAGGTTTGGGAACACTGACACTGACAGCTCTACTATTATGTCCTTGTGATAGCTTGAACTTAATCTTGAGAACACAGGCACCATGACAACAAAACTCAAAGAATCTAGTAAGTATATATATGTACATGTGTACATGTGTACATGTGTAGGTGTATGTGCACGCACGCACGCACGCACGCACGCACACAAAATATAATAATAAAAAAACCTTTACTAAACTGTGGATTGAATAATAAAAATAACAATAATTAAATTAGTGATAACCATGACAACCACACGCGATATGAATCCAACAATTGGACGTGAACTACGGCTATTGCTTATCCAGCGGGGATTACTCAATATTCAAGCCAAACGCATTAGTGTACCAGTTAACCATGATGGGAAGATTGGCGAACTGTTCTGGTGAGTCTAGAATCCACTCACCAATATAATACTATTATAACTACTTTTAATAAGAATATCACTTTTTTCTTCTTTAAGAAAAAAAAAGAAGAGGAGATATAGAAGTAGAGAAAGACACGATTTTTTGACCTTATTCTTATTGCCCATTACTAATGTCTTTTTTATTTATTTTTATTGTGGGAATTATAGGGATAATTACAAGCAAATGAGTCTTGCTCTTGCTCCCGTAATCTCGGGATCCCTGCCCTTAGATTTTCCACAATTCCTTGATAGTTGTGCAAAAGAGTGTGCAAAAGAGAAAACGAATTGGGGATGGCACGTAGTCTATGCCCAGAAACCGGTGTCGCCGATTAGATTCTCTCATTAATGACCATTATACCCGCCATATTCTTTCTTTCTCAACAACCAAAAAAAAAAATCCAAAAAAAAATTAGCTTTTCCATACTACACAGCAACAATTACACTTACAACAAACCTATACACAACACATCCACCAACTCACCTCACCTCACCTCACCTCACCTCACCTCACCTTACCTTACCTTACCTTACCTCGCCTCACCTCGCCTTACCTTGCCTCGCATCGCATCGCATCGCATCGCCTCACCTTATTTCACTTCTTACACGCAAGATAAAAACGAACGCCCCTTTCAACTCATACACATCTTATACATCAAAAATACACCAACCCACAGAGCCTCTTTTTTTCTTTCTTTCGTTCTCTCTCACTCACTACTCTTTCCTTAAAAAGAACGAAAGAAAACAATCATGCAATCTATGCTCTTCATTCCTTTAAACAACATTTTTTTTTAAAAAAAAGAAACAATTCCCCCATGCGATCTATTTAAAAAAAATCGGTCAAATTATTATTTTTTAACAAAAATAAAATACAATAAATTACAATACAAAACAATGTAATACCAAATCAGATCAAATTATTTATTTAAAGCGATATCATGTCGTAAATAGCTTTATATTCTCTTCTCAGAGGAATCTTTTTGGTCCGCCCAATGGCTACCAAGCCTGCGATCAAAGCACACCCGATTCCTGCACCAACAATTTTTTTTGTCAGCCCAGAAGAACAATAGCTTTTGGTTTTGATTTTGGTTTTAGCTTTGGCTTTGGTTCCAAATACGCGCCTCCACGTTAATGCTGCACCACTCACTCCATGGTAAACAGCTGCACCAATCAAGAGAGTGTGGAGTCCCCAAGTAAAATAGGCCCGGTTCTGAAGTCCCCAGGAAATCAATCCAAAGTCAACAAACGCAGAGTCTCCAAAATATCTAGCCGGAAGGCGTCGAACGAGGTGATGATGAAATCCAACCAGGGGTATGAGTACAAGACCGGATAAGCTATGGAAACGAAATAACTGCGTTTGAGTTTGTGATTCTAGGTTTGATTGTGGGTGTGGCGCTTGTGAGCTTAGTGCAACAAGGGTTTTCCAGGGACGTCGGATGACGACGGTCGACTTGACTAGTCCAGCCAGCACATGTATGGTTGCGGCTCCGGTCACCAAAACGGCTTCTAAGTTCTGGTCCTGATAGAGAGGTCTTGCCAACAAAAGCGATTGATTGGCAGAATCGACTCCATTTATTGCGGCAATCACGATCTGTACACCATGGATGACTGCAAATGTCGAGAAGGAAAGTGCGGATGCCGATTGCACAAATGTCAAAAAACTATAGATCTTTGGACGGCGCAAAGACAAAGGCAGAGGCAAAGGTGTTGGTTCATCCACAGACATTTTAATGTAAGAAATATGTATATATAATATGTGTATCTGGGTGGGTGTGCCTCTAAGTGTGTTAAAGGGAGAGAGAGAGGGGAGGGAAAAATAAAATAAATAAAAAAGTGAGAGAGAGAGCGCGTCTCTTGGTAGATCTTTAGGTACAGCTTGGTTGATCCTAGACGTGTGTGTGTGTGTGCCTTTCTCTACTTGAGTGTGTACGACATCTAGCATACCTTGTCACAAGAAATTCATCTTGTTTTTTTTTTTACTTCTTTTCTTTCGTTATTTCTCTCTCTCTTTATCTATTTCACCTACTTCTTGATTATGTATATGTATTTGAGCAATTTATATATATATATATATAAGACCAAAAAAATAAATAAATGGAGTCTTTAATTAATTTGTATGTCAAAATTGTTGTATGTCTCAATTTTCCTCCCAACCCCCCCTTGTAAAAAATAAAAATTAAAAAAATAAAAATTAAAAATAAAAAGTTGCATACATAGTAGATCACTTCACCACCGCCACCACCGTTTTAATACCTACAGTTTTATCATTCACTATCGCTATTACCACTACCAACCACTAAAAACCATCATCACTAAGCAACCACGGATATCACGGCTTTGAGATGTAAAATTGTGCAAGAATTTCGCAACTTATACTTCTAGATTTGTTGGTTTTGTTTTTAATGTAGATTATTTTTATGAGCGTTCCAAAACTCTTTTGCTTTAACCAATAATAAGCTTGTCATCCTGGAAGTTGTATTCTAAAATAACAAGTACATACGTATGTTTAGTCTCTTTCTTACCACTCATAATAATAATAATATATATATAAATCTTACCGGGAATTTCGAGGTTGAGAGGAGCAGGTCCCTGACGGATACGACCAGAGATGTCGTAGTGAGAACCGTGGCAAGGGCAGTACCATCCACCGAAATCACCAGCTTCACCAATGGGCACACAACCCCTACAAAATTTAAAATTTAAAATTTTAAATAAATAAATAAATAAATAAATAAAATAAGATAACAATAATAATAAAAATAAAAATAAAAATAATAACAAGAAAAGAGATCAACTTACAAGTGAGTGCAGACACCCAACATGACAAGCCATTCAGGGTTCTTGACACGATCAGAATCCTGTTCGGGATCACGCAAATCCTTCACATTGACAGTGTTAGCCTCGGCAATCTCCTCCTGGGTACGGTGACGAATAAAGACGGGCTTTCCTCTCCACTTGATTGTCACGTTCTTGCCCTCGGGAATCGATGCAAGTTCGACCTCGGCCTTGGCAAGAGCCAAGACATCGGCAGATGCGGACATGTTGGCAAGGAAATCACTGACGGTGGCCTGAGCACCAGCAGCAGACAAGAGACCGGTGGTACCGATCAGCATGTAAGAGAAGTTACGGCTGGCTTCACCACTGGTGTTGGTCTTCTTGTACTTTGAAAAGTCAGGAACATTAGTGGTGTGGTTACGCTGCTGGCTGTGGACTAAGATGTATAACAATTAATACATATATATATTTATATATATATATATATCAAACAATAATAATAATGAAGAAGAAGAATGAAGAAGAACATACAGAAATATATAAAGATATATATTAGAAAAATATTGTTTTAAAACAAGGTAAATTGTAGCTTTTTTATTATTATTATTGTCATTATTACATTAATGAAAATATAAACATAAACACATGCACCCACACCCACACCCACACCCATATTTATATATTAAATATTATAAATGTATTTATGCATATATTCTAATTATTTGTTACCAGGCGATCTCTGCTCCTCTTCTTTACGGTAGGAAAGGTTGATCTTGAGAGTAGGGGCCAATGCAGGTGTCAATGAGCGACGGGCAAAGGCAGAAGTAAGAGTGCGTGACAAGGCCATTTTTCTTTTAATAAATATATAAATTATTATTATTATTATTAGTTTAAAAAAAAAGAAGTACAATATACCTTCTTTAAAAAAAAGAGTAGGGGGAGGGGGATTTGTGTGTAGAAGAAGAGGGGGGAGGAGAGAGAAGGAGGGAGGAGTTCGGTTTTTGCCTTGCTGTGTATAGAAAGGGGTGGGTGAAAAATTATGGGCCAAAATTGTTGTGTGTAGGATCAGTCTTTTTTTTTTCTTTTTCCCCCCGCCCAAAATATTCATTTTCTTTGACGTCACCCTAGAAAGGAATCTTGCTGTGATTCAATCGACAGAAGAGGAAGACAAGTAAGAAGAGAATGGTTCATATTTTATGATAGACATTGATACCATTAAGTTGGTTAGATGTGCTATATGCAAATCTTACTCTACAAATTTTTCTTTTGTGTTGAGCAAATCCTCAAGATGTAGTTACAATCCCCTAAACGTTTAAACTATTGACGTTATATTTTAAATATCAGGATTGGATTACATAGAATACTTTATCTCTGTTGTTCCCTTTCTATTTAAAATCATTTAATCCTCATTATCTTCAATATCAATATCATAATTATCAGTGCCTTTAGTTTTAATCAACCAACCAAAAAGATACTTGTACCTGAAATAAATAAAAATATATAAAAAAATGAATTTACGCACATACTGTTCTTATAAGCATAAGTAAAGGTGATTGATTGGTCAATATGGTTCACATTTCAAAACCCAATAAATATTGAAGAATATCTATAGTCCTTATTACACATACATACATACACACTGCAAACTAACATAATAATGACTCACTGCCACGACGAACATTGTGACCATGACCATGGAGATCTCCCTGATGCAGGAGATCAGTTTAACCTTTATTCGCGTATTGATCACGACAATGTTTGCTGTTTAAATGAATCAGAGCCAAATAGTGGAAAGAAGATTATTAAACCATGGAATGAACGCATGGACAATACAAATGTAAATTGCATACAAATAATAATAATAATAATAATAATAGTATATTTTTATTTACTTGCTTATTAATTATTGTTTATATATTATCTGTCATAGTGGTTAGAAAGTGATGCAGACGAAGAATTGATTGTTCATGTCCCGTTAGTTATCCTTCTTCTTCTTCTTCTTCTTTGGGCTCAAAATTCGCGAAATATCTTTTTATTTAAAATTAAAACAGCTGTTAAAATTCTACTTATACTATGACAACGACAACGACAAAACTATCCTTTTAGATTTACAGGCACTGTTAAATTGCGTTCGATTTGTCTACGGACTGATCCAGGAGAGTCGGCACCAGCAACACTAAAGGTGTAAGTGGCATTGTCCTAAATCAAACGATAATAATAATAATAATAATAATAATAAATAGATTCATCAACCGCGATGGTATGGATTTCGATGCCGCTCAGAGTTATACACCCACTCAGACATGGGAGCTTGTTCAAGGACACAATGATGTATTGGAGTATTCTACTCGGTAAGGCAATATATTAATATGGATATAGAGGTACTCTTACAAATTAAAATAATATCAACATAATTTGCTTTATTTTCTTCTTCTTCTATACATGTATACTAACAAATGTAATGCTTATAAATATATGTATATATAAAAGCATCACTAAATTCACAAACGTACGTACCTTGACATTGTTCTTCCCTGACAACTTTGGCGGTGACACGAGCATCGTACGGTTCCTTGGGTTCAAGGGCGAATGGACAGAGGTAATGCTAATGATTGGTACACACAGTAATTCGATGACTAAAAGAATCCCAATAATCTATTGTATCACGGCAAATCTATATATCTCTTTTGGTATTGCACTATACTGTACTGCACTGCATCTTTATTTAAAAAAATGATCTTCAGTTGAAGAGAGACCCAATTATTACAGGTAAAAATATAATATATATATATATATATATACTATTGAAAAAAAAGAGAGGAAGAAAAGAAGAGAAAGAAGAGAACATCTACACAAGCATTACACACGATTATATTAGCTTTTTTTGGTTTGTTCAATCTTATATACCAGTACCAGTCATCTTGCGCGAAGATTAAATACTATTCAACACCCACATATTATTCTTTACATACCTACTGATTAATTAATTAATCGTCTTCGTCTTCGTCTTGTTCTTTAAAGTGTACGAAGCTAACGCCAACCCAGCTGACCACAAGAATCCAGCCGGTGAAAATAAAATGGACTATTCAATCCAATAACCAGGGAAATCCCAATATTTTCTTCTTATTCTTTATAATTCTTCTAAAAAAGGAATATTTTTTCCTTAGGCTGTAAAAAAAACAAAGCCAAACCAAATACATACATACACACCCACACATATATGCAATTCAATTCAATTCAATTCAATTTAACTCAATTCTTCTGCTGTTTTGTTATCATGGAAATATTTGTATATTTTATATATGTATATATATTAGAAAATTAAGAAAAAAAGAATATTTCAGTACAACCTCTTATTGGAAGAGTATTTTGGATGTGTTGGGTAAAGGTGTATAGAGGAGGATTTAAAGATTATTAAATTATTATTATTATTATTTTTAAAAAAAGTGAATAAATGAAAGAGAGAACGAAACGATGATTGGATAATGTACATAAACTTTTTTCCAATTCCAATTCCAATTCCAATTCCAATTCCCTATATTTTTTTTAGAGAAGGGCAACAGCTGCAACGGCTGCCATGGCCAAAGCAACAGCAGAAACGGTCTTCTGAGAAGCACCAGAGTCAGCAGGAGTAGAGGAAGCAGCAGTACTGGCCTTGGATACAGAGGGAGCAACCGAGCTAATAGCAGCAGAAACCGAGGCAGATGGAGCAACGGAGGAAGCGGAGGCAGCAGGAGCGACGGAATCAACAGAGGAAACGGGAACGGGAGCGGACTCAGCGGCGCTGGACGACTCAGCAACAGGCTCAACGGTAGCTGAAGCAGCGCTTTCAGCAGCGGTGTCGCTCACGGAGGCAGTGGCATCAGCGGCGTCAGTTGCGGTAGGAGTGGCATCGACGGGGGATTCAGTGGCATCAGCATCAGTACCGGCACTGGAGGTTGGGGTGACAGCGCCATCGACGGCAGAGGTTGTTTCGGCACCAGGAGCAGGAGCAACAACGCTGGGAGTGGCACAGGGCTCCTCCATACAGACACAGTAGGCCTTACCACTGTCGAGGTTGTCACACAACTAAATAGAAAACAAAACAAAGGTATTCATTCAATTGCACTGTAAATTTTTATCCGTAATTTTTGTTTTTTTGTTTTGTTTTGACAACTCAATGTTTGTAATAATAGAAAGAAAGAGGAATCTATCTTACGTGGTCACCGGCGTGGTGGAGTCCGGGGTTCATTTCATAGAAAGCATCAGGAGTCAAACCGTGGGCAATAGCAACAGAGTCACAGTCATCAGCATCAGTGACTTTATAAAGCAAAGTAAAATGTAGATTTATTCATTCGTTAGACCAAAGAAATAATTAAGAGAGTGGTGGAGTGCGTATATGGAGATCTTGGTGAATTGATCTGTAAGAATAATAATAGTAAAAACTTACTGGTATAGGTGGCAATGCATCCCTCGGCAGGGCCGTTGGCAGCAGCAGCTTGGGCGGCAAAAAGGGCGGCAACAGTCAAGAGAGTGTACTTCATTTTGTTTTTGGGATTTAATAAACAAAAAAAAACAATAAGGAAAGGAAAGGGAGTAAGATAAGAGAAAATGAATGCGCGTTGGAATGGAGGTTAAATACAGAGCTGTGGTGTGGCCCTTGACTTGCTTTCTGACCTCTTAATTGTGTGCAACAATCCTTCCTCGTGTGTAAGTGCTCCATAAAGGCCTTACAAGAGTGATATGAGTGTCACCTTGCCAATGGTCACATTTTCTATACTTTCTTTTTTCTTTATTTTTTCTTTTTCTGGTTATCGCTCTGTTTAGTCGTTTTATCCGTTTGTGGTACTTTCTGCAATAAACACACAATTACATATATATTGATTTTACCCAAATTCACTACATCTCACTATATATATTTCATTTATTGAATCCGAAAATAAACGCAATTTAATATTACACTTCTTTGAAGAACTTGATTTTTTTTTATACATCTTTAAGATTTTTTTTTGCTGACAAACCCCTCCTCCTTTAAGGAGTTGAAATTAATACCAATGAATGTTCCCACTATATCTGCAACATTTTTTATTTTTATTTTTAATAATTTACAATTGGTCAGATCAATTCTCCTTTGTCGAAACTACCAAAGTAGGTTGCCTTGGAAACTTGTCAATAGTAGGATACTCATATTTTACACATCTTTCTTTATTATCTGTGTATGTATGTATATATATTTCTGTCTATTTGGTTGTTTAAATCGGAGAAGTTCAAAGACATGTTTAGAAAGTTCATTTATGAACATTAAATTCTGCAAAACCTTTTTTTAGTTTTCCAAATTTTTAATTCCCCTTTTATCATCTTATTTTATTTTACATTCTACCATTCGCATGTCTCAAGATATTAATCCCAATAAACATACACACAGAAAGATAGAGAGCAGCAAAAATAAACGTGTTTTTTTTTTGATATTATTATTATTATTATTATTATTATTTTAACATTACATTACATTATATTTTATTGTATAATTCTTTATATTGATATTGATATTAAATATCAATCACTATAGTTACCATTATTATTGTTACTGTTACTGTTACTGTTACTGTTATATATATATATATTATGATTATTATTGAAATACAACTAAACGATGCCGCCTAATTTGCGAACAATCCACTTTTCGCATTCAACAAAGGTAATGAATATGGCAACGCACACAACAATCATAATCCAGGACTTTCCGCTCACAGGAGTCAGCTCTAACCATGTAGATATCCCAGGTGCGTAAATGCCCAGCAAAAGGAACCCAGCCGAGATGAAGAAAGCACCGACCATCCATCGATTGCCCAACACACCAGTCTTGAAGATCGACTGCAAGCTACTGCGAGACATGAAAGAATGCAGGAGCTGAATGGTTGTGATGGTAGCAAATGCCTTTAAAGATATATATATATATATATATGAAAGAAGTTAATATCAATTGAACTCAATATTATCTTTTATATAAAAAAAATATATATAAAGGGGTTTGGTGTGTATGGGAATGGGAATGCTCTTTTGTTGTTGTTGAAATCATAAACTCACCAGAGATCTGGCATCTTCAATAGTATAGTTATAGACACGCAATGAAAGAACATATGTTCCGATTGTCAAGGCAGCCATCATTAAAGACTGAAAGAAGATAATCGTCCATGAAACCTTTGTGAGCACACCCATCTTTGGGTTTCGAGGAGATCTCTTCATAAGATCCCGTTCTTTTGGTTCAACACCCAAGGCCATGGCAGGAGGAACATCAGCTACAAGTCAAAACAATACAGTAATACATATTGTGTGGTTAATTAAAGATAATATACGTATTGATCATAAAACTTGTATAAATCTCTGAAGATTATCTAAATTATAGTTACCAATAATGTTGGCCCACAAGATCATCATAACAGTCAAAGGAGTTTCAAGGTTAGCAATAGCACAAATCAACATTAAAAAGATTTCTGCTCCATTGCAGCTCAAGAGGTACAGGATAAACTTGAGAATATTGTCAAACACATGTCGGCCTTCTTCAACGGCTGCAACGATCGTAGCAAAGTTGTCATTCAACAAGACAAGGTCTGCTGCCTGTTTAGTGATCTCGGTACCAGCTATACCCATAGCCACACCAACGTCGGCTGCCTTGATAGCAGGAGCATCTAAAATAAGAAGATAAACAAATATGTCAGAATAATAATAACAACAATAATAATATGCATCGCTGAACAATTTTTTTTGATTTACCGTTCACACCGTCTCCAGTCATCGCCACCAATTCTCCACGTTGCTGAAGTGCATTGACAATGGTTAGTTTATTGTCAGGGCTAACACGTGCAAACACATTTGGAAAGGGATCGAGTTCCAAGAGTGCATCTTCGGACAACAGATCAAGCTCACGACCAAGAATAGCTCGACACTAATTATACATATATATTTTTTTTATAAAAGGGTAAGTTTCTTTGACATTTTCTCTTTTGCTCTGTTCATCTTTTTTTTTTTAAAAAAAACATATTTAACATGTTTATAAGAGTAAAAGTAATAGAAAGACTTTACCATGCCAGGAACACCTTGTTGGTAAATTCCAAGCTTAGCAGCAATTGAAGTCGCGGTTTGTACATGGTCACCAGTAATCATCATTACTCGAATACCGGCCTCTTGGCAGACCTGGACAGCCTCTTTGACGCCTTGTTTGGGTGGATCCAGCAATCCAATCAAGCCAACAAATACCAGCTCGTCTTCAGACAGACTAGGTTCACTTTCTATGCTAGCCGTGTCTTTCCAGCCCTGGGTCAATTTGGCAGTCTTGACACCAAGTCCGAGTACACGAAGACCTTGGGATGCCATCCGAGAACTTTCATCAGCCACAAGAGCCGCAAATTCTTCAGTAATAGGGACCGCCTGGTAGGCTGTCTGTGGAGATCTGGTGGTCGTGGAGCTGGCAGGCTTATCGTCTGCAGAGGCCATAAACATCGAGCACCGGTCAACAAGTTCTTCTGGTGCGCCTTTGCATAATACGTAGACTTCGTTGCTGGTATCATTTATGTTTTTGCTCTTGTTGCTGTCTGTGCTGGCATATATCGAGCTCATTAACTTGCGCTCACTGTCAAATGCTCTTTCAAACACCTTTGTGACTTGCTGGGACCAGTATGCAGGACCTAGACCAGCCTTTTGCGCAGCCACGGTCAAGGCAATCTCGGTTGGATCACCAATCGGGGTGTACTCGCCAGTCTCCTCATCAAGAACGATGGACGAGTTGTTGCAAAGACCGGCTACCATAAGTGCATAAAAGAGATGGGACGTGTAGGCACTTGGATTGGTGGGATCGAGAGGATGGGTTCGCAAGGCAGAGTAGTCTGGGACGGTTTGAGACTCGTTTGGCAAGCGATTATCCGCCATAGGACTTCCATACGAAGGAGCTGTACGACGCACATGGATCATTCGACGACGTAGCTCTGCGGGTTCAATCAAAATCTGGCCTTGGCTAGGATCCATAGAGGTAGACTTTGTAAAGCGATAGAGAGCATTGTCGGCCGTCCAAAGTTCAGATGTGCCCATCTTGCCTTGGGTTAGTGTTCCAGTCTAGGATGGTCATCGGGGTAGAGAAGGTGATGATGTATTAGTGTATGTGTGTATGTGTAATGTAAGATTACAAAATAAGCATAGTATTCTAAACTGATTTGTATATATAAAAAGAAAGGAAGCTAGTCTTATTGTTTCCTTACCTTGTCCGAACAGATGACAGTGACACTTCCGAGGGATTCAACTGCCGGCAATGTTCTCACGATGCAGTGTCTAAATAAAAAATATAAATAAAAATTCTTGACTTGATAAAATGGCAAGTATATTTCAAGTATATTCAGTTGATAATAAGAAAGACCACAACTTACTTGGTAGCCATACGACGTACGCCCAAAGCCATGGTTACTGTCGTTACTGCAACAAGGCCTTCTGGAATTACGGATACAGCAAGACTAACAAAAAGAAAAAAAGATATAGACACATAAAAAACAATTTTTTTGGGGGTGAGATAAGACAATAAGAAAAAGAGAGCACATGTGTGCGTGTGTGCGTGTGTGCCCATGCTTATGCTTGTGTGTGTGTTTGTGTTTTAAGCTACCTTAGACCAATGTTGACCATTGTTTTGACATCTTTTTTCCAGGCTATTCCAATTACCACCACAAGTGCACAGAGCACAACTGCTAGTGCGACAAGATACAGGCCTAATCTGGCAAGTTTTCTCTGAATTGGAGTTTTTGTCTTGCGCTTAGATCCTTTTTGGATAGCCGTGCTGATCTTGCCAATCTATGTAATATATATGGTCCGGGGAGAAAGAAAGAAAAGAAGGTTGAGAAAACAAGATAACTAAAACAACAACAAAAAGGGCCAAGAAACATATACAACAGTGCTTAAAGAAGATCTTGTTGTAACCCAGGTAAATACCTCTGTCTGTACACCAGTGCGTACTACGATTCCTTTTCCGCGACCACGCGCAACCGTAGTTGCCATGAACGCATTTCCGATACAGTCTCCAAGTGGAATACGACGAGACTTTTTGTTGTTATGGTTGTTGGAAGGGGGGTGAGAGGCAAGCAAATGATAATAGTATAATAGGATTGGGTAAAAAGGTAATTGTATCAGTTGATGTTACAACAAGAAAGTACATATGGTTAGGATATTAGTTGTCCATGAATTATTAATGTATATCTTTGGTTCTGTTGTTGTTTTTTCTTTGCCTACCTTTGCCTTGACTGCGTCGGTGCTCTTGGACGAGGGAACACTCTCGCCTGTCAAGATACTCTCGATGAGCTCAAGTTGCGAGACCTCAATGAGCCGTAAATCGGCAGGAACGGCTTCTCCTTCTTCAAGAACGACGACATCTCCTGGCACAAGGTCTTCTGATCCAATCATCTGCTGTTCGCCATCACGGATAACTTGGGCCATTGGTACAGATAAGTTCATGAGCGCATTGAGCGTCTTACTGGCCTTCCATTCCTGACTGAATCCAATGATGGTATTGAGTACAATTACCACCAGCAGTACAGCCGCGCTATTAAACTCCTTCTCTGCACATTGAATGATAGCTGCAATAATAAGTATAATGACCATCAGATCGGTGAGCTGCAGCCAGAGCATGTAAAGGGCGTTTGGGCGGGGAGGATCCGGCAGCCGATTTGGCCCATGGTGGTCTCTTAAGGAGGCGACCGAAGCAGATGCTAGGCCGTTCTGGGGGTCCGAATGTGAAAACATCGCCAAGAGTTTTTCGACCGAGCGGTCAAAATAGAGCGACTGTGGGGGGATCAATGCCGTTGCAACCGTCACTGTGTCCAGGGAGGATTTATAGGTATTTGGGGGACGAGGCATTTTTGAGTGCTGCTGAGCTGCGACTTCTTGAGCTAGTGGAGATCCCAGCAGACGTTCCATCGCCGGCTGCTCAGCTTCCTTGACCAAGTCTTTCCAGTCACTACACTGACATAATGTTGTGAGCAAATGGATCATGGCAATTGCACTTTGTTTTTGCTTGGGTGAACTAGATGGTTTGAAGCGATAGTGGATCTTGAGTTCACGCTTGAGCTCGTAGACATCTCGTTCGTTTACAGCCGCACGAAATTCGATTACTGAATAGGGATGATCAGTGAAAAGCAGATGAGTTGAAGTTGAAGTTGCATGCAATGCAATATAATATGCAAGCTTTTTTTATATTTTAGATTTGTTGATCCATATTTATGGATTTGCGTTTTGATATATACATATATAAATATAAATGAATGTATATTTATACACTTTCTATCTATATTTAACTATGTATTACCTTCTTCAAGAAAGTCTCCAAAGAGTGAGAATGCCATATCTGCAGCAGAGGTAGTGCGCTTTCTTATGAGATGGCCTTCGGTGTGCCCGGTGTTAAGCAAGAGGGCTTCCGACAGACGTTTCATAAGTCCTTGATCAAGATGTGGTTGGTGACCACCTTTGATACGGTAGTCCATAACATAGCGCAAGCCGTCGAGGACTTCTTCGAGGGAGATTGATCTGTTGTCCTTGACATCAAAGAGATCATGGACTATTTTATTTTAATTTTAATTTATTATTATATATATAGAGTTTAAAGAGTTAATGTAAATAGTAAAATGGTGTATGGTAGACAATAGACAATAGACGGTAAAACATTACCATGAACTTCTATCTGCTGTTCGATCGATGCTTTTCCATCGACCAAGGACAGTATATCGATAGCATAGTGTGAGTGCTCAGTCAATAGTGGAGGTTTAGACATGAAAGAGATGATGGATCAAGAAGGTGAACAATGCACCCTTTTATAGACTTTCTGGCTGATATTTTCTGGTATTTTCTGCCTATTTAGTCAATCTTTTATATTTACATTTTATAATATCTTATAATATATATACAAATTTAATGTATAAATTCAAAGCACAAGAAATCTTGGTTGGCTATCTTGATGCTTATCTATATTTACAAATGGCTGGTGCAATACATAAACAATTATAGGTGGTTTTGACTACAATATCTTGTTTGATGTCATTACATATTTATATACATTCTTATTTATTTATTTTTTGAAAGAAGTTTGGATAAAGAAGAACTATACAAGATTATTAAGTGACTTGTGTGAAACTCATAGCTTTTATCCTTCACACATACAAAGAGAGGATCACAATTCCATCACTTTATCAGCTTTCTTTGTCTATTGATCTATTTCTTTGTCTTTGTATGCGTCTGCGTCTCTGGTTCTATATCTAGGCCTCTTTATTTCATTCTCTTAATATTTATATTTATACTTATACTTATATATCTGTACCTGTGCCTGTGTTTGTATTTCTGTGTTATTATTAAAGTAAAATGAAATATAAAATATAAGATATATATATATATATAAAGAAAAAAGACATTACGCTTGTAACTCTTTTTGCTGTTGTTTAATAAAAGAATCTTCTACTGATACTAAAGGTGCCAGTCGTACGACCATCACAAGGCCATCATTGGTGCAGCTTACTACAGCTTCTACTGTTGCCGTCACCCCCCGAATCCGATCAACGATCCATTCAAACCGTAGACGGACAATTCTGCTGTTCGATTTTGCCAGGTTGATCTGTACTTCTACGGATTCCAAGTCAGACTCCTTGACAAACATATACAGAGACTGCCCGACAGTTAGACGAGCCGGAGCTCCCACTAGTGGTTCTGCAAGACGTGAAATAAAGACAATGTCGAGCGCATCGGTAAACTTGTTCAGGATCATGGAGAATCGCTGTTCCTGTTGATGGGCTACTCGATTCTTGATCCACTGATTCCCAACCGTCAAAACCTTGTTTAATCGAGCCTGATTGTCCTGCCATGATCCGACCAAATGTACCGATCCGTCTGGGGAAATCACAAACCATTCGTCAACAGAACTAGCTCGGATCTTGTGTTGGACTGTTGTTCTGTTGCCATGTAAGAAATTAGTGCAGACGACGACATCGGTACAGTAATTCACGACCGTATCAATCTCAACATATTCGCCGCTTTTGTGGAGAGTGCGATAGGTGAGCATGACTGACATGCGTTCATTCATCACATTCGCTCGATGGATCAGATGGGCTGAATCGAGTTCATCGGGATGGATAAGGCTGTAGCCTCCTTTTCCTAGCATCTCTTCTGGTGTAAAGCCCAGGACATCAAAGACACTGTCCGACACATATATGTAGGTTGCATTCAAAGTATTATCAAAGATTGCAATGTAATTGGGCTCCATTACCCCCAAGACAAGACCACCCTTTTGAAGACAGAAACAGTAAAAATAAATTAATTATTTACAATTAAATTAAAATTAAAATAGTATATATACATATATAAATAAAATGAATAACCCTTATTTTATATTTTATATTTATATGTATATATATATATATATATCATTAGTATTCTTGATATAATATACAGCAAGTTAGTTTGCAGCATTCTTGTTTTTAGTGTTTGGTAAAGAAGTACACATAAAAGAAGAAGAAGAAGAAGAAGATAAAAGCAAGAATAAGAAGAATAAGAAGGAAAGGAGAAGAATAAGAAAATGGGTTGTAATACCAAGTGTATTTTAAAATAAACCTTTTTCATTACATTTTTCTTTGCTTAATTATATGTATATGTATATATGTATATATGCATTTTTAGCCAGTTAGACATTGTAGACGCAATGTGACTATAGCTAATATCAACCATTGGTAAAGTAGAAAAATACAAGAAGTATATTATTATTTCTTATTTAACTCTTATACATACTTTACAGCATATACTCTTATTTCTATTACAAAAAAAAAAGGCTTGGTTCTTAAGCTTCACATTCACTTATATATATATATATATATTCTTATTGAAGCAAATCGAATACTACTTGCAATTATTATATTAAGAAAACAGTACCGATAATAATAGTACTTTTTAGACTTCTTGGTAAAGAAGTCTTTGGGTTCAAGTCATTAACTTATTAAAACATAAAAAAAAAAGAACCCGCAAAATAAAAATAAAAATAAAAAAGCAAGCTTGATGGTTTGGCGGAGAATCCATTACTTGCGTCACAAGTATCTATACAAAACAAACACAACAAAATATCAACTCAAGCCAAGCCAAGCAAAGCAAAAGACAAAGACAAAGGGGGGGAATACAATTATATACAAAAATTTATATGTGTATAGTTTTTACGACTTGATATAATTTATATATATATATTTTATTTTATTTTATTTTATTTTTAAATATTTTCTTTGATTCGTGCTTTCTCTCTTTATCTTCAAAACTATTATAATAATATACATATACATATACATATATACACTCCTACTCACACTCACCCACACTCACTCTCTTTCCTTGCCCACCGACTCCACCTTTCTCTCTCTTTCTCTCTCTCCTCTCCTCAATACCATCAACTCACTCTTCCTCATGGCAGACAGTCCGCACTCAAACACCTTTCTAAAGAGCTTGTCTCAGAAAAAATATGCGTGGATGCAGACTCCTTCGGCTACATTCACTCAACCACGCACAGATTCCTTGAAACCTGAACCCCGGAAACTAAAAGAAGATACTCGACCAGCAAAGAAAGCTCGTCAAGCAAAACGACATGGATCCCTCGATCAAGATATGAAGATTGTCATCAAATCAGAACCAATAACCAAAAGACAAACCTCGTCTTCTGCCATATCACCTCTCTACAGTCCTACAACACCTCCCTCCGCTTATTCTTCTGTATTTACTACGTCTAACAACAACAACAACAACAACAACAATAATAATAATGCTACTACTGGTGGTAGTAGCTCTAGCCTCCCTCCTCATTCTTCTCTACACGACGATTTATTACCACCAAAGTCTCCTACTTTCACAAAGTCTGAAGAACTAGACAATGAAGCAGACAAAGTACCACAGCCTCATTTCAAATACACCACCTTTCCTGTCAAAGGATTCAACATCCTTCCAACGCGTAATATCACCAGTACCTTTGTCAAATCAGATGTGACTTATTTTCCCGGTAACAAGGCTGGATCAGAAGCCATTATGCCCGATGCAAGTAGTGGAATCCACACATTCTTATTTATTTTTTATAAAGCTATATATATATATATACACTTATATATTTATACATACGTGTGCAATGTTAATAATAAACTCATCATTTTTTTTCTTTTTCTCTTTAATCAATCGATTATTATTATTATTATTTTTACTTTTTGAATATACATTACTATAATTATAATTATAATTATAATTATTTTATTAGGCAGAGGAAGAATGGGCTGACACGATCGTAATTCATCCTGGATCACGTAATTTGCGCATCGGCCTCGCATCAGAAGCGTTTCCAAAAACAGTACCTCACGTTATTGCCAGACATATTGCACAACCAATTCCAGAAATTCCTGACGAAGAAGTCGATGAAGAAAACGAAGAAGCTATAGAAGAAATCAAGGGCGAACTCAAGTGGAGAATGAAGAGTGCAAAGCGAAGAGCAGTACCCAATGCAGAGGGACAAGTGGTTGGATTCAACACACAGGCGTACCAGGAATTAATTCCAGATCACAATGATCCTTACAAAGTCGAGTGGACTGAAATCAATCCTGCTAAGAAACCTGACCATTTTGTAGGCGAAAAGGTTGGTATTTTCTCCAAATATATATATATATATTTAAAGGGGGAATACTCAACAGATTTTTATATGTATATTATGCTATTTGTATTTAGGCACTCAATTTGCCTATTGCTGAGAACTCTGACTACAAATTGTTCTATCCCTGGAAGCATGGAACATTCAACAACCAGGATTACACTTCACTCCAAGCCGTCATGGGTGATCTGCAAACCATCTGGACTGATACTATTAATACAGAACTTGAGATTGAAGGGAAACAATTCGAGGTAATGAATATATAGACACACACAGAGAGAGAATAATAGAATTGGTAGAATAAAATAAAATTAAAAAAGTTGTTACTTATTAATGATTTACACATCTATATCATGTATAGGAATATAATGCAGTTTTGGTAATTCCTGATATTTTCCCAAGATCATATATATGTGACCTTGTTACAGTGTTACTTCGTTATATGAAGTTTAGAGGTGTATTGGTTCAACAGGTAAATGTGTAAATATATATATATATAAGTTTGGAAATATAATCCTAACAAAGCACTTCAATATAATTTTACAGGAATCTACATCCGCTACATTCGGTGCAGGTGTTTCGACTGCTTGTGTAGTTGATATTGGTGCTCAAAAGACAAACATTGCGTGTATTGAAGATGGTGTATGTTTTGTGGAATCTCGGTAAGAACACGCTGCATAAGATAAGAAATGTACTGATCAATCGCAAATTGTATTAAAAAAAATTGAAATTTATCATCTAATTGAAACAAAAAACAAAAAAAAAAAGAGCGATGATTTCTATGGGAGGAGATGATATTACAAAGACATTCATGTCTTTCCTTCTTGTCAACCGATTTCCTTATGCCGACATAAACCTGAAGCGGTCTCACGACTGGCGCCTGGCAGAAGATCTCAAGAAGAGATGGTGTACGATGAATGAGGCTGATATCAGTATCCAGGTCTATGATTTTTTTGTCCGTGCACCTCACAAGCCCACCAAGAAATACCAATGCAAGGTTTACGATGAAGTGTTTTTGGCTCCTCTTTGCTTGTTCTTTCCCGCGGTCCTCAATGACAAGGAAAAGACGGCTCGAAAGACAAAGTGGATCAGCTCAAATGTAGTAGAAGATATTGGAGACGAATTCCAGGCATCGCAAGTACCCGGCGGTGGTAGTGGTAGTGGTAATGGTAGTGGAACCTCCAATTCGGTAGCTCCTCCTTCTACCCCTCAAGGACAACGTGCCAAACCATGGACTAGTAATAATAGTAATAGTAATAGTAATGGAAATGGAAATGGAAATGGAAATGGAAATGGTGGTACTACCAATGGTTTACCTGGTCCTTCACCTAAGCATACATCTATATCTACGCCTACGCCTGCATCTGCATCTGCGTCTGCGTCTGCACCAACACCCAATGGTTCAGAAACTCCTATATTGGGTCCTACCGTCGTGACCTCAAAAGACCAAGAGCATGTAGTATTCCCACTTGATGTGGCTATTGCGCAGTCTATCCAAGGTGCATCTGGTGCATCCGAGGAACGCCTCAAGCGTTTCTTTACAAACATTATTTTGGTGGGTGGTGGTGGAATGATAGGCAATTTCAACCGAGTACTTGAGGATCGGTAAGTGTTTCTATTATTATCATTATTAAATGCATGTATAATGGTTTATTTTAATGTTCTTTTATTTTCTTTTTCTTTAAAGTGTTTTGTCGACTTCGATTGCCCAGTCTTTGTATATTGAAAAGGTTGAGGTTTTGCCTGCTCCACGTGAGCTTGACCCACGTCTACTAGTATGGAAGGGTGCATCAGTACTAAGCAAACTTGAAATTGCGAAAGAAATGTGGATTGGATTAGAGGAGTGGGATCAAGTTGGTGCAAGGTGCTTAAAGGATCGTACTCTCTTTACCTAAAAAAATATATCTCTCTCTCTCTTTACTTACTTACACACCCATCCACATACATACATATCCTCTCTTTTCTCTCTAACTATTTTTCACCAACCAACCCGACTCACTAGCACTTTATATATATATTATATGTTTTGCATTATGTTTGATTATTGAATTCAATAATATATATATTTATATAAATCAATTAAATTCTTTCTTTGATAAAAGAGAGTACAGTTTGGCAAAGATAAGGTTGAGAATCGAGCTGAGTCACCGAATGATCTGCACCAGACACAATGTCTGAAGACACAAGCGGAGAAAATGATGCGAATCGCTTCAGCAAGTCTCTTTGACTGATCCTAGTAGGTTTGTAGAATTCGTCGCATTCTGATCCCAATAGAAGCATAGGACGGTCGACATCTTTGTAAAGGTTGGATAGAAATTCGTCTGATAAATCTGAAGAGAACATATCATCATCTCCTCTAAGAAAAAAAAACACAAATCATAATTATAATTGCAATCTTTTTTCTAATAAATAAACCTCTATCCACCCAATGCATTGGTATTCGATCACTGTGCTTAAGATATTTAAACAACAACAACGATAATAATAATAATAATAATAATGCTAATATTAATTCTTGTTATCATTTACCCGACAGCAAAGAGAGAGAAGAATCGACTGGCAGTCATGGGCACTCCAATCTCATGTGGCATCCAAGCTTCTCCTTTACGTTCAGCACAGAGTTTTGTAGCCAATTCAATATATTCTTCGAGTTTTGGCATTTCTCCTTGCATGCCTTCTCTATCCGACACAGGTGCCTGAAGGAGGTAACCAGAAACCGAATCACGCATCTCACCGCGTCTACTGTGAAGCAAGCAATCCTGACTGCCTATTTATATCAATTAATAATGATGTTAAAATTTAGAATATATATATATTAGAGAATAAATAACCTGTTGAATGTCCCATGAAAACAATTTCAGACTTTTCGCGTGTTTTCAAGTATTTTACAAGTTCATCCAGCTCTTCTACATCTTGAGCTAAACTGGAGGTACCATATCCATTGTTACTAGATGACAACTGAACCTGAACTAGTGACCACCCAATGTTTGCAAGCTCCTTTTGGAGTGGTCTAAGAAACGGGACAGCATTGTAACCATCGCCAAGACCTCCAATAAACACCAATACTCTTGAAGATAATGGTTTAGATTCAAACGCAGTAAGGCGCGTTTCTTGATTGTATGTATAAAGTACACCTTCAAATTCCATTTTTAAATTTTAAATTGTAATTTTAATTGGATGTCGTCAGAAATTAGAAAAAGAAAAAAAGAAATAAAAAAGAAAAGAAAAGAAAAAAAATAAATAAATAAAAAAGAAAACGTTGAATCTGAAACACCCTTTTTTTGATGACGCTATATCTGGACAATACACCAGCGTTGTACACAATCTAAATGAGTTTACAGGTCAGTAAAGGTGTTTTCTATGTGATGTATAAAAAAAAAGTTTACATTATTCCCTCCTTAAAATTGTTACACATTTCGACTTTTCCTTGGAATTTCCCAACTCCGTCAACTCCATAGATATGTATATATATATATATATATTTACTACTGATGTTTTAGCTTGGTCACTAAGAAGAGTCAATTGTAAAGGCTGTCTATGTGTATGTGTGTTTGGGGGGGAGGAGGGGGGAGGGGATATATACAATAATTCCTTTTATCTGTCTATTTAGAAATGAACCGCAATGAAATATGATTGTGGTGGTATGGTAATATAACATGTATATTATTTTATATCCTTAATACATTTCTCTTTCTTTCTTTCTTTCTTTCTTTCTTTTCTGTTTCTCTTTGGTATACTCTATCTAAAATCTAAATCTAAATATTCATGGCTGAACATGCTTCTCTGACTGCTAGTCCTCAACCACCCATCTTCCTTGGGATGGGTTTTGGTGTTGAAGAATGGGGAAATGTAAGTAATTAACACCAAAGCCTTTCTTTTTCTTCAGATATTTTGTTTGTATGTAATTTAGCTAATTAATGAGGTATACTTATTATTATTATTTTTTAGACTGTAGCAATTCAATATCCTCAAAGCCTTGTCATTGTACTGACATCTAGCCTAAACCCTATTGAAAAACCCAACAATCTCACATTCAAGGATCTGCGTTCATTTGACGAAGAAACGTTCCCCGAAAATCATTTTAGTCACATATATTTCAACTCTCACACGGCTACATATGATATCAATGAATGGCAAGCACTAATTGGTAAGCTTGTACGAGTCTTGAAACCTGGGGGAATTTGCGACTTTAATTTGATCAATTTAAAGGTAAAGCATCGATAAATCTATATATATATATATAAATTTACTTGTTCTATTGACATTTGAATTAGGAATCTGGAGGAGGAACGATCATGTTATTTGTCAAGGAAGGTAAAAGAAATTTATTGAAAGAAGAAAAAAAAATGGACATGTAAAAGTCAAAATGTATATATATATATATATATATATGAACGAATGAAAGGATCTTTAAACTTTAGTAAAAAAAAAAGCCATTAAGATCTGCTGGGAGCGTAACCAGAACCCATGCGATGGAGAATTGGTAGTAGATCTTCTCAAGAATCAAGGGCTAAAGATGGTTAAGACTAATGCATCGGTGGTTAATATCGGCCAACTTCCACCATCTCATGCTGATGTGATTATTGACAATTGGATTGAATTTGCATTGGGCTTTCCAAACGTAATCCGGGAATTAGAGGAAAGGTTCCAAGACCAACCCGATATCGATATATGTGACGAGCTAAGGACTTCGATGAGGGAATACAATTTCAATAGCTATTCGTTTAGTGCAGCCTTTATTAAAGAAAAAGGATCTTGCTTCTTGATAGAATAATATCCTGAAAATCACAATCTCTTGATCAAATTAAATATATATTTATTTATTTGCGTGCATGCTCTTTATAAATTGTACTCAAAATATGGTCTGTGCAGATCATAAATAAATAGCGTTTTTATTGTTCTCTCTTTTTAGTTACTTATTGAGCTTATCTTATTCTTTATTTTTACAAAACACATACTCACACGCACTAATACACACGCTTAGAAAATTACCAAAAAATATATATACACAAAATTAATCGAATGATATTTATTATTATTATTATAATAGAATTTCTTGGTTTATTGTTTCAAAAATAATATTTCTTTATATATATATATATACAAGTGTATGGGTAATATAGGAAGTTGAATGGTTCTGTACTATGCTGTACTATGCTATTCTTTTTTTTTGTCATTAAAATAAAGAGAAAATATGAGAAATAATGTGGACTACAGATGCCCGAGAATATGTTCAGTTTTTTTGCAAGCAAGAAAAAAAAAAGAAAAGTGTGGGAAATGAAACTAACTTTTGGGGAGTTACTTGTGTTGTTGGATTAACTACAGGATCCAAAAGAAGGGTGAAATAAGATAACCAATACTTTCAAAGAAAAGAGAGAAAAAAAAGGCTACCCCCAGATCTTTTTCTCTTTTCTTTCTTGTCTTGATCTCTAAAGAGACACAAAGAAAGGCGCCACAAGTGATACAATGAAGGTGTTCCAGACAACCGACCAACCGACCAAAAGACAAAAAGACAAATGACAAGCAGAGAAAGGAAAAGAAACAAAAATATGCTGGCTTAGCACCTCAAATACAGGTGCTTCTTTGGTCGTATCGATGCTTGTGGACAGATACTGAGTGTGTTTACAATCGAGATTGAAGCGGGTGTATTGTTCAATTGTCGTAGGTGTTCTAATGGAGTGTTGTGCGACGATGGTCGGGTAAAGGCAGGGAACTGCTCTTGTGACAGGAGAGCTCGAATGGCTAGTAATAATAATAAAAAACAAAAAGAATTGGATTTGTGGGTGAGTAATGCAAACCGAAAAAAAAAGAGAGAGAGAGAGAGATTTTAATTGATGCCGCTTTACATTTCCAGGTAGCTACTGAACGGGCAGATTTGATTATGTACTGAGATAGGACTTGGGAATATGATTTGCCACTACTGCATTATAATATAATATATATAAATAAAATGGAGTTTAGTGAATTGTTTAAAAGAAGTATCTCAAACAAAGATAGATAAAACGTACCCAAATACCAGACTGATACAAAGACTGACCGAACCACCGACGATGGCACTTGTCTTGAAGACAGTGGGGTTTTCGAATTGCATGCTTGAGAAAATAAATAAGGAATACTTAAAATAGGATAGTTGTGTGATGTTAAAGAAGAAGAAGAGGAAGAAGAAGAGCTTGTTAGCTTAGAGATTTTTGTCTTTTTCTTATTTTTATACCCAAAACAAAATAAAATATTTTGACTGAAAAAAAGGGTAGTCCCACCATGCCAGATATGGACTCTGGAAAGATGGAATAAGGATGAAGGAATACTTGGCACCTGCAGATGAATCAGCCAACTTCTTCATGGTATTATTTGTATTTTGTTTGTGTGCAGATATTGTCCATGTATTTTATTATAAGAAACACAAGCAGTCGAGATCAAATGAAAGACTTTATCAATTAATTCCATTCACAAAATGAGTCCAAGTAAAAGAAGCATAAAAGAAATCCAACGGAATATATGCCGGCCGGCCTTTCAACTAAAACGTCTCTTGGAAGTGTTACGAGAGAATGACCTACATAAATAAAATAAAACAAAAGCCGATGATGGTGAGTTTGCTGGTTGATTTTTTTTGTTTTTTGTTTGTTTGGATTTTATACACACACACGTGGAATAGAAAGGGTTTGCTTTTAGGGCCATAGATAAACCTTGAGGCTGAATATTTAGTATTGTTGTTGTGTTGAATTTATCAGCAGAATAATCAGAATGCATGTGGGTCTACAAACCATGGAGCCAGACAAGCAAACAATATATATATATATATATATATAACAAGTAAAAGAGGATAGCCATAGGAATATTATTTTAGAAATTTCATTAGTCTCTCTGGTCTCGATACCTGCCTCATATCTACCTACCTATCTGACGTTTAGACTCGTGCTGATACTATCGATTTGTGCCAGATGTTAAATGGGGGATATAGATATATTTTAGATATCATTATGGTTTTATGTGCGTCTATTGCACACCCTGTTCACAAACAAATGCACTAACAATAGCCAAAAATGTAATAATAGAAAGGGCTCATATTATCTCCTTTTCACATATAATTCTTTATTGCTTCTTGACTGTCTCCAAGCATCCCACTTGAACCAACTGTATGTATTTTTATAATGGCTATTGTAATTAAATATATAATAATCCAATCCAATCCAATCCAATACAATACAATAGAACTTTTTTTTTTCTTCTTCTTCTTCATATTTTTCATTCAAAGACCTATTCGTTTCAGATGTGAATACAGCATAGAAACCATTCTTTACCGAGAGATCCGAAATCACTTTAATCATTCAACCCCCCTCTTTCTTCTCTTCTTTCTTTTTTCACTTCCGTTACTGTATTTTATTTTATATTAAATCCAGAAAACAAAATAAACCTTCTTTTGGTGGGTTGCATATAAACAAGTGCTATTTTCATCAAGTTTAAAACAATCTATATAAATAAAATGATAATGGCTTTATTAATTACCAATAAAAAAATTCAATAATAATAATAATAATAATAAAAAAAAGGTTGAACCAATTCTCTCAATACATTTTGTGATGTCACCAAATCTACCGATTCTATCCGCCTTTCACAATTTGTTTTTTTCTTTAAAAAAAAAGGGCCAAAAGAGCTCATTTTCCCAAATATATATAAATGTATTTTAAATATGGATTATGAAAGAGAGAGAGAGAAAATTAAAGCAAGTGGTGTGTATTTAAGCGTAAATGATGTGTGATTTTATATAAGAAATTGCATTTTAGAAAAATAAAAATAAAAAAATTTACTGTTTGTAAAGCAAGAACAATGGAGAATAGTGTAATGCATGCAAGTGAAAAAAAAAAAAAGTAATTTGATGACGTGAAAAAGATCCAGCCAATCGGAGAGAAATAAAATAAAGTGACTGTAATAAATTTAAAAGAAATTTTTTTTCTTTCTTGTTGAGGGCAAAGATATAAAAAGGGTCTGGAGAGCGAAATCAGGTGTTTTGGTTATTATATTTTTCTTGTTAATTTTAACACTTTCATTCATTCACTCATTCCGATTCCCAACCAAAGAAAGAAAGAAAGAAATTCGACGTTCTGTTATTCTGTACAAGGTAGGCATAAGCTCTTTTAGAAATTAGGCTTTAAAAAGAAATGTTAAAGAGGATAGTGGTGATGAAATTGTAGTACATAGAGTCAAGCACTGAGTGATGTTACCAAAATTACATTCTTGATGCTAAACAGTATTTGCTGAGTAAAGCTATCCTCTTACAATTTCTTTGTAAAATAATAATAATCTAAAGCTACATGTTAAGAAAAAAGAGATCAAATATACTTATTCGTTCCTTCCTTTTTTTTCTTCAGATTCTATCAACCGTAGAACTTGTCCACCTTAATTGAACGTCTTTATAATAATTTAATTTATAAGCCATAGCTAGATAGCTAGATAAATTAAAAATTATTGCTTTTAAAAAGCTACCTTTTTCTTTCTTTTTTTGAAAATGATTAATAAAAATACAAAATACAAAATACAAATTACATTTTTCTCTCTCTTCTATTGTTCAATTCGAATGTACAATTAATATTTTTAAAAAGGAACAATGTCTCCTAATCCTGCATCTTTGGCCCTCTTGTTCATCAGTCCAGCAATGGCACTGTCTTGTACACTAATGCCAACGCTCTTAAAAAGTGTGATTGTCTTGCGCGCCTCTGTTGCCTTTGCCTGAAGCTCAGGACTCTTTACCACATCACCCATCTCAAGCCACTGGTCAGACTTTGATGACTTGACAAGTTCACCTGCCTCTGCAGCACAGGCCGAGATTGAATCTACCACGATCGTCTCTGCGCGCTTGACAGTTTCTGCGTCAACCTCGTGCATCTCCATTGTATAGGATCCAACGCAGTTGAGATGGACTCCCGATTTAAGCCAGGCACCTCTAAGAACAGGCTGGCTTGCATTTGTACACGTGCACACGATGTCTGCCTCGTTGACAGCACGCTCAAGTGAGCCGTCCGATTCAGTCACACCCTTAACTATAAGCGAAGGATAGTCGGTCTGGATGGCTTTCACCAGAGCTTCACGGCGGCTGGCCCCTCGGTTCCACACCATCACGCGTTCAATCGAAGGGCGAACGGCCAGCATAATATCAATGTGAGATCTTCCCTGAGCACCTGCACCAAGAACAACCAAAGTTTTGGCATCTGGATTGGCATAGTAACGTGTGGCCAGACCAGATCCTTTTGTTTTATATATATATATATATTATTGAATTGGTTAGATGATCATTTATATTCATAAATAAATAAATATAAAACAAATCCATCGAATATTCTTTTATATAGATGTAAACTAACCTGCAGCAGTCCGTACGGCTGTAAGAGCACCGGCATTCATTATAGTCTCTACAGCACCGGTGTCTTGGTCCAACACCATGATACTTGCTGGCAATCCTCTAGAGTCGTTATCTCTGGTGGGTACACTAACTACCTTAATTGAGGTGGTTTGGTCTAGACGAGAAGGCATAAATAGAACCTTGTGGTTGTCTGTGGTCACGCTGACGCGTAAAGGAGCTTGGGCCTCTGCAGCAGCTGACTTGCTGTGACCTTTGTGTCCAGTGGTGTATGCGGCAAACGTGGTTGCCATCAGGTCCACAATCTCGATTGCGTTGTCTGCATTACCCTGATTAAGCAAGGAGGCGATGACAGTTTGAGACAGAATACGAACTGAAGACATTACTTAATAGGTTTTTGATTATTATATATATATGAATGAATAAATAAATAAATAGATAGATAGATATAAGTTTCTAATAAAAAGAATAATATATATAAATAAATAAAAAACAAGGGCTAAGACCCTGGACTACCCCCCCTAGTCCTACAATTATATATACAAGCTGGCCTAATTATTAATCTGGTTAGATGATTTCCCACCCTTTACGTAACAAGCGTTTTCATAGGCTTTTTAGCCTTTTTTTTAGCCTTTTTTTTTAATTGTGCTGTATTCAGCTGAGATATATATATATATACTCTTTCCGGAAACTTTTTTGAACATATTCTGTGTAGTACTTTGCGGCCAACAAGAGTAGCCAACAGTTTACATATTACCATAAATAACAATCTTTGCCTAGTGATAAAGAAAAAAAAAAGTCTTTCCACTTTATGAATTCTATAAATCGCGTACACTGTGGCCAGAGCTAGCAGCATCCTCTTCTGAAAACTATAAGGTGCTTACGGAGTGAAGTGTTAATCGATCTACTTGAAAATAATAGAAAGATTCAAATATAGATATTTTTCACATGATAGAATGTCGGGGTTCTGATAAATACAATGCTCAAGGCAATTGATCTCTTTTGAAAATAGAGAGGGTGTCGAGTTGTCATGGTTTCAAGACAGCTAAAGAAAAAAAAATGATTTATGTAAAACCCAATAAAAAAATTCTTAAAAAAAAGAAAAAAGTAAGGAAAATAGCCCTTAATAAAATTGGCTTACCGAGATCTACTCTATTAAGTAAATCTAACTAATAGACTCTTGAATATATCATGTTTTTTTGTTTTGAGGGGAGAGAAATAAGCTCAACTTTTACCAGAAATTAAGCGAGCATCTGAAGCCAAAGGTCAAGGATTCCTTTAACTTTTGGCTTCAAATATATACTCACTAAATGGCTTCGACCATGAAATTTGGGAAGAAAATATTGGAATTTAATTCGCCGCGTAAAGTACAAATTTGCAAATGTTTGCAATTTTACAGGTTCAGACACTCTCTCTAAGCTCTACTCTCTCGTTTTCGTTGAACTCCAGGATGGTTTTGATAGGTCTCTCCATTTTTTTCTGCTTGAATTTAGACCAATTACACTATAATAGAGCCAAGGAACCTTCAGATCTGTCTTATATCTTTGCAAACACATGGTTACGGGATATACTCCCTTGAGCTCTCACAATCTCTCACTTTAGAAAATACAAATACAAAAGCCGTGCCATCCTCTTTCGCTTAGCAGATATATAGGCTCACCAATCCTCTTGAGCAAAAAGGCTCCCTACTAACAAAGATCCACCAAAGTAGTTTAGAATTTGATGTATGTTCGGTTGAAGCTTGTTGTAGCGGTCAAAGGGACAAGATTGTTTTAAACGAGAGAAAGATCAATTGAAAAGTTAAGGACGATTTGGCGAAATGATATCTTTAGTGGACCATGTGTGTGCGAATTATTGGGATCATCTTTGTTTGATGTTCTCCTTTCATCTATCAAATCAAGGTGCCTATATTGCTCTACCGCGTTTTGATATTATGTTTCCACGATCCACCGCTAAATTGATCAAGTTTGAAATATTAATAATAATAATAATAATAATAACAATATGGTGGATCTCTTCACAATTCACTGTAGAGTCCTCAAATCAGTCAACTTTATTATGTGACACTTTATCAGGAACAAGCAATTAAAATCACTGAATTTGACCCAAGGCACAATTGAAATTAGCAACCCAAGATAGTTTTCCACAACGGGACACCTGGTACGCACCCTCCGGAATGAACTGCTTCTCGGCAACCTCTGAGACTAGTGATCCCGGCTTTCCAAGCATTGAATGCTAACATATTGTCCATTGTTTATGAAGAGAGCATGGTCATCTTACAGAAGAAAGAAAGAAAGAAAGAAAGAAAGACTAATTGTACCGATATTGCTGGATGATTCACTCGGCTAAAATTTCGCGCGGTTTGCACATTAGTTATGAGTGTGGTTTTGGCAGGGTCGGCCGCCCATTCAGTTCGATCTAGGCTTATGAGACGTACCCAAGAATCTCGCACGATCCAATTTCAGAATATAGTACTACCTAAGAGCCTTATGCTCATATCAACATTGCACACACTAATTGAATAAAAATACCCCCCCCCCCCCCCTTTTTTTTTTCCCATTAAGTCTATATTGTACTAAAGGCCCTCATACCCCTCGCAACATTACATGCGTATTACTTGAATAAAGGGCAAGCTTTGATTTGAATATGAGCGCTTTGTTCTTTCTTTTCTTTTTATTTTATGCGTGCGCAAAATGTTTCTAGAAAAGGTGTACGCGGAGACTGGTGGGAGTCATATGGTGTACAGGACACACACACACAAAAAAAAGGGCTCAACAATATATATATATTAAATAAAAATATGTTATTTGAAATCTTGTACTCCTCTTCTTCCTTATCTTTCATTTATTTTATTCCCTTCAGTTTAATACAATAATCATATTCCTTTGAGATTATCTATCTACCTATCTATCTATATATATATTTTATTAAATGTCCTCAGCATCTCTTGGTGAACAATTAGCGGTCATTCTATCTGGGCTGAAAGATCTATCAGTACCCATACCAGGATTCGACTATGATCTACCGGTGATGGATGTGATGTTTGCAATCCTGATAAACTATTCCTATCGGTCTGCACTAGGAGAGAGCCACGCACGTATCGGATGGGGTCAGGGTTTGCTGGCGACAATTGTAATGTGTGCAGGTGGAGGATCAACTGTATCAATCCTGAGGGGTGAGCCACTAGGCATCTTCAAATCCAATGAGTTTTGGGCCATTCATGGGTAAAATAAAAACTAAATAGAGAAAGTCATTTGGGCTATAGAATTCTAGTGACGTGACTAACATCTGCATGTATGTATGTGTGATTGTTTTGTTTGCCTATCTACTGATCCGTTTGCGTAGTGCTGTGTATTGGCTCATGAATTCGAGCCCATACGTCTATCAGTTAACAGACGCGCTATTTAATCTACCGATGGTTAGCAATCTATTCACTTTATCTAATGGGGTCTTGCGCAATGCTGCTATTTGCCAACTCGGCGTCAACGGTGTATCGACCAATCCTTCTCTTGGGCCTGACAAGTGGGTGGCTCAGATCATCTGTGGTACCTTGGCTGGTTGTGGCGGTGCACTATGGATAGGTGAGTTAGTGAGATCAAATACTACTATTACAGATATTACAGCTATTGCTGCTGATACTCCTGTTTTCCCTTTTTTTATATACATTCATTAATTGATTGATTTTGGGGCTGTTTATTGAATCAGACGCGTTTAGATTGACTCAACAGAACTGGTCCTTCTCTACGCCTCGCCTTTTACATGTGGCTAGTCATGATATGAAGGCCAGTTTTGTATCGACTCTGTTTTATGTTGCGACTACAAATCCCGCCCTCTCTCCTTATCTTGGGATTAAACCCATGAATCACGAAGAGTCCCAGGCATGGTCGGCTGTTTTGCTGACATCTTGGTTTGTCTATGGCTCTTATGCTAACAAATGGCAACAGTCGAATGAGAAGAAGATTGAAGAAAAGGAAGCTTAAGGATGTACTGCTTTTTTTCTTCTTCTATATCTACATATCATTTAATTTCATACAATTATTTTTGGTGTGTTTTGTTTTGTTTTGTTTTGTTTTGTTTCGTTTCGTTTCATTTCATTTCATTTCATTATCAAACAGATCAAGAATGTGTATGTGTTCTGTCTGTCTGTCAGTCAGTCAGACCTTCTAGTTAATATCACCATCTGTTGAACTTTTTGTGTATAAACATGCTGCTTTCTACAGAGATTCTATAAATATATTTATATGAAGTATTTTAGTATTAAATATCAAAAAATATAAATCATTCGTCTTTGGTTCCTTCTTGTTTGTCTAAGCATTTTAAATACGGTGATTACTTTGCTTGATTCTTATTACAATCATGTATTAAAAATATATATGTCATATTGGAATTTTATAAAGACTATATGATATAACACAATAGTTAATAGTGAAGAGTAAGAAGAAGCATAAGGGAAAAAACAAGAGTAAGAAGGGCTTGGTAGATAAGAAGGAAAAGAAGAAAAAAAAAGAGCAAGTGATAATTGTGGTATGGACTTGTGAGAGGCCATTCCTCATTTATCGCACAAGATGGCTTTATATACAAAACGTGTATTTATATTTAAATTTTATTTTCCTAGTCGGCGCAGTATCAGATCGTTTCTTACACCTGTTGGTTATAAAGAGATCCTTTCTGGACCCATCTCCTGCTGTTGTTCACTTTACTTTTATCCTCCATTTCAACTTTCATATTATTAACATCTTTAGAATAATAATAATATTACAATTATCATCTTTGAATATACAATATATATACGAATTATATATATTTGATATCAAGCTATCTTTATACTCCTTTTATATATATATATATACATATATTCTTATTCGACTTGTAATACGATGGGTCAAAATATTTCCAGAGTGAACTGTACAGATCCATTCAACTCTAGTAAACAGACATCCATAAGACATCGACAATCAATAAAGGCCATCCCTAGAGTCGACAAAACCATGATAGGAGGGCCAACAGATTTTCGCGCAAGTATTCCCATTTATATACTTGCTTGCCTTCTTTGAATAACCTCGATAAAGTCTTGCTGATCCTTTTTCTTTTTAAAAAAAACAATAACCACAGCACACCTATCATGTCGGTAAATATTCCTACTATTTTATCAATATTCGACCCACAATTATGCTGCTTTATTTCTGCTTATATTAATTGATTACTTGCTTGTTTAATTAATATTATTATTATTATTATTTTAAAAAAAAGGTACTGACACAGCCAGCCAATCTACCATAATCGTAAGCCAAGTATACCAAATATTCGAATATACATATGCATAATATGCACACGCAAACACATTTTTTAGGGTACTACACATAGTCGTATGCCATCTGAAACCATTGATGGTCCAATAGATTATGCTCAGTTTATGCAGACACTAGCAGAAATTACTCAAGCTCTTGAGGGACCTAGACACCAATGCCCCCCAGCCAGATCTTCGGTTCTTCCACGTTCTAATACTCAGCGCAACCGTTCGACATCAACCCGTCTCAATAATAATAATATTATTAACAATATTAATAATAGCAACATTAACGCCATTATTGATGCCAATATCAGTGCCTGTGCCAATATCAATACCAATACCAATACCAATACCAATACCAATACCAATACCAATACCAATACCAATACCAATACCAATACCAATACCAGCCTCAGTACCAATAATACTACACCTATTAACAATACCAATACCAATACGAATACCAATACGAATAAAGAACAGGAAGAAGGGGAAGAAAAAGAATATCTCAACATGTTAAACAGTAACATCAGTAGTCGACACCACCTACTGGCTGCCTCTCAAACTTCAAGACATTCTAGATTTAGACAAGAAAGAGTCCTCCGTGAATCAATACCATTCCGTGCACGGGCAGTTGCTCGTCAACGTGCCAAAGAAATTAATTCTACTATTGGTGCTACGCCTGTTACTTCTTCTTCTACTGTTGTTAATTCAGTTAATTCTAAACAGCCTGTAAAAGATCCAATGTCTGAATCAATGGACGACTTGATGAATGTAAGTTTAATGCCACTCTTTATTTATTTAATATGTACAGCAAAATAAATACAAAAGACAAAGAGACACCAGCTTTCTCAAATTTATTTAAGCACATTTGATTATTAATATGTTTATTAATATTTGATAGGGAAATATGACATTCAACCATTGTTTGGAGAGTAAGATTGAGGCCCAAATTGAAAAGGTAAATTGTTTAGATGTTTGGCACATCAGTTAACTTGCGCACAAAATATGAGCCAAAAAAGAAAAAGAAAAAGAAAAAAAGGAAAGAAAAGAAAAGGTTGGGTGGAAAGAAATACAATTGGAATGTAAAGAGACGTTATATCAAGTGTATATCCTTATCAATTAATCATACAATCATACAATCAAATTCTTTTTAATCTTCTTCTTTAGAGAGCTTGTAGTCGACTGAGAAACTCAAGAGCAAAAAGTACCGTAAATTTGTTGACTATTATTACTATAGATCTTAGTAGAATCACAGCAGCAACAGCAGCAGCAAGAAGACTCATTCTTTTTTTAATTATTATTATTTTTTATTATAGTTGACCGAAATGAATTCTCAAAAGCACTGCCCGGCTATTAATTAATGTCTTTTTTTTTTTAAGAATCACGGCCGTTATATATTATTATTATTATTCCTATTATCATTATTGTAACCTTTATATGTGTATACACACAATTACATACAATTACACACTTGTATATAGTTATGTCTATGGTGTGCATTCCTTTTCACAAACAAACTCTCCGATTACCCCACTCACTAAACAGTAACTACCTTGCTTTCTCTCTTGTGCACATATAATTCTGTAAAACTTTGTAGATTTATATATCTGAAATATACGTATGTTTCAATTTGCTTCATGTCACTGCTTTGAAAGTATCCGTTGTGATTGTAGTAATGCAAATGTGCTTGATATATTTTATATATATAGGTATAAAGAGTCTTGTTTTGTTTTGATTTTTTTTTGTCTTTTCTTTTCTTCTTGCAAAATGATAGCAATAATTTAGAGAGATATTTAGAATTGGAATTGTGTGCAAATTCAAAATACTAACAACAACAGCAACAATACTTATAGTAGTAAAAGAGAAAGAGCAAAATTTTCATTCTTTCCCTTACTTTTTCTGTTTTCTGTTTTGGCCTTTACTTTCTTTTTCTTACAGGACCTCCATCTGAAGACTTTGGAAGCTTTGTTCCTCCAGTACCGCCAGTTGTCGTGTCACGCTTGGTGGCTGTAGATTTTTTGGATTCCACTTGAAGAGCCGACGATTTTTTAGTAGAGGCAGCAGCGGCACTCTTGGGAGCGCGGCCACGCGAGCTCTTGGGACATCCATTTCCGGTCAAAAGATGGGCCTTCCAGCTGGCTTCGGTTGGGGGGTCCATTTTAATTTGGCACAAAGGACATCTAACATCATCAGGTCCTGAAACTATAAACAAATTAACGGTCTAGATGTTAGTAATCTTTGAAAATCCCAAGAGAGAAAAAAAAAAGCCAATTTTATTCTAAAGATCCAAGGATCATTAATATTCTTATCACTTACCAATACATGTCTGCTTGAGGGTATGGTTGAGCCACTGTTCAACAGGAACTGCTTGTCTGCATCGACCGCATTGCTTGACAAGATGTCTTTGCTCACAGTCAGAGAAAATGTGATCATTGTAGGTCGATACCTCAAGAATCTAAAATAAAACAAGGTTCACACAAACACACATGCAAACAGTATAAATAAGTAAACACACACATGACAATTGGATAAAGGGTTATTTTATCCCTTCTTCCCCCTCTTCTTTATATTATACTTTTAAAATTTCTTTTTTTGTAGAGAGTAAGAAATCAAGGCAAGGTATCACTTACGATGCTGCACATTGGACAGTTGGTCAAAACAGGACAGGAGTTATAATAATGAGAAATGAGGGTATCTTCGTTGAATTCAGGATCAACTTCATCACAGAATATACAAGCGCTAAAGAAAGGAATAGTTAAATGATAAAAGCAAAATCACCATATACGCATATATACAGAGTTGAATCAGCTACGGAAAACTTGTCTTTTGTTTTGTTTTGTTTTGTTTCTTACCTGCTTTCTACTACAATCTCAGGCTCAAGCTTCTCCTGAGATCTGATATTAGACTTTGATGAAGCCGTAGCACGCGATGTAGCAGGACGAGCTGTGTTACGACCACTTCCATTCTAAGAAAGAAAAAAAGAAAGAAAGAAAAGGCAGAGTATAAATGAACCTTAGTTTATGTATAGATAAAAAAAAATTAAAGAAAAATGTTCGTTACCTTTTTGGTTGATGTAGTGGTGGTGGTGCCGAGAGCAGTAGCACTTCTACCAGAAACGTCTCGTGGACGCTCCTTCTTTTCGACTGTAGCGCTTCGTTTGGTGAGATCCGCTCCTCTACGTGTAGTACGTCCTTCAGGAGCTTTGGTTTTCTTTGTAGCCGGAGGATTAGGTTGAGCTGCAAGTGCACGCAACTCAGCCACCGTAGCCGCATTTTTAGAAATAGGTTTACTACTGGCAGCGGCAGAAGCAGCAGCAGCAGCCTCCTCTTCTTCTTCTTCCTCAGCTTGGAGTGCCGCCGAGGTAGCAAATATCTCTTTGTACAAAATAGCAGCTGATACGGCGGTGGTACCAGATCCTCGTTGCGGATCTGACAGCTGTTTGAAACTATCTTCGAGTGACAGCAACAAGTCATTGCTGAGGAACCTCTTGACAGACGAGAATCCAACCTGGTCCGATGCAAGAATAATCAGCTCGACGACGGCTTCACGCACTTCTTCGTTGGAGTGTCCCATGTAAGCGACCACTAGATTCATCAGGTCGCTTAACTGGATAATGGCAATATAGCTATCGTCAGGGTCCTCTGACATGATCTTGAGTTCTTGAGTCGCGGCTGTGACGAGCTCAATCCGAGCCTTGGCTTCCCTGTAGTTATGGATGATACGTTCAGGTTTGCAGATAAACAGACTGAGCAGCGAATATGGTGGATCGGAGTACTTTTCGGCCAGAGTGAGGACTAGGCGAGTGGCCGGCAAGCGGATCCGAGGGTTACTGTCACCAGTACGAACCAAGAGAGCAGAGAATGCACGTTCGATCAAGCCATAGACCATTCGAGGGGGGACTAATGCCTCTGAGCAAAAGTCTATTACAGATATAGTTATTTAGTCATTTGATTTATTATTATTATTTTTTTTTAAAAAATAAGCTTAATCTTACCATTAAGGTCTTGCCAAATAGCAATACCCATATTAAGAATAGACTCTCGAGAATCCATCACGGCTTCTTGTATCATGATAAGCGATGCCTTGACAAACCTTGCACTCTCTCGTGCATATTCGTCGTACTCTTCTTCTTTTTCGTCGTCGCTGTCATCGGAGAACGAACAACCTTTGTCATGATAGACATCTTTTCTGAGCTTATCCAGGTTTTCTTCCTGGGCCAAGGTGAATGCTTTCTTGATATTCATGGCCACCCAGGTCAGGCCTCGTTCGCGGCATTTTACTTTGACACTCAGCACACATGCCACAACCTCTTCACCAAACACCTGGATTGCAGCCTTGCAGCTCTGGCGTTCTTCTTCAATCAAGGTTTCTGGAATGCTGTCCGGGTCGATCGGTTCTAGCGAAGGGTTTCTGGCACTTCTGTGGCTGTTGTTGTTAAGGCTGTTGTTAAGGCTGTTGTTAAGGCTGTTGTTAGACATCATGGTTGATTCACGGCGAGCCAGGTGTTTGACGGCAACAGAGGAAGAAAGAGAGGCCTCTGGAACCGAGGAGGAAATGCGGCGGTTGCGGTATGAAGGGTATGGGGAAGTGCAGAGAGGAGCTTGGATAGGTGAATCCTCCAAGATGTTTTCGTTTCTTGAGATATGCTGGTATTGGTTTTGATGTTGAAGTTGATGATGATACTGTTGTTGCTGCTGTTGCTGTATTTGGAGTTGTCGTAATTGATCTTCTTCTTCGTCGTCTTCGTCTTCATCTTCATCGACTTCTTGTCGTCGCTGTTGCTGTTGTTCGTATAGTTGTGACTGATCTTCAGATTGACTCGGGGGTGAGAGTATATCAAAGCTTGTCCATTTTTCGATGGCTTCGTCAATCAATCTATCCTCACGAGCATTACGCTCCTCGTGATGGCTGTAGTTAGCAATATCCTCTGGTTGAGATGATATAGCGTCATCTTCAATGGACTGGTATGATGCAGGTAAGATGTCGCCCTGATGGATCGAGTCTTCGTCCTCTTCGTCTTCCTAAAAAAAACACACACACACAAAGGTAGTAAATAGATGTGTGATTATGATTATGATTACGATAAAAGAATAAGCCTGGGATCTACAGCATTATATTTGAAATCCTTACTTCGTAACCGTAATATTCCTGACCTCCTATTGGAACCACCCGACCATCTCGAGTTATCTGGATCTCGGCTGTTTTGAGCATCACATCTGCTGATAGTTTGATTTCCTTGATGTCTGCCTTGTAGAGCGAACAAACCAAGAGCAAGTGTTAATATCGATCTCAATGTATAAAGCAAGCAATTCGTTTCTTTTATATATGACTGTCCATTATTACTTTAATTTTCTCTGCTTCATCATAATCTTTGGTATCAACAGCTTGCTTTTTTCCGACTTCGAGGTCGAGAAGGATCTTTGAAAGTCGAGATAGTTTGTCACTAAGAGACTTGTAAATCTTTGCGGTTTGGTATGCTTCGTCTAAGAAAAAGAAGAAGATATTAGGTTGTTTTTCTTTATCTATATAAGTATATATCATTATTTTTATTTTTATGTTTACCTCTAACAGCTTCTTCTTCTGCGTGCAAGAGAGCCGAGATCCATTGCTGAAGTTCTATTTCCACAACACCTGATGAAGATAAACGATTGGCGAAACTATGGTTACTTGAGACACTTGTACGGCGTGTTGACGAACTAAGCATACTGGATTCATCCAATGTATTGCTCAAGTGGCGAGTCATATGGCTCTAATATAAAAAAAAAAGCGGTGTGAATATTTATATATTTAGAATATTATTAGATCCAAATCGATCCTTTGGATCCTTCTTATATAAATCTTGCGTAAGAAATACTTACAGGTAGGGCGGCTGTATGGCGAAGGGGCTGACCGAGGATATTAAGAGCCAATAATCCGACCTATACATAACAAGCGTAACGGTAACAATAATAAGTGTTTGTGTTTTTTTTTTGGAATCAATAGATCCAATATTGTGTGTATACACAGAGAGTGTCGAGTGAGTCAGAGAGGGAGAGAATGATATATGAAATAAGGAGGGGAAGGTAAGAAAGCATCAAGGATATAAAAGAAAACAAAGAGATTACTCTTTTTTTTTTCCCTTTATGTTATTGATATCCCCCCTTTTTCTCTCTCTCTCTCACTCTCACTCTTCCTTTCTTGCTTCAATTCTTCTTTGCTCTCCTTTTCTTTTCCCTTCTCTGCTCTTCCTCTTGTACAGTCTGTATCTTCTCCTTTTGGTTTGGATAATGTAAATGGTGTATCTTTGATCTTTTTGACATTTCTTCTTCTTATTGTTGTTGTTGTTGTTGTTGTTGTTGTTGAAATTTATTCATTTCATAAAATAAATATTTGAATTGATTGACTTGCCTGGTTATAAGTGTTCAGCCGATTACGGTGACAGTTTCGTACAACCAACCGAATGTATTCGCCGTCTACATTGACTTTAATTGATTTCAGCTCGCGCGCTCTAAACTGAGCTCGTGCATTATTGTCCAAGCAAACATAGCTATATATGTGTTGAGTGTTGAGTGTTGTGTATTGCGTATGTGTGTGCGTGTATTGCGTGTTCGTATGCGTATGTGTATGCGTATGCGTTTGTGTGTGTGTGTGTACGTGTACGTGTACATATGTGCGTGCGCAAAAGAAAAGAAATATAAAAAAAAGTTAGAAAAGAAAATGTTCATTAATACACATACATAATATATATATAAATGTATGTAAAATGTGTATTTGGCCTGTTAAAATAAAACACAATAAAGTACAATAGAGAAATGACTACTTTATTGTATTCGATCGATTGAATACACTTGTTTGTTTCTTTACCCTAGTCGAGTGAATTCAATCAACATGTCGCCCTCGGTCGTGTCACTGTCTGTATGAGGGGGTGATTCGGGCAAGTGCTCTTCGAGGGGCTCGGAAGAGTCTTTAAGAACACCGACATAGACGTCAATCTTTGTGGCAATTTTGTAGTGATGAGATAGGACTTGTACTTTCGAAATATGAGCTGGACCACACAAAAGATGAATAATCAAGTCTTGAGGGTAGTTTGGACACCTTTTGACAGGTAAAAGAATGATAATTATAAGATATATATATATATATATATAAATATAAATATATAAATGTATGAAGAGGGTTAATATGTCAATGTCATTAAAGTGAGATTTACTTTGGTGTTTGCCAGCCTTTGATCTTGTTGTTAGCAGGTTGGTCGTCTTCATCGTCAGATCGACTGGCTTGATTGAGCTGTCGGTTACCGGGACTAGATGAGACTAGTTCTTGGGGGCTGTACTCATCGTCCCATGAAGAACAATGGGCTATTTCGTAAGGTAAAGGTACGATCGTCATGGGATGGAATTGCGATTCAAAAAAAGTGTAATGAAAATTCCTTCTTGTAAATCAAGCAAGAGTAGAGTAAAGTTAAGAAGTGGAAAAGGAAAAAGAAGAGAGAAAAAGGCTTGAAAGTATGAAATTGTGAAAGTGTTAAAAGAGGGGCTTTGAGGTTTCTTTTTTTTTTCTTTCCTTTTGGGCAAACGTTCACTCATTGACTCTCTCTCTCTCTCTCTCTCTTACACACACACACACAAATACAAACACAAGCACAAGCACAAGCACAAGCACAAGTACATATATTACAAACATGAATAGACAGATAGACATATGCACATCAACATATGCACATACATTCACCCTGTATTCTTTGCTACTTCTTGCTAGTCAACTCTTCATTTCACTGTGTAAATATTGTCTGTCTGCCTGTTTTCCTTTCTTTTATTATTTTTTTTGTCTTTTTCTTTTATTATTTTTTTTGTCTTTTTCTTTTATTTTCTTTTTTAGCTCGTGCTGCATAACCGAATTGCTGCCAAAGACACATGAAGTCAGATATATATATATATATATATAAAGAATAAACGTAGTCCAGGAGCGGCATTTTGTCCCACAGACAATTATGGAAGTAAACCTCGTCTCTACCGACACACCCGAACATGGACTATTCGGATTATAACCAAGCATGGTAGACAACAAGTAGGAATACAATGGCTGTCATACCCACAGAGGACAATGCAAGAACCAATCCTGTGTGTGACAAGATCAGTATATATATATATATAATTATAATTTATTCGTATATTTTCTTCTGGAAAAGCCGTAATTTTACATGAACAGCCCGTCTAATATCCAGCACCCTTCTTTTAATACGATCCCCCCCCCCCCCCCCCCCCTTTGTTTTACTCTTTTATAATGTCATACCATCTATAATTTAAATCAGAATTTACTTATTTATTGGGGAGATTCAAACCAAAAGATACAAATAATATATATATATATATATATATATATACATATAAAGGTCATTTTAATTACCATCAATTATGAATTAATGGTAGAAGATTTAAAGCAAAATAAAGGTAAAGAAGGATTGAAAATCTAGTCCATATACCCAATATACCAAAGTAAACTACTAGCCACAATTGCTTAATTGACTATTATCAATTGGACCATTTCTCTTTGTATTATTTGTTGCTATGGTTATTACTACTGCAAGGATTTAATAAGAGCCAAAAAAAAAAGATTCACACTACATTTTTTTTATACTTTACAAATAACCATTAATTCAGGAACCTTTGAGTTTATATTTGAATGTCTGACAAACAAAAAGCCGATTATTTGATCTGAATCGAGTTTGGAGAAATGTGCCAGTGAATAAGTTGTGGGTTTACTCCTCACTTGTTTTATATATAAAAATATTCATTATCAATAGTATTTCTCCTAATCATACATATAAAGATAAATATATATATATATATATTCAATACAATATACTAGAACAAATTAATCCAAGACAGCCACGATTCTCTTCATTTGTATCACCTTGCTTTCACTAGTACAGGATTTCCACTCCAAAAGTTATATTTTTTTTTCAAACTATATATTTTGCAAAATCAAAACTTTCATTTTGTGCTCCGACTATATATAAAAAAAATCAATTTATTTCTTGGCTATTTGTACATTGGGGGAAGAAGCTAATGCTATGATCAACCCAGCCTTGGCAGTTTTCCATAGCGATATGGCGGGAGCACTCAGCAATATACTCCAAGAATTGACCACATACCAACCCGGGCTTTCTCTTGACCAGTGTTTTGAGTTTGGAGAAGCACTCTTCAATCGGGTTTAGGAAAGGAGAGTATGGGGGGAGAAAGTGTAGGTGGTGTCGTGAATTAGCAAACAATTCAGTGACAAGGTGGGATCTATGGATCGAGGCATTATCCATAATGAAGTTGTGAGGGGCAGCATTACTGTGGTCGAGCGAATCCATAATCGTCTTTACAAATTCAACGAAAATTGGTCCTGTCGTGCCACCAGGGGTCAACTTCGCCTACACACTCTCAACACCTTGGTAAGAAATACCGGCAAGAATTGAGATGTTTAGTCCCCTTTTCGACTTCGTCTTCACAATGCTGGTCTCGCCTTTCTTGGACCACCCTTGTCCTCTGATCAGGTTTGCATTAAAGCCTGCTTCGTCCACAAAAATGCAATTGGTTTTATACGATAAACCATTCGTGTGCATACTGTCTACGTATACTTTTCTCAGCTCAATAGTCTTCGGGTCGTTTCTTTTTTCCTCGACCGGCTTGGTTCTCTTCAATGTGAACCCGATGTTGTTGATAATGTGCTTATGTAAGCCACTGATACTCAAGTTCTGCTCTTGAAGCTCTGGAAATTTTCTAAACAGTTCCTCTCTCATTTGACCAAGAGTCAAGGTGCAGCATTCGTCCAAGAGGTCTTGAATGAACTTCGAATGCTCATCGGTTATCTTAAGACTTTCCGCGCGCGAGCCGCCTCGCTTCTTGGGCTCTACAGTAGCATCCCTCTCGAACTTGGTGAGGATGTTGTTAATCGATACCTATGAGACACCAAATGCCCTGGCTGCTTCGGCTCGGGTCATGGACTCTTCTATATAACATTTCTCCACAATCATGTTCTTGATGTGAATCGGAAGAACCTTTTGTGGTCCATTTCTCTTTCTTCTCTTAACGATAGCGATTTGATTGGGGTTCATGTTGGAGGATTTGAGTATAGAAAAAGATAATAGATAAAGACAGTTCTCAAAACCATATTACAAACTTAGCATTATATACTTTTCTTATAACAATATATTGACATTGCATGTTTTCTTATATTGTTTTTAATAAACAGTATAGACATTCTTTAAATACTTTATCGCACATATTAGCATTCTTCATGCTCTTTATTAATTTGCTTTAAATTTCTTTCTATCCGCATTAATTAATTTATTTTTTTCATATATAGTCGGAGCACAAAATGAAAGTTTTGATTTTGCAAAATATATAGTTTGAAAAAAAAAATATAACTTTTGGAGTGGAAATCCTGTATCTTAGAATATATGTCTGGGACTTTGTTAGAAGAATCCGGCGCCAGCATCAAATCATTGACTGACCCTCCAAAAATTGAATTAAGTGAACCGTGCAAGGATATTTTGAATCTTATTTCCAAATCTTCTGCTTCAGCAACATGCATAAAGTCTCAAATAAGGTCTTTTATTGGAACTAATAATTCTCTGGATGAATCTGAATATGCTGACTATTACTTTGCGGAATCTACACTTCATCATTTGTAAGTATCTATATATCATAATAAAAAAGAAAGGCATTGTCATTATTTTGATAGTTAATTAGTTAATTAGCTAATTAACCTAATATCTCTATCTAAATAGCTTGCAAATGATGACCAGCCCAAGAAACCCAATTCTATTCCCAATGAAAGAGAGGACATCTGCTCCAATTACAACAATATACTTGTTACATGCAATGTTCTTAAGCTGTAATGACCTAGTATCTTTCCATTGGTAAATAAATTAGTTTGAAACAAATGAAAAGGTTGTCTTCTAAACACATATTAGGATTGAGCGGACAGCTGATATAACAGGAGCTGCGAATTGGGATGGAATATGTTTTTCAATCAAAGATAAGCGCCTCACGCCCGTTTTGATTGAATTTTCTGGAGGGATTCACTTTAATAGTACCACAGAAAAAGAGCAAAGAGATGAAAGCAAAATGATACGAAATATGGTCAAGCTCTTGGAATATGCCAAATATGTCAAAAAGCACAAGTCTCCTGTCCCGCAGTTCTACTGTCGTTTCTTCAGTAAGTTGATTGTGAACATACATACATACATATATATATATATATGTATGGACATTCAAACCACAGCTAATATTTCTTTTAGACAACCAGATTTTCTTTGAAGCCATATTTTTAGTTGATGAAGAAACTAGACTTGTAAAAAGAACTTTTTGCAAGATTCCCTGTCCGGTAACCCCACGCGAGCTAAAGATCTTTGCTGAAAACATTCCTGCTATGTTAAAATGGAAGCAGGCAATAATAAACTATGTGATCGAATCACAAAAGTGAAGAATAAAAACCATAGAATTAAAGAAATAAAAGTGCTTATGTTCTTTTACTTTTACTGACTACCAACAACCGAGTCATTATTACTTTTTTTTTGTTTATTGTTTCAATATGTGTTCAAATGATCTTGCTTAAGTATAGAAATATTTTTCTTTTAATCTTTTGATTGCATTTTCTTCCACAGCCAAGGCTCCTCTGGCAGCTTATTCAAGTTTTACTGATACTAGAGTTTCGTTTGATTTTATATTCTAATTAATAAGAGCAATGGTTACATATACATATGCTTCTTGTTGTTCAGTTGGCTTACAGTTGAGAATCCTAAACATGTCGTGATGATTGATTGTTTTTACGCGTAAAAACAATCAATCATCAGAAGAATAATAATGTACATTGGTACCAATTAGTAAAAGTCAATTAATTGAACAATGCCTATTAGGTACACATTACCTTTATCAAAGTACAGACTACAGAAGACTCCCTGCATTCATATAAAGAAGTTTCACTCTTTATATGCAACGTTCGCATCCGGATGCCTTTTACAATGAAGCAAAAGGCCAGAGCCCAGAGCGTTAGCAGGGGGGACAATGTACCTTTTTGTTACTACATGTTGAAGTAATAACTAAGTGCACATCGTTGTCTTCTACATCAAACTCCCTGCATTCATATAAAGAAGTTTCACTCTTTATATGCAACGTTCGCATCCGGATGCCTTTTACAATGAAGCAAAAGGCCAGAGCCCAGAGCGTTAGCAGGGGGGACAATGTACCTTTTTGTTATTACATGTTGAAGTAATAACTAAGTGCACATCGTTGTTTGATGGTGTAGTCTAAAGGAACGCCATAATGGTGATAAGGGAATAACCATTACATATATTCGTTGTGACCGCAACGTCATCAAAACAGGCCCGGTCCGGCACAACGATGTCTGAGCTGGCACTTTTTTTTTGCAGTTCGAAATGATTATTGTAGAAAATCACAGGATTTAATACTCTGGGTGCGTAACAAAGTTGCGTATGGACAACTTCTTTGTTTTCTTATAGACAATTGGTATATGTGCTGTGTTTCTTAATACGCTTATATTCCCATAGAGGAAATTATGGCTAAAGTCCGTACCGCGTATTAAGCTCCTCCGAGTCGGCTAGTACTCCTTTTCGGCGGAGTTATTTATTTTTACAAACTTTTGAAAGAAAAAAAACATATCGGTGTAGGCACAGGTCTATATCAAAAAAGGCGTTCTATATTCCGAGATCACCTCTTCACATTTTACCCTTTGAATACTAAAGAAAAATCTAAAAAGTCACGTGCCTAACTTGTTTACATTTTTGTTAGTAAGACTGTGACGGAGGTCACTCTTGAGTTCATAAATCAGTACCTTATTTGGACGCCCCTTTATAATCACTCAAAATCCAATTTCAATAAACTCAGTCTTCTTCCTGATACAGGATTTCCACTCCAAAAGTTATATTTTTTTTTCAAACTATATATTTTGCAAAATCAAAACTTTCATTTTGTGCTCCGACTATATATAAAAAAAATCAATTTATTTCTTGGCTATTTGTACATTGGGGGAAGAAGCTAATGCTATGATCAACCCAGCCTTGGCAGTTTTCCATAGCGATATGGCGGGAGCACTCAGCAATATACTCCAAGAATTGACCACATACCAACCCGGGCTTTCTCTTGACCAGTGTTTTGAGTTTGGAGAAGCACTCTTCAATCGGGTTTAGGAAAGGAGAGTATGGGGGGAGAAAGTGTAGGTGGTGTCGTGAATTAGCAAACAATTCAGTGACAAGGTGGGATCTATGGATCGAGGCATTATCCATAATGAAGTTGTGAGGGGCAGCATTACTGTGGTCGAGCGAATCCATAATCGTCTTTACAAATTCAACGAAAATTGGTCCTGTCGTGCCACCAGGGGTCAACTTCGCCTACACACTCTCAACACCTTGGTAAGAAATACCGGCAAGAATTGAGATGTTTAGTCCCCTTTTCGACTTCGTCTTCACAATGCTGGTCTCGCCTTTCTTGGACCACCCTTGTCCTCTGATCAGGTTTGCATTAAAGCCTGCTTCGTCCACAAAAATGCAATTGGTTTTATACGATAAACCATTCGTGTGCATACTGTCTACGTATACTTTTCTCAGCTCAATAGTCTTCGGGTCGTTTCTTTTTTCCTCGACCGGCTTGGTTCTCTTCAATGTGAACCCGATGTTGTTGATAATGTGCTTATGTAAGCCACTGATACTCAAGTTCTGCTCTTGAAGCTCTGGAAATTTTCTAAACAGTTCCTCTCTCATTTGACCAAGAGTCAAGGTGCAGCATTCGTCCAAGAGGTCTTGAATGAACTTCGAATGCTCATCGGTTATCTTAAGACTTTCCGCGCGCGAGCCGCCTCGCTTCTTGGGCTCTACAGTAGCATCCCTCTCGAACTTGGTGAGGATGTTGTTAATCGATACCTATGAGACACCAAATGCCCTGGCTGCTTCGGCTCGGGTCATGGACTCTTCTATATAACATTTCTCCACAATCATGTTCTTGATGTGAATCGGAAGAACCTTTTGTGGTCCATTTCTCTTTCTTCTCTTAACGATAGCGATTTGATTGGGGTTCATGTTGGAGGATTTGAGTATAGAAAAAGATAATAGATAAAGACAGTTCTCAAAACCATATTACAAACTTAGCATTATATACTTTTCTTATAACAATATATTGACATTGCATGTTTTCTTATATTGTTTTTAATAAACAGTATAGACATTCTTTAAATACTTTATCGCACATATTAGCATTCTTCATGCTCTTTATTAATTTGCTTTAAATTTCTTTCTATCCGCATTAATTAATTTATTTTTTTCATATATAGTCGGAGCACAAAATGAAAGTTTTGATTTTGCAAAATATATAGTTTGAAAAAAAAATATAACTTTTGGAGTGGAAATCCTGTACTAGTGAAGCAGTCACTTTTTTTTCTCTCTCTTTCTTTCAAGAGCTTAAATCATTTCTATATATATAAATCTATTCACCCACTGTATAAATTATAGTAAAGATTTTATAATATAGAAAAATAAAGGAAGAATAGAGAGAGAGAGAGAGAGAGAGATTTCTTACCGGCTTTATATACCAACCATTTATCCAACCATTAAAATAATAATAATAATAATAATTATAGTAAATACAGGCACGGAGCAAATCGATAAAATGCATTACAGCGTATTATACTATAATATATTTTTTATTCTATTTCAAGTATACATGTATATGTATTGAAACAAGGGACAACAATAAAATAATAATAATGATAATAAAGAGAAAGAGAAAGAATCATTTTGGACAGGTAGAACGGGTTTAATGTTCTACCCAGCAATGCGGATGAATCAGCAAATAACCGGGTCTTGCTTCTCACACACTTTTTTCGCAATTGTCAAACGCAATAAATTTCAAGCTCAGGCTTATCGAAACATTTATTTTGTTATATTTTATGGGAGAGTTTTCCAGAAAGAAGAATGGTATATAGATGAGGACAAGGCTCATTAACCATGTTGATCATACTACACATGGCCCATAAAAGCCTTTGCTCAATTTTAATAGCTTGGGTTAGACTCACCAGACGTTTCGGTCTTATTTTGCGTCATATCGGAAAGAAGGCCAAATATGGTTTCTTGAATTTTGCTGTTCTTGTTGTTGTAACTGGTTTCTTCTATCACTGTAAGTACCATAGTTAGTAGCTTCATGACCTATATTTTGGATCGTCTTTATTAATGTAATTTACTCACTGATTTATTCAAACTATTTCTAGTGTTGCACTACTTGATGTCAGTAAACTTTATAATTTAATCGGGTATAAACATGCACACACAGATTTATGTATTCCAGGGGAGATGTGTGAATGGCCGTGTAAGCTAAACACCAATACCATTTCTCTCAAAAACAAATTACCTTACGCTCCTCAAAATTGCAATATTAAATATGTAAATACATAAGTACATAATTTCTATTTTAAAAGAAAAAATAAGAGTAAAAATGAATATTCGCGTATTGGCTCTATAGAGGTGAAGTATCCTATTTCTTTCTTTCTTTGGTTCAATTCCATCAAACCCTTTATAGGCCTTTTTTTTTTAGCCCCATATTGTTACCAATCAATTTTTCATATTACTCCTCTCGTTTTAAACTACTTGGCTTTGTACTCCTTGTATTTATACCGAGTTCTACAATCCAACAGTAATTGTAGAAATCCATAATTCTAATGCGTTTTTCCCCGTTGTCTTTATTCTTTCTCTTATTATCATTAGTAATAAAACCTGAGCTGATCATAAGGGGTTACATCTTATTGTCTTGCTTTATTACAAGAAGCCCTACTCAAAAACAATATTAGCCCTAATCATCCTACTAGACACATACACACATATAATTCTAGCTCTAGCTTAATAATCCTTTGTACAGAAAAATATTAGACAGAAAGCAAAAACTCATGACCAACCGTAAGAAACACGGTGAGAAAAAAAAACGCAAAAATAACCAATACATGAAAAAAGCAAGTAGTCTCCGCTTAGATTTATTGCGGATGTGTCGTTTTCACATGGTTATTTGCTGTCTGCTTGGTTACCCTTCTAACCCCCCCACTTTCTCCCTCTCCCTCTTCACCCCCGCAAATAAAGCCAGGTCCAAAAAAAACTCAACAAGTTTTGGACTTCTTTAACTCATTCCTTCCCTCATCATGGCTCTCAAACAAGTTTTCATCGTCGCCGCCAAGAGGTACCCGAGAAATTATTCCAAAACTTTTCTAATAGCATAAAGGATTCAAAAATAAATAAATAAATAAATAAATAAATAAATAAATAACGCTTTCAACTCAACGCAACATTTTTCTATCTTTCAATTACTTTATTTTATATAAAAAAAAAAGAACACCTATTGGTGCTTTTGGTGGAAAGCTCAAGGATTTGACCGGTAAAGTAACTAAGCAATAGCACGTCTGATACACTTCTTCTTCTTCTTCTTCTTTTGCTTGTGTATTCTTTATTGAGGCAATATATTGATTTTTTTTTCTTCTTAATTTTATAATTACGTAGCATCTGAACTCGGTGGTTATGCTTCCAAGGCTGCTTTGGCCACTCTTCCTTCAAACTTGCCTGTTGACTCTGTCATCTTTGGTAACGTTCTCCAAACCGACGTTGCTGGCGCTTACTTGGCTCGCCACGTCGGACATCGCGCTGGATTGCCCGTCGGTGTTCACGCTCTGACTGTAAACCGACTTTGCGGTTCGGGTTTCCAGAGTTTGATCAACGGTGCCCAGGAGATCCAGTTGGGCGAGAGTGATGTTGTTCTCACCGGTGGTGCCGAAAGCATGTCTTTGGCCCCTTACACCTTGTCTGGTCAGTCCCGCTGGGGAACTCGTCTCGGCGTTGATCTGACTCTCAAGGATTCTCTCTGGACTGCTCTTACTGACCAGTACCCTAACCCAACTCCCATGGGTATTACTGCCGAGAACCTTGCTGAGAAGTATGGTATTACCAAGGATGAGTGTGATGCATACGCGCTTCTTAGTCAGCACCGTTATGAGAAGGGTAAGCAGGGGAGAGAGAGAAAATAAGAAAAAAAGGGCAACTGGTGGATAAATATTTTTGATTTTTTTTGAATTTTGATTTACTAACTGATTTGTATGTATGAATAATATGTTCTTTTATCATCATCATTATTTATGGTTTTTTAGCTGCTGCTGCTGGCGTTTATGACGCAGAAATTGAGGGCATTGAGATCAAGGGCAGAAAAGGACCTGAGCTTGTTTCCAAGGATGAGCACCCCCGCTCTGGTATGACCATTGAGAACCTTACCAAGCTTAAGCCTGTGTTCAAGAAAGGTGGTGTCACCAGTGCCGCCAACTCATCTGGCATCAACGACGGTGCTGCTGCTGTTGTGATTGCAAGTGAGGATGCTATTCTCAAACACGGTCTTACTCCACTCGCACGCGTCGTAAGCTGGCAGTCTTCGGGCGTTGAGCCCACCTTGATGGGTATTGGACCCGTGCCTGCCATCAGAGGCGCCCTTGCCCGCGCCAAGCTCACTCTTGACCAGATGGATATTGTCGAAGTCAATGAGGCCTTTGCCGCCCAGTACCTTGCTGTCGAAAAGGAGCTTGGCTTGGTTCGTGAAAAGACTAACGTTAATGGCGGTGCCATTGCAATCGGTCATCCTTTGGGTGCCTCAGGTGCTCGTATCTTGACCCACCTTACACACGCACTCCAGCGCACACAGTCTAAATACGCCATTGGCTCAGCCTGCATTGGTGGTGGACAGGTAAGAATAAATCCAATCATTGCTTTTAGCTTTAGCTTCGGGTTTAAAAATATTATAATATACGTATTGGGTTTGCTCATCTTGCTATTTGTGTAGGGTATCGCTGTTGTATTGGAGCGTGTTTAAAGAGGTTGACGGATTAGATTGTTTTTTTTTTCTTATTCTTAAATAAATAAATATATAAATATATATATTTATATGTATGTAATTATAATTATTATTTTTATAAAAGCATGATGAATGGTACTTATTGATACAATACACTGCAAACGAACTAGCTTTTTCTTTAAAGAAAATGTGTGCAACAGAAAACGAGGCTTTGAACTTTACAGTTGTTTCACGTGTACAAATAATTAAAAGCTTGAGCCTTTCTTTTCTCATCGCTTATCATCCATCTCTTCTTCTTCTTCTTCTTCTTCTTCTTCTTCTTCTTCTTATTCAATTATCTGCCTTATCATAAGCAGGTATGGGAGCTATACAAAAAATGACAGGAGCTTTGAAGTCAAGAACTACCAAAGATAGCTTACCTCACAGAAGCACACAATCCCAATCCCAATCAGAAGAACGTACTGATCAAAGAAGCTCTAAGAAAAACCGTTCTCCCCCTCTATCTCATAAGGTGTCTTCAGGAGATATAATAAGAAAAAGCCATACACACGCCAACAACTTCCCTCCGCTTCCTTCTAGTACTTTCTTCAATACTGGAACACAAGAGGTAAAAGATTTATTTCTTGCTTTATTTTTGTAATAAATCCTTTTATGTACAAAAACGCGCCATATGATATATATATATATATAAAAACTTATATACTGAATTTTCTTTAAATACATGAATCAGTCACATTCGCGTCAGTCTTCAGCAAATAATATGACCTCTTCACGACAACCTACTCATCAACCAGAAGGACATCAAAAGCGGAATATGCGCGAAGACGTTCGAGATGCTTCCTCCAAGAATATTTATAGCCAAACAAACATGCCTGTTTTTACCGAAGGACTACTAGCATCTGATAATAACACTACATCACCACAATATGAGAAGCCAAATACCCAATATCCTAGCAGGCCTAATCCTCCACCTCAAAGTTATGCTCAAGCTAGCAAAAATGGAACATATTATTCAGACCCTTCGAAACAATTTGAAACTTTCAATGACATCCCAGAGTCAATGGAAGGTGTCGAGAGTACTGCTATACCAACAAGAAAAATAACTTCTATTTCCACTCCTACTACTATTGATACTTCTGCAAGTGATCAACCCGAAGTACCTGACCGCAGCTACAACAGCCATCCACCAGAACATAAGTCAGAAATGGCTGTTCAAACCAACCATCAGCCGCGCCCAGACAATTATTACACAGAGAATACATACTCTTCTTCATATCCAAATGACCGCGCTGTGACCAGTAATTCACACATTGATACATACCATCAACATGAAGGCTATCCAAAGCGATCAAATAGTACAGACGATCGTAGTTCCAGACTTTCTTTATCAGAAAGTGTAAAAGAAAACGTGTCTTCCAGCGGACCAATTTCCTATTTTAAAAGCTGGATAGGCTCCGGAAACAACAACCAACCTGCCAATGGAAGCTCCAAATTGTCTGATCAAAATACTGAGAATTATATCCAAAGAATCAAAGATTTGGAGGAGGAGCTCAAAAAGACACAGATGTCATTGAAAACACAGAAAAATAAGAATTCAACTCTCGAAAACAAAGAGAGGAAGTATTTGGACCAACTTTCCGCAGCAGCAAATGAGTTACGTTCAATGGATAATTCGTTTAAGACATATGCTAGCCAACTCACGACAGAGTTAAGCAATACCAAAGAAGAACTCAGCAAGAAAAAAATCGAGTACCAAGTCTTATTCTCAGAGTTCCATGATAGTGTAAAGCGTATCCGGGCAACTGATGATGATCTCTCTACGATACAACACCAGCTAAATAATATACAATCCAAGATCTCAAACATGAGCATGAACCTCAAAAAATATTTGAGTCCAGATAACGAAAAGGTCACGAATTTCTTGCTTGGATATTGGAAAGACGAGCTTCCGGGAATAAAGCATTTTATAAAAGAGAAAGACGGGATCCAGTTCTTTGAATACGGTATTATCAACTTGCTTGTGGAGAAGATCGTCACTGATACGCTTATTCGTGAGATTTACGACCCGCCAATTTACTTTGGACTGCCTATCAACTCAATTTATGCCAATCTTTCTAACTGGGAACCGTTCAAAACAACTAAAGATTGGTCCCTGCGCCTGAGGGAGCAGCTCTGTTTTCTCGCAGCAAGACCTGAAATTGTCGAAAGTCTCAAGCAAGAGCGAATGATTCTTGCAATCAGACTGGTGGATATTTTATCTGAGATTTTTGTCGGCTTTGGTCCTGAGGTTAAAAACAAGCTTAGTAAAATTATTGAAATGGCCGCTCAGGTTAGTCTGGCTATGCACAGTCAAGCTATACCTGTCAAGTGTAAGAAGTTGGTTGAAGGAAGGGACAAGATACAAGGAGGCATGAGACAGCAATATGGATCAGGTGAAGGTGAAACGACAATCCAGGTTGTGGTCTGCCCGCCCTTTATAGCAAATGAAGGTCAAGAAACTGTGTGTACGTTAATGGAGGCAAAAGTCATCTGTGGGGATTTTCCAAATATACCAAACGTGGATTCCTCCGATTTTGGTGACATGAAAGAAAACCCCCCTGTTAGTAATCAAGATGATAAATCAGAAGTCTCGGCCGAGAGTATTTAAGCTGGGTACATTATATAACCTTTCTATTGACCAAAAAGATGTGTATATTTTATATCTGAAGCATCTATTACATATAAAAATAAGGAAAATAAAAACTTTAAAAATGAATATATGAATGACAGTTCCTTTGAACTTAGTTTATTGTATTGTAAGAGAAAATAGATTGACTCTTAATACTTGTTTCTTTGAATACCTATAACTACAGTATCTCTTCATTAATTCCTCCTCCAACCTCACCACATTTTGAGAATCATCCCACTCATCACGACCGACATGTATTTGCATTCGTCAACTGGCTTCCTTTGCTTGCAGATAATTCAAGAGAGAAAGATGGAACTGACATTTGTGGCTCAACACCTTTGCCATCAAGCTATCATTCAATTCTGCCTGTACATAGAATTCCTTTAGAAGTACCAATTGCAAATCATACTACAGGACTTGTCCAAAAAAAGGCTTTTTGTTTAAAAATAATAATAAATAGTATTCTTTCTTTCATTTGTTTTAAAAAAAGAAAAGCAAATGACAATAAGAATAACAAAGAATAACAGAGCTGAATAATCACTACTTATAAATCATCAGCATTGAGTGTATAAAGAAGATATAAGCAAGACTTTTTATTTATCTTTATTGTGGCTCATATCCAAGAGTTCATGGAGATAGATGTCTCCCAACATCATCGGGAACTGTTTTATTAAACAGATTTGTAAGAACTGTAGACAACACCAGTCAAAGATTGTTAACCAATTTAAAGGACACATTGCTGTAAATGGTATGACGAGTTTATTAAACTAAAAGACACTTATTCTGCCTTCTCTGGCAATTCGTGATGCCTGAGTATTCACGACTGTCCTTAACTTGGGACTTTCTTTTTCGTAATTAGATCTGGTTTGGGAGTTTTTTGTTGTTGTGATTTTTATCACAGAAGTCAATTTCTCTCAAACTATTCCCGAGGAACTTTTGCTTAAGGTAAGCCAGGGAGCTTGGAAACTGTCTGCTTGTTTGTGTTTTGCGTAAAGTGGTCTTTGGTTGACCAGCTGGGTCTTCTTTTCTATGCACGGACAAAAGGTCTGGTTGCCCAACTTTGAACTTTGGCTTTCATATGTAGCCCCAAATCAATTTCTTTTCTACAAAAATGTTTAAAGGGTAAAATTTTGAAAGTGTAATTTCTAAAAGAAAAGAAAAATGATACATTTTGCAAAACAAAATAACACTGGGTTTTGGCCATGATAAAAGAAACCCTTTTAGAATCAGACGAGAATGAGTTACTGTCCCTTACTGTATTCAATGTTGGATCAATTTGAGTTTTTATTTGATATTTATTTATTTTTTACCAAAAATTGATCAGAAAGAATCATCTAAATTTTTAGCTTGGATATGTTCTTAATTTAATTGCGACCTAGGCTCTTTACAAACCACGTCAAAACTGCCATTTTACTTTCTTTTCAGTCTGTTGCTGATTTGCCCTGATGAATTTTGGTGTTCCTTCTCTATAGGATGTAGACGGCAATTCTGGTATTCGCAAGGCTATAAATTTAACTAAATAAAAATAAAAATGATCAGTAGGTACTATGATGATGTATTTTACTTAGTTGATAATATTATATACGTTTTTATAGCTATTTGGCTCCCTAACTTAAAGCTCTCTGCTGATTATTGCCTGGTTGTCTTAAAGGCAATGTGAGGTGTAAAAGTGTATTATGTGTGCTACGTTTCTGATGCTGGGTTCTTTATATGTTAAGTATATGGGTTAGTATTCTTCAAAGCCAAAATAAAGATAAAATCCGAGAAAGTCAAGTAGCAGTCGAATTGTATATTATCAGTCAAAAGTATATTTATATTCGGTGTGGATCAATATATACATAATATAATATAAATTGCAATACCTATAGGCTATTTCTTCATTATCATTATCATTATTTTACTTTTATATGTATGTGTATGTGTCTAAGTATGTATATTCTAAAGGCTGTACTTCCAGCGTTAAGTTACGGGGTTTTATGTATTTACGTTTGCTGCTGGTCTTTTAGGATTTATCGATACTCAGGGTCCACCAGTCTTGCATACTCTTGGATGATTTCTTTTTGTCTACCTTGTAAGGTTCTGATACAAAAAAATAAATATAAATACAGGGTTAATTATGTATCAATTTTTTTTGGGTAGTATATCTTACCTAGGCATGTCTATTTTCACAGTAACGATTTGATCACCCTTTGTAGAGCTTCGAATGCATTTAATGCCTCGTCCACGTAATGCAATATCATCGCTCGGTTGAGTTCCAGGTGGGATCTTAAGCTCAACATCACCATCAATAGTAGGGACTCGGACTTTACCACCTAGAATTGCCTTGTAGAATGGAATCTTTACGTCGACAAAAACATCTGCTTCTTGTCGCCGGAAGGTTTTAGATGGTAATATCTAGTTATAAAGTAGGTAAAATTGCACACACAAAAAGAAGAAGTCAAATTTACAGGGAAGTGTAAGAAAGTCTTCTTTATGATATAAATATAAATAATATTTCACTTACATTTATAGAGACGAAAAGATCTCCATTAGAGCCATTTCCTTGCATAGGAGCATCTCCTTTACCCGGGATTCGTAGACGTGCTTTGTTGTCTATACCAGCTGGTATATTGACCTGAACTGTCGTTCGTTCTCTGACCTTTCCCAGACCATTGCATGTATTACATCCAGCACCTGGAGGAATAGATGTTCCACGTCCTCCACAGGCTTGACAGGTAGACTGCATCTGATACCCGCCCATTGATATGTTTTGTACTCCAGACCCATGACAGGATGAACAACTTTCTTTTTGTTTTCCCTTTTGCAGACCAGATCCCTTACAAGAGGAGCAACTGACAACTCGCTCAACTACTACATCTTTTGTTGCACCCTTTGCAGCTTCCATAAAAGTGACATTGAGTGGCACCTGAAAACAAATAACAAAAGAATATGAGAATAGGAACGTTGATTATTGTACAGAAAGATTTGTACTACTTTAAATATACTATATGACCTTTTCTTTCTCTCTTTCTTTTGGTTTCTGTTATACCTGAAGATCTTCACCGCTCATGTGCCTAAAAGGGTCTCCTCCTCCTCCTCCACCCATACCACCCATGCCACCCATGCCTCCTTTTGCTCCTCCCGAAAATCCACCACCAAAGAATTGACTAAATATATCATTGGGATCAAATCCACCATGGAAACCTGCTGATCCGTTTTGGAATCCACCTGTACTATAAGCGCCAGGTCCTGGTCCAGTACCAGGACCACCTACAATAATAGAGTTTGTTTTAATATCGGTATATATATATATAGTGAGTGAGTTTGTGTATTTTCTCATGTATCTATACCTTCGAATCCAAATCCAAATTGATCATATTGTTTTCGTTTCTCTTCGTCTGATAGAATTTCGTAGGCTTCCTGGATTTGAACAAATTTTTCACGAGCGTCTTTGTCTTTGTTGGTGTCGGGATGATACTTTTTAGCGAGCTTTTAAAGAAAGAAAGAAAAAAGTTAATAAATAAAGTTATTAATTTTAATGAATAAATTTAACATTATATTTTCTACCCATCTATTTTTTTTTCTTTTTTTTTTCTTACAGCATAATAAGCCTTTTTTATCTCACTTTGAGATGCAGTCTTGGATGTGCCCAATACTTCATATGGGTCTTTATTTAATGCTCTTGTGGGTTCTACATATTGAAGATCAGTAAAAAAAAAACAACACTCATACACAAAGGAAGAAGTGATTATAATGCTCAGCTTGACAGCTCAGTGTAGTACAATGTACGCCAATTTTACCTGAAGCATGAAATTGCCTCTACAAAAGGTAGATGTACATAGTTACAATATGAGTGTGGGGTTGAGTATCACTTTATAATAATATTATATATTTATTTAAAAAACCGGCGGCTTATACAGTATCATTATTATTCCTAGTAAAAGAATAGAAAAACGAAATACCTTTTGTAGACAAATGGCAGGAATGACATTAGCAACCTTGATTCCTGTTCATTAGGAGACATTAGATGCATGTTGATGAGTTTTGACATTACCAACAACCAAAGTATACTATCGGCTGTCTTTCTCTCTAGACCCATGTATTGCCGTTATATCTTGATCTTAACTTTACCTTTTGCGAAACTAAGATGGCGCACTAAACTATGGTTGGCTAATATTGGCTTATGTGTAATACGGGCTAGTGCACTTGAGATGCATTGCCTTGTGAGCAAACAATTTAAAGCTAGTCTTTGTGAATAAGCCATTGCTTTTCTTTTGTGATGATAATATTATTGTCTCTTTAATAACAGCAAGAATAATATTAATAAATGACAAGCAAGTAAGCAAACAAGCAAGCAAACAAACAACCAAAATAAAATAAAATTAATGAGAGAGAGAGAGAGAGAGAGAGAGAGAGAAAGAAAGATTTCTTTTTAGATGGAGAGATGTTTCACAGCCATCTATCTTTTTCTCTATCTAAATCTACTGTCTCTACTTGGTGTGACTTTTGATGTGGAGATTTTCACTCAGCTATGCTTTGTCGTTGGCTGTACAAAAATCACAAGCGGCATAATTACAAGCAAACATACAAACACACACACACATTTTTATATATAAAATTAACTAATTGATTTTTGGAATTATTATCTTTTTTTTTTATTATTATTGAAAAAAAAATATAGAAGTAAAATCTTCCTCTTAAGAAAGGCAGAAAAGCTCGTTAAATAAAGAAAGAAAGAAAGAAGAAGAAAGGAATACCATAATGAATCTTTTTGGTTTTGAAAGAAAAAATAAAATAAAAAAAAGAGGTTTGTCATACAAAGATGTTGATGAGAGGAGGATAAACATGATGTGCAATGAAGTAGTAAAAAAAAAAGGAAGAAGAAGTCGAATTAGGAGCAGTGCGAGTTAAATGATAAAGAGGAAGATTGGAAGATGTCTAAGGATAAATAGAAGAGAAAGGGAGAGAGGGATAATATAAAGAAGAGAGAGAAAAGAAAGGGATAAAGGAGTGAGAGGTTATAAGTTAATACTATAATTAATACTAATATTAATAGTGTTAAGAATAAGAATAAGGATAATACGAGATGAAGGGAATAAAGGAAAGGAGTTAAGGAAGTAGGTCAAGTAAAAAATAAATAATACATACATACAAATGTTTAACAATTCAAAAAGGAAAACAAAATGGATAGTTAAAATATATATATATATATAGCACCTTTTGTTTTTTGTTTTTTTTTTTAAAAAAAAAAAACACTACGTTTTTTGAAGAAGAGACTGGTGGTCTATTCGTTCGCTTCCGATAGGTAGGCCGGTGAAGATGATCTTTCTCCAGTTTGGAAACATGATGTTTGCCATCACAGCACATTCGAACATCTTCTAACGGATCATCGTCACCGTCGTATCCGTGTTGGTGATGATCGGCAGGCGTCGATCGACCAGAAGCAGTTGCTAACCGCGAGCTGTTGGAACCACTACGGAACAAGTCTTGGATCTGTTGTATACTACGCTTACGCAGGAGAGATACTCTACCGCTAGAGGACACTGATGGTGGCACAGTGAGACGAGGGTTTTGTTGTTCAGACTCTAGATTATTAAGCATTGTTGCAGTACCGGTCCCGGGTTGTTGTTGCTGCTGTTGTTGTTGCTGCTGCTGCTGGTCCGTATTGGCCCGTGCGAGCAAGTAAGACAAGGACTGCATAACATAGTACAAAACGGTTAAATACCAGTGTATTATCAGCATTACTTTCTCTAAACTTAAGCCACAGTCTTTTTTTTGTATTTACCTCCAACCAAACTTTGTGGCGTTCCATGTTTGGCGCGGTGACCTTTAATAATCTAGTGTTTGTCTTGATCATCAAGCTAACATTGGGCATTCCAACAACACCTGGGTTGGAATCCTCTACAGTAGAGACACTCTCGATGAAAGCTATTTCAAATAAAGTAAAAGTAAATATCACAATTAATTTTTAATCAATTATCTTAATCAATTATCTTAATTATTATCACTATCATTATTTATCATATTTGGTATAGTGAAATCTACAAACTTACCACTCTTGGCTTTTGTGACATGGGACTCGACACCAGGTGCTTGGGTACTCCAATAAAGGGTACGTGTGTAAGGATGAATCCAGAAATATCTCTTGTGACGGTTCTCTGAAAGACCACTGCCAACATGTTTACGGGTGTACTTCCACAACCATTCTCCAATCATTGTATCGGTAACAAGAGCAATTGGACCTGAGCTAGCATTGTGGAGCGATTGAGAGCCTTGAGAAGCTACTTCCGAATGCGATGAGACGGAATGTGAAATGTTGGGATTGTTGTGGATATTGAGGCCCTGTTGGTTGCTGCTACGTTGTCCGTCCAGACTCTCAAACGACATTCCAGAAGACAGGCTCTGTTGATCACGGCGAGGATCTAGATCTTGTCTACCCTGATAAATGATATCGTTGGGATCAACGTAGACAGAACTGTACATCTGGGGCGAGGACTCGTCTTGTTGGGTGATGTAGAGAGGAGCTTTGCCCTTGTGTTCACGGCTCGAAACCGAAGATCGCAGTGACGAACTTTCAAGGGTGCTGATAGAATTTGCATAGCCGACACGAGACAGCAATGATGCCGGTGGTGGGCTGGTGGGACGTTGAGGGACAAGGGAGCTAGCAGCGGTAGCAGCAGCAGCAGTGACAGCATCATTAGTAGAACGTATACTATTGCTGCTTCTTAATGAAGAACCACGGGCAGCAAGATCAGCCAGGCTAGGTGTATTGGCTTTGCGAATTCCAGTACGGCCAATGTTGTTAGAACTCATGTCACAGGTGTGGCGCTTGTTATCATCAGACAGGGATCGAACGTCACTCTGGAAATCCTCACTTGTCTGACTCTTTGCAAGGGCGGCAGCCACAGCGGCAGCCACGGCACTTGCTACCATCTCATCAGCTTCTTCCTTGGTGTACATCTTTGACTGAACGGGATGCTCGAGGGCCTCTCGGAAAGATAATCTCTTGGCATCTGTCAGTTCTTCTGGTGAAGAAAAGTAAGAAGGTGATCCCACAGAACCATCTGATGATGGTGATGTAACGGGCGACTTTCCGGGTAAGGACATGTAATTATCAGATAACACTAATGGAGATTCTTCTCTGGTCTGGACAATTGGCTCAACAATCACTACAGGAGTCTCTGGTCTGTTACTCTTGTGGGTGGTGGCGGTGTCGTTGAGGGAGTCAGGCGAAGAATTGCTTCTCAATGTAGTTTCTGTTTCGTATCCAGAAGAAGTTGATCTTTGCTTGGCTACATGAGACTGATCCTCAGGGATAGCATGTGCAGAGTCAATGACTTTGGAGACCAAAGCACCAAGTCCAACAGCGCTGACGGCAGAAGTCAAGAGATCTTTGACAGCATAAGAGTCATTGTTTTCTGCTGCTAATATATCGACTTGAACAGCTCTGTCCATACGAACTACATCATTCTGTAAGTTTTTGGTGGCCACCTCTTCGGGAATAGTTACTATTGCAGCAGCAGCGGAATCTGGCTTGGAATCACTCAGAACAATCGCTTCTTCAACAACAGGTGCATCGTATTGGACGCCGGCATCGACGGCTTCATTTGGCTCACACTGAGTAGATTGGTGAACAAGATTTGCTGGATCGCATTGGATTTGAGCGTGTACTGCGGGTAATTCTTCGTACTGTACTCCATGGTCAACGTAATTGAATATATCGCTCTGTACACTCATGTCATGGGTTGTCAATGAGTCACTCTGGATACCTACATCAGCACTTTCGACAGACAATGTACATTGTGTTCCCATTTCGACAGATTCGAGCATTTCTTCAATCTCGCTCTGGACGCTAACGTCGTGTGTGGTCGAAATATCGCTCTGGACAGCCATGTCGACGCTTTCTACAAAGCTTTCGCACTGGGTGCCCATGTCAGCACTTTCAACAGTCTCGCCCATCTCGCTCTGGACACCACTGTCATTTGTCATGACCACCTCACTCTGAACTCCACTGTCCGTTCTTTCTATGGCAACACTCTGAACTCCACTATCCGTTCTTTCTATGGCGACACTTTGGACTCCACTGTCCATTGTTTCGACGCTAGTGCTCTGAACGCCACTATCGGCGGTTGAGACAGAAATGCTCTGAACGCCACTATCCTTGGTCAGGACCTCAATGCTCTGGGCAAAAGCGTCATTGGTTGACACTTGAACGCATTGGACGGCAATGTCATGTACCTCTGTCGGAGAGAATTCGACGGCCGGAAGGTTGGTTTGGGACAATTCGACAAAACGTGGTTCAGGGACAGGGATAGGTGCAGGTGCAGGTGCAAGTGTAGGAACAGGAGCAATGTTCTCGTTTGATACGTTGTGTGAAGAGAAATGAGATAGAAGACCGGCGCCAATAATAGCACCACCTGCAGCTAATTCGGCACCTAAGCTCAATGGTGCATTGTTACTGTTGTTAGGGACAATATCGTGGCTTTCCTGTTCGGCTGCGGATGTTGCTGATGCGGGTGTGATTGCGGCTTCGCCAGCTGATCCACTCTTGGCTGCGTTCAGCTCGTCTCCTAGTGAACGTGCCATGGAGTCTTTAACATTAGCATTAGAATTAGCAGCAGTACCAGTAGTAGGTGTTATAGATATAGACGTGGATGTAGAAGGAGAGGTAGGTTTTTTAGTTGAAATTGAAGGGGAGGGGTTTTTAGACTGGCTTTTGGAGAGTTCGAGTTCGAGGGAGGAATAGCCAGGGAGGATAGGGGAAATTTGATCATTGTCACTCTCGGCGCTCAGTTCACTGTCAGATGAATAGACGGAGGAGTAAGTATAAACAGATGCCCCCGCTTGAGACAGCTGTGAATCCTTGCGCTTTCGGCGTTTCTCATTTTCCGATGTTTCTTCAGCAATATCATCCCCACCTCTATGATGCCGGCTCATGCTTCGAGTCTTTCGAGATTGGTGTGCTCTTCGCTTTGCTTTGTGCGATTTCCGAGTGGGTGCGTCTGTGGGACTAGTACTACTATTATTGTTGTTATTGGTCACTCGTCCAGGTGCTCCGGCATCGACCCACAAACGAGGGTCATTCTGGAACTGCTCAATCGTCTCTTGTGACTCGGACAAGAGTTTCTTGAGCTCGAATTTTTCAGCCTTTTCTTTATGCAGATGGGAACGTAAATTGGAGACCATTCGATGGGCGTGACCCAGCGACGTCTTGAGAGTTTCGACTTCTAGGGCTTGGTTGCGAGTAGGGGTTTGCTTAGGGGAGGGTGGTGGTGTGGTATTGGGTGAGCTTCCTCCTCCTTCTTTGGCAACATTGGATAACTCTGCATTGTTTGCTTCTTCCGAGGCTTCTCCTCCTGTACTTCTTGCCGAGGGTCGTAAGTCTGGATCACTGCGTTTGGCAATTTTCGATTGGGCCTTTACGATTGCTAGTTCTGAAGTGAGGGCTTCGATTTGCTTGGACTGTTCGCTCTTTTCACGTTGGAGTCCCGCAGATTGGCGGCGGATTGCGGACATGTCCTGCTCGTGGCGATTCTTCATCAGGTCGACGGTCGCATTTAGCTTCTCTTCACGATCCCGAAGTTGTTCGATTTCGGAAACCAGTTGATTGAGTTGCTTTGAGAGTTTGTTCTGCTCACTACGTGCTTTGGAAAGATTTTGTTGAAGTTCGGTAACGCTGACTGTGAGTTCTTGCTTGGCAAGTTCGAGGTTCCATGTTTCCTGCTGAAGCTTTTCTGTCAAACGTGGTACAAGAATATATATACAATAATAATAATAACAAAAACGTTTTATTTTTTATTTTCAATTTAATTCAATTCAATTGTTCCTCTTACAAAGCACGTTCCACCTTACCTTCATTCTCTTCACGTTGACGGAGCTGCTTTGCCATGGACTCTGCGGCTCGTTCGAGGTCTGCTTTTTGGATTTCTAGTGCTCGCAGCTGTTCTTCCTTTTCTTGTAAGAGAGCTTGCATCTTCCGGACTTCCAACAGCAGCCCCTGACCGATTTCGGTGGCGAATTCAATGTCGGTGTTTCGACGATCGTTATTGGGTATTTTTGATCTTCGTTTGGTGGGGGTTGAGCCGGTGAGTGACGGTGGAAGAGGAAGTATTGAGGTTGAGTCATGCCCATGAACGGGGGGTAGGAGGGTTGAGGATGAAGGGCTAGGGAGTGGTTCGAGGCCGGTTGAACGTTGTCCCAAGAGCTTTGATAATGTAAATTGTTTTTGATTAGTATCATTTTATTTTCTTGAATTTTGATTTTGATTTCGGTTTTGGTTTTGATTTCGATTTCGATTTTGATTTTGATTTTTGTTAATTTTTTTTTCAATGTAACATGTTGTCGATATATACATATATACATAATTTAAATAATAAATCTACAATAATGATACTGGTGAATAAGTAGATAGATAGATAAGTACCTTTTCTTTACGGAAAGCTGTTAGACTTGGTGAGAGAGGATTGACTCTATGGTTACTAAAATCACGCTCTAGATTGCGAAGTTTCTCCATAGTTACAGGCGGTAAATTATCCATGGATGGAGCCCGCTGTTGATTATTCTCATAGCCGGCCTGTTGTGATGGTTGTGATGGTTGTTGTTGCTGCTGCTGTTGGTTGGTGGTTTGTTGGTTGGTTTGCTGATAATCGAGTTCTCTGAGCTTGTCTTTGAGCTGATTAATTTGTTTTGCAAACACGTTTTTTTCAATTACACTACGAGTCGCTTGCAGTTGTTTTTCCTTTTCTGCAAGTTGTTGCTCGAGTTCATTTCTGGGATGAGGGGAGGATCGGGCTGATGCCGATGTAGAGCTTGAAGGTGTAGGCAGCACCGGAGGGAGGGTACCTGATGTTGGTAGGGACAAGGAGTGTTTGGGGGGAGACGAGCTCATACTGCGAGATGGCGGGGTGCTGTAAGCATACACGCGCACAGCACAGTGCAACTATGACAAAAGGAAGAATGAAAAAAATAAAAAAAATAAAAAAAGAGGGGCAAAAAGTAAAAAGGTGGCGATTAAAAAAAAATAATGGTTTTTTTTGGTTGGTATGGAGGCAAAGTAAAGAGGTAGGATATTTGCACCTTCAACAGAACACAATGACGTCGACTATGTTCAAAGGCCCGCCTGTTGTAATATATATATTTGTGTATGTATATGTATATGTATATGTATATGTATATGTATATGTATATGTATCACTGTGTGGTCTGATGAATTCTATCCATGACTAGAGGGCTTGATTTTTTTAATAATGATAATAGAAATAATTTATTACTACTACTGTTATTAAATGAGCAAACAAACATTTATTGGTTGGTTGATTTATATTTATGTATACAGAATATAACAACTACCAAAAATGCAGTAAAAATACCTAATGAATTTCTTTAAAGAATGTTTACGATAATAGTAATGAGGATAAGGATAATCTTAATAATCATAATGCTTATCTCTATAGTTACCCATACCTCAGGTTAAAGAAGTTCTGTTGAAGAATATGTGTAAGTTTGTTGTTAAGATTACACAATGAAACGTGACATTATAGTGTTTTAATGTACTGTTCACAATCATGGATATTAAGTATATAAATGTATGTATGTATGTAGGTATCTTACTTGTAGAAGTCTGTAGAACTCTATAATATTATATATAGAATAAAGAATATGTCTACAGCTCTATTTACTGCGAGACTGTATCTTATTTGAAGATTTTTTGGGGAAAATGGAAAGAGGGGGGATGGTAAATATGCATGTGTTTCATCTTACTGTCAGGCATTCCATTAAATTCAACCAATAAGATAATAATGTAGTAAAAGAGTAATGTAGTAATATAGTAAGAAAAAGAGATGTTGCTACTTGAAATATAAAACTATACATATATATGCGTATATGTGTGTATGTATGTATGTATGTAATGATATCTGAAAAACACAAAGTAAGAATCTTGAATAGTCTTAGTATATTCAAGGCTTGACAACAGCAGTACACAATCAACACCTTTGAATCCTTGGGGCCAATTCAAGATAGTCAAATTGTAGGTTAGTCATTCCTCAAACTCACCCCTTCTTTTATTCTTATACTTGCACTTGTTTCCTTCTTTTTAATACATTAATATCCTGCAACCGATCGACAGATTCCCTTTTTATTGGGCATTTTAAAGAAATAATATATATATAATATAAGGACAGCTTCTTTTACAAAAGTACGTCGGTATCACTATGGTAGAAGGTTACTTTTTTTTTCTGGTTTCAAATTATGTTTTGTTTTTGGTTTCATATGCTTCAATTACCTGCAGAAGATTAATGCACTCAAAAGAGTACATTTACAAATAAAGACGGTTGTCCGATAATTACTGTTTGTATTTGATGGTTCCAAACTTAACAGTTACATAGTGATACAAATAAACTATCTTTTTTTCATAAACACAAAATGTCTTACAGAAAAGATGAATACATTTATAAACAGCCCAGAATAATAATCATAACATAAAAAGGACTTGTATTTTATCTTGTCTCCTAGGATACTGCAGATTTTACATATATTAAATGCACACCCAAATATATATATATATATATATATATATATAAGAGATAGAGATAAAGAAATGATTAGGATAATGAATTGAAAACATACGCCTTTATTGTTTAATACAATTGCTATTATTATCATTACTATTGGTTTTTTTGGTTTTATTAATTAAACTGTAAAATATTCAGTATTAAAAAGAAAACAAAACATAATACTACAATTTGGATTTCAATTAGATTCAAATATATATATGTATTTATTCATTTTATACAAGGCCAATTACCCCCCACACACAGCAGTTATTGGCTTTTATTCTTTGCGTCTTCATATTTTGTCTCATGCTGTACCACCACACTACTAAAGTAACCATGGGTACAATTTGGGTCTTTTTTTTTGGGATTATAGCAAAATTACACAGTTACACCAAAATTACAGTGAGTTACGATAAGTTACAAATAGTTATAAGGAATTACAGAAAGTTCCGATAAATTACAAGGAATTATGAATTAAAAATAATAATGTTCAAGGTGAGAAAGGATCCTAGCTGTAGGAAACGTTAAATAAACTATATACGTATTTACTCTTGTATTGATACCACGTTTTGTTAACCAGTCCTTTGTTCCTATAGTATATTGTCCATCACGATATTTATTCTATCTATAATTATACTAATAAAGCACATAATGAAAGGATTTAATGAATGATTGTCAAGCATGCAGGGCTAATTAAAAGGATATATCGTATTATGATCTGGATCTGACATTTGTGACAAATAATCTATTGATTTTCTTGCTGTTGACATAGAGTAATGATAAAGAAGCCTCATGCCTGTTTGCTTTTGTGCAATAGAATCTCTATTCGAACAAAGCACTCCGTTCACATCTAATATACATTATCTATTTTTTTTCTTTAATTTTGACAAGACTGACTATAGACTGTTTGAGTCTTCAAAAAATATGCATGTGTCCAAACGTATAAAAGTGTTTTATAAATTTAAACGTCTTTTTTTCTTTTAAAAAAAAAGACATGCTAGAATGTGTATATCAATAGTGTTCCTGGCATAGTTTTTGTAATAGTTACTGAATACAAAGAAAGGCATATAAAAAAGTATAGCTAATAGTGAATGACATCATTAATACTTGCTGTCACTGTTATAAATAAATAACCAAATAAATAAATACTTGAAATTAATTTTTTAGTAACTAAAGGAGAGGATAATTAATTTCCCCTAAATAATAGCACGTTTCTGCTTGTTGTGCACCACAGCACAATACTTAATAAGCTATTGAACTATTGAACTATATATAAATAAATGTTAAAATGCACAAATATAGGCATATTATAAGTACCGTTTTTAGCTTACAAATGAAAGAAAAGGTTTCATGGTGAGGTAATGATTGCAATGGTAACTCAATAAAAAAAGATTACAGAATATTGTACAATATTTCACTGAATAGGCCAATTATATTAAAGAAAAAGAGATATTCTTCATGGAACTTTTGCTTGCTTTTGGGCACACGAAAATAAACACCCAAAAGTAAGATGTCGACGTACTCCTTTAATCAAAATTAGCAGTGCCAAAATTAAAAAAAAATAAAAAAATTAGATAATCGTACAGTAAACATTCCTTGTCAAATTAAAGAATTGTTTGTGGAATAAACAATTGAATGCTATACTGTTGATTTAGTCCGTGAATTTGCGTAGATGTTGGTATCGATACTAGGAGATGATGTTCTGTTATGTGTCAATAATATGTAATATATGCTTTCTCTATCAACTAATTGAATATGCTATACATAGCTATAGTCATAATTATAATATTTAGTACTAGTTGCTAGTGTATTCTTTACGCACAGATAGTGTCTATTGAAACGCGCCTACTTTTTAGTACAATTCCAGAATATCGGTAATTTAATGGGATTCGATATCAGTGATATGTGCTTTCTTGATAAAATACAAAATTAAGAGTACCAAAAGAAAAAACAAAAAGATGACAACCATATATACATAGTAAGTGCGTTAGTAAAGCGTAATATAGAAGTAGCCGTGATATTTTTTTAGGTTCTTTCTTTCTTATCACTGGATTATTCATTAAGTAAGGGTACATTAATAATGGACTGATTAGACTTATACAAATGTACCAGAAGTAAATAAATAAATAAAAGCGTTTATCAGCTTTATCCCAAACTTGTGTAGTAACAAAAGTTCGGGTTCTCATGGTTACATAAAAGATACCTTATATATGTACTAAAATAAAGTATAAAAATAATAAGGGTGGTAACCATAGTCGTACATGATCCCAACATTCTCCCGAGTTATACCACATAATATATTGAATCTCTTGGCTTATAAATCAATTGTTCTTTGATAAGTTCCAGTACTTTCTGACAAAAAAAACAATAATAGAATAGAATAGAAATGCAGATAGATCCCTTATCTAGAATTGTTTAAATCCCAACGATTAAATATACAAGCTCTATACACTATAAAGCATCTCATAAAAGCTAGTTCTTTAGCAACAAATCCTAGGTGATTAATATAATATAATAAATAAAATAAAATATGGACAAATATTATATATTACATTGGTGCACCCAGTTCTTGATCATAGTACGCAATCTTTACCTTGTCTTGAATCATTTTTATATATATATATATTGTATTCTGTAATACAATCCCCGAAATGCTTACATACGTATACATATATTATTTATATACATTAGTATTCCAAGGTCACACTATGTGACGCGATTATATCTATCGTAATACGAAAAATTAAGATTTTGACAGAGACATTAAAAAGGCTTCAATTTTCGAGTGATATGAGCATTTACTTTCTCTTCTTCACATAACTGATAACAATAATGTCTGCCGTCCCTATTCTCAAGTTGTAAGTACTACTGCCCTTACAATTGTAAAGAGAGAAAAAAAGAATTCGAAAAAAGTCATTGTCAAATTGCTTTAACTAACGACTTCTTTCTATCTATTGATATGCGCTTTCAGGAACACTGGCGCATCTATTCCCGCTGTTGGTCTTGGTACATGGCAAGCAAAGCCCAACGAGGTTTACCATGCTGTCCTCGCTGCACTCAAGGCTGGGTAAGTTTAATATACAGAATCTGATATAAATTGCAAAAAAATATTTGGTGGTCTAATTCAAATCCCTCTTTAGCTACCGTCACATTGATGCTGCTTATATCTGTAAGTTTCCTTTTTTTTTAAAAAAAAATCTATATATATATACAATATAACAAGAAGCTGGCTGATCTGGAGTTCAAGGTTAATCAAGCATTTCATTAACAATAATGGCTATAATCGATTAGACGGTAACGAAACCGAGGTCGGTCAGGCCATTAAGGACAGTGGCATTCCTCGTGAGCAGCTCTTTATCACAACCAAGCTCTGGAACACTTTCCATCGTCCCGAGGATGTGCCCAAGGCACTCGAGCTTTCTCTCAAGAACCTCCAACTCGAATATCTTGACTTGTACTTGATCCACTGGTAATAAATTTGTAAAATATATCAGTAGTAGTAATAGTAGTAGCAGAAGTAGTAGTTATTCTTTTCTTTCTGTGTGTATTTGTGTGATTGGGAGGACAGTGATATTTATAAGACTCGTTTAATTTATTAGGCCTGTTGCATTTGCCGCCGGAAAGGACAATGCTCCCCGAGGAGAGGATGGCAAAATCCTCACCGACTCGACCGACTTCACGGAGACCTATGCTGTGAGTATATTGGAGGCATACGGCCTTATTTTTTTCTGTTTAAATCAGCGCCACTAATCACATATGGATTTTCCTTTTCGCTTTACAGGCTCTCGAGAAGCTTCCTAAAGAAAAGGTTCGCGCTATTGGCGTGAGCAACTTTAACATCCCTAAGCTTGAGAAGCTCCTTAAGACCGCAAAGGTTGTTCCTGCCGCTAACCAGGTATGTATATATATATATATATAGACGTGTATGTGTATTTCTTAAACTCTGTTCAATTAACGTATCTTTATCTCTGTCTGTGAAAAGGTTGAGATCCATCCTTATTTGGTCCAGGATGATCTTGTCAACTTCTGCAAGGAAAAGGGCATCCTTAGTAAGTTTTGATAGTTGTTATTAAGCATGGTTTGTTATGAGTATTAAATGGGTTTGTTTCTTTCTCTCTATCTCTCTCATTGTGTTTAGTCACCGCTTACTCTCCTCTTGGAAGCACAAACTCTCCTTTGCTCAAGGACGAGAAGGTGGTATGTATAACACAGCTGAGTTACACAACTGGCTTGCATGTACAGTAAATTAATTGTACTGTGTGAACCTATCCTTCGTATTCTCTAGATTGCTATTGCCAAGAAGTACAACAAGAGTGCCGCCCAGATTCTCCTTGAATGGGGTGTCCAGAGAGGCTATGCTGTTATCCCCAAGTCTGTCACTCCTTCGCGTATTGTTGAGAACATTAACCTTAGCAAGATCAGCGATGAGGACTTCAACGCATTGAACAACATTATTGGCGACAACTCAAAGCGTATTGTTGATCCCTATGATTTCTGGGGTATTGATGTCTTTGATAGCCATTTGTAAAATATTCTAGACCTATAATCCAATCCTTTTGTTTTCTTTTGTTTGCTGTCAATTAGCGTTCTATAAATAATAAATAAATGAATGAAAACATAACATATCCATAACTTTTACAGCCTCAAGCTTTGTGTGTAGTTTGAATTGCTTTTTAATACATTATCTGATATTGATATTGGTATGACGCTAATACAGTATCTTGAATTTACCATGCAATCTTTATATATATATATATATATTAGGGAAGGAGTAAGGAAAGGTGGGCAAATACTTTTCAGTATTAACCAAGATACAAATTTGACTAGTTCATTGTCAAGACTGTATATGTAGGACTGTATATCTGTGTCCCTATGTGCGCGTTTGTCTTTTTAGGTTTCTCTCTCTAAAAAAAGGGTAAAAATTGCCTTTCCTGTATATATACAGTAACCCAAAACACTAAGAAATGACCTCTTTTGTCAACCTATTTGCACAAGAGCTTGCATCATATTTGATCTCAAATATGCTTTTCAAACATACGTAAAGGAGTCATAATTCATGTATATGTATTTTCGTTGATTTGATTTAATAAAATATGCTCCTGACTAGATTATTTGTGCATTTAGATTGGCTTGAGTATGCACACACCCATCTACCCACATCGGTAAGTAATTTCTTGTTCTTTTCTTTCTTTATTTTTGTTCGGTGTCTTGAGGCGTGATTTTTGGATATGTTTTCATGTAGATATATTTTGTCACATATAGAAGAAGTGGTATTATAGGTCACCATCAAATAAACCTAATATTTTCACACTTGTTAATTGTTTCTGATGTGATATTACAGAGCATACTGTATATATCCAATTTACTTACAAGACATCTGTACAAATCAAATCAAAGGGGAAACAATACTAGGATGATAAATGGTGAACAATAGGAGAGCGAGAGTAGTTGGAATGGCTAGAAAGTATTAGGAATGTCTTATATTTCTTTCTATTCCTTCGTTTTCTTTCATTTTTGGGTGGTGTGTATAGGAAACAGTTATTAAGATACAAGGTCATCATTCTTTACAAACTACATTTATTAAGGTGACCTTGGTTTCTGTATTCCGATTTGGACGTAGTCTTATCAGTATAGTCTTGGCCTTTTATTCTTCTCCACTTTTATTTATTTTTTGGTACACCAAATATTATCCATTATCATGGGAGCGGACAGCTACAAAGCCTGCTGGGAAGGTATAATGAGCCTAGACCGTATAATAGTTGTTCTGTCTATTGTCTATGGTGTAAGATATATATATTTCCACAAAACCCAACAAAATACAAGTTGATGTTGATTTGTTCTTACTGATGGCTGTTTTTTTTTATAAAAAACAATTAGATAAGAGCAATACAACAGACATGGGGGGCTCTGGATAATGAATGGCCTTGTGAGTGGATATTTCATACCATCTAGAAACAGCTCTTGATTGAGCATTGTTTTGCTTTCAATTTGTAGCTTCCTTCGATCACTTTGTACGCCCAACAATGTACATGGCTGCCATATTCAGTGTTCTTTTAGCCCTCGTAGCACTAACAGCCGCAATTGGAATTTTCAAGGTAAACCTAAAAAAAAAGCGCAGGGGGAGAGAGTAAGGTGAAGTGAGGTAAGGCAAGGTGTGAAGAATAACTGTTAAGAATGGTGGCACTAAGAACACAGAGCCCATAATAACAGTTCTTGGGATTTTATAGAAACGATTCTTACGACTCGTATATTTTTTTCCACTTCCTTGTTTCACAATATCCTTGCTAAGTGTTTTCAACGACGTGACAGAATTGGCTTTGATGGTGATAGGCAAAGACTTGTTCTTGGCTGGGTGCGCTAAGGAAAAAACCGAACTTCTTTTGTCTGTGATGCAATCCTGTGATAGTTGTGTTGTCGAACAAGCGTGTAATCGTATATGGAACTCTTCACTGGTGTGGATATCGACTGGGACCATATTCAATCTCGGAATAGATATATGTTTTATTTGCTGCCTCTATCGGTTCCAACGTCAGCAGACTCAACTAAGCCGTATAATTCCAAAAAATGGTGATGCTTTGTCTATAGAATGTAGACAGAACATCGCAATAGGCTGTGATAATATCCAGGAAGCGTCCACATTAGCAGTAGGACAAACATCTACATCAAAATAGAAATAATTATTAAAGAAGAAAAAAGAAGAAGAAACAATGCATGTATATACATAGTCAGGAAAGTTGTATTTACGTATTTAAGTATTTCAATATCCATCATAAACAGCGTAAACAGTATTAAATTGATATCCATTACATAACTTTAGTATGCACATAGAATACTTTACAAATTGAAAAGCTTTATATTGTTTAATGAAGAAAAACCCAGATTTCGTTCAATAGTATATATGCGCATTTTTTGTCTTAATCTTTAGAGCCACCAAGCAACTTAACATGATCGGACTATATTTCTGGAAAACATCCTTAAGTATAGTGCCCTTGATCAAAATCCCCATGGGTATATTCGACTTTTGTGATTTGATTTCAAGATAGCTATCCTTATTCAAATTGATTATGTTTTACTATTGTTTTTTTTTGTTTACTTTGCTTTTATATGAGCTTAACTAATACTCCTACATAAAGCACCAGAATTCATTCTTATCTAATTTTATAATAATGCTTATGTTTTGTAGATATACAAGTGCAAAGACAATAAATGTAAACTATATAAAAACAACATAATTTTGTATATGATATATTTTTGTTTGTTTATTGATTGATTGGTTAAAGAAAAGTCTTTAGTATATACATTCTACATTTCCATCCAGGGAGAGTCCATCGGTGCTCCACATCTTGTTCTTGTGCTTCAAAATCTGCTGTAATAAAAAAGAAAGAAAGAAAAGAAGTATAAAAGTACATACCTGCAAAAACAAACACGCAGAAAAAAACGGACCCAACGAGAAAAAAAAACTAACTAAAACACAATACGAAGTTGGGGACATCTCACTTATACGACATCCGGTGGATCAGCACAACACCGAGATGAAGGACGACTAAGCATCAAAAAAAGAAGTTGGCGCAATGCCTTGAAACCTTCGGCCTCGTACTCAGAATCCTGGACACCACCAGAGCTCAGTCAGGGCCCCGAAGGTCACCCCGTTGGCTTGAACCTCGTTATATACAAAATAAGAACAAGATAAAATGCTGAGATGTTTTGCTTTAGCTTATGTTTTGGAACGATTACTCACCGATTAAGGAGTTCACCAAAGTACTTGCGCACTCTAATGAACTCGCCCGCTGGACCGCTATTTTTTTTGGAAGAAAAATATGCAGACAAAACACGTTAGTATCTTTTCATGTCAAGTTGGTAAGTAGTAAAATGGAAATTAGTAGCAGATTTTTGCACACAAGAACAAGAGCAGGAGTGTTTTTCTAGGCTTCTGGTTATGTCTTTCTGTCAGTCTATTGCAAATAACAAATAAAGAAGTTAGATCTTGCTCAACATTAATGCACATGAGGTTGGTAGCATTAGCCATTCACTCGTTTTCTTGCATCTGTCAAAGTTGAAAATATGGAGCGCCTCTTTAAAAAAGAAAAAGGCGAAAATATGTTCAGGTTAACTTATGACACCGAACGGGACATGTTTGAGCTGGCTTTAACATGCTGGTGGTCTTTACATTCGTTACTTACCTGGTGTAAACGTAGACAGACCTAAAAGAAGGGAAATACAGATAAACAGACGCGTATGCCCTTGAAATAAATTTTTCCTACGCCAATATAGATGACATCATCATCTATTTGTGATGCAAGCATTCTTAGCCACTGTGAGAAAAAAATTGCGCTTCAGGGGGTGATTTTAAAAAAATCACATGCATTCTACAGAATCGCCCTCTGAATCACGCCTTTTTTTTTACCGCAGTGGTTATTTTGCTCTAATAAATTCTCTCACAGTGGCTAAGAATGCTTGCATCACAAATAGATGATGATGTCATCTATATTGGCGTAGGAAAAATTATTTCAAGGGCATACGCGTCTGTTTACTTGTATTTCCCTTCTTTTAGGTCTGTCTACGTTTACACCAGGTAAGTAACGAATGTAAAGACCACCAGCATGTTAAAGCCAGCTCAAACATGTCCCGTTCGGTGTCATAAGTTAACCTGAACATATTTTCGCCTTTTTCTTTTTTAAAGAGGCGCTCCATATTTTCAACTTTGACAGATGCAAGAAAACGAGTGAATGGCTAATGCTACCAACCTCATGTGCATTAATGTTGAGCAAGATCTAACTTCTTTATTTGTTATTTGCAATAGACTGACAGAAAGACATAACCAGAAGCCTAGAAAAACACTCCTGCTCTTGTTCTTGTGTGCAAAAATCTGCTACTAATTTCCATTTTACTACTTACCAACTTGACATGAAAAGATACTAACGTGTTTTGTCTGCATATTTTTCTTCCAAAAAAAAAATAGCGGTCCAGCGGGCGAGTTCATTAGAGTGCGCAAGTACTTTGGTGAACTCCTTAATCGGTGAGTAATCGTTCCAAAACATAAGCTAAAGCAAAACATCTCAGCATTTTATTTTGTTCTTATTTTGTATATAACGAGGTTCAAGCCAACAGGTTAACCTTCGGGACCCTGACTGAGCTCTGGTGGTGTCCAGGATTCTGAGTACGAGGCCGAGGGTTTCAAGGCATTGAGCCAACTTCTTTTTTTGATGCTTAGTCGTCCTTCATCTCGGTGTTGTGCTGATCCACCGGATGTCGTATAAGTGAGATGTCCCCAACTTCGTACTGTGTTTTAGTTAGTTTTTTTTTTCTCGTTGGGTCCGTTTTTTTCTGCGTGTTTGTTTTTGCAGGTATGTACTTTTATATTTCTTTTTTCTTTCTTTTTTATTACAGCAGATTTTGAAGCACAAGAACAAGATGTGGAGCACCGATGGACTCTCCTGGATGGGCATATAGGATTTATCGACTGGAATTATATATATACTTAATATTTACCTTCAATAAATAAATAAATAAATATAAACATTATATCCAAGCGTGTATTATCCTTGTACTTACCTGTTTACAAAATATAGATGTGCTTTTAAAGCTATAAAAGAATAAAGATATATGTTAGTAATAGAACAACTTGTCACCTTTTCAGTAAATGCACACTTCTTACATTGGTTACCCTTTATATTTATGGAAGAGTTCATTGTTAGTGAATATTGCTATATTTAAGACTTTTAGCTGAGGTCGCATGCCGAATACATATTCCTATTATTTGAAGAGACAGACACTATGACCTCCCCTCCCTTTCACCTTACTTTACACAATTTAATAATATTTGCTTAACAATCATAATGAGTACATGATACACCTACCAGAAGTCTATTTCGGAAGTTTCATTTAAATGAATAAATAATACAGTGTTTCTACTTGGGATTTAGTCAAATTGGAAAATGTCTAGACAAATAGAAATTAATTTTCAAAGTAAACATTTATTCAGAAAACTTACCTGTAATTGTCTAGAGGTCTCAAAGAGCCAAACTGTTTATGTTACAGCGACTAGATTGTTATTGCTGTGGTTATCTATATACAGGTACTCAGATTCGTTAAGAGCATCTTCAGCTGTTAGGTTTCGGAAAGCATTTTATATAGTGTATATTAGCCACACTGAGGATTGAATACTGGTCAAAAAGAGATGGTCAGATTGTACTTATCATATAAAAGAATATCTGGGTTTTTTTACGATCTAAAGTTGTCCTTTCTTTACTAGCCTTCAGAACCTGTAATACATTGTGGCAACGAGATGTTCATACTGCAACATATATGATGACAATTGCTTTGTCAAATTGGAGAGGAACCC